TAAATTTGCTTATTTAATACCTCCAACATCGTAACCCGGCCCCAACCCTTCAATTATAAACTCACAAGTGAATACACTTCCCATACCATGCTCAAGCACAAACTCTCTTCTCTAGCGCCTTTCTCCGTCGTTAAATACCGGATTCTGTTCCTTGAAAATCTACAACATCTAGTTTACCAGCCAACCTTCAAATTCCACGCTAGTTTGTGGCCCGGATCATGGCTAGGCTTCAGGTCGTCACGGGCTGAGGCTCGATGAAGGAAGACGGGGGGAAGGTTTTTCCATGTAGTAGAAAAATAAAACCTGAGCGAAGTTGACAACAAAGAGAGATTTGACAGTGGATTTCTTGTCTTGGCAACTAATCCAAGCTAAAGGTATGACAAAGCAATACGTGGAGGACAGAGGCTACGTGGTGGCTGGTGGGAAGTCTCAGGATGCCCGGCGCCATGTGTACCAAGACAGGTTCCATGCAGTGAAACGGGGCTTTTGGAAGAGGGCTGTGGGTTGAAGGGGAGGTTGGGGGTTGTTTATATATTTAGGTTTTGGGTGCTTGAGAGTAGGTTTGTGCGTTGTATTCATTTTTTTTTCCAAAAAAAAACTCTTTTTTTTTTCCCTTTTTCTGTGAGTAAGTGAATTTTTGCAAGGGAGATTTTTGCAAAGCAGATCTTTTGAGGGAAAGGGTTGTCTATAAAAGAACTGTCCCTTTCGAAGCCAAGAAAATCTTCAGCACATAAGCGACTAAGCTGAAAGACAATTATAGACAGAATTAGGAAGTTCAGCGTCGCCGGCTTCTCTACACTTTCCTATAAAGTATGTGTAAGCCTTAATTAGCATTAAAGAGAATTAAGCTAATTAAGTTTCTTTTCTAAGGGATGTATTGCTACGTTCTGTTGTTAATTGTTATTTGATTATCAACAATAGAATTTCGCTGGATTAGCGTTGCATAACTCATAGCTATGTCGTGCTGAGGGCTAGGAGTCGCACTAAAGCTTAGTGTATTGAGGATTGACAAGGACATTATAAATAAATGCACTCTGCACTATGGAATAATGTTTCGATAAATCTATTTGCATTGTCGTTTAGTATGTGCTTGTCTTCCTTCTGAGCCCAGGAAATGAAAAAGCACCAATACGTCTGGCCCATCTCAGTCTTGATTTGAGTTTGGTTGGAAGAAGAAATTCCGTGGAGCTTGGAAAGTGGTGTTTATATACTCACTTGGTCGGCTGCTGTAGCTTGTTTTGTTTGTGCTCAAAGGGAAGTGAATATATGATTCATTTGGACTTGCCTCGTGTGGAAAGTTTTGGTCATGAAGCAAAGCCTCACTTCTGCAGGAAGTACTCAATTCACTGAACACTTGCTGACTGACCCCTCGTCCAGCGGCCGGCCGCCATTCCCGCCTATAAATACTTCTAGAGCGGACACCAGCTGAACTCGCTCATGTCAACGGACCCCATACCACTCTCAATGCTCAGGAAGTGTCGGGGAGCAGAACTTAGAGCTTTTAGGCTACTTTCGTTTCACCATCGTATACTATTAGGATTGCTGTTGTTAACTGCCGTCCTATTGTCAAGCGTTTTTTAACCATTTACCCCTGCAATTTGGCAGAGATTTTATCGCCTTTCACGTTCTCAGCGAAAAGCTCAACTTCAAGCATCTAGTTTGGCGCCAAGCGCAGGAAGGAATCCATGATTGCATCAACATCTTTGAAGAGAGCGTGAATGTAGAAAAGCAGTGTTTATATATATAATGGGTTGTAAGAGCTGAACCTTTTTAGGTTCGGAGAGAGGTGAATATATGATTCATTTAGACTTTTTTTTCAAGGATTTAGATTTGTTTATAAAAGAAATCTTTTTTCATGTTTTCATTTCTTTACTTTCTTTGCAACGTTGAGCGACGCGACTTGCCTCGTGTGAAAAATTTAATGTCGGGGAGCAGATCTTGGAAGTTTTGGGCTACTTTCGGTTCACTATCGTATACTGCTGGGTTTGCTGTTGTCAACTGCCGTGCTTTTGTCAAGTGTTTTGACTAGTTACTTGCATAAGTTTGCAAAGATTCTCTCTCGTTTCACTTTCTCAGCGAAAAGCTCAGTTTCAACATGGTTTGGTGCCAACCACCCACAGGAAGGCATCCATGATTGCATCAACATCTTTGAAGAGAGCGTGAATCTGGGGGAAGTGGTGTTTATATACTGTAATTAGCTCGGTAGCCTTGGCCGTCCGTCTTGTTTTCCGTCTTGCTTGTTTCAAAAAGTGAATAGATAGTTCTACTTGCAGTTTTTTTTTTGTGGAAATTTTCAAGGGCATAAGTCTATAAAAAGATCTCTTCCTTCTTCTTACTCCATTCCATAGTAACCTCCATCAATGCTGCTCACCCTAGCATGTGCCTGCTTCTAGTGCCGGTTACAGTGGTGATGCGTGAGCTTTCAACAATCGTTTTTCAAATTGGAGTAAGTTTGAAGCTCGTGGGTTGAGGTGCGTACAAAATTTTGTTGTCAATTGTTATTTTGTTGTCGAGCATACTTAGGAAGACATGGATAAGATAATTTGCCGTAATATTCTTGCATGTTTTCACTCCATTTAACGTTTATCAAGAAAAAGCAGCTGTTTGGTGCTTGCTCCAAGACTATGGAGACAGGGGCGTCCCAATATCTCGACCAAATCTTCTTCTTCTTACGTTAGTTCGTGAATCTATGAGGGCGGCCGCAAGTATTTATATACTTCAGCTGGCCGATTTGGCTTTCAGTGCTAGTGTCCTCAGGTATTCAAAGAGAAGTGAATGAATAATATTTTTGGATTTTTGAGTTTTTCCAAAAGCATGATTATCTATAAAAAAAAACCTCTTCTATCTTTACTTCTGGCCTACATACCATGTGGTTTCCGCAATCTACCTCCACCATAGTGTGGGTGATTAAGTGTAATTTACTTGCGTTGCCCGGTAGTTTCTTGATTCTCAGTCTCAAGTTGGAAAGAGCGAGATTGAAGCTTATGGGTTGTTCAATATTGCGTGTAGTGTGTTTGCTGTCAACTAACTGTACGCTATTGTCAACAGCAGCAATAATACTGTACTACTCTTACGTAGCTCTAATTTCCTACCACTATCAAATGCAGTAGTCATTCCAAGGTATATGTCAATCATAGAGACGAACAACAAGCCACAACTTTTCCTAGAGATCTGGTTGTGTAGTTTGTTTCTTGTTGAATAGAGCGTGAATCTGGGGAAAGTGATCTTTATATACTTGATGGATCAGCCCTGAATGTCGGTCTTACCGGTGCTCAAGAAGTGAATTATTAATTCACTTATTAATTGCAGTCGGCGGCTGAACATGCCGCTTTTGACTGAATCAGAGTGTAACAAGAATAGATCTCGGTTCGCTCACTGGACATGATAGTTCTCAAGGATTAAATTATAGACTCACTATACCCCGCTCTGCTGTACGCCAACTGGGTAGCTTTGGCTAATATTTAACCACAATGCGCTGAAATTATCGTTAATGTTAACCTTAATCCTTTTCAAAGTGGACATTGAGATGTCTTTCTGCTTGGATTTCATGAGTCACGGTCTCGACTCCGAAGTTGATCAGGTTTCCCAGTAAGTTCGTCCTATACATGCTAGTAATTGCCAAATTTTTGATTGTTGCCGGCGATTCATTTTACTTTTAACCGAATCGACGGTATCAGCTTGAGTACCAAACCTCTTTCTATCAGTGTTTCCCTTGCCTGTGGCTTTTCTGGAGAAAAGAAGAAGGAGAGAGCGGCCGCATGTTTTATAGGCAGAGATCTTGGAATCCCGAGAAAAGAAGAAAACAGAAGTGCTTCTATAGCCCATTATTCACTGGTTCATAAGTTTGGAACTTTTGTCCGTGATTGTGATTTTGGTTTATTCTAGAATAGGAAAGTACGGCTGTAGGAAATACTCATGTAGCTAACCCCTTGAGGAAAGAAGAGAAACGCTTCTAGAGTCCGTCATTCACTGGTTTATAAGTTCGGGACCATTGTCTGGGAATTGTGGTTTTGGGTTTATTCTAGAAGAGGCAAGTGCGGTTGAAGGAAAGATTCATGCGCCTGACTTCTTGAACATTATCATCTCCAGTAAGCGTACCGAGATTACCGAGACTTATCTTTGAGTTACACGCTATATCACATAAAGGCAACATGTGTGGCTGCAGTTAATGCTATCATTGTTGAAGTTCCTTGAAACTTTAATCACATCCCTTGATACATGGTGCAGACCACCAGGGTTGGACATCCAAGTCGGGTTGGATTTAGATGAGAACCTGGACCAGGCTTTATTAAACGTTTTGAAGCCTCCCTTGCTGTCCAAGTTGAACCCAGCCATTGGCAAAAAGCAGAAGTACCCTAATAAGCAGGTTATATTGTATTGCTGTCAAGTGCCGTTTTGTTGTTAAGTGTTTAGTGAGATTACATTCTCCTGATCTTGTAGGCAATTCACACATCCACCACAATGGAACTGGAGCTTTGGTAGTCCAGTTCCCTGCAGTACTTCTTGTGTGAGCCAAGAAGTGCCACACAATGTCTCTGTATTATTCTCCAACCTTGTTCATGTTGATTTGGAGCAATGGTAGAAAAGGCGACGGTGTTATATACTTCAAGGAGAGTTAGTCTTGCTTGTGGTCTTGTTTATTTAAAAAAAAAAAAAAGTGAATATAAGATTCACTCGTAATTTGCTCCGCACACATCCCATCGGTGAAGATAAACAGCTGAGAGAACTCTTGGGCTTCTGTATATATATCCCTCCTTGATCTTCTATTTCCTGACAGTACGGGCAACAGCCAACACGTGAAGGGGATAACGGGGTGTTGACTCTGCTCCTGAATATTGTCTAGTCCTACGCCGTACACTTAGCCGCCAATATTATGGGGAAGTTATGCTTGGATAGTTGAGCAACTTTGTGACAGCTTCAATCTCTTTCATTTTTTTGCTGCTAACTTCTTTTCTTTCCGTTGTCAACATCTCCTCCGCGAATTTTACTGATTTTCCCTTCTCCTGGCTCTGTATATACGCCGCCCCGGTTCATAGATAACAGGTTCAGGTCCAGTCACGATCATCATGATGTTGGATGACGTATTCGAAGGCGAAGAGAGCAAAAGTAAAGTTTTAATCTGCGGAAAGCTGCTCTTTATATACCTGTTTCTTGACCATTTATAATTTGCTGAGACGCTATGATTCTTTGGGACGTTCTGGTTCGTGAAGATGCTGTACTGAATTAGGACGTTGTAGTAGGATAAAGCGTGCTCTTTTGGTGAGACATTCACTTTTCCTGAAACGTCATATTTGGTTCAGTCATTTTTGTATCTAAAATTGGATGAAAAAAGTGAATTCCCTCTAAGACAATCTTCTTTTCTAAGTCGCTCATGTTCTCAAATGGTGAATGTTATTTGAAGTGCTTTCAGTTCCAAGAGGCTCGCGTCTCCTAAACGCCTATATATACCTAGATATCACAAAGTTCCACGTTTACTACACTTAACAAGGCAAGAGAGGTGTAGTCAACAGGAGTGTCCGACCAACCCCTGCAGAGAACTCGTTGTGTAGGTAATATTTACGTTCGCAGACTTGCCAATGGTGAGCTTCTGAACGAATATTGTACAGACTATGGGAGTTGACAACAATTTTCTGGCTAATTGGTTGGCAATGAAATATTGATTGATAATACTCATGTAGTTGACAATGAATCTACTAATAAAGACAAAGAAGCACAGAATATAATTGCAGACTTTGAACTACTTGTTCCGAATAGCAAGAAGTAGACCAAGAAAGCTTGTGTCTCCAACATGGCTCCGGTGCACGTGTGGTCTCGTATATGTGCTTGACCCAGCGTTGATCCAAGACTCCTGGTCTTGTGATATATTTTATAGACCTTGTTCTGAAGGTGAATTACCCGTTGAGTTAGTGAATGAGCGTTGCAGATTTTCGGAGCTTGTCAGTGAATGACGTTGCTCAGTGAATTTAAAATATTGAAGGTCTGGTCAAAGAAGTGGGTATATAAAGATCTTTTTTCTGGAGTAAGGAGTTCTTTGTTACTTGTACTGACTATGTCAGGTCTTCTTAGGTTGTCTTGGACTTCTGCAGGTGGCTGTGCTTGACGTACAGCAATGAGATACCTTTTACTCATTAAAAGATTGGTCACTGCCAGGAGATGGGAAACATTTAATCAATGCACAGCAACTGTTGTCAAGTTTTGGGCAATTGCGAGCTGATAAATTGAGATGGTGGATTCATATATTTGCTTTGACTTTGCAGGCTTGAACATTCAAGCGAATACCCGGCTTTTAAATGCCATATCTTCTGAGAGGAGGACGGACATTGGAATATCAAACGATATTCTGTGCGATGGTCCTTGATCCAAGATTGCTCCGATACAATTCCATAACCCTCTATTAATTGTGTGTTTGGGGGAACATCTTGTAAAGAAGGACTATTTTATACCCCCGATTTCGAAACCAGAAAATTCAAAGTGAATGGAAACCATCAATTCACCAGAAAAAACATGCGAATGATTCACCAAAATAACAGTTACAAGATTCGTGGCACAAAGTTTCCATAGCGCTAGTGACTATAAATCGTTCGCTCTCCTTTGTCCAGCCGTCTCTGCAGCCAGAGGACGACAAGAACACGGAGTTGATGTGGCAGTTGACGGCTCAACTTGAGGCACCCGGCTGCCATAAAGAGAGCAATTCTTAGAGAGTTCTTTGCAGATTTGGACATTCGTCTTGTATGTCCCCTGTTAATTTTGCATGCGAAAGGCAACGCTGTTGTCTTTTTTCGTTGCTGTTAAGCTTTGGAGAGGCTTTCGTCCGTACCTGGACAAAAAAAAGTATTTCTCTGAGTAAGGATGTGATTGCAGATACGTACAATGTTTGCTTTGTCTAAAGACTTTGATATCTATGGCTAGGAAGATATTAATAATGGTTATGTTGGATGTCTCGAGTACAGTACATTTATCACAACCTGTGAGATTGATTATTGCGAAATGGTTGAGTTTCCTAATCTCCCCAAAATGATGGAGTCGATCCTAGCACTCAATAAGATATGTATATTAAGATACTTCTTATCGAGCTGTCAGGTTCTAGTTGTCTTCATTCGCATTCACTGTCTTTCAGAAGAATATCAGAAAGAAAACTCTCATTATTTGGTTTTGCTCTCAGACACTCCACTTGGCCTCGACCACATGATGTCGAAACAGACAATTGTTAGGGAAACTGTCGGTCCTGAAGCCGAACATTGGCGTGTCTGAGCACTGATCACTAGTGGTATTTGAAGACGTTATTGATTGGCGACTCATCGCAAATGTCCCTCCTCGACAAGATTATTTACCCTGCTTCAATGCTAAGACCGTGGCCAGCGACGTGACCGTTCTTCCCTAAACAGAATACCAGCCCGCGGTCTGCGATACTGTGATTGGTGTTCTTGGATGGTACATTACTTCATAGTACTCCACTAGTTTAGTTAGAGATCATTTTCAGCATTGGGGAATTCTTTTGAGCTTACATCTACTTATATCTGTTGGGTCTTCTTCTAGGCGTTGAATGCGTAGGCATTGGCGGGCTGCGAATCTGAAACTTCGATTACATCCTGTTCATGACCGAGGGAGTGGTCTCTGAAAACCACGATGCTTTTCAATCATTGCGACTTGACGGCAAGCAGATATCAACCTCTGCCAAGCAGCCAAGCAGTCAATGGGGCACTATTCTCATCATTCAATGCCTCAGGACCACCACCACCAAGCAAGTGCTTAAGCATAATCGGATCCTGGTCCATATACTTCCCGTAAAGTCCATAGTGCAAGGCATAGTTGAGTAAGGCTTGGAGCAGACTTGGATGAGCTTTCGACTTCTCCGTTGCGTAGATATATAGCTCCGGTTCGACTGCCCATGCCAGGAATGTGGCTCCTAGGCTGTCTTGAATCACCTCTTCCTCATCCTCCTGTGCAGAGAACATTCTTGCGAATGGGCGAATGACATGGAAGCGATCTAGTTCTTCCAGGATCCGAGGCTGAGTAGCAGAGCGGTTGCTAGTGTTATCCGAGTTCCTAAACGCTTGTAGAGAAAGCTCGGATCCAAAAGATAGCACGTGAAGTTCGCTTCAGCCCCTTTCTACCACCGAGGACGCTCAATAGCTCATAGATATGATTCGATGATAGTAGGTGGTTATTACTGATAGAGTCATCTCTTGCCGATTTTGAAGACATAAAGAGTGTAGATGAAAAGGTAAAATTTCAAGTCTCAACACGAGCATGATTTGTCGTCGAAACCAACGACTTTTCAGCCTTGCGTAGCCTTGCATAATTTACCACGCTAAAATCAAGCATCATCATCTTTCATCCCTAGCACTTACGCTGTATACCTCATCGAGGACGACTACATCTCTTCAACTCTTTAGACAGCCTTTGCGTTCTGCTGTGGTAAGGCCCATACGTTACATCATGTTATAGCACCAATTCTCAGCCTCTTCGGACGTCCTCCACTGCATCATTCGATTTTTCTTGGAAAGTGAAAAACATAGCTCGCAGCCAGCATGGATAGAACGCTATTCAATATGTGCTGCAGAAGGACGATACTTAGGACGGCAATACAAAATCAGAGTTGTCTTCCTCTCCTGAGGAATGGTAGAGCAATTCATATAAGTGCGGTCAGGGCTGCAAAGTCCACCAAGTCTTCGCCCAAGAAGGCCAGGAAACAGCAGCCTCTCGAGTATAGGTATACAACCCATCAGTACTATGTGCTATGCCATAGATACTAACTTCGTCAGGCCACCTACCCGAAAATCCAATATCACCTCCCATTCCCTACCGAAACCCAAAGAAAACCCACTACGATTTCGAACGATTCCAATTGTCGGTGCAAGCGTCTTTCTTTTCACGATGGCAGGCTATATGGGCTATATATACTACCAATCTATTAAGCCAGACCCAGATCCGTCTTCGATATCAACGGGAGACTTCGCCGCTCAAGCAGACGTGTCTGCACAATACGAAAAGATCGCACAATCATTCGATAGCTCTGTTGATGCAACGGAATACACAATGGGTATAGCTTCTTTGCGGCGAAAGCTTGTGTCGGAAGCAAAAGGAGATGTCCTCGAAGTCTCCATCGGTACGGGACGAAATATGGAGTTCTATGATTGGAACTTCAAAGGCGATACAAAGCGAGGCAAGACGAAGGAGGGCAAGGTACGAAGTCTCACAGCTGTTGACAAGAGCGGTGAGATGCTGGAAATTGCACATGAGAAATTCTGTAATATGTTTCCGGGAATACTGGGAATAAGATGGGTTATTGCGGACGCTTCTGAGCTGGGTAAGATCCCTGGGCCGCCCAAGAATGCCAACGAGAGGAGTGGTAGCGTCGAGAGGAAATACGACACGGTCATACAAACGTTCGGGCTTTGTTCAGTCAGTGATCCTGTTGGTTTGCTCCGGGTTCTAGGCGACTGTGTGAAAGAAGACGAGGGAAGGATATTACTACTTGAGCATGGCAGAGGGAGGTGGGGTTGGCTTAATAGCATTTTAGACAAAGGAGCAGAAAGACATGCGAAGGAGTTCGGGTGTTGGTGGAATAGGGACATGGAAGACATTGTAGAAAAGAGTGGACTCGAAGTCGTTAATATCTATTCGAAGTGGTGGCATGGAGGCACGACGTGGTGGATCGAGTTGAAGAAGCCAAAATCCGAAGTGATCGTGAAGGAGAAGAAGGTGGAACAAGGCACTCAGAAACCACCAGAGCCATCTTCTGCAGTTGTTTCTAGTCAAAAAGTAGAAGACGACGCTCAGCAATCGAGTCCTGGACCTGTCAGCGTGAAGAAGGGATGGTGGTGATGTTCTAAGATCATCGCTGGAAATTATGTACACATATGTAACTTGATAATACCAGTAATGTAAAATAATGACACCTCTCAACATCTTCGCCCAGTGAAATTCTAACTAAACTTGCTAAGCGAGTGATGCCTCCCTATCCCCTCCCTTGCCCAAGTCGGACGCCGATGGGTCTTGGTGTGTGTGCGTGTGTGTGTGTGTGTGTGTGAGAGAGAGAGAGAGAGAGAGAGACATGGAAGCCTGGAATAAAGGAGGTCCTGTATGAGACAGCCGACGAATAGAAGAGTTGTAATGTTATTTTTGTGTGAATACGATGGCAGTGCTTAGATGGAGTAGTCTACCGTAATCTTGTGAGGCACGGAAACATTTCCGAGGACGATGGCAACCCCCTAAACCCTCACTAAGCACTCGCTTACTAGTATTCGAATGAACATAAAGCTGCATGTGATTTACTTTGTCTACAAATAAACGATGGGATATAAAATTGGCGAGGAGAAGTAGATGCGGTACGAGAAAAGCGGTGAGTTACTCTTGATACTTTCAGACAATATCACAAAGTATAGCAAAGTATGAATTTGAAGATTCCTCGGGTCATCAATTCCATTTCTGCCCTGATCATCCAAATTTCTGTTTTGCTAAAGCCTTCAACATAGCCATAGTGCCTTCTTCCTTCGTTCTATACTCCTGCAGTCTCTCATCCCTTTCTGCCTGCCTTGCTCGCAGAATCTCCTCTTTCCTCAACTCTCTCTCATTCTTCTTTCTCTCAAACTCTTGCTTCTGCTTCTTATACCCATCAATACCGTCTCCCCCGCCCATCAACTCTGTATCGGGTATCTCAGCAGCACCGGGAGACTTCTCTCGGAAAGACTTCATTTTCTCATTCATCTCTTTCTTCTTCTCGAGCTGACGTTCTCTGGTACCTGCTTCGGCACGAGGGACAAGTTCATCAAGGGCAGCCTTTTGTTCTTTCCGATCAATCTTGCGTGCAAAGCGAATGTCATCTCGGCGTGCCAGACCATCTTCAGCGTCCATTTCTCTCTTCAGCTCCAAATCTTGAAGATTAGGTATACTCGGCCCCATCCTACTTCCCCTGCCTTCTTGTCCAGGTAACGTCGGTCCTATCGAATCATCGCTATCACTCCCATCATCCCGAGTAGCGTTCCTCGACTTCTTATTCCTCGTATCGCTGGACTTCGGTCGAACATCTTGACGAGGTCGTGTGTCTGGTTCAGCGTCGGACTTTATAGCTTTTTGCAATGTCTCTGGATCATACCACCCTTCAGAGAGCTCTCCACGATTCCTCACACATGTTAGCCTAGCTCCCACTACCCTTAGAATCTGCCACGGCATGCAGTCCTTACCATTTGCCAAGAAAGCTCTTCCACCGACCCCGCGCCTCCCCTTCGTCCATCTCCTCGAGGATCTTGCCCTTCTGTATATCGAGGTAGAGCGCGAACATAGGCTTGAAGGCTTCGTAGTCCCGTTTCGTCAGCTGTCGGGAGCCGAAGGGTAGGTTTGGCGCATCGTCTGTGGAACGTTTGTGCTTGTGGTGCTGGTGGGGAGATCGTCTGCGATGGGAAGAGTCGTGGTGTCTGCGAGGTGATCTGGATCGAGATTCTCGTCTGCGCGCACTTTCGCGATGAGGTCTGTGTTGGTCTGCCATGATGAGAGGTGCGACTGTTGTTGTTGTCGTTGGTATTTTTGGGAGTGGAAGTTGCGGCAGCTCAAGCTCCGAGCTTCGCTTGGACGCCAAGCATTTCCACCCCTCCGAAGACTGCTTGTATCTTCAGTCAACAATTCCAGAGCCCACTGAAGTGAGATTATATAAGTATTTGTTTCACTCTCATTTACAACATCCATAGCAGACTATAGTGGCTATGTAGCCACCAATTACTGATAGCAGAAAAAAAGCTTGAATATTTCATGCAAGTGGTAGTACTCTCGTGACAAATTGGGAGATATTATCTTCAGTTGTTTGCTATCATCTCCTTCTTATTCTCCATTATCCTTTCAGAAGTCTTCAACTTCCTGCTCTACCTCATTACTACTATAATGTTACATTTCTGCTAGTACAGACTTTCTGAAACTATGAACTCAATGCAAGTACAGCCCCCCTTAACCTTCAGAGTCTCTGTGTGCTCGTTTGGCCCCATAAGCTAAGAAGGTAGCGACGAAGAGCTTCAAGCACGGCGTTATTACCTCTTTCCAGGGAATCCGAACTAGAAATTTCAAGTTTCGAGACTAAGCCCGAAGGCCTCTTCGTTGTAGGTGGAGAAAACTAAGCTCCAAGTTACTTGTCGGTGAACATCAGATGAAAGTAAGCCTGGTCGAACATCGAAGCAGCGGTGTCCCTGCCCGAAACCATCCTCGATGCCACGAAAGACCTAATACGAGATCTTCACCTCCCGCATTTGGTCTTGCATTTATTGACGTGCATGCATATCTAGTCGTTGGGAATACAATCCCTGCTACCCCGCATTTTGCCCCGAGCATGATGGAGTTAGACATAAAGGCCCGTTTGTCACAAGCTCCTTCGGAATCCGGGAGCAACTCAGAGTAGCCGAGGATTTGATGTCACGTTGAATCTGCAGCTGCCATGTTCGTTATGTTGTCATTATTTAGATCTCTTTCTAGCTCAATTTCTAATTTAGTATGCTAAAGAGGAGGTCCAGCGACCTTGAACGGGTGAGCCTCCGTATTAAATACCCACTGGTTTTCACCATTGTTGTCCACTTGCCACACATTGTCCGGGGCATGAATTAAGTAGCTGTACTTCATCACTTCCGCAAACAAAAAGCTGTCTTGGAAGTCATTATATCCTCCTCCACCAGCGGCGTTTACATTCAGTAGCTCTGCAAATCCGCTGCCAACTGCACACGTGCTGTTGATGGCGAGGAATGCATTCCAAGCCCAGTCACGGTACATTTGGTCTCCTGTAGCGCGATAGGCATAGTAGAACGATTCGAGAACTTCGGGGCGAAGGATGTAGACGCTGTCGGTGATGTAGAAACCAGCTTTAGCATAGAAAGCTTCTTGATCGGCTGATGGGCCTGGGTTGTCGGTGTCGTTTGCAGCGGTTGTGTTGGTCACCCAGCGGAAGACTTCGGGCCCAATGCCAGTGAGTGTGCTGATATAAGTGTCGTGGCATGCATTTACCAGAGCGAGGCCAAAGTCGGTGTACTTCTGCTCTTTGAGGACGAGACCGGCAAGAATGAAATTTCCACCATCGAAACAGGCGACTGATACATTTTAGCTTGTGATATAAATCAAAATGGGGGTTGGGGTACAACATACGATGCTCAGACTGGAAGATGAGTTCTTGGCCGTCGAATTGTGCTAGGAAGGTGAGATCTGGACGAGTTGATGGATGGCTTGCTAGATGTGCGATTGAAGAATCTGCTGCTAGAATCCAGCGGTCTCTGTAGTTGGCGAATCGAGTCGAGTCGTAGACGTACATTTTAATGAGATACTCGTAAAAGCTGTCATCTCCTCCAACCCACCCTCCAGATGCATCCACGAAAAGCCCAGTAGTGAGGTTAACGTTCGTACCAACCAATCCTGGCCATGGCTCACTTGAAGCTGGTTTAGGGTTCAAGAGGTAGGATTCGCCCTTTTGAGCAAGTTCGCCATAGAGCGGGTTTCCAGTCAGATCAGAAAGATGTGTCCATTCCAGAACAAGTGATCCAATGGTCGCGAGGCCGTTGGTGGTCGATCCATCAGTCCCATTGGGGAAGTTTAAATTGTTGCTGGGAATCCCGGTAGGGGTGTCGAAAGCATATGCAAGGTTGTTGGCAAGACGTTCGGCTTGTTTAAGGATCAAAGGAACAGCTGTTTTGTTCGAAGCAAGGTTTGAGAGTGGACCGGTCAGGAAGTCGTACCCTGATTAGATTAGCGATATTTCCGTGTTTCGTTCTGCTGGGGGCAATCAGTACCTGATAGCATTCCTGCAAGATATCTGATTGTGGTTTCGAAGAGCGAAACTTGACTGGTCGTAGTATCGAAATCAATCGTAGGGATGAAATTCAAGATCTCTGTCACGATCGGTTGGATTTGCATCACGATTGCAGTACTGAAGGCGTCCACTGCAGAGGCTCCCCAGCCGTTTCTGCGAACATATTAGCCTGTGAATACTGCAGGGAAAAATTCTCCGACCTACCTCGAGTTGCTGAAACTGTTGCTAATCGGATGCAATTCGTCATTGGGAAACGCGTACTTGTAATATCTTGAGGAATTAAGTCTTAGTAAATTATCGAAGAACGTAAGGGCTGAGATCTGCCGAAAGAGCGTTCCGAGAGTACTTGGCTCCTCTGAAGTCCTTTAGAACAAAGGGAGATTCTGACATACCCATCCCAAGCATATACGAAGGCTGCTTTGACGGCATCTGCTCGTTCTCTGTTCAATGTATGATTGTCTGGACGATCTTGTCTTGGTAGATTGAGATTGGCAGGTTGAGGAATGGCCAGCGATGTCGAAAAAAGGGCCACGACAGGCACGAAAACTCGTGAATAAAACATGATTAAAAAATAAGGAGGACGAAAACACAATGAGACTGTCCGCTTGATATCTCTCAACCTTTGGTCCCACGAAGCTCGCGACTGTGCAGCAAAGAGATACGGCCACACCGCTGGGAGAAGACGGAGGGAGGACGACGGACTATATATGGGCGAAGGAAGTAAGCTACCCCTCCTTCCCCACAAGTCACAATGCACTCCAAGAGATCGTGCTCACTTGAGCTTCTTGAATGTTTTCGGACCGGATGTGAGGAACCGATCATCCCTCCTCGATAAATCTCCGTCATTCATGGTATCCTGGCTAAATCGGATCTTTTGACTGGCTGCTTCCCCTGACCAAATGCACACGACTGCCGTGCACATGAACTAAATGGCCATTCCTGCGATTAATTGGTGGCTGACCAAACCTTGAGAGCGGGGTGGATGATTAGTTGTTCCTGAACAACGTTGATCACCAGGCGATGATCATCTTGGACTTCCTGTTGTGCTTTAGGGCGAATCTTAACGGCAAGGAAAGATGCCTGCGCCCCGAACGAAAGGGTAACGTTGTAAATTCTTGACAGCGCATTGCATGAAGAATCGATAGTGCTGATTGCTTAATTGGTGAAGCTGGATAAATGAGATGTTCTGGAGTCCGATACCATGGCATTCAAGAACAGCATCTCATCCGGGAACGACGCATGGGACAAGCCGGGAATAGATATGATCAAGAATACCCCGTCGCCAAACATGCAGGATTAATCCTTTGAGCCTCGATATATGTCCATTCCCTGATTGATAAACACATGTGATAAAAGCAAGGTTATTGCTTGAAGCATTTAAGATGAAATCGGGAGCAGCCGAGTTGTGTTAAGGTTATTTTCGGCGCTTATGCACTTTCACGTGATATACTTACATCGTGAAAGTCAGATGTCTTGAGCAATTAGCATATGAATAGATACAGATGTTGGAGAGAGAGAGCGATGATGAAGCTCTTTAGTCTCGGGACGAACTAAAAATGAAACGGCTGAGTTTGCCTCGAATGTATATTGTACACGTGATCACTCTCCTGTCACTAATCCCAGTCGTTGAATGTGTCCATCGCCTAGACATTAAGAAACTCCATAGCTATCAGGAGACTTTATTATCAAATTGTAGTTGTCTTCTGCGCCTCTGATGCGTTGCCATTACCTAATACAATCTTCAATACCCTACGGCCTAACCTGCGGTGCCATGAAAGCAACAATCTTTAACCTTATCACACAAATATCTTCATATTCTAGATCTAATGGACTTGCTATCTTACACTTCTTCATTATGCATAGCACAAACGTAATTGAGAAGTTCGACATCAGATCAGAATCTGGGAGAGGGTGAAAGGGCATCTGCGATCCACAAATCCGATATGGTATGAAACTCATCAGAGTCTTCTTCAAAAGCTCTCCTATGCAAACGAATCAAATCCAGCATTGCTGTCGCTTGCGAAATCCCCATTCGGTTTCCAATGAATTCTAGCACACTGATTACCCAACAATGAAGTTCTTCACTAACACCCCAAGCTGACCCCGCCACAGCCAGGGGGAAAAGTACCATGAAAATACCAGACATCGCCGGAATAGTCCACCTTGCACCTGGAACAGGGGTGGTGCGGAAGAAAGTCCCAGAGACGCAGATGCATATGTCGCTCGCCATTCTCGAGATAATTTCAAGTGATCTCTCCCGTTGCGACTCATACTCGCTAGCAAATGACCCGAGCTGTGCCATGTGAACGAGGAGCAGCTCGTTCACCAGAATTCGTACCCAGCGATAATTGTTGAGCACTCTGGACACCCACATATCTTCATAAGTGTGTTTCTGTCCCCGAAAGGTGAAGTGCATGTTGTCGGGAGCAGGTGTTGTGGTGAACCTCCACTTCGCGGGGAGCGCTTTTTGCCAAGCTTCCAATTCCGAATCGAGTGTGAGGGCTTCAAGAAGAATAAGATTTGAATCCAGGAGAGTTTTATTCCTGATGGAAGCGTGCAGGTTCGTGAAGCGATAGGCAATGTGGGCGAGGCTGATTGCAGGAGCGTCTTCAGAGCTCATACTTTTCCCACAAGATTCGCACCAGTCGTGCATGGTGGATGGTGCTTCTTCTCCTTTTGACAAAGATTTGATGTACTGGTTGTTATCAACATTTTATGCTCCGTGGTAGGATAATGTATACATACCACGGCAAAAACGAATTGAATCCAGCCTCGTCGCCTGGGGAGCAGTTCTGGTTCTTTGATGGCCAGCATCTTCAATATCTCTGCACCTCCTTCGATATGAACGGCCCATGAAGAGCCAACACCAATACTGCGCGAAGTACCGTTGACAATCTAAATGTTACTTTAGTGTAGTTGCCAAAGCGGCTTGAAGTCAGGCTTACCTCGAAGGCTGCAAGCAACATCACTGATTTCAGCGTTGCGTCCAAATCAGAGTTGGCAACATCTTCTAGAGCTCGCGCAATATTTTGTATACTTGCCGCGTATTTCCTCCTAGCTACAAGCATGTGTTGTGGATCTTTGCTCACGTTTGATAACCCCGCATACCCCACCGAAGACACCGCATTGGAGAACGATTCGCTGCGGAACAATAGTTGGAACATCGCTGTTTCTGCTGCATCGGCACGGGTTTTGAAATTTTCCATACCTGTATTGACATAGTTGCAGAAGAAGAACCGGATCCCTTCATCTTGCAACGTCGTGGGTGGGAATATCCGGTGCTGGAACACTACTTGGCCTGGACTTAGGCTGGGAGGACTTGCAGACTCGCTTCGTGATCCAGGGCTAGGTCCTCGAGGACGTTTCCGCGGCTCTGCCTTCGCTTTTGGGATTGTGGCTTTAGTAACGACTTTCTCGTTCTCATCTCGAAACATCAACGCGAGCTGGTCTCGATAACCAGGACACTCTTTACCGGCCCTGAGACATTGGCTGCAAGCCGGCTGAAGCAGATCACACTGGGAAATCGTGAGATGATTGGGCTTAACCGTGAGTAGTGGAGAGAGTTCGAAATCGGGAAAGGTCGTTCACGAGGAGGTGACTGAATCGAGACATAACATACCTTAATCCGACGAGTTCGGCAGTGCGCGCAGCCTTTGCTCGGTTTGCCACAGAACACCATGATTTATCGGCCCCAAACACTCGGGTCATGCACAGAATCTCAAATCTCCTCTATAAGGTGTATAAGTTGGGGTTTTGCTCGAAAGTGGTAACCTTGTCGTGCCCCTCACTGACAAGTGGACGGGATGATGTCCAAATAAGTATTTTATACCAGTGGTCGAAATAACCTCTTTTGGACCCACTTCACACGGACACGGATTATTTCCTTATTGTTGCTGACCATGAAAATGTGCTGTTTCTTGCCTTTGCCTTTATCGTTACTACACAAAATCTGAGCCTCAGTGTCCACGAATCTACGCTGAGGCCGGCGCTCGACACCTCGTACACTAAGCCGTTTTGGGTAGCCAGATCGTCGGACAGGGCTCTGTGTGGTTGATCAAAACGGGCCGTGCACGGCTCCGAACGCCGTTCGTGAAATATCAACCTCCGTGAGCGCAACAGAGTGCTTTCTAATTCGTTTACACTAAGCAGACTTGGCCGTTTCCAGAGCGACATAATTGGCTACCAGTCGTCCTCTGCCGGGTGCGAACCGAATTTCCGTATAGGGTCCAACAAGATAACCTTATCATGATGCAGAAGTGACTCTCTACCAAGTCCTAGTTGCTGAAAGTTGGGTGTGTAAAGAAGGAATAACATGGAAGAAACGCTATTCATGGTGTATGGACGTTATGAGACTGAGAATTCTACTATATATTGTATTTGAAGATAATTGACGCTATCAACATCGAATCAAAGAAATACCGTTCTGGTACCCCTCAACAATTAAGTTCGGTACTCGAGAGACCAGAAAGTCTATCCCCGCAGTCATCCCACCATTATTTCCGAAACCCCCGAATGGTCCATGCAGGCATGGCATTCTGGCTGCTGCGCCTTCATCTTCAGCTCTACAAGGGAAGATATAAAATTATGAAGTACCACGCTGCAGCCTGGGCCCACTTCTGTCGTGCCGCATTGTTGCCTTAACGAGCATGCTTGGGAAGGCGGAACCCGAGATAGGGTAGATACTTCGAAGGGTGCCAATAAATGTATAAGGAAACAACTGGGAAGATGGCAGCGGCGTCAAAGACATACATGACCCACTCGTGTTCGCTAGTGTAACCTGTTGAGAAATTTGGAGTCAGCATACCTCCTGCATACATTTTCATAACGCAAAGAGGACATCCAAAAGTTTGGTACGTGCAACGCCGAATGCCGTGTCACGACTTCGTGCCAATGGAGCCAGACAAGTTGAGTTGCATGCCCAAGGAGACATTCAAGCGAATACCGAATACCGAAAACAACAGGATGGAGCGAGTATCCCAGAAGGTGAGCTTACCAGTTTTTCCCAAGGAAAAGTCGACCATGCGATACACCGAACGGATCTGTTTTCTATCAGCGAAGCTCCCTCGCTACATATCCATAGACTTACCAGAATCATAGCAGAAGCAAAGTTCGTTACACGCAAAATCGCTTGCCAGTTCGGCTTCAACTTTTTGCCATCGACTGTGTAGTGCTTCTCCCCCTTTTCGCTCCCAAGTCGTTCTTCAAAAGAGGCTTTGAATCGTTTTGATGTGAAGTTGAATCGGACAGCGATAATGCTGAACAAGCCGAAGCAAATTAGTTGTACCGCTACACCAATCTGTGCAATCGTCTTTCCTCTGCTCAATTTGGACTTCGCGTTCACAGCAGTAGAGGAGACGGTTGTAATTTGGACAGCACCAGTAAGTTGAAGCAGGAGTGCCAGTACGTCGCAGGCGACAAAAATGGGTGTAACGAAGCGTGGTGGAATCCAGAGCAGTCGTGTCGTCCTTGCTTCTTTTGGTACTACAAAGCATTAGCATGATATGATAGTTAAGCTCGTGCAAGAGAGGCAACACATGAGGGGCGCGCAACGGATCCAACAGCGGCGCGACTCAGAAGAGAAAGACTTCCTACTTACCCACGTGAAAAACAATTCTTCCAAAGACAATATAACAAGCTGCAGCCATGAGAACAGGCGCAAGAACGATCAGCGAGAATGAAGCGACGTATAGATTCTGATCATAGATGTGCTGGGTCGAGATAGTTCTAAGGATGTACCCAGCAGACTCCATGCCTGATGCCAGGACCATGACGGTCCATACCCAACTGCGGTATCTCAAAAATTGAAGTACAGTCCCGATTGCAGCTAAGGTGTAAAGGACTGCGAAAACAATAGCGGCATCCAGCGATGGGGTATAGTGGTAAAAGTCTTGTTTGGCCATGGCGGCGAGAAGCACAAGCAGTGCGAAGAAGAACGATTAGAAGCGCGTCAGCAGAAGATCAAAAAAGAAGAACGATGCAAAGAAACGATAGATAGGTGGCAGGACGACGGATATATTAAAGAGCCAGTAAAGATATACGACATGTTACCAGACATCTGTCATGCACGGCTGTGGGAAAGTAAGAAATTCGCTGCCATAGCCCATGAGCAGCTTTCCTTATCGAGCAGCTTTGACAACACGACGTGCTGGTGACTACCAATCAAACGTGTATCATAATCGCTGTGCAACCGGAATCTGTGTTTATCTATTTTCCGAGCCGTTTCTGTTGGCTTGAAACTGCAAGGGCGCGTCTGCCAACCGCAAAGCTCTCACGATAAGGTTACCCAATTTGGATTACACGTGATTTGAATAGGCATGAAAGGAGGCTGAGCGTCCCGTATACCGAAAGAGGAATTCGGGACTTTTTTTCGGGTCAAATTATATGCCGACCTCGTACACTAAGCTTTGTTGGGTGGTCATTGCGGCGGGCCCCCTTTTCATTGTATGACCTTTCGACAATTGCCTTGCTTGATGGCAGATTATTCAGTACAAATTGTGATGTACAGTAGAAATCGTTCACCTCCAGCACACAGCATATGATAGAACTCGGGTTGGATACATTTAGTTCATATGGGTTGACTCTGATCATGGGGCCATACTGTTCATGGAGCTGCCTTATCTTCCAGATGTGCTCGTCGCCGCAAAAGATATCGTGTTATGTTTCGTACCTAATCTTTTGTGAGCGACATCTTCATCCAATGATGGATTGATTGAGGCGTGATGTTCTTACCAGTACATAAGAGCTGCAAGTTTGGTCCAGGAAATCTAGCAATAGGACTGAAGTAAAGTCGCCATATTCCTGAGAGAATGGTGTATACCAAGCCCGAAAGTGTAAATGAAGTCGAAGTTGTCAAGCAACTCTACAGGGAAACGAAGAAAGACTGTCATTCTTTTTCCAAGAAAATTATGTTTAGTATGCCCGCAAGAGGCCGTGAGGAGATGCATCTCTGAAGTATACTAGGTATGTGCGCTAATAAAGTGGGATATCCCGTGATAGCTCTAGGCTAGTGGCGGAGTTTCAACCCCTCAGGTGAAATCATACCAAACAAGCTATAAGGCTGATACAAAACCATCAGCATATAGGTGAAAGGTACACAGAACTATTGGTGAGGCCGAGAAGAACTTACCTTTCGAGTATTGGCTTTTGACCAATAGCAACTCGTTGATTTTTAACTTTGCTTTGACAAACGTCAGAAGAAGCTTAAATACATCCGAAGAATCCGCCGACGTCTGCAGTGAGAGCTCGTCCCAGGGCTGACGAAATCAGCAGAGCCCGTATAAAAGGGGAGCGGTCTGCAAAACGACAGACAAACTCGAGACGAAAGTTGTAATTTTAGTATGTAAAGGTTCAACACACGTAGTCGCCGTGCTGGATGCCTAGACGGGCCGGTGATCTACGATGGACCAAACTAAAGCGATATCGTGTCAAAGGAACCTCATAAAGGGGGATTTTTTCTTGGAAGGATTTCGAAGCCAACTCCCTGGGAGCATCCGAAGAAAGTCGGAAAACTGAGCTCTAGGGTCGCAAACGGAAGACAGGAGCGCATGCTGCCCAGATCAGGTACACTGAAACCCATCTCGAGCATTTCCCTATGTTCTCAATTCATAAGCAAGTCAGTTCCTTGAGTATGTGATATTTCTTTCAGAGGTTAAGGATGAAATCTTCGTCTGGAGTATTTTCATTGGCTTCACAAGCTAAATCACACTAGTCTGGTTTAGTGTTAGCTCATCTCTGCCTTCATGTTGCTCCTCGACAAGCAGTTGCCTCAATATCAACTTAAATCCACTTCTACTGTTAATATGAATGGCACGATTTTGCATAGTATCTGCAGTATTTGTCATTTACGACTCTTGGCTTTTGTTTGCACGATATGTTCTGTTTCTGTTTGTCGCAAGTGTGGCACACCTGCATGTGGCGTACAATCTAAACTTCATTGATCCAGACGAAACCGGGCGTTGAAAACCCTCGGTGAGAGCTGATCACATCATCTCATACGCGTCGCTCAGCATGACTGGCTAATGTTGGGAAAAGACCTGACCAAAGCCAAGTCTCACACTTTACATGCCCTGAATCTTTTATCCAGTGCTGAAGGATTTCCGTGTCGTGTGAAGAGAGCTGCGGGGTCGTCTCATGCACAGTCCTGAAAATTGGCCGTACCCCGGCTTTCGGGCTTCACGTCGATTAAAAGCAAGCACATCTTGAGCACAGCCCAGAGGGGAAAGGACCAAATGCTTCTACATGTGACTTTGACCGCGCTGGAGTGGGTACAGGATTGAGGCGCAGGTTGAGGCTATGCTGAGTCTTAGAGTCTGTCTTCAGCAGATATGTTAACCATGAGCCCAGCTCGGGATCTTAAACAATCATTCATCTTGAATGCAGATTTATTGCTCGCTGCGGAAAGCATTGAATCTCAAGTGCAAGCTCAGTAGCAGTCAAACAACACGTCCAAGATGGCGCCGCGGCGGTTATCCTCCCACCATCGTGGCCGGCATACCTCACACGCTGCTTTTATGCCCCCCTTTGCATAGTCCGTGTCCTTATCGAGCTTGACGACAAGCAATGGCTGTCGACCACCCACTCCTTGAACATCCGCGAAGAGGTTCCAAGTCAGCAGCTATCACCAGATCTTCCATTCCGTCTTGACGCAGCGTCCAGATTGCTCGCCAATCAACCTCCCTGTTAACATCTGTCAACCTTGGAGAATGCCTAGTCCCGATAATGCCCTTTCGGCTGATTGACGAACCAGCGACAACAAACCGCGAGGCAAACGAGGCAAATGTCCTAAGACGTTCTTGCTAGGGTTCTATCACGAGAAACAGTTGATATCCATACGTTGGGCATGATAGATTGCTGGGAAACAGTGTACAACCCCACGACCGATTACGCAGGTAGCTGCAGCGAGGTGAGATGGATGTGATGTTAGGGAGTGGCTTGAGGAATGGATACCTTTGATTGGAGAGGAGCTCAAGTTCGCACGCAATTGCGAACCTTTGCGAAGATGGCGTATGCAGATATCTTTATGAGATGGTGGCATCGCCAGAGTGCTTTTGCAAGCAGGACTGAGTTTACTTTGACAGCTGGAAACTGTTGATTATCCTATTCCGTTCAAAACATGAAAACTCAAGGACACAAATCTATAGGAAGGGCAATCAGTCTTGATCGCTTCTCTGCTAGTTTGGTGAGGAGAAAAAGGTCAACTGCAGACATGTCGTCCATGCAAGCGGGCCATACCGAAGGAGGTCTGCGAGATAATCCTAGGTATGCTACTCCCACATTCTGGAGTTAGGACGTAGTTAACATGTCTGCTTAGCATTCGTACCACCACTCATAGAACGTCCCATACGGAATTTCTCAATTGGGTTACCTACAGTAGAGATCTTTCTCCCGACACCACCGACGACCAACGCCGAACCTGTCCTGTCTGCGAGAAGGCTTTTAGAGATCGCCGCAGTATGCTTCAACATATTCCAACCTGTTCCAAGCTGGTGAATGGATTCTACAGGTGCATTTATTGCAATGAAAGGGAAAAGATTGGACGTTATCATATGAATGGATGCATCGAAGTACATGTCTACCAAAATTGGTTGAAACGTATACTATCATTCAGAAGTTCAAAGATCCTGGTCGATGCTTCGGAATCGAATACATTGGAAGCCGTGGAAACGGAGGTGACTCGAGCACCCTGGGAACGAGTTGAACTTCCATCTGAGAGTTTGATTGAGCTGGATTCAACAAGGTGTGTGCTCGAATTGGACTCGACTGAAGCGCGTTCTTCAACGGCAGAACTGGACGGTGACGGCCCTACTTTCGGATCCGATTACCGATTAGATGCATGGGGTCCTGTTCATGATATGCCCCCTTGGCAAGGAGACTTCACTCCAGAGTACGCACTCAATATCTATGGTGGATGGGGTCCTATCCACGAAATGCCCTCTTGGCAACCACAGGAACTTGCTGGTGACGGCTACGACATGTCTGACGTTCAACAAAACTCATCAGACTTGCATGAAAATTGCCGGGCTGGTTGCGATCCCGCGTCCCCGTCATCTGGTGGCGTGAATCAAACAAGACCGGATTATGACCACCCAATTATCGTCAATGAAAGCGTTATCGAGCATTCGAATGAAGCTATTTCCGCGCGATCTGAAGTTCTCAAACCATCATTGAAACTAGATACGAGTAATTTTGCCAGACAGTCACAATACCATCCTCAGGAGGAGAGCTACTTGCCGTTTTGCGTTGATGGTACTGTCCAGCATGCGGAAGAAAATTTCCATTCTGATCCAAGAGTTCAGTCCGAGAGTAGCATATCGTACACTGAGTTTCCCTCACCACCCACTTCACCAATTCAACAACATGAACATGATACTCCTGTATCTCCCATTGAGTATAGCCCGAGGTCATCTTCGGCATCAAGCTGTTCTCGATTCTCTTCGCTATCATCCTTGTTGATGGACGATAGTTCCGTCTCTAGCTTTTCTTCTAGTGATGTGATCTTCAAGCACGACAGTTCTGATATACGGGTCTTTGAGGACAGAGAGATGTGTTTCGAGCCGGAAGATATGGACTCTTTTGCAACACCTCCCGATGGACAGCTGTCAACCTCGTATGATCATGGAGAGACCATGTATTCCGAAACAGAGACGTCGACTTCAATGTTGTTGCCCCTGCTATCGGCGGCTCAAGATACTACAGTTTATGGCTTTGATCTCGATTCCACTCACATGAGCGTTCAAGCAGATACCACGACAATTGAGTGCTTCAATACATCATTCGATAGCATCGAGCTTGATCGAATCATGAACGAACTTACAGAAACTTCCGCAAGACTGTCTCCAGACATACCGGAAACGGAACTGGCTAGAACAAATATGTTCGATGTTGGGATTTTCGATACAATATTTCCCCAGGATACCATACTGACTGACTCCGTATCGTCATCGGAGTCTTCTCCTGCTACTGACAATCGACAATCATCTACACCGCCATCCATCGAGTCGTTGTCACCAGAGGATGATCATGGGCAATCTCCTAGGTCTGAAGGTCGCCGTTCCCTCACTAGATCTCCGGCCTTTCGAGCAGTATACAAATGCACTTACGGAGCTTGTTCATTTGAACCTACAGGCAAAAAGGCATACCACAAAAGGACACTTCAGCGGCATCAAGAGAAATGCTTCTACTCTCCTCTGCCACGGGAGAAGAAACCATGCAAATGTACTTTCCCTGGGTGTAACAAGGGATTCAGCCGCTCGGATGGCTTGAATGCGCATCGCAAGACGACAGGTCACGGCGTCAAAATCGAGTTGCAAGTCATGGAAGGCAATGATGACACGCGGGAGGCAATAGGATTCCTCTAAGATTGTTGGGAATGCGGCTTGCGGCTAGACGGCGCAAGTGTTGAGAGTCTTGATGACTCGCGAATCTTTCTGGCAGGCCAATGAACTGGTGCTCGCAACTCGCGGTGGACCGCAGTCGCTGGAGCATCAGGACCATTCGTGGTCGAGCACTGAAGAATGCTGGGACTTTCTGTTTCGCTCTTAGTATTTTTGTTTTTTCCTCTCTTTTTCATCGCAGTGCGACTAATAATATTGTTCGTAATGTCTACACACAGTCAGAACTCTAATTCACACCTTCAAATACGACTCTTCGCATTCTCGTTTTTATCCCTTCTAATCAGCAAGTATGAAACAAGAATCCTTTGACCGATCAAAGCAAGCACAGATACCCAACGTGCCAGGCAGCAGTCCACAAACCTATTTTTGGGACTGGCCTCTCCAGCAGCCATTTCGGGACTTGAGGCTCAACTAAATACTGCTGCTTTAAACGGCATCGAAAGATTCGGTTACTATTCTTAGCTTCTTGGAAGCCCAGTGGCCGCCCTACTCGGACTCTGCCGATTGGCTTATGCATCTGAGTGGGGTCATATTTTCGGGACTCACTCAAGATTTTTGTCTTGGGCGGATGGTCCAGCGGCCCTACCCTTCAGGCGATCCGTGCTCGGGACTTGATCAAAGTCAAGTGAGATTCTATTGTGTTGTCGCATGTTGATTCGCCATAATTCGGGACTCGAGATTGTGTTTGCTGAAGCAGGTATGCTCGTTTAGATACCGGTACCAGTGACGATTGTCCTTGCTACTGTCATATAAGTACTTAGCACGCTTCTCTGTCGGTAGGTACTTGCATCTCGATCTGCCCATCCTAAATACTACTCGGTCTTGTCTACAAAATTCTTCTAGTCCTTAAATCCAAGTGGGCCAGAGCATCTCAAGTCCCCGCTTCGAACGTCTGGCTCCACCTTTCTCCTCACCCCAGACTTCAGCGTCCGCTTCAAGATGTCCGCTGCGCCACCTCCGCAACAATCACAGCCTTACCAGAACGGACATCACTACACACCACTTACGAAAGAGAACCTCAGGCAATTGCCTCATCCACCTTACTCGAATCAAGAGACCTATTCAAAGGTCGATCAGAATTTTGAGAAGGTACCGCTTGGGTTGGAGACGCGCAGAGTTGATGGAATCGCGACGCTTCGAGCTTGGGACCAACGTTGGGCTACGGCCGGGAGGGCTTAATGTGGTTGTTGAGAGGTGGAGAGGTGTTTGGGATGTCGATTATTTTGATCACAGGCTTAGAATGGAAGTAGATGTTTTATGGAAGGGGCGTATGTGGGTCATGGAAGAAGGAGATCAGAGAAATAATGATAATAACAACAATTTTGACATCATAACGTCCTTGCGAGGTGGTGCCACGAAACTCATTGCGTTGTGATGCGGACTTGAATTTTGGCAAGTGCTGCGGGAGCCTTCTCTAGTGGAGAAAGATCTTCCAAAGAAGAGACCCTACTCACAAGTGTCCTATGCTATGTAACATTCCCATCTAGTCTGCTATCTCTAGAAAATGGGGTTCTGTAGACGCGTCGGATATTGCAATTGAAGCTCTATTGATGCTGTGGTGCACAAGTCAGCTTTCTTCAATTAAGAATTCCGCTGTGGATCAACGGATTTTGTGTGAAGAATAGTTAAAGATTGAGATGCTGTCTCCATTCCCAAGCCCCAGCTGCGCTGTCAGACGTAGCTTAGAAGTCATCCAATTTCTTGCATCGGAGTGCACCATGTGACCGAGATAGGGCGAGAGCCTCAATTCCCCTCAATACATTCTTCGAGGGCTTATAAGTGATTATAACAGGGCCGCAATTCGCATGATATCTACAAGAGCGCATCCTAAATTATGGGATTTCCGTCCCTTAACCTAGCATCCCCTCCGTAATACCCTCAGCCTCGTCTCTACTACCGTATCCCATTCACCTTCACCAACCCAACTAAGCTAACTCGCACTAACCCTAAGCGAGGAAAGGGTCTATATAGAATTAAATAAGCAGATTTTGTGTTGGAGTCCGGTAAGACTTTAAAGTTCCTCGAGTCCCAAAAACGTATTAAATTACGTTAGCTCTCTGGCCCCCTTCGGTTGTGGGAAAACCCAACAGGTCGGCCGGAAAGAGTTTTGCTACTTAGGTCCTTGGTTCTTTTGTTTTCATCGATGATTGAAATTTTCTGGTTTTTATACCTTTTCTTTTGTGGGTTGCGCAAGTATGGTTTTTTGGCTACATACGTATGTTTTTGAATAAGCGAGGCGGGAAAGGTGGAAAGGTGAACGCATTGCCTCTCTTGCTTGACTGTATCTCCTATTCCAGTTTTATCTCTGTAATCTTCATGTAATCCTGTGCCTCGGTATTAAATCAATCGAAGATCTCATCCTTGACACCATGGTCAGCTCACAAGCTTCGGGCCATCCATTAACTTGAACAAAAAGTTTAATACTTCAACAGCTTTTCCATCACCTGCCGCCAGAGATAATTATATCGATGTAACCTCAAGCCTAAACCTGACTTTTCTCTCTGTTTCGAAGCTTTTTGTGCAACGTCACTCTTCTTCTATCAATTCGAGGGGAGAGCCTCGGCTGTTAAGCGAGGGCGAGGTCCAAATTCAGGCTGGCTATGATTTGACACAGTTGGACCAGCGCTTGGTTAGACGAGAATGAGTACAGAATTGGCTTTGTTTGATAGAGAGCAGCCTCCTTCGCCGATAGGACGTGCTTCCGAGATCTTGTTTCTTTGACCCCCCTTCTCGCTTAGGATTGAACGAGGACTGTTTGGCAGAAATTGATTATTGATTTTTCGCTTGCAATTCCATACAAGACTTGATTCTTGTCATGTTCTCTAATATCTTACTGCTCAGCAATTTCCCGACATATATGTGTGGTATGTGACTCGGCGTTGCTGTTGGCGCGAGCAGCGCAAGCAACGCAAACAGCGCTAATTGCGCGAATCACGTGGATCGCACTTGAAAGTTGAAGTCGAGTCTAACATACCTACCTGGTCCTCATGAACTTTCCCTGCAAAGTGAACATGAAATGGAGATTGACAACCGCCAGGATTTAATAAAAAGTTTGAGTATTGAAGATGAGATGAGTGGCAATGCTGCCCGAGTCCGGTTTACCTCAAGATGGGAAATGAAAATCTCTAGGCACTCAAAAGTATTCTAATCCTTGTTTAAGTTGAAACTTCGGCTCGGCGTCACATCTTCATTCAAGGTTGGAGCGAGCTTCTTACTATAGTATGAAAACATGATGCTGCGGAAGAAGTTCCTATTCATATATCGTTGCATAGGGAGTGCAAGTGCTCTCAGTGAGAAAAGCTTCACTGTTTCAAGATACAATACAATCTCAAGCTAGCAGGTTATCATGAGTGAGTCAATCGTGACACTCTCCTTGAGACAGTGTCCAAAAAAAGTGAAGCGCCTCGGAGAACGAAAAGGCCTCAGCACGCGATAGATTGTGGACAGCAAACATAAATACTTGACATGTGTGCTGGCAATTCCATCAAATCTCGAACAAGAGAAGATAGAATGACCAGATATAAATTTGTTTTTGGATAGGTTCTGGACTCTCTTATCCCCGAATTTTGTTTTGGTGTACTAATGATTTGTCATATTACTAGAAGTGCACAACATGAGATAAGCTGACAACAACAATGATAGTTGATAGCTTAGACCCTCTAAAGAAGCTTTCATTGGAAGATTCTTTTGTGGACAAGAGCAGTGCATCTCTTAGCAATAGAAACTGAGTTAGCAACAAAGGCAACCTCTGCACCTCACTTGCGCAGACTTTGCTGTCTTCCCCTGCCCTAAAATTTACTAATAATAAAGACTAAGAGCCCGTAACTCACTCCACAAGTAAGATTGGAGTTCGTCAGTGTTGTCACGATAATACAGTGTGATGTGAAGAAGACGACTTCTTTTATACCAAACGACGCATAATCTAGGCGCCTGAATTGCCGCCTGACTTTCAAAGCAGGAGAACTTCTGTTGAATTCTGGACGCCTGAATTGCCGCCTAATTCCAAAGCAAGAAAAGTTCTCTTGTTAGAACGCCTGAATTGTGGCCTAACTTTCAAAGCAAGAGAGGTTCTCTTGATTTTTGGGCGCCTGAATCGACGCCTAATTGTCAAAGCAGAGGACTTCACTTGAATTTACCCGCCTGAATGGTCACTTAATTATCAAAGCAAGAGAACTTCTCCTGGAATTTAGCGCCTGAATTGCCGCCTAACTTTCGAAGCAAAAGAAGTTTCTTGATTGCTAAGCGCCTGAATTGACGCCTAATTGTCAAAGCAGAGGAATTCTGCAAATTCTACCCGCCTGAATTGTCGCCTGATCTTCAAAGTGGCGTGAGGCCTCGGATATATATTACCCGCCAAGTTCAGGTCCGTAACTCTTCTCATCAAATCAACGAGACGGAGATGTCGACTGGTCATGGAAGGCACGAGCTATGTAACAAGATCAACCCGGCTTAGTAGAGGTATGTCTGTATGCTAGTACCCTCATGCTTTTGATTTCCAGTCAAATCTAGGGTTTGTTTAATTGTGTATCATATGTGGACAAGTTGTTGACATTCGTCCGGCAACGTGCCACATTGGCAACACTGATTTAATTGACGACAAAAATTCGCAAATAAATAATATCTCCAGATCTTGATTTCTTAACAATTTCATAACCTACCAATCCTAGGTCTACATATAGAAAGAGCCAACACAGTTTAGTAACCAACGCTCTGGGGGCCTCGAGCCCAACATCCCTAGCTGTTTTATACAATATTCCTTTGAAGGTTTGATCGTTGCAAAGAAAACTTGATGGAGTAAGGGAGCGATATTCTACAAGACTATTCTACTCCAGAGGCTGGTTATAGAGAAGAGTGAATTTCTGGATCAACAATTCACAGAAGTCTGCAAAAATAAGTGAGGTGTTAAGCGTGAATATATAAATCATATATCTCAAACTATGATTGTCAAGAATCAAAACCTGAATCTTGAAATGGCATGTGGAATTCTTGACTCACAAAAGTCGTATGAATGAATGAAGCGCCGTGCGTGAATATAAGCCGTGAATTTCAGATCCGACTTGCAAGTGAATCAAGTCATTTTTTTTTCAGCAGAGACATTGAAGTGTGTATATGTTCTAGTCCATACGTGAACACTTGCTGTTTATGAACTAACCCTCCACTATTCATGAATAGCGGGGTGTCTATATATAGTACTCCTTGTTTGTCAACTAGCCTTGCTATTCACAAATTTTTAGAGTTTTTTCAACTAGCCATAACTAAACAACGCCACTAATAAACAACTCGAGAATAAGGCCCTAGTCTCAGCACCTTCAACACTTCAGCACTCCAGTACTTCAGCACTTTAGCACCTCAGCACTTTAGCACCTCAGCACTCCAGCACCTCAGCACTCCAGCACCTCAGCACTCCAGCACCTCAGCACCTCAGCACCTCAGTATTCTAAGACTTTTGCACTAGATGAGGTGCAGGAAGTGCTGAGGTGCTGAGGTGCCAGAGGTGCCAGAAGTGCTAGAAGTGCTAGAAGTGCTAGAAGTGCTGAAATGTTAAAGTGCTAAAGTGCCGAAGTACTAAAGTGCTAGAGTGCTAAAATGCTGAAAATGCTGAGACTAGGGCTTTATTCCCGAGTTGTTTATTAATAGCGCTGTTTAACTATGGCTAATTAAAAAAGCTTTGAAAATTTATGAATGGCAAAGCTAGTTGATAAACAGGGGATGCCATACATAAACACCTCGCTATTCATAAATAGCACATGCCATTCGTGAATAGCGGGGGGGCCGTTTATAAACAGCAATTGTTAGCGTATAGACTAGAACATATATATACTCCTCCTTTCAAAAATACTAAACTTCAAATTCCACAGCTATGGCCCCACTTGCTCTCGTTAATTCCTAGGAAGTGACTTAGTGTATTAGAATGAAAGAGCGCTTTCATTGTAAAGACATCCAGTCTGGCTTTGTTCTTTGTGGCTTTGATATTGAGGCGATTACCTGAATTCCTATGAATAGTGAGAATTAATAAAGTATCGACAATGAAAATTTTGTTGACGATTCCTCTGATCATATAGCATACTATATAGAATTGTCGTGGCACAAAGAAACGTGAAATATTAATAAGCTCAAAGATACGGACTCCACACATCTGATCGGGTAGTGGTGACCGCTGCACTTCTGCAAAGCTTTTCTTTATGGCGGGAGTTTGTTTATATTATCATGCTCACAAAATCTGTGAACACTTACTATGCGTATTGGAAAGGTGAATGAACCACCTACTTCACGCACTGTTTTCATTTTTGACTCACCTCAAATCGAAACAACGCTAGTTCTTCTGATCGTGGATGTTGAATCATATACCTCATACGCGATTCTGACATTGTATCAAAGCCATGAATAACTGAGAGTGATTCTTTATCAGCCATCTCCATTATAATCGCTGTGAGGACAAGAAGTCGGTGAAGAGCCTGCTCGTGGATGGCCTTGCAAAAGTGCTCCGTTTCTCCTTTCTGCTTAACACATGGTGGGGGCCGCAGATAGGGTCCAAAGAATGAACTGCATTTCAGGTCGTCATAGATTTCGACAGCGTCCCTGATCCCTTGGGTCATTACCCGCTCGCCGGTCGGCTTGTAACCAAGAGTTGGGTTGCTTTTGCAATCAATGAACTTGTTCTTCTCCGACTGTGGTAGGCTGAAAGTGGAAGTAGCAAGAGAGAACTGTTGAGCTATATCATCTTGGCTTAGACCAAAATTGATGATATAGAAACAGCCAAGGTTGTGAATAGCGTGTTTCAGCTGCAAGGCGAGCTTGTTCTTCCCGCCAGATTTATCAAAAAGAGAGAAATCGAGTATCCTCATCTCCATCCAGTCCAAATCTGCAGTCGTCTCCGGAAGGCTCTGATACTCTCCACATTGAATAATGGGCTGGTCCTCTGCCTTCATTTGTCGTCGCTTTCGGCCGATGTGCAAAGATATTCTGGTAGTCAACTTTTCGTGAAAGTACAGATTTGTTTAGCAATGATCAGAGGGGAGATTCTTACAATCTCTCTTGAAGAATGACTCTACAATGACCGGAATGAGCCTGGAACTCACTTCGGAGCAAACGAGGCTGAGTCTCGGCTACACGCTGTTTGATGCTTTTGCGCCCCCTTTTTTTCATAACGAGACACTAGGTGAGGGGATCAGTGATCATCCAACGTAACACCATCCTCATTCAGACCCCATACCAGCTCAAATATTGCTTTCTTATCAATCCAATCAAATATTGATTCACCGGCCACAACGAGCGAATGGCATATGCACAAAGGTTTGAGGATGAGCTGTCACTCTCCCATGAGTCCAGCGTGGCATGACTTGCTTTTGAGGTCAAAGATAAGCTGGATGGTTAAAACTGAACAGTCTGAAATCAAGTCGTCAATAAGTCACAAACTGCGGAGTATCAATGTTGAAATATTCAAGGGCGCAGAATTGTAATTTTATTTCCTCACGCGGTCCTACAAAACAACTGATAAAGCTATCCATAACTCATCGCACACACGTAACTGAATGCACCCTCTGCAAACCAAGCTTACCCAACATGCGCATTCGCACGCTGGCCGAGAAGGCGAATATTAATTCCAAGAACAATAGGGCTGTCTGCCGTGTGGGTGACATCCATGAATGCCTTCCACGGCTGGGTACGCCTACCATCTTTCTCCGTGATAGTCAAAGTTAATGGATTGGCCTTGTCGGTCTGTCTTGTTGGACTGGTATGGCGGGTCCGAGGCATTGCGTTGAAGTGGTTGCCAGCGCTGTCATGGTGTTGTTGCAATAAGTCTTGATGGATTGCCATATCAGCACAGTTCTGAACTCAAATCATGTCTCGATATCGCAGTCACTGGATTAAAAAGCGTTAGACTTACAATTTTAATGCTTGGTCTTGGTTATCTTTCGAAATGTAAGATGGAGCAAAGTGGGGTTTACCTGAAATATACCTTTGCATATACGATATCGCCTAAGCAGACCTCGAATTGGGCAAATTTTTTGATAGCCGCACTTCATCTATTCACTTTAATAATCGTTCTTTCCCGCACCTATTTTTCTCCAATAGACTTGATGTCTGTGGCTTGTACGACCTCCTCTGGAAGTTCTTATTGCGTTTACTTATGGGTGTGGCAGCATATGAGGTTGGAGCACCTACATATTCAGCATACACCGCATATGCGAGAGCTCTTGTGACCTTCTCTCATGTCTTTGTCAGCGTGGGTGGATCCTCGTACATACTCAAGATGCAGCTTCTTCCTATTCTAGCGCAGATTATCAAAAGAAGAGAGGGGCTCTGGATGTTTCTTGCGAGCACGGCGTAGTGGAAGTTGTGCAGGCGGCTCATTTGCTTTTGGGACCGACAGACCAACGATTTATGTTGACTTCGACCTACAGCCATAGAGGTGAGATATATTGATACCACACGAGAACAATTTATGTCATTCGGCTACGAGAGATACTGTGGATGCCGGATTATATCTTCTTTGGAGCGAGCTACAGAGCTAATTACGTTTAAGTCTGAAATATAAAAAATATGCCGATCAGAGGAGAGATGTTCCCACATAGACAAATCTGATTTTGATCTGTTATGGGCAAGTTTGATGCGTCCGCTTGAATCTATAATTGCGACCACATCAAATAACGAACCTCAATGCTCTCTCGAAGTTTAGCTGACGAATCTTCCACCGGCAATTTTAACGAGCAAGGTGGTACGTTCGCTGTCAAAAATAAAGTTAATCAGTTTACGGGAAACTTGATCTGGCTTGGCTTACCAGTTAGGCTGTCCGGGTCAGCAGAGTCCAACACCACAATTGCAGTGACTTCGTCCATAGTCTGATTGCTCAACCAAAACCACTTTGAGCTTTATGTCTAAGATACATAGACTCTTCAATCCATGCTGTTTGAATCTCTTCTACCTCCTCCCAGTCCGAGGTTTGGACGGAACGTCGGTCACAGAAGGCGAGGGGTTGATTTTCAACAACTGGTTCCAAGGGACGCCATAAGCTAGACCGTTTGCCAGTAATGTCCCTTCGAACGAAGTATGGAAAAGGTTAAGAACCTACTTGATGACCCTCAGGCGATATCTAACTTCGACAATATCAGCTTTCTCCTCCTCGGTGAGGAGATAGGAAAGTGATTTCTTGATCCCGTTAGGGGATCCACCTGTTTATATGGTCCGCGAATCAGCCAAAGGAGAAGGAGAAGACACATTATTGATACCAGCGTGGACTTGATGAGCGACATCGATAGTAATTGTCCTAGCATCCAAATCTTCGGGCACCGTGTAGATCTTCGGGACCTTGTTGATTGGGCTGTTCCGTGATCGTCGGTCCTGCTGATTTAGTTTGAACCTGATGATACACTTATATTCGACGGATGTTGGCAATTACAATCAGGAAGGAATTTGTAATTACTCGCCAGTCATATGAAATAGCTTTTTCGGCATCAAACGACTTACATAGGAAATCTGCCATGAGATCCAGATAGCCTAGGATTGACTGACGTTGCTCGGGACTCGAATTGGCGGCATCGGATCCACTAATCTCGAACTGACGAGGAAATTTCTGAAACAAGAATTCGAAGCCTTGTTCTTCGATACTGAAAGTATCCAGCCCATCAGCTCGAGCGTCGATTATCGGTATGTTGTGGTACAATTCGAATTTGACGTTTGTCTTTGGCAAGCCAGCGGGTATCTTATCATCAAGCCAAACCTCATAATGGCGGACTGTTTTGTACAGTGGATCTTCTTTAAGAAAGTTCAATGAGACTTGGAGGTTGTTGGCAGAGGCTAAGTTGGTAATTTTTGGATATATTCCGAGCTGCGTTTGCAAAGGTGGTAGGCAGACATCTGGAAAGAGCCGATATTTTGTTTCGCCGGCATTCCTAATGAGTTTTCCTGCTTTGAAGGCTTCAACCCCAAGCCGCCCCAAGCACTTTTCTGTCATGCCCACCTGACAGCCAGTACAGCCGCATAGCCTGATAGGCCAAATATGGTGGGTCGATTTCATACATCTGGATTTGTTCAATCTTCTGACTGGTTGCTAACGACAGACCCTCGCAGGCAGTATACCAAATTGGGACAAATTGGGACGTAACAATGCAAAGACTGCTAGAAATTTGCTTTTCAAACATGTGTCATTGATTCTTGGTTATACCAGCATTACTCGTTAGTTGCTCAGCCATCCATTTGCTCCACGACCCTAGCCAATCAGGGGCCAATAGCGCCTGTGCGGCAGAGTGAAAATGAAGGCATTCAACCATATCGCAAGATTGTCCATTGTGTCAGACCAAAGCTTCAAAATGCCACCCCCGCGCCAGGAAAGACCGGGTTTCTTGAGACTGAAATCCTGCAGCCAATAGCCGTCATCAACATCACTCCAGCACAAAAACAATGATGCGCCCCGTTCCATCGCTGCCTTTGCCTTGTGATGGGATTGATAGCGTCGTTTGTGCCTAGCTACTCCTTTCACAGTGCACGCGAGGATGGTGTGCAACGCTAATCTTTGCTGCTACTGCCGGGAAGTATGTGGAAGTATTCGTGGTCACTAAAGTCAAATTTATGATGCCTATTATCACCCGAAGAACTCATGCCCGAGAAATGTTGTAGCTAAAACTACCTATCGAGCTCCCAGATGGTTCTCAAAATGCTTGAGATACTCCGACGACAACAAAGATGTCACCTAGTGAGGTTCTGACACTTAGGATCTGTCATCAGGACCAAAGCGATCTGGAGCCCAGGCTCTGAAGTGGTGCGTGAACCCAATCCTCGTGATCTCTTCCACCTCCTCGGGATTCAATTTCAGATCAACAGCTTTTATGTACTCCAGCATTCTCTCTTCCTTAGTGGTTGTTGTCACTGGCACAACCTTCTGCTCCATCTGCCACTTGATCTAGACCGCGTTTTCTGTTACTCCGTGAGCCTTGGCAATCCTAGCGAGAGGCCCGTCCAGAGGACCTGGTGAACCACTGCGGATTGGAGTCAAGCCGTTGAAACTTGCTACTTCAATGCCGTGCTCTCGCATCCAGGACAGATAACCATAGGCTCGCTGAAGGTATGGGTGAAATTCCAATTGGTTCAGCGCTGGCTTGATGGTGGCAACCTCCAAGATCGTCTCCAAATGGGGTCGTTGATGGTTGGATACGCCGATTGATTTGGCAAGCCCAGATTTTTTGACCTCCTCGATTGCTAGCCATGCATTCTGAAGATCGGAAGGCTTCTTCGCAACATAAGGGGAGTGCAAGAGGTACCTAGTAGGCGCATGGATTAGCGATCAGCTTTGACGAAGTTCGGGGATTTGCTTACAAGTCTACGTATCCGAGCTGGAGCTTGGCCAAGCTTGCCTTGATGGCTGCTGGGACGTCATATATGCCCTCCAAAACCTTTGTGGTGACAAAGAGTTCTTCGCGTGGAACACCAGACTCTTTGATGGCTACTCCAATCTCTTCTTCAGTGCCGTAGGCATCTGACCCGTCAATGTGACGAAATCCATGTTTGATGGCTGTCTTGAGGATCTCGACGAGATCGCGGTTGAAGGGTTCGTTCGGGTCCTCCTTATACCACGTTGTGCCTGTTCCAAAGCCGATCTACAAAAGCACGGGGTAGACTCGACCTCTTCAGAAGCTGGGCTATACTCACTGCCGGGATCGCATTACCGTCTCCCAGACGACGCGTTGGAAACGTCATTCTGGAGCTGAACAGCCTAATGCTGGAGTTGCTGTTCCAGACACTCGGCCACCTGATGGTGATGAGAGAACCAAGAACTATGAGGCACGTCAAGCTTACCGAGCACAGCAGCGATTGTAGGAGGCTGCGGGCCGGGCCAATCACCCTAGCGCCATACTAGGTTGGTCGCCGTCGGCATGTAAGGTAGCATGCAGTTATTTGAATGCAACTGACCGAAAGGAATCGGCAGAAGCAGTGTGGCCCACGAGCCTCACTATTCATGCTGATGGCACCATCCTCGTCCAACGCGGACCTCCAAAACCCTCCTACCGAGCTATCGACTCGTCACAAGTGGAGTCCAGGGCTTGCAGAGATTGAGTTTCTCAAGCTCTATACGGGTGACAACCGTATCCTCCAATACAAGAAAGAGGAAAGGCTCGAATAATTGCAGCACATCTATATCGCTCGAAAGCGCGCAGCGACCAATCGACGAGTTGTTGCAGTCGTTCGGAGAGCTTTTGCCAAAGAAGCGGACAGATGCGACGCACGCAAGTAAAGTCCACGTCTCCTTGAAATTTCAAGTATCCAACTTGAACATAGCAACGTTGAAGAAGCTTGCAAATATACACGTCATTTGGGTTGATACTGTGAGCGCTCACCTCGACTTTGACGCAACTACAGCCTCGCTGTGCATTTCTAAGGCTCCATCATACTACAAGCTGAATCCATCGGATGACACCTTTCTTTCAATGTCAGTATTTTTCTTGATTCGTCATATATCTTCTGACGTTCACTAGAATTACGAAAGACTTCTACACAGAAGAGGAGTGTCCAACCGAGGGACATTTCCCTCAAAATCCTATGAAGGAGATCATCCTATCTTACGCTCTGCTTTTTCATGATTGGAGGCTCGCCAGGAAAATTCAGCGTAGGGAAGAAAGGAACCGCGCATCGACAACGACCATGAGTGGGATAGCAAAAGTAGATCCATGGTTGGACAAGCTTTGTGGCATGGATCTTCCAAACTCGATATTTTCCTCTATGTGGTCCGAACATGGCATCAGGGAAACCTACGACGCAAATTCCCAATTTCTAATCCTGTCAGGTCGATTGAAAATTATACATGACTATGTTGAGGGCATACAGCCAAGTCGGTTTTCCAGTTTGTGTAACGATAAGCGCGACCTAAGGCTCTGGTACACTGTTTGGGCCGTTCTTATTGTTGGAGGCATTGGTCTCATTCTGTCTGCTGCCCAGGTTGCTATCGCGGCGAAGGCATATGATCTACAAATACAACAGTCACAACCAACAGCCACAGTAACAGCAACAAAAATTTTGATCCAACTGCTTTTCTGATTTAGATTTCATTGGCGTGGAGACTTCGTTTAGCATGCTAAGTGCAAATAAAACACAACGAACGTGACATTCTCATTCTAGATTATGAAATTCGTTTCAATTTGAATCCCCAGCAATAGACCAACTGAATACAAACAGCATACTTCTGCCTTTATCCACACACCATAAGCAAAGCGAAGAGGTTAAAGATGAGACTCGTGCCGACATATCGCGTTCCGACAACCGAGGAATTCACATGTTCGGAGGTATTTGAGCTCGTCGGACGACCGCTGGAGTCGCAACACTCCCCCTCAATTTGGCTTTATCGTTAACGATACAGCAAACCAACCAAACTATCATATTCCTGATCTTTCCAAGAACCTTGAGCGAAAAGGTTCGTCGCAAGAAGTTCTCTCTTGGTAGCATCAGCGGCATGTTTGAAGGCTTCGGCTTCTGCGGCCGTTCCCTGATGCTCCATCACTTGCGACATTCGCCATTTCACTCTCGCCGAGTCAGCTTGAGTTTCTTTCCCAGCTGAATTCTGTTGTGCAATGAGTAGTGCGTCCCTGAACAATCGTAGTGCTTCCATATCCTTTTCCTCTTGCTGATAGAGCATGCGTACAACGCCCTGCTGGAATTTGGCTGCTCCAACACTTGCATGGGTCGGTTTCCCAATAGACATTAGGTCTAATGCTCTTTGTTGATAAGTGAGTGCTTCATCGAGCCGGTTCTCAAGAGCGGCTATTTTTCCCAGAATATATGCAGACCTGTGTAACAACATCAGCATACATCTCCTACTTTTCTTGACCGTTGGCGGCTCATACTCGCCGTGGTAGTGACTGTCTTCTCCATGGATAAGGGTCTGCCAGTATTCCGCATCTTTCAGGTCATTCTTCGCTGCATCATAGTTGCCCAACACGAAGTAGCTTCGAGCCCTATTCCGAAGATAACGGTCTGGGTTGAACTTGAGCTTTTCATCATGCTCGTTGGGATTATTAGAGATTGCCTTTGTCTGATACTCGACTCCCTCAGCCGCTCTCCAGAGAGATGTCAGTTACACACCAACAGCACTGTAAGCATTAGCAAGTTCAACGCTGCCAGCCGCAGACTTCTCTTTGTGAATTCTCAGAGCATTTGAGTCATGATCTAAAGCTAGATGCCCGTGCCCTTGGCGATCATGAATTGTGCTAGCGGTGTCTACAAGCCATGCGTATACCAGCGAGTCTGTGTCGATACATTTCAGGAAAGCTGCCCCGATCAACTTCTCGCTGGCCATAAAAGAGCCGGTTTCTTGCAGATACCTAGATAGCGTGTTATTCATATGTCCTTACAGTTGTATATATAATCGATTAACTTGCCATGACGCGTTTGTAATCAGGTAGGTCAACGATTCAGATGGAACGATAAATTCTACGCTGCCAAGCTCTGTATATCGAGTTACCAATGCCTCCACGTGCTGTATCAAGCTAGAACAAATTTTCCAACGAGTATACAAGTGGCGTCCAGCGGTTCTCGAGAAGCTGTCTTGTAGAAGATCTTTCAACCCTTCGAAAGCTTCGCGACGATCTTCCAGGCTCATCCAATCAAAATACGCTTCCTGGATAAGTCGATGCATAGAAATGAGACGAGTTTCCCCGTTGACAGCGATGAGTGATAAGTCCACAAACTCGAGTTTGGCTTCGTCGATTCTATGAAACGTGAGTTGAGCAAGCACATACTAAGAAACAGGTTTACCTTAATTCCACATTCAGGAATGTATAGTCCTCTGGTATATCTTTCCCTTGGGTAAAAATTCCCTCCGGTATATCCGTAGGAGCCAGAAAACTGAAAAGCATCATAAATTTGGATGCTTCCGGACTTAAGTTGATGAAGGAAGTTTCCCAAACCGTCTCGATATCTTTATCATAATATGGATTCTTTGGGCCCCTCTTTGGCTCCTTGTTCATTGCCTGACGATTTCTGTTATAGAAAGCTAGGAATTGCTCCACGGTTGTTTTGCGAGCTTTGATCTGCTTCCCAATGATTTCTAGAGCAAGTGCCAGACCGCCAAGCCGATTAGAAAACCGCTTTGCCATGTCCAGATCCACACTTGTCGTGGCCCTTTGAGCGACCATTTTGAGAAGGAAATCGCTTCCTTCTAGTGTTGTAAACGTTGGGACTTCAATCACTTTATCGACAATACGACTAGCCCTGAATTCACTTCGACAAGTCACGATATACTGCCATGACCTGTAGTGGGCAATATAGGCAGTAAATTGGTAGTCTCTTCGACATTGTCAAATATCAAGAGCCATTTGGCGTCTAGAATGCATGTTAGTAGGAGTTTGTGAGGCAATTTGATGAGCTGACCTGTTCGTTGTAGATATTCAAGAACAAGATCACGATTTCGGTCCGGGGTATTCGAAGGCAGGACTCCCGGCAAGTTCAACCTCTGGGAAGCCTTGTTGAAAGCACCAGCAATTTCGGTCTCTTTCTCGCTTGGGATCCATAGAATGACAGGGAGTTGTACACTGTCCTGTCGAGAAGCAAACTCCAAAGCAATTTGAGATTTGCCAATCCCGCCAGTTCCCCAAAGAGCTACTGATCTGATTCGTGAGTTGTCGTCTCGGACTGTAAGTGCATCTTGAATGTCTCGAAGTATTGTTGTTCGTCCGTAGAAGTTTGGATTGTGGGCGAAAGGAAGAAAGTGGCATGGGAGGTTTAATTGAGGACGTTCTAGAGTAGTCTGCGTCGTAGCAAGAACTTCAAGTCTTCTTGCCAATTCTGCTTGTGTCTGGGTTAGTTGTTTGAGATTCTGTGCTTCTGCTATTTGCTTCAGGAAATGAGCCTTGTCAGCAATGTCTTCCAATATCGTCGTAGATTTGGTGCGAACGGTGGCCCAGGATACAACGACGGTAGGAGTTTCTATGTTGTTCTTGCGAAGATGTTTGATCGCACTTGCTGAGCAGGATAAAAGGTCAACCAAGATATCGAATAACGTTTTCAAGAACTCTGGGTTAAGCTCAATACTCTCATTATATATGTCAAATAAAGTCAGACTCTTGTGAATCCCTCCAAGCAGTTCAACGATCTCATTGAGCGTTTTTTCCGATTGTGCTGCCAGCTAATCTAGAGTCAAAGGATTGTAAACAGATATGGCGGATGGCATCCTACTTGTATGAGAAGACACATAGCTCCCCAGGTACACGCAGTAGAAATCGTGTTGGGGCCCATGGCTAGGAGAATAATCGTGACGAAGGTGCTGAGTGTTTGTAATTGTGGCACTATTCGGTTCCGCAGCCTTGGGACAGTGCTACCGCCACTGTACTGGCTTTCTAGGGTTCCAATGGCGGTGATAAGCTGATCTGGGCTCTGGAACATCACAATAGAGTCGTAGTCGTCATCACCCAGCACAGCGCGACAGTGTTGCATGGCATCATGCCAAACCTGCTCGCAAGCTATTTTACTGTCCGCAGACCGTTAGCAGGTGATCCAAGGCAAATGTCAGTGGCAACATACGTCCGGTCCATTAAACTGGATATCTGAGCACACTGGGATGTTGAGGTGAAGATGAATTGTTCAGGTGAATGGGCCAAATATGTCAATGAGACAAATTTTCAGAGTCAGAGTCAGAGTGTCCCAAAGTTTAGTCAGTCTAGTCAATCTTCGCAGTGAGCTTGCTGGGCCGAGAGTGATTTGCGCCTGAGTAGAGACGACAATGCTAGCTAACCGAATATTGGCCTCGATCGCGATATAGAACAAACAGTTTGTCAACATTTGACACCCGCAGGATACATTGGACTTGTGATTGTGGCCATTGGACCACCCACGTCCTCTCCTCAGAGGGAACCTCAAGGCTATTATACTAAACAGCCCATCTTCTGGACACTGGATGTCAGCGCAGCAAAGGATATTTCTTGACAAAGACAAATATAGATTGACAACAAAAAACATATACAAAATCAAGAAACTTGAAGACATGGCGGCACCCCACCTCACCTCGGGGCCCCTCAAATTGAGCCTCCTAACAAGACAGCCGTACCCAGACTCTGTTGCTGATAGCCTGGCCTTCGTTGTTTGTGATGGTTCTCGTACGAATTTTTGGTTTCTTATATACTCCAGAATCCCACCTGTTCAAGATATGACTCAAGCCCCATTTGATTTACAGTTTCAGCTAGCAGTGAATCCAAACCATCTGTCCTGCTCTTCAGGTACAGCGAGGCTGCTTGCCATGTGCCATAAATTATAAAGGCAAATAACAGAGGAAAAAGCTTTTGAACAAAAACCCATTGTCTTCACTATACAGGATCCGTGGCTCTGTCCCATCAGAGGCTCGCATATACAAGTCGGTATTCTCAACAACTTTTATCTGAATATTGAAGGCTGTTGTGGGGATTGCTTGATTAAGGCGCAAGAAAAATGTAAATGGAGGAGTACTGGACCAAACGTTGACAGTAGAAAACAAGTCCTTGACAATAACACTTATCCTTAAATTCAGAGAAACTAGATTACAAGGAGAGCACGCCCATTTACTTCAAGACTCAAACAACTGAGCCAGGCGCCAACACCAACACGGCCGGTCGAACAGCCATAAGGCTTCTTCAAGGTTGTTTGCAGAACTCCTCGGACGGAACTTCGGCTTCTTATATACCCGCCCCGACACCCTGCTAAGATTCTGCTTGCATTCAGTGAATGGAAATATGTGAGTGAATCAGTCATTTATCTTGATCATGAGGTGCTATGACGTTACTTTCAGATCCTTTAAAATTCTATTCATAGCTGCGTGGAACACAGTCCCGTCCGAGGCACAGAATTTGACCGATATTTTCAGGTTAGTATTTACAACAAATGATCAAGACATTGAGAGATTATGTTAGTGAGTTAAACATATGTCTTGCATTTAAGGAGCCAGAGATCTATCACAAAAACCTTACTTTTAAACCCCTTGAAACTCTGTCTATAGCTTTGTCCAATATTATCCCGTCCGAGATGCAGAACGGGACTTGTATTATCAAGTTGATATCTATGACGAACACCTAGGATATTGAGACAGGTAGCTATCATTCATCGCAAAATATAAAAACCAAAAGCAAATAAAGAAGAGTTGACAGCAAGCCTACACGTGACAATGATAAGCAACAAATATCTTACCCAAAGTTTCGAACACTTGACTCAAAAGTCGTCCAACTACTTACAGGCCTGACTACTTAGTGAGTAGTATTTTCCTTGATCACAACACCAGGATGACCCAAGTAGAACAACAAGCCTGGGCTCACATCAAAGTTGCTGAAACTCGTTGTGGAGACGGATAAGTCAATCAAGATCGGCAATCAAGTTTAGAATCGGCCGCCTCGTCCGCTCTTTTATACTTGACCAATGAGGGCAGAAGTCCTTTTTTCTATTTCAGGTCTCTGAAAGCATTATTCACTTTTTGCGGCTACTCTCTCCGCTTGCTTCTACTTGTGGCTGTTCACCTTTTTGAGCTTTATTCATTTTTGTGGATTCTGATCCGCTTGTAAACTTATTACTCAAGCTTAGGAAAAAAAGAATAAAAAACAGACTTTTTTTCTGCAATAATCTATGTCTTTAGCCTTATGCAATCTAATCTCTTCCGAGTCGCTGAACCTGGCCTATATATCTTGAATGAATAACGAGACGTTGAAAATTATTGCAAAAATAGAGAGCTAGTGCAGAAAGTAACAGAGAAACACTTGACAACAGAGAAGCACTTAACAATAGTTAGTAATAGCTATCCACTCCCGCCCAAAGTCTACGACCCAAAACACGGGACTTAATAGCGCTAGATTACCTGGCCTCCAAGTCCTTGAGTTGACACTGTTTGGGTAGAGGGTTAGGGATCGTTGAAAATTTGTTAGAGGTTTGTGAAACGGCCACACTGTCCGCCTTTATATACCTGGGCGGCAAAATCTTGCTGTTGCCTGCATGCCTTGTTGAGCTTCATTCACTTTCTTGCGGCCGCTCTATCTGCTTTTATATATTTAGGTGGAGTAAACGTAAAATCTCTCCGTTTCCCGCACGCCCGGTTGAGCTTTATTCACTTGGTTGCGGCCGCTTTGTCCGTCTTTATATATTTCAGTGAAGTAAAAGTAGAACTTTTTCTTTTTCCCGTACACTTCGTTGAGTTTCATTCACTTTATAGCGGCCACTTTATCCGCGTGCTTATACTTGTAGTTCTTCGCCTCCTTTTTTTTGAACTTTATTTATTTTTCTGGACGCTAATCTAATTGCAATTTTATTACTATTCAATTTTAAAAAAAAGTAAGTGAAAAGAAGTTGACAACTAATATCACAAAATATAATCAATAATAGTTATCTACTCCCACTTATACCCCAGAGCCACAAACACTAGGTTCAATAGCGCCAGGTCACTTGGCGTCACTCGTACCTAGCGTCACTCCACAATTCGTGGTGGGAGTATTGGGTATATGTTTGGTTTGTAAAGCGGCCGCTCTGTCCACCTCTTTATATACTTATGAGTGAGAAGAGGAATCAAAGCAGAAGTCCGCGTTTTTGCCTTAAAGCTATATTCACTCAATCCGTGGCAGCTTCGTCCGCATCCCCATACTATTTTGGGCTTGATCCACCTGCAGATTGTTGGCTTCACTAAAGGGCTTGCAAACTTATTACTACTCAATGCTAGAAAGGGACGGATAAACATCCGACTTTATTCTCTTAATAAAGTTTGTCTACGACTTCATCCAATATACCAGCAATTCCACCCAAAGCAATCGAACAATTCTAAGCAGTTACGTGATTCTAACTTACATAATCATTAAGACGATCCTACGAAGAAACCAAGAACTTACACAAAAGTAACCCAAAGGAATTCGACAGCAGAAAAACACTTGAGAACAAACAAGGCGATAGTTAACCACAACCATCCACTTCCGCGTCCGCTTCGAAAGTTAGGACACTCTTGACCTGTCCTAAGTTTTGTTTGAAAGCGGCCGCCTTTCCGCCTTTTTATACTTGTGGGTTGGGAGGGATGAGGGAAGAAATCTTTCTCTCACGCTCAATTAAACTGAATTCACTCACAACGGCTGCCTTATTTGCTTTTTAAAGCGTAAGTAAGATAAAAAGTTGAGCTTTATTCACTTGCAGCAGCCACCTCGTACTTTGGTGAATGTTGAGCGCTGAAATTACTTACAGATTATGATTTTGCTGAGAAAAAAATAATGAAACATAATCTTTAATGTCCTTAGACATAACCCGATTGCTGGTCCCCAAAAGTAAGTTTATTTAATATCTGGATTCAATTTTCTTAATGTCTTTCCCTACATCTTAACTTCTCGTCTCCAGAAGTAAATTATTCTATATCTCAAGTAATTGCCTTGTCAATGTTTCTCTTCATATCCCGACTTCTCATCTTTAAAAATAAGTTGTTCTGTATATGTCAAGATTTTACTTTGTTAATGTCCTTCCTTATCTCCCGACTTCTCGTCCCTAAAAATGATTTATTCTGTATATTAGGATTTTGCCTTGTCAATATCCCTACTCATCTCCCGACTTCTCCTTTTTAAAAATAAGTATTCTATATGTTAGGACTTTACTTTGCTAATGTCTTTACTTATATCTCGACTTTTCGTCTCCCAAAGTCTGTCCAGCGCTTTACTTCTTTGTCGATTCATCCCATGTATAAACCCCTGAATCAAATATTGGATGTAAAGATAAATCGACAACAAAGCTACATTTAACAACAACCAACACAATAATTAACAGCAACAACCCTTCTTTCCCCTCTCCCCAAAAACTGAAAACATCAAACTTGACCCCAATCAACTACTAGGTAAGTCGTTCAATAGCCCAGCCTCACAAGCATCACAGGCACAAGAACAACGCCAGGCTCGCTGGGAGAGAGATGTTGTCAAGATCACTATCCTCTGTGTAATTGTGTTTGGTTTTGGAGCGGCCGCCATCTCCGCCTTTATACTTGCAGGTCCAGAGGCAGAAAGTTTTCTGTTCCACGCTTCTGGAGTGAATCCTTTGCAGAGCTGTATTGGGAGTCACGAAAATGAAATAAGGCAGGAGTACGGGGTGAATTTGAGGGGTTAGGTTTGGAGGGGTGATGTTGTGGGTATATATACTGGTCTTGTCAGCATAATGTGACGTGGTAGGATTCTGATCTTTTCAAAAGCAACAAAACATGGTGTGTGTGTGTGTGTGTGTTTGAGAGTACCAATCGCCTTGAGATCTAGCATGGCGTAGGGCTACTCTGATTTGTGGCGAAAGAAAAGAAGGTTGTTGACAGTGAAAAGAAGAAAATGACAACAAAACCAACGAAAGTCAGTGAAAAGAAGACCAGAGGAGCAAAGGAGAACTCCGAACAATACGTCCCAAAGACCACAGAACAACGTGACGTCCAGGCCAAGAAAACATCGTCCCCGGTAACCTTGCCGTGGCGACGAATGACTGATCTGCAGAGTTTTTGGAACAGGAGTCAAGAAATATATATACCCCGCTCCGAGCTAAGTAATCTTTTTAAAACTGGCAATGTAGACTTCACTGTGAAGAAGGATAGCCAAGCTTCTTGACTGCTTAGTTCAGAATGGTCCACATTCACTAGGGCGTGTTGAGCAAGTGAAGTTTCGGCGAAGATGAATATCCAAGATGGGACCCGTGTTTGAGCTCCTACCAAGTAATTGAAGCACGGCGTCCACACAAACGAAAGAGCTGTGAGAACGAGGAGGGTATATTGGAATATTGTTTGGGAATACGCATACAATACGTGAATTAAAATCATGTGCTGCATCTGCTGAACTGTTTGCTGGGAACTGATATAAGTCCGCAGGCCGGAGAACTGGACATGGAATACCCGAATACGAACACTATGTCTGAGGGCTGAATCCATGTATCCAGATGAAGATGTAGATCTTTCAGTCTCGAGATCGCTGATCGAACGATTTTGCGGACACTACCTCGAAAACGCATGTAGCTCAATTGATGATATCCATACGGGTAGCAACATTACCGTCTCATCCGGATTACATGTGTGCAGCCCATAGGCCTTGAAAACATCTCCAGATACGAGATTACGGGTACAAATCTCACTCGCTTGTGACTTCAAGAAACAAGAGTACAGTGATTACTACCTGTGAAAGAAGGAAAGAAAAAATATACAACGATAAGGTACGAACCAGCCTCGCGCAGAAAATAGAGCTGCCTGGAAAGCCTTGGCTTTGGGCGGCGGAAACTTGCAGTAGAGAGCTGACTGAACCTGGTACTTGTCATACCTGTGGTTTGAGACCCCATTCAACGGCAAGGAAGCCGTTGAGGTAACGATGTACCGATATGTACTGGTCCGATGTATGTGGCCGCGAGTGTGAAGCGTGTATGGACCATGTCTCAAGAGGTCTAGAAGCCACTTACGATTGGATAATCTGACCTGATTTTGAGGAATCATACCACTATTTTTTAAATTTCGACGCCCAAATCCGGGGAACGTCGAGAATTGGTTTCGTGGTACCGTGAAAATACAGAGGTACTTCGTGATCGGAAAGTTCTCAAGAAGAGGGAGAAATTCTTCCAGGATCAATTGTTTTCATGCGGGTCCGTCGATGGGCAACAATAATAAATGTTTCTTTCCCAGGAGACGAGGCCCAGCCTCGTGCCACTGTATTGGGTAAATCCACATCAGACTCGGTAGTGTGACCTTGCATGGGATCATTTCGGCTTTGCGTATGGGTGGACTGCTGTGCGTCGGTGGGTTTCAGGGGTCCTGGGGTTTTGCGAAAGGGAAGGAAAAAAATATCTCGAGATTCCCAGGGCCAGGGTCCAGATTTTCCTCGGAGGCAGAGCAGAAGCAAAGAAAACATGGGGCATGGCATATCTGGTACCGAGACCGAGTACTATTTAGCCAGATGAATGATGTACCACGAGATATGAAAAGGGAGGTATCATGGTATCTCTGAGGTCTGTGCCAGTGCTGGGAGAGGATGTTTGTCCCATCCAATGATGGAGATTGTTGCTTACCGCTGTTTTGCATCGCGGTTTTGGCCGTCTGCTAAGCCTCGATGGAGATGCGGTTGTTGCGCTCCCTGATTGACTGCCCCGTTTGTTCTTCGCCGACTATTGTGCGCAGATGGAGATGCAGATGTAGTCCACAGTTGATTGATTATGCAGGCAGATACAGATAGAGAGATGGACGATTGAAGCATTGCGATGCGCAAAGTCGCTGGTTGGTGATTGGGGGGGGGATATTCTGCCTTGGAGCACGAGGGCGGTGATGGTAAATGGAATGACATCTTTTCCGAGCTTGATCCCTTCTCGCGATCGGTTATTCGATGCATCCTTATGCACCTTTGTGCCACCTTATGCAAGCCTAGTGCACGATGCACCACGACCTTGTTCTGCTAGCCATGTCGCCGTTTTGCTAGCTGCACCAGACGTGAGCTGACTGCTGCCAGAGATGCGAAAAAGGATCCACTCGATACTTTTTTTCTTTTCAGGAGGTGAGCGATGCCGTGGTGAGGGTGAAGGGTGAGGTCGCAAGCAAACACTCATCCATCTGCACGGAAGCTGCGGAGCATCAAGGCCGTGTGTCCTTCTCTTGACGGCGGAAGATCTCGAGGGGTTCACCCGATGCAGTTGTGGTCGTGCTTTATGACGACGGACGGATGTCAAGAAGCTGATCCTGTCTCGAAGCCGGGGTGTTTGTTTGCGGTGGCCTATCAAAGTGAAATGTAACGAGTCAGAGATGCGGAGGCTCAACTCGGCGTCTGAGCGTGAGATCTCGAATCTGGTGCGAACAGCTGAGAGGGGTGGAAAGACTGCTGTGGACGGGCATTGATGCGCATCGGCGAGAGATGATGAAGGTTTTTGATAGGGTTCAGAACATTACTCGCGTCTGCAAATGTCCAAATCGAGATCTGGAAGAGAGATGTGCAGGGCGATGAGCCTCGAAAGCTACCGGTCGCCAGAAAAGATACGGGTTCTACCAACCAGCATGGCGATTCATGGTATGGTCGGTAGTGATGGCGGCGGCGGGGAGCCCAACTGGAAGCTGTTTTAGAGGCGCACTTTACGGTTTCTGAGAGACGCCATTGGAAAAAATGCGACCAGCAATTTTTCCCAAGACAGGGTTTATTGCACATGGCCCAGCAATACTAGAGCACATCCAGCCAAGCTTCACGACCATGTGGACCGAGTTGGGTTCCGGGAGAAAGTGTTCATAGCCCGGGACCGGTCCCAATTCTCGAAAGGGATGATGTCGAGGCTGACGTTATGGAAATTCACAAGAACTGTACCAAGTTCTTGTGCTCAGAGAGACAAACAAACAAGAGGGCGTAGGAGAAATAGGGGTAACGGACTCACATGCCGACAGCAAGACCGTTTGATGCAAGACAGATCCAGAAGGAACTTCCTTTTGGAAAGTCGTTTTTCTGGGGAGCATCCCGAGGTACCTTCCGACAATGTTTCATGGCTTTTTTTGACACTCGCCTCAGGCACGAGGTCCCTGGTACTTGCGACCCGTCTGTACTTGTACCACGATACGATGAACTATACTGTCGACCAAACATACTAATGCAAATATAATCCACCCAAGAACATAACAGCAAGTCAAGAAACTTCTTCTGGAACGTTGAACCTTTGAACCTTTGACCCTGAACCTTCAGAATCCATGAATGGATCAGGCCAAGAACGAGGAGGGAGAACTACTCGTCACTTTTGTCGTCACATCAACGTCCAAAATAGGCTTTTTGAGGTCTCTTACTCGGCCGCCCTTGCTTGCTCACCAATCACGTTGCATTACCAGAGTCAAACTATGGCTACTCGCGATAAAGCTCTCGACTGTATTTCATGCTTGATCCTCGAGGTACCATGCAGTTGTGCGCATCCCAGAGTTCTTTTTTGGCGATTGAGTTCCAACAGCTGAGGGCATGCTTCACTTGTTTGCTTCCTATCCCCTAATATACAGGAATAGCTGCACAAAAAAACAAAGCAATAGCTGAATGAGTGCAGCACTCTAGATGTCTCCATATCAATCCATCCATCCACATTCACATTCGCATTCAAGCCTCGCTCCGACGTCCCAATTGCAGTGGAGGCAATTTTCATGACTTGACTTGGCCCCCCTGAGCAACCTAATTTAGGTCTGGGTTAGCAACAAAAGAACCCCTGTATGTGCCTCTGCCATCGCCATCCATCGCTTCAGAGCACTGACTACTGACTGATTGACGACTGGAGTGGCATTTCTCTTTCTCATCACTGGTCGTTTTTCCCGTTCTGTCGTCGTTCTGTCTGCTCTTCGCCCCTAAAATAATCGTCGTCGTTCCTTCCTTTCCAACACCCTTCCTACCCATTTGAAACGGAGGATCCTCTGCTCTGCTCTGCTCAGACCTCATCCGACTTTCCCTCCCGCCATCACTTACACTTACACTTACACTTACACTCCTCCAACATCGCCATCTCAACTCTCAAACTTCTATACGCAAACAACAAACTCTCTTCGCCTCGACCAAAACTCGTGTTGCCGCATCTGACCGCAAAACTCTCCTCGATATTCCCAGCTTCACCCTTATTCCTCCTCGTTATACGCCCCGTCGTGCAGGCAACGACTTCAGCCAGACGCCTTACTGCCGCAGATAAACTGCAAATCCCGTCCGTCATCGTCGTCCACACCCTGCGACATCACCATCGCACTGCAGTATTACATACCCAATTTACTGACCCTCCGCGAGTGATTCTCACCACGACCATCCCATCCCATCCCATCCATCCTCCCTCCTCCACAGCAGCAGCAGCGGCTTCCTGAAATAGCGGTGTTGTGTCAGTGCATTGCTGCACCTCCTTACCGCTTCCACCAAACGCATCTACCTGTTTGCAAAGTTCAGACCCAGATCCAGTCAGCGCTCTCGCGATTCAGTGGACCGCACCAGAAATCCTGCGCTGGAATCCTGGACCTCCCCAGCTCCCTGTATCACTACCACGCCATCCTGCATTCACATTCCGAAGCACCTCCCTGTCGCCCAATAGCAGCCACCTGCAGCCATATTCCCCCGTCGCTTCGAGAGATCAACGTGCAGGAACACAGCAATTCGACCCTTTCTCTAACCCTTCTGTCGCAAACATAATCGCATCCCCGGGCCACACACGATCTATCGAGAATTCTCCTGTCGCGATCTCATCAACACTCATCCTTTCCTCCCATACTGCGAACCGCGCAAATGTCTTCCTCGACGATGCCCTACAATACTCGACGAAAGTCGCTCTCGTTGCCATCACTAGGCATCCATCTTCCCGTCACTCATGCTTCAAGAGCGGCCGCTCGACTCTCACCGCCTTCTGCCGGCCCAAATTCTGAGAACCCTCCTACGAAAAAAATAAAACGGTCGCATGGCGAGTCGCCGTCGATGTCGCCGCCGCCAAAACCAGCGCCGGTGAAGTACGAACATACCCCACCACCGTCGCCGGAAGCTGAGAGCGATGATCTGGAGGAAGATGCGAAGCCCAGGGAGATTGATTTAGAGGGAATTAACGACGATATCGTGGAAGCAGTTATAATACAGCTTCAAAAGACCGGGAACAGGCCACATCTGGTGAAGGAACTGGCTGCGATTTTGTCGCAAAGTGTGAAGATAGTCGAGCAGTAAGTAACTCACTCAGATCTTTGCTTCACTACTAACACTGAATAGATCTGCGAACCCCGCTGCGATCATTTCCTCCCGACTCTCTACATACTTAAAGCGACAATGGACAGCTCTGGCGCCTTGCCCAGTCGCAAAGGAATTAGAGACAGTACACCCTCGCAGAACCTATTTCTACTTGACGACATACGCACATCAACCTATTCCCGACCCTTCGACCTCCCACTTCGTATCAAGAGCTATTATTTCCCCCTCCATCTCGAGCGCGGCTTCAAGATCCGACGAAGCTGACGCAGAACGAAGAAGAGAGCTCTCACCATCTCCAGAGGTCGACCTCTCGTCACCCGAGTTCGACGACGAAGATATGGCGACCCCACCAACACCTACCGGATCGTTCTCCGGACGAAAAGGTCCGCTCCCGCGTAATCATCGAGCGTCATCACCACCACTTGAGAAAGACGAGAAGGAGTTTACACAAACGGCGAGAGGCATGCAGAAGCGAAAGTTGAGTGGGGACGTGGAAATGGGTGGCGTCCCATCCGAGATGGCCGATCATCCTACGAAAAATTTGGATAATGACTTGTTTGGCGAGGGACGAAATTTGAATGTCGCCAATGCAACAGTCTTTATCAGCAGCCCAGCGATGAAGCCGAGCCTGTCACTAAGCACGATGAAGCGACCCTTTGACGATTCGACGGACATGTGGGGTCGAATCGATGGTGCCATGGAATGGGACATGCGAAGTCCCGAACACGTCGAGCTAGAAGAACTCGATGGGATGTTTGATGATTTGTGATCGAGCGCAGATATGATTATTACGACTCTACTTCGCTGTATTTGCTTCTACATCTCGACTCCTTTTATTGCGCGCGCAACTATCCATCTATTTTACATCTTCGTCTTGCTGTCTTTTTATCTATCGTATGGAAGAGGGAGAGTTTCATGTAAGATCTAGATGGGGACAGACAGATAAAAGGAAGATTTCCAAAAAGTCAGCAGCAAGTTTCATCAAGAAGAAGGAAGAGCAAAAGTAGATGAGATGGATTTGCGATACCTGGGCGGGTTGATTTATTTTTGGCAAGTCGGTTTGACTTGCATTGTTAGGCGTTCAGGAGCGTGTCTTTGTGCTGTTGTTGCATTTGCCTTTTATTTATAGCTTGATTGAGATCTCTACTTGTACATGTATACACGAGGGCAGCGCTTGCTGTGTAGCGCTGCTGAATAAGAGGCGCAGTGCAGCATACAGACGGACAGACAGACAGAAACACGAAAATTTAAAATCTCCACCTAGATTACTATCCTCCTTTTCTTCCCTTGAATCCTGTTTCTTGATTGCCATGTCCTCTTTCCTGTTTTTCTTGAGGGGCGGAAGGGAATTTTCGGCAAGCATCGGGAGCTTTAGGGTAAGACATTTACTTACTTGGGCTTATGTCTCGGTCGCGTGTGTGTGCGTGAGACAGTTTAGCTGGAAGTGAGATGGCTCATCCCTTCCTCCCTCCCTCCCTTGCTTCCGGTATGTGTTCATTTATCCCTTTTTTGATTCAGTACTATGTCGTTTGTTTTGCTCCGGATGTTCCGCTGGTGCCTGCCGGCCGAGGTTGGTGGGAGGGAGATGGTGGGTATCTAGGTCCGATGTACGATGTGCGGTTTGCGGGATGCGATGAGGAGGTGGTTAGTGAAATGATGTTCTTGGAAGGGCGGGGGCTATGGTTGATAAGTAGAGAATGACGTGAAGTGGGTTGGTGGAAGGAGAGGGGAGAGGGGAAGGGGAGGGGAGAGGGAAGGAGAGGACGAGGCACGTGACTTGAAGAATTAGAAGGGGAAGGGGTATATAAATCGGAGGAAGAATCATCTTCGGAAGGAGGGATTGTTGGGGGTAAGTTGGTCTTTGAGGGGTATGTTGGGGGAGAGGGGATGGAGTTTGGGTGGTGGTATATAAGTAAGGAAGTTTTGGGTTGGAGGGATGAGGGGATGAGGGATCACTTGGGTTGGGATGTTTGTTTTGAGGTTAGGAGTTGTGTTGTTATTGTTTGTTGTGCTGTTGTTTAAATTATGGGTTTCGTCGTCGTTTCAAGTTTCTTGTTGTCAATTTTCCGAATTCACTAGCAATATCTTTTCTTTTGTTGCTAAGTAGATGGACAAGGAATTCATCACTAGATCATCTTTTATACTTTAGCACCTCTGAAGCGCTGCAGAAAAAGACCTATGGGCCGGGTGTATTTTGCTGCCCGGCTCCTTCCAATGTGACGATTCCAAACAACGGTTGTTGTTTTTTCTTGTTCCTGGAAGAGGAGGGTTTGTCTATTTATACCCCTCGATACTAGCTCGCACACACATCGAAGATAAAATGGTGAATATGCGATTCTTTTCGAAAAATAGTATTATAATTCTCTGGGTGTATTCGAGTGCTCCAAATACGGAATAGTTACAGGGCGCGTGATTCACTTGTCTAATTCGAATTTTTTAGGAACTATATATACGACCGTCCCTGACAGAAAACCTTTCTTTTTTTTTTTCAACTAAAGAGAAGCTACAAGCAAAGAAAGATTTCAGGGAGCCGGTGACCAAGATTGAGCCGGAGCCAACAGCAAGATTAGCGGTAACTTTCTGTACACCGAAATTTGAGCCTGCTGGGTTGCGGCTTTGAGTGTACTGAAAATCGTGGTTGCTGGTCCCGGCTTTTCTGATTTTACACACCGGATGCCGTGGGTTTGTGTTCGATTTTTGTTAACTAAAAGTGGGGGATTTGGTGTTGAAACTCTTAGTCACTGAAAGTCGGGTTTTAGGGGAGCGACTTTTACTCATAAAAGTCGTGGGTTTCTGTTCTGACTTTTTATCTATTGAATGTTGTAGTTCTTGGGGAGTGGCTTTGTTTACTGAAAGTCAGGTTGTTTGGATGGTGGGTTGTGAGGAGTATAAGTGAGTGCTCTTGGTGAATTATTTTATAGAGCTTATGATGCCTTACATTAGATGCCATCTATTCACTTTTGTTTCTTCGGGCAGAAACTAGCTCTCGGTGAATCTGACACAGCCCTGCTATGGAGACATTCGATTCTGCCTATTCATCTTTCGATGTCGAGGTATGGGCTAGCATCGTGGGGTATAAATAGACAGTCATCTCTCTGGGGGGATGCTTGGTAGTACAAGAAAAGAATGGTTCAGCCAACGAGGGGTTGTTGTGGAGCCGGGTCTGCTTTAGGGGAATAAATTTCTGGGTCCATATTTGCATGTGGCGGTGAGTTTGGATTTTGTTTGTTGTTAAGTTTTGTCTGTTGTTGTCAAGATTTTGGCCATTGTCAATTGTACCTTTGTTTCCGAATCTAAATTTGAGATTTGATTCTAAATAGAGCACACAAGGGACGCGTTAAAAGCTTAGAAATAAAGTGCAAACTCGGAATAGTGGGGATTTCAAATAATTAGTCTCCGGTGTATATAGGAACCAGATGATAACTTTCATGTAGCAAGGATTGGAAAAGGGAGCAATAAGAAAAGAGTCAGACAAGTTATTTGTGGACAGAAAGGGAAGAAACTTCCCAGGCAGCGTGGGGAAACCCTGGCTGATGCCATCGTAGTCTGGTGTGAGATCCATGGGATCTGAAGACCGAACCAGGAGCAATGGGGAGTTTTTGTAGACTTGTAGATAGGCTTGCTTGTGTATTTGACAGCCTCATTTGAGAAACGGAGTCACACGCAGCAAGTCTACATCTATTCACTCGATTCTGGTGAGTGGTTGCACCTAAGTGAATTCCTCCCAGACTGCTTTCTGGTCCGACATATCTCACACTGAACTATAAAAAGGACCCGCGGCAACTTCTTACTTCTCTATCTACTTTCTAAAGCAACTTCAAAGGGCGACAAGGTCCAGATCACGCTACCTGGCGAACACTAAACAGTCTCGAACCGGACCATGACACGGAAATCCTGCATCTAGATTTTTGCTCTTTTTTGTTCGAGTGACTTTTACTAATATCTAAGGTTATTTGATGGAAAGTGAACTCTATGCTGAGCTTGACAGCGAGCTTTGAGTTGACAACGCTCAAGTCATGCTCTGTGTTAGTTGCGAATCAAGAAAAAGTGCTAATAAATTCTTCTTCTTACGAAAGTTTGCTTGACTGAGGGTTTAGAAGTAACCTGGCAGTAGCCCAGAGAGTCTTCCTCTTACCAGCGAGTAGAAGGCTCCTAGATGACCATCGGCATAGTACAAAACCAAAACGTCCAAGTCCCCCTGACTTTATATATATTACAAAAAAAAAGGCGGTGAGGAGTAGACAGGCTCCTTTGCTTGCAAAACACTTCTCCATCGTTACTCTAAGTTCACCCGTTTCTTTCTCAGCCCTCGCAATTCACCCCACGCAACTCATCTCCTCCCCAAAAAACAATTATAAAAACTCCAAACCTTTTACGTCAAAACATCAACAGATCGCAGAAGCAACTTCGAATAGTATGAACGTGGATTTTGGAATCCGCACCAATAACATCCATCCGCAGAAACCTCACCCATCCGCAACGCCCTCACCTGTTCGCAACGCTTTTGCGCGGTGACCGTCATTATTGTCGTTGGTCGTGGCAAGATTGTTGACAGTAAAAAAAACTATTGACAATGAAACACAAGAAAACTATCTGCAAGTTCTTTCGAAACATTATTAAAAGATGACTACTGCGTCTAGGAAGCCCATGTGATGTTTTACATCCACTTCTGACTCAGTAACCCAGGGTTGAGTAAAAGATGGAAAAGGAAAAGAAAAGACGGCAAGGCGGTGAGAGCTATATATACCCCAATTCCTGACCTTCCACAATTCGTCTTACACCTGACGACTCACGCCTCATACCTCCAGCAATCTACCTCTCCTGCCAAGAAACAAGTATATAAACCTCCGATCCTCCGACCCTCCACATGGAGGACTAACTTCGGCTATCACGGTGATTTTATGATGGATGGATCTGGCTGCAGTGTGATCTGGGAACCCGCCGCAGTGATATTTATCCGCAATACTCTCACCTATCCGCAACGCTTCAGCGCAATGACCGTGATCATTGTCACTGGCTGTGGCGGGGTAGTTTATAGCAGTCTCGGAGATAACAACACTCCCTGTGATAAAGTTAAGGAAGGAGACTTCTTTGTATGAAGAATTTGTGTTAGGCTAAGGGATGTTTCAGCGAGCACTTTGTCGTTGTCAGGCTTTATCTATTGTTGTCAACATCTTTTTTCCTACACAACATTTCAACAAAAAGCCACACTGCAATGCAACAAGACATATACCTCCGAAAAATCCCCAAGTCACAATAGAACATGACGTGTCCCACCTGGCTCACTTCTTGAAGAGATGAGGGTAATGGTTCCAGCATTCGACGATGAAAGAAGTGGCGAGAACGAAGAGGTATTTATAGCTAAGAGATGGGTGTGGAAGTTGTAAGTGGTGTTGGAGTGGGATTGGGGTGAATGAAAGAGAAAGAGAACAATGCTGATAGAGAACGAAGAGAGGAAACAAAGAGCGAATGTCAAGATCTTCCACATGCAAAAGTGCAAGTGAATCGGGCAGGCTTTCATACTTTCTCTCAGAAACTCTCCTTTTATCAAAGTCTGACATTCGGACATTCTTTACCAGGCTGTTGGGCGGCTCAGAGAAGCAGGAACACGGTGCCATTTGTGAGAACTTATTATAAGTCTCACATTTAAAATTGTATGTATAGGAAATCTTCGGACGAAAGCGCCATCCTCTGATCCTACTTAAAAACGCCCGATTATCAGACATTGGAAAAAAGGTAGATATGATATTCTCAGCCAGAAACTGATATCGCTTTTGGAACAAAATGTGCCAACGAGTCACAGAGATCACAAGCGGCTAGGTCTTTTCTGATATGAAGGACTGATCGATGTGAAACATTCTCAGAATTTCAATGTCGGATCACTTTTTTAAGACTTAGCCAAAATCATGTCTGTAAATGTGATCAACTTGTCAGGAATTGTGGAAGCGACTCCGATAAAAGGGGAAGCGACATGGCACGTGGAAAGATGCAAATTCTGTTTCTCAATCATTCACAAGCAGCTCCATGATACCTAATCACTCACAATTTTCAATGCCTGATTATCTATTTTAGTAAGCATCAGAGAAGATAGTTGTGTTGATATCCACGGATTCGCTGATAGGGTCACGTGAAGTACATGTTCCAAATGGCATCATAAATGCATCCGGAAACCCGAGGAGTCGTGATTGAACTACATTGATCTATTCTTTTAACTCGCCCGACAAGTGTCTATGACATAATTTGTGCACCTTCTATTAGAGCACACGAACCCCGCGCGTTGTTGGCGTAACCATTACCCCACCTTGAACTCCGGCCTATACCCGAAGCTACTATTTTTCAACCTCAAGGTTCTCCATTTCCACAAACAATTCCATTTCAATATCCACAATATCTGAGATACTTCAGAATGTCTAGCAAGCTGCCTTTTGAAGTGAGTCTCTGCCAAAGATATTCGTATGCGGTGGAGAAGGAGCTAACTGAAGTAGATCAAAAACCCAGACTTGTTCAAGGACAAGTCGTATGTCAACGGAGAATGGGTTGAAGCCAAATCTGGAAAGAGATTTGACATCGTTGGTATGTTTACCGATCCTCATTACGAACAACGATCTGACCATTTTAATCTAGATCCCGGAAATGGAAAAGGTACCAAAAAAGGCCCCTGCTTATGGTTTCCATCAACTCACAATACTAATTCGTCGAAAAGTCTGGGCCACAGCACCAGATAATAACGCCGACGACGTTGATGCTGCCGTCAACGCAGCTCATACAGCCTTCCAAAGCTACAAGAAAGTCAACCCTCGTACCAGAGCTCAATGGCTACTGAAGTGGGATGCTCTCATCCGTGAGAACAGAGACGATATCGCCCACATCGTCACGTACGAGACCGGAAAGCCACTCGCCGAGTCCCAAGGCGAGCTTGATTATGCTTTGGGCTTCACGTGGTGGTTCGCTGGCGAAGCCGAGAGAATCACTGGCACTATCCAGACTCCGGCTGCTCCTGGAAGGAGAGTTTTCACTGTGAAGCAACCGATTGGAGTAGCTGCTGCTTTGGTCCCCTGGAATTTCCCCATTGCGTGAGTTCATGTTAGGGTTATTTTCATCAAAGAAGGACTAACGGCTCAGGATGATTCTGAGAAAAGCTGGAGCAGCACTGGCAGCTGGGTGCACGATGATCGTGAAACCTTCACCTGAAACCCCACTCTCGGTGCTGGCGTTGGCAAATCTTGCTACCCAAGCTGGGTTCCCGAAAGGAGTTTTTAGTGTCCTGACGACTAGTCTGGAAAATACCCCACCCTTGAGTGAAGCCCTTTGCCGACATCCACTTGTCAAGAAAGTTACTTTCACGGGTTCCGTAAGTCAGAAACTTCGAGCTGGTTTTGGGCGTGGCGGAACTAACGTGGGAGTAGACCAGGGTTGGAAAATTGGTTGCGAAATTGTGCTCAGATGGTTTGAAGAAGGTGACTCTTGAGCTTGGCGGAAATTGCCCATTCTTGATCTTTGATGATGCAGATCTTGAACAAGCTGCCAATCGTGAGAAATCAGAAGAACCGTGGAAGATTCAGACTGACATTCCCCAGAACTTATGCTCCTGAAGTGGCGACATGCCGGCCAAGCATGCATCACTGCCAATCGTGTTTATGTCCAGAGCGGCGTGTACGACAAGTTCGCAGCCCTCTTCAAGGAGAAAACTTCCAAGTTGATTGTTGGCCATGGTGCTGAAAAAGGGACAACGATGGGACCAGTCACTACACCACGAAGTCTCGATAAAGCCAGCAACCAAGTTGAAGATGCAAAGAAACATGGAGGCCAAGTTGTCTTGGGTGGTGGTAAGGTCAGTGGTAAGGGAGGATACTTCTTCGAACCAACTATCATTCTTGGTGCAAAGAAGGAGATGTTGATCACTGAGGAAGAGACATTCGCACCCGTCCTTGCTTTGTACTCCTTTGATACTGAGGAAGAGGCTGTTGAGGCTGCGAACAACACCAGTGTAAGTTTTATCTTTTCCAAATGTGCCAGGAGTTTACTTCAATAGATGGGTCTCGCTTCATACTTCTTCACCAAGAATGTTGACCGTGTCTGGAGACTTCTCGAGAACCTCGAGGCTGGAATGATAGGAATGAATACAGGTATATCCACCTGAAAAAATTTGAATGAGAAATGTACTGACATCTTCTCAGGCAACTCATCAGCTGCCGAATCGCCATTTGGAGGAATCAAGGAGTCAGGTTATGGAAAAGAATCAGGGAAGGATGTTGCGATCAATGAGTACTTGATCACGAAGACTGGTACCTTGACTCTGGATGGTCACTTCTAAGGCAACGACTTTTCAGCAACTCACTTTCTATACGATTACGATTTTCAAATGCTTCTCAGAGTAGCTCTATGCATGGGCTTATAGCGAATGAATTCAAGCATCGAAATGCGTGAAGATAGTCACGTGAGTACTCAACGATTGACTGCCCAGGTGAGGTCAACCGTGTCAACATGCCTCGGCATCTTATATTCAGCAACTGGCAATCGTCAATTCCCATGGGCTTGGAAGGCTAGTAACAAGCGAGCCAGCGGTTAACATTTTAATATTCCTCCGCCTTACGACGCTTTGCATCCTGGAGAGGTGATTGGGTCGCATTCCAACCGTTTGGAGTCCCGCCCCACACCCCAAGGTTCCACTTTTTAAAGCAGGCCAAAGCCTCGGCATGAACCAACATCAAACATACTTATAGCACTAGCTATACTTGGAGAAGGGAAGCTCTGCCGTCGACATAACTTGTTTAGTCGGTTATCTATTGCTTCTTCTTGGACTTCTTCTCGCTCTCAACCACTTCAGATCTAAGCAATATGTCTCAACCCAAATCAAATCTCCTGAGCACGCGTACATTGACTGCGCCGCTCAAGATTCTCTTCAGCGCCAAAGGAGCAGCTCCTCTACTTCTCGCCCTCCTGTATTACCCAGATAAAGTTCGAAGTATACTTCCCGAGCGACTACATCCATGGATAAACTCTCCTGTCGTCATTCGGGCTTTGTCGGTCCTGTTGGGCCTCAGCGTCCTCCGAGGCATCAACAACAAAGTCTCCCAATGGGCTGTGAACAATTGGAAGCCCGACGCTAAGTTCATCAAGAGTCAGGAGATCGTCCTGATAACCGGAGGCTCGAGTGGGATTGGTGAGATTATGTCAAATCAGTTCGCAAAGTTGGGTGTCAAGGTTGTGATTCTGGACCTCAATCCACCCAAGACGGCTGTTGGTGAGTATATTGACTTTCCCGCTTTGACAGGGCCATTTGTGTGCTAAGATGTCCAAGCTGCCAATGTCGCATTCTACCAATGCGATGTTACCTCGCCCGAAAATATTGCCGCCGTGGCCGAGGAGATCCGAAAAGATCATGGCGACCCAACTGTCCTGATCAACAATGCTGGTATAGGACTCTGCCGCACCATTTTAGGTGCAAAGGAACAGCACATTAGGAAGACCTTCGAAGTCAACACAATTTCGCATTTTTGGATGGTGAGGGAGTTCTTACCTGCGATGATCAAGAAGGATCACGGCCATGTGGTCACGATTGCAAGCATGGCAAGCTATGTTGTTCATGCCCAGAATGTGGACTATTCTTGCACCAAGGCTAGTGCTCAAGCTTTCCACGAAGGCCTCGGTGCGGAGTTGAGGTCAAGATATAATGCACCGAATGTGCGGACAACGTAAGTAAACCCCGAAACTCAAGCTTGCATGTGCTCACAATATCAATGCAGGGTTGTCAATCCGATTTGGATTCGGACACCAATGATCGCCCCGTTGATAGCAAAGCCTGGCTTCAATGACCCTGTCCTTGAACCAGAAGATGTTGCCGCAACCATTGTAAATCAAGTCGTCTCTGGACGCGGAGGGCAGCTGATACTGCCCAAGGAAGTGAAATTTCTATCCACTCTTCGAGCCTGGCCTTATTGGATGCAGACCAGGCTCAGCAATCGAATGGCGCATGTGCTTGACTTTTCCGATGAGGAAGCAGAGGCGGCATATAGGGGATAGGCTTTCTGTTTTGGGCGCTGGGTGTTTCCCGTACCATCAGGGTGGAATAGTTTTGAATTCTCGGGATACTTGCTTGAAAAAAATCTTTTCCTTCCAATGATAACAAGCAGATTCGAAAGGCTGACAGTTTCAGCATATATTGGGGTGACTTCCATGGTCCACCCGAGCCGACGTGAGACCCAAGCTCCATGTGAGACCCTGGTGATCCATGCTCCACTTGAGCCCAGACAAGATCTTCGGAGCATGCGGGACGACAACCTGCAGCTGTATCAATTCCCCAATTCTTTTGTTGGCAAGAACAAACAAACAACTTGCATCGATCTGTAAATTTGCAAAAGGACCAACCGATCTTGTGGTATTATGATAGATGCGACCTACCAATTTTGTAATGTGTCAATTGCTGATCTTGATCACCATGTCTCATGTCTCAGATCTCAACTCAAGCGCCGAGAGCGCCTGAACCTGCCGGAACGACGAATTGGTCCCGAACGTTGTTTCTCGTCACGATGATCATGCAGCTCTTTGCACGTGCCCTGGCGTCTCACCAAATGTGCCGATACGGCTTTCCGGTTGGACCAATAGATGACCTGTTGTAAACTCTCCGGGACAGCCCAATATGTCATTCCATCCGTGCTCTCCGCCAAGCTCTCTTCTAGTGAGGAGACGAACGAGGATCAGTTATCAGCCTCATAATCGTTGTTACGTACTTTGCGCGTTTGCCGCAAATATATCATTTCAAGACTTCTGGACCGCGGATTCCAGCGATGCTCCATGAACCATCAGCTCTAGTGAGTTGATGCCGTGAGACGCTATCGACAAGACTCGTGCTACTAAACAAGCGTCCTTCCTAGAAATGCCGTCTCATTGGGTATTGAGAGGAGGATTCCCGACTTTTGCCTCCAGCTGAGCTTCCCGTCTGCTAGTCTCGATGGTACGAACTGCTGCGAGATCGAACCGCGAATACCCTTATGCAGGAACCTTCTCGTCTGCTGCGATTGAGACGCCTAGATCATTCGATGTCTAAAATTCCGAGAAACATCCTTGGATATGTAGTTCATTCTCCTCATCCGGCATTATGGCGCCCTCTTTTGTGCTGACATCGTCGTTTCGTTCCAAGTGGGCCTCCACTCGGAATGCTCCCTTTGCATCTTGGAGCTTGGGTAGAAGCCTATTTCAACGGCAATGTGATATGTTTAGTGGGGTAAGACCCCATGAATGAGATGCTCTCCGAGACCGCACGGCATGGAAAGTTTCAAGACATAAGTCGCTTGTTCCTGTGCAAGTGGGAAAAGTGACGATACTTCTTCTTGTGTTCCCACTTGATCTGCAAGATGAAAGTCTTTTTTTGAACCACCAGCATGAGATGGGTATCCTGTCGGAAGCTCTTTCCTTTCTAAAGTTTGTGGTTATTATGGTCTTATAAGATAGCAGTGGATTCACCTTTGAGGCTTACAGTACTCAATCACAACCCGTTCTGAGTTCATCCAACTTCCTTCGCCAGTTCGGACCTTGAGTTGTCACTTTTATTTTCGGTATCTCAGTCGCCATTCAACGTCAATCTTCATTTCAAAACTCAACCTAATCATCCATTACCACTTACCGCCATCATGATATTCCTCGCAATCACCTTCTTTCTCCTCTTCATCCTCTGCATCCTTCTCGCCATCCAACCCTCACTCCTCCAACCTCTCCTCTCATGGCACCCGCTTCCTCACGCAAAATTAACAGACAGCCGTCGCCCCAGCCTCGGCACCACCGAAACAAAGATCACCCAAGACATAGCACCCTACCAATTCCCTCCCCTCCGCCCCAAATCCTCCTCGAGAATGGCAATGGGCCTCAAACGTCTCGACGCCTCCAACTGGCTTACCCTCGACTCCTCTTACCTCCCCGAACACTCCCTCCGGCTCTCCCTCCTCGAATCCCGGCACGCGGACGTCATTCAATGTCTGCCCGGCTCTCAGGCCTCGTGTCATGAAGTCCTGGATCTCGTCACTTCTTTCCTTGCTTCGCGGTTTCCGCAACATTATAGCCTACGTACCACAGCTTCTGAGCCATGTATCGAGAGTCACCTTACAGGAGAAGTTTACCCTATCGGAGAAAAGTGCGAGAATCCTTTAGAGGTAGCAGCAAGGCTTGCTATGGAGGATTTCAACGTCTTGATTAAGAACCAGGAGACAAGAGAGTATCACTTGATGGCCAGCGCAACGCTGTTTCCCGCGGGCTGGAAGCTGCAGGAGAGGATCGGATACTCGATGGCGAGGCTCCACGGCCCTGTTCCAGCATGGAAAGAGAAATTAGGTGGAAGTGTAAATAGGTGAGAATCATCCTAAATCTTCCTGGAAAATGCGTGAACTGACGAAAACAGATATTTCGACCATCTATCCTCCAAGACGGCCATGGAGCGCACGAACCTCTTTATCCAGACCACGACTGAATTATTCCAGAATGCCCCAGAGGATCCTCTTGCGAGAGCCTTGACGGCGAAGGATCTCATGGTTAGGAGGGAACGGCAGACGTTTGTGAGGTTGGAGAAGACGGACGCGGTGCTGTTTACAGTTAGGACGTATATGCAGTCCATGACTGGTCTTGGGAATGAGGAGATCAGGGCTTTGAGGAGTCAGATATTGGGGTGGGAGGAGGAGGTGAGGCTGTATAAGGGGTTTGCTATTTGGGGGGAGGTATTGATGAAGTGGTGCGAGGAGATGGTTGGTGGTGTGCAACGGGAAGCAGAAGTTAAGGACAAGGAATAGGAAATGGGGCTGCAGTGTTTGCGGGTATGGAGTTCAATAAGAACTGGTCAGGGGGCAAAATGGGCGTTGAATCCGGAGTTGCATCGTTTTACAGGGAAGTGATCGGACAAAAGCTTACAGGCATCAAAAGATGAAGTCGAATGGCGTTGGACTTGGGATATAAGCATCAAAATCCTATTTCACTGTGTATTTTGCAAGAAGTGGAACTTCACTGGTACGGAATGTGCTACATACATCGTAGTCCTTTTGTCATCCAAAGTTCGCCGTCTAATGTGATACATTCGTCTAAATGTCACAACCAATTTATGAACACGTGACAGCAAGTTGCATGTTGGCAACAATTGTAGATCCTTTGTTGTGTTGCACATGGGCCTTGCTGAAAACCAGTTAAATTTACGGTTCAGTTGAGACCCGGCTTCCTGAAATTGGGAGTCTGGGTTCAGTGGCAATGACTTCCTTGAGAATGGAACTTGATTGTGTGACTAAGTTGCTATTCAAAACACGCTGGTGGAGACTGAGGGAGTATTTATAGTTGAGAATTACTCTCTCTGTTCACGAAGAAGTAGTGAATCCAAATACTGGCCACTTGGACGAGGTGAATATCTGTGTTATCTCCTCCACCAATAAATCGAGATTAGGATACTGATACAGTACTGTACAGTAGCGGGGTAAACGGTCCAAATTCCGTCCGTGCACCAAATTTGACCCCGCTAAAGTAAGCAAAGCGTTCACGCAAGAGAATGTTCACTTGTGGTATAGACTCATTGCGACCAACTATATCAAGAACAGCTCAACTCTTCTTTGCATGTTGCGGTCCAACATAATCATATACTAGCGTCAGTCTCGTGGATTCGCCTCCTCTCTTCACCACAATATGCCTAGTATGGTACCTCACTCCCTTGATCTTCTCAAACCCAAAAGTCTGATGTGTCACCACACCCAGCTCCGAATTTTCCGTCTTCATATGAATAACCTCCTTTGTCCCCTTCTCAAAACCCTCTCCCAAGTACGCATCAATCTCATCCAGCTCCTTGGGCGTCGCCCAACGCGTTGACACGCGCAGCGTCCCGAAAACCGGAACGGTAATCTCTTCCGCCACGAAATCTAGCACGCGCTCCTCGCCGCTGCTCGGTAAGCCAAACGGTGGCTTGTATTCGGCGAAGAAATGCGTCAGGCCGGTGGCGGGGTCCGGGACTGTCTTTAAGGCTACTTGCATCGAGATAAGGCCCAGGAGTTTACGCACCAGCCAAGGGACGCCTTGGGCTACCAGCATAGGTTCGGAGTCATCGCACAGCTTCCAGTTCTACGGTAGTGATTAGTTGAGGCGTCCAAAGTAAGTGGACGAGCAAAGGGAGGATTACCATGGCCCATTGGTCATTGAGATCCTTGAGTGTGACGTTTGCTGGAGTAGCAGTCATGTTTTCGGGTGATAATTTTTCTGAAACTGGGAGATGTTTTTTCTCTGCTTTCCAGATGGAAAACATCACTGGGAGATTGGGTCTTGTTCATGAGCTTTCGAAAGAAGCCTTCGGAATTAAGTATATTTCCAAAACCCCCGAAGTTCTCAATGCTGTCTAGCTAGAGTAAGATCTATTCGGGTATTGGTTCATACAGCAGGTTCGCGGAGCTGCTTTATTAGGAAAGTTCTCAAAACTCCCGAAATAACAGAATAATCCCGAACTTCTGGACTTAGCTTATCGAACCTATTGGAAATCGAGGATTTGCCAAAAAAGAATAAGTTTAATTCCTACTTAGACTTAGTCATAGCATATAATGCTCAATGAGTGAAAAGAGCTGATTGGGAAAGAGAGTTCATCTCTGTCCATATGCTCCAGACCCGTTGTCAGGTCGAAGATGCCGGTTTTGAACTTTGCATTGGGTTGGGAAACCCCACACAACACGGCAGGTGATCCAGGTCCTTGTACACAGAAGGGCTGACAAGCAGATGACTACGATGTATTTGATTGAATTAGTTAAGAATTAAGATGATTTTGTTCATTTCGTGTCTACGACAGAGCTTACACACTCGAGCCAGATGGCTTCCTGCAGTGTTACTGTAACTTATGTGTACATCGGATATACCATCTTCACACCTGAAATCTCCTTTTGCCGCATGGCTTCAACACCCTCAATCACTTTCGGCAAACCCCCCTTATTCACCTTTATTGGATGCGGCTTTATCTTTTCTTCAGCAAGTAAGGCCGCATACCGTTTCATCCAATCGACGAACCAAGCATGTAACTCTGGATTTTCCTTGCGATAATACCCTCCAGGAAGATCGATTTCAAGTCCAGTCATCTCAAGTCCGAGAACCCAGTCTGCCTTGACAAACTTTCGCATTGTAGCAATTAAATCCTCGGGTAGCAGTTCGAAGCCACAATATTTGCCGCCTCCACGTCCAATGGCGGCATAGCACTGACGGATAGTTCGAGCTTCGGTGATGATATCCAGGGCATACTCCAAGGTGTTATTCGTATATGCACGTATCTCTTCTCCACATGTCGATAAGTGATAATCGAAGGCTTTCTCAGCACCATAGTCTTCGACAAGTTTGAAATTCTTAGGAGAGCAAGTGGTGATGACTCTGTAACCGGACCTAAAGAAGGCAATACTGTAAGCTTCTGTGCCAGTGTTCAAAAAGGAGAACGCAATCACTTGCAGTTTTAACAGCTGAATGGCAAATGTGCCACTAGCAGTAGCACCCCCATAAACAAGAACAAACTTCGGATCCAAAATGGGCGTTTCCGGCGTTCCAGGTAACTGTAAGGAGATCCAGAGTCACATTCCCACACCGGTAGTCACCGCACAACCTACTGAAGCGGCTTCCTCCCAAGAGAGATTTTCTGGTACCAGCCAACAACAATCGGCTTCCTCTACAATATACGAAGTGAACGCCCCAACCCAAGGACGGCGACGGCTAGAGGCCATTTGGGCTCCTGCAACTCTATCTCCGATCTTGAGACCGGACGTGAGAGCTGCAGTCTCACCTAGACGGACGACAGTTCCTGAATAATCTCCGCCGTCAACAGCGCCAGGACAAGGAACTCGGCCTGGCATCTTCCAATCGCAGTGATTCAACGCGACGGCTGCTACTTTTATGAGGATTTGAGTGGGCGAGGGCACTGGTAGTGGTCGAGTTTCTATCTCGAAAGATCCAGGATTCTTGGCTGACTGGACGACGGCTTGTCGCGACGTGGGAAGTGGTGGAAGAGTCTTGATCGCCATATTGATAGTCAGCTGCAAAGTATGGCGCAGCTTGGCAATCCTGGGTTTCAACAACGAGGTTACTTCTTCTCAATCGTATCTGCGTTATATTTTATCGCCTGTTTAAATCATCCGCTCAAGTGAATTTGCGGCTCAGCGGTAATAGATAGGCATTCGGGAGCTCTATCTCGTAGAATGGCTCGGGACTTTTCTCCAAGCCACCCAATGAGGCCACTCGCATGATTCAAAAATTTCGACGGTAGTTCGGGACTTTCAGACACTTTGCTGGCTTATCGTAGCTTTGTGCTGTATAAGGTCATTTTCCCATTTTCAAATTGCTCTTCTCATATCAGTTGCTCGAGAAATGCCTGCAAACCTACAAACACTACCTTTGACTAGTAGTTTCGGAACCATGTCGAACTTCTTTACCGTGACAGCGCTCTTTTCTGCCGTTGCTGTTGCATTTGTATCTCAAGTCCCTCTCACTCCTCCGTTCCCTGATCGTCTCAATGAGGAATGGGACGATTCATGTTCGATTAGCAAAAGCACTGCCTTCGAAGTATATGATGGGCTCATTACCTTCTCCACCTCTCAATCCGATCACATCAATTCCGTCAAGATCTTACCCGCAGTCAACTCAACGAACTGGGAACAATGGGAGTTCGATGGCCTCTCACATACGGGTCTATCCGGTCTCTTAATGGCCTTCTCTAGAGACCCGTCCTACGCCTTCTTTGGACAAGGAAATCTGCGTGTTGAGTTTTACATCACACTTGGCGATGGCACGGTCATACAAGAACTGGACTATCTCAAGGAGTCTTACATCATTGACTGCCCGGACTTTACTGCTGGAGTTTGGAACAGTTCAGATAGGTCGTACAGTTTTCATGTCACCAAGGATCTGAAGTACGCGAAGCTGAAGTTCGATTCGTGGAGAGTTCGGGGCGGCTTTACGATGTCTTCTAGTACGCCGCCACATAACGCTGATGGCTCGCCCTGGATACCGGAGGGCGGGAATGCAAAAGCTACCGAGCTGTCTCCTGGGATGTTTTACGCTCTCCCAATGGGAGGCGCAGCGGTCGAGGTAGACGCTACTCTAGGATCTGGTAGACGTATTGTATTCAGTGGAAGAGGTGGCTCTACACGCCTTTGGGCAACTGAAGGCTGGCTCAAGATTTGTGATGGCTGGAAAGTGATCCGAGCTTGGGCAGGTCCGTATTCTCTCGTCTACTGGGATTTGGTATCTCGGATGGATTGGGGCGTGAAATACGTTTCCGCTCATCTCTTCTACGATGATCAACTTGTAGTAGGTACCAACGTTGGCAATGTTTCGGAGACGGAGGATTATGTTCTGGCAACTGATCGTTTCGACGGCGAACTTCACGGGAGGTACAAGGACAAGAACACTGGTCATATCTTCGAGTTTGTCTCGCCTACTCAAGACAGGAGGTGGAAATTTGAACTTGAACATATGATAACACAGTACGAAATGGGTGCAGGAGGCGGATTTGGAATGACTGGATTTGCGAATCGGGTCACTGGTGGTGAAGTTGGTGAGATACAGTACGAGGGGAGGGCTCAGTCGGAGCAAACTTTCTGGCCGGAGTACATCGAAGAATGGAAAATATGGCTTGTTTATGGTGCCGGATTCTTGGGGAAAGGCAAGACACAATTCATGAAGTTAATGGGCTACATTTTGTAGTTGATTAAGCATGGATGGGAAAGAGAGGGGTTTTGGCACCAATTGGTCTTGAAAGGATTTTGTAAGGTCTTGGGAGGAGAGTCTGGAAAGAGAGGCTTATTGATGGCTTTCATTACCTGGTCAGTCTTGGAAAGCGAGACTCATTATTAGAGGAATGAATGAAGGTGTTGCGCTTGAGGCTGCGCAATCTCAGAACCAAATTAAATTTCTTTGCTTTTGTCTCTTGGGAAGATTCGGAATCAATATGGCTCGAATTAAGCACTTCTGGCCATACTGAAATTGTGAGAGTGGGCTCAGCCTGTAACTTAGTGAGCACGACACTAATTCTCGGTGGATGATCGCTGAATTATTTGTTGCTTCAGGGGATGCTTCAGGGGGTGGTTACAGCGCCCTTGGAAGCACTTTTTAGTGGTCTGTGCGCAGTAGCCCCGCGTTTATTTTAGCGCCAAGCTTCGGTGTTTTCAAGCCGCAGATCCTCTCCAACCTCCTTTCTCACTTCAACAACCTTTCGTTGTCTTTACCCTTCTTCGTACTCTTCCTCTAATAGATGGGCAAGGCCCAAGAACACTTTCAGTTTGGAACATTGTCGAACTAGAACGAATGAGAAAATGGCCGCTGACGTTCTGTGAATTGCGGCTGACTGGTATTCCCGAATTTCGAGATTTTCGGGAGTTTGCCTTCCATAAACTCCCGAAATATGTGCCCCTTTTTTCTTTCGCTTAGGAAATCCCAACTCCTTTTCGACAGCGATCACGTGGCGCATCCCATGCTTTGATTCTCTTCAGCAAGCTTTGCGATAAGCCCGAAATCGAAAGAATGCTTTGTTACTCCGAATGTGTAGAGCCCCAAAGAGTAAGATCGGCATTTTCCTAGTACGTCGCTGTTCCTGAGGCAATACTGTTGTTTAATTGGGAAGGGTCATCTTGACATGACTATGCTTTTGTTGAGACTATCTGCAATTCTGTTTGACACAGTCGCATCCTCCTGTCTCTCATTTACTATACACTCCTAGCTTCAACAACCTTGCTAGACACCTTTGCAACAGGTTACCACAATCATCATGAGCGCTCAGGACATTCATGGCAGTGGTGGAGAGCCTATTGCAGTCGTTGGAAGTGGTTTCCGATTTCCAGGCTCTGCGAGCAGTTCATCAAAGCTTTGGGAGCTTCTGCTCAAGCCACGAGATCTTCTCACCAAGATACCTGAAAGCCGTTTCAATCCAGAGACATTCTACCATCCGAATCCGTCTCATCATGGAACAACAGACGTCAGGGAGTCCTACTTCCTTGAGGAAGACCACCGTCACTTTGATGCTGGTTTCTTCAATATCAAGCCTGTAGAAGTGCATGCGATTGATCCACAGCAGCGTCTGCTCATGGAATCAGTCTACGAGTCGCTGGAGGCAGCGGGCATATCGATTGAGTCTTTAGCCGGTTCTCAAACTGGAGTTTATGTTGGATTGATGTGTGCCGACTACGTCGACCACATAAACAGCGATATGAATTCTCTGCCAACCTACACTCCGACAGGAAATGCACGCAGCATCATGTCTAACCGCATCTCGTACTTTTTCGACTGGCATGGGCCCAGTATGACAATTGATACGGGTAAGTGCTGTTGAAACCTGACTTATAGCTTACTAACAGCGCTCCAGCCTGTTCGTCCAGTTTGGTAGCTGTGCACCAGGCAGTTCAGTTGCTGCGGAGTGGTGATTCGGATGTTGCAGTTGCAGCCGGAGCCAATCTTATTCTCGGTCCTCTGCAATACGTCGGCGCCAGCAAGCTACACATGTTGTCGGCAGACAGTCGCTCTCGTATGTGGGATGTCAATGCCACTGGATATGCTCGCGGTGAAGGTGTCGCGAGTGTAGTCCTGAAGCGTCTCAGTTCTGCGATTGCAGACGGCGACAATATTGAGTGCATTATCCGGGAGTCTGGCATCAACCAAGATGGTCGGACGAAAGGTATAACGATGCCTAGCTCTGTTGCACAGGCAGATCTCATCGAAAAGACCTATGCAAAGGCCGGCTTGGACCCAAGAGACCCCCGCCAACGATGTCAGTATTTCGAAGCGCATGGCACCGGCACTGCAGCAGGTGATCCAAAGGTAATTACTCACCAACAACGGTTGACTACATTCTAACCTGATTATTGTAGGAAGCTGAAGCCATTAGTAAAGCTTTCTTTCACCCAGGCGAGCGTATTTCAGAAGATAGCGATCCACTCTATGTTGGCTCTATAAAGACCGTAATTGGTCATACCGAGGGGACTGCAGGATTAGCAGGCCTCCTCAAAGCTTCGCTGGCAGTCCAGCATGGCATTATCCCGCCCAACATGCTTTTCAACACGCTTCATCCTGCTATAGAGCCATTTTACACCAACCTTGAGATATTGGCAAGTCCAAAGCCCTGGCCCAAGCTAGAGGAAGGTGTTCCCCGTCGTGCTAGTTGTAACAGTTTTGGGTTTGGAGGTAAGTGATAAACATCTGCTCTGAGAGTAAAAGGTTTGACAAGCTTCAGGAACTAATGCGCATGTCATCATCGAGAACTTTGTCCCGTCGCCCACAACTATCAATGAAGTTGCTCCTATACGCCAATTTACTCCATTCAATTTTTCGGCTGCATCGGAGAAGTCGTTGACAGGAATTCTAACCGACTATGCGGAATATCTTCGAATTCGCCCACAAACCAGTCTTCAAGACCTCTCTTATACATTTTATGCTCGGAGAAGTGAACATACTGTCAGGACAAGCATCTCAGCAAAATCGGCACCAGATCTCTGTGCAAAGATCGATGAGCTCCTTCGGAGCAATGGCAACGTCGGAGTACGTTCAAAAGCACTCTCAAATCCAACTCGCATCCTCGGCGTATTCACGGGTCAAGGCGCGCAGTGGGCAACTATGGGTAGAGAGTTGATTCTGAATTCTCCATATGCCAAGAAAACCGTCCAGGAATTGGATGCGATGCTTCAGAAGCTACCCGAAGCAGAGCGACCTGCATGGTCATTGATGGATGAACTTACGTGTGATGCTTCTCAATCTCGTCTTGATAAGGCTGTTGTTGCGCAGCCTCTCTGCACTGTGATTCAAGTCATATTATATGATCTTCTCAGCAGCGCAGGCGTGAGATTTCAGGCGGTTGTTGGTCATTCATCAGGAGAGATTGCTGCGGCTTACGCTGCCGGTCACATCACCCGAGAAGAAGCTGTCAAAATCGCCTATTACCGAGGATACTTTACAAATCTTACACCATCTGACCGACGCGGAGGTATGATGGCCGTTGGAACATCCGTGGACGATGCCAACGAACTGTGCAATCTTCCAATGTTTCACGGGCGGTTGAGTGTCGCTGCCATCAACTCATCCTCCAGTATCACGATTTCGGGGGATCGCGATGCCATTGAACAGGCTAAAGAAATTCTTGATGACGAGAAAAAGTTTGCCAGGATATTGAAAGTTGACATGGCATATCACTCTTCACATATGATTCCTTGTGCGAAGGGATATGTCGAAGCACTGAAGTGTTCCGGCATTAAGCCCCAACCGGCAACGAACGGCTGTAAATGGCTGTCCAGTACCTACGAGAACAGAGAGATGCATGCGGACGAAGACTTGGCGGGACAATATTGGGCAGAAAACATGGTCCGACCTGTTCTGTTCTCGCATGCAGTTGAATCGGCTACATCTACAGGAGATGCCTTTGATATTGCAATCGAGGTGGGCCCCCACCCAACACTGAAGGGCCCTGCACTACAGACTCTCCAGGAATTTCAGAAAGAAGCTATTTCCTATACGGGTCTCTTATCTCGGGGAAAAGACGATGTCGAGTCTTTCTCCAACGCTCTAGGCTACCTTTGGTCTCAATTTTCTTCTTCGATAGTAGACTTTGGTCGATTTGATTTCCTAGCAACGGGACACAAGAATAGGAACTTCATCAACAATCTTCCAACCTATCATTGGGACCACGAAAAGCTCTTTTGGCATGGATCTCGGACATCCAAAGCCTTCCTCAACCAGAAAAATATTCCGAATCCACTCCTTGGCTCAAGGACAACAGACCTTATGGAGCAAGAAATCAGATGGAGGAATATACTTCGCCTTAGTGAACTTCCTTGGGTCCGAGGCCATCAGCTTCAGGGACAAGTCATATACCCAGCAACTGCGTACATTTCAACTGCCGTGGAAGCTGCGAAGTTCCTGGCTCCCAACGAGAACATTGCAGTCATTGAAGTGAAAGACTTCAGTCTTGGCAAGCCCCTTGTTTTCAGAGACGATGACGGGGGCATCGAGACCGTCTTTACCTTGAGTGAAATAACTAAAGATGGTGGCAACAGTTATTCGGCTTCGTTCACTTACCATGCATGTAGCAATACGGACACTGAGCAATTATCAACCCATGCAACCGGCAAAGTCATCGTCACGACAGGTGAAACTTCTTCGCGATGGCTCCCGTCTCGGAAGCCAGATCTTCCAAATCTCACCGACATTCCAGTGGAGCGTTTCTTTTCCTCCCTGGAACCTTTGGGTTATAACTACAGCGGACATTTCAAAGCCCTCTCGTCTATCAAGAGGACGCTAAACTTCTCCTCAAGCAACATACGAGTACCTCCGCAAGACGACGAACCCGACCAAATGTTGCTACATCCAGCTCTGTTGGATTCTGCCCTACAAGGAATATTCCTAGCCTACTGCTGGCCTGGTGACGGTAGCTTCGAGCAACTCCACGTTCCGACCGGAATCAAGACTTTCCGCGTCAATGTTGGCCTTTGCAAGCAGGATATCGTGCTGGAGACAAATGTGGCGTCTTGTGCCCAGTTGACCGCAAACCCTCTCACTACGAAACAGCTGCATGGAGATGTTGATATCTACGCAAGCGACGGAACTGGTCTAGTTCAATTTGAAGGAATCAAGGTTGTCGCTTTTGCCGAGCCAACTGCAGACACTGATACCCCGATGTTTACCGAGCACGTGTGGGGCGTGGCTTCTCCGAATGCTGAGCTTGCAATGGGCGGCAAGAGAGCAACTGCGGAAGACTACGAATTTGCTTACGCCATGGAGAGAGTCGCTATTAACTACATGAAACAGATAGTCACTCTCTTTCCAGAAGCTGACCGCAGGACCATGGACCTGGAGTGGCACTTTCACTGCATGTTTAACTGGTTCACTGACGTGCTTGCGACTATTCAAGTGGGAACGAGACAATCTGCTCAGAAGAAGTGGCTAGAAGACTCAGCAGATGATGTAGCAAGTGAGAAAGCTAAGTAAGTCCTCAAATTGTTGTAGTCCGCAGATTGCATTTGAAAGATGCTGATGATGAGCTAGATTCGCGAATAGGGTTGACATGCAGCTCGCCTGCGCTGTAGGCGACAACTTACCTGCTGTTCTTAGAGGTCAAACGACGATCCTTGAGCATTTAACCAAGGATGGCTTGTTAGATCGCTTCTACGAGATTGGAATGGGTCTGAAAGAGTTCTCAACCTTCCTCGGCAAGACTGTGAAACAACTTGTACATCGCCATCCTCGGATGAAGATTCTCGAAATTGGTAAGAGTTTTATGTCCTTATGACTATACCTACTAAACAAACTAACACTGTGATAGGGGCGGGAACTGGTGGAGCTACCAAAATGATCATGGGAGAAATTGGTCAATCATTCTCTGCATATACCTTCACGGATATCTCAACGGGATTCTTTGAGACTGCCCAGGAGGTCTTTAGTTCCGTTGGAGATAAGATGATTTTCAAGCCTCTCAATGTTGAGAAGGATATCACGGAGCAAGGTTATGAAGAGCATTCGTATGACCTCGTGGTCGCCTCGTTGGTTCTTCATGCGACGGCCGATCTCCAGCGAACTCTGATGAACACGCGACGACTCTTGAAACCTGGCGGATATCTGATCATTCAAGAGGTCTCCAACAATGATGTGACTAGACAAGGATTTATGATGTGTGCTCTGCCAGGTTGGTGGGTTGGTCAAGATGATGGCCGAAAGTTATCGCCATGTGTGTCAACGCCTGAGTGGCACAGACTGCTTCTTCAAAGTGGCTTCTCTGGTGTGGACTCTTCTACAACCGACGAAGATGCGACCCCTTTTCCATTAGCTGTTATTGTCTCGCAAGCTGTCGACGATCGCATCGCCTTACTCCGTGAACCACTTTCCTTGGGCAGTATACAAGGAGCCGATGAGTGGGACTTAGTGCTCATTGGAGGTCAAACCTTGAGCTCCGCTCAACTTATCGATCATATCGTTGGACTGATAAAGCCATCAAACATTCGACACACCGTCTTCAAGACGCTTGGCGACGTCGATTCCTCGAAAATCTCGACGAAAAGCGCGATACTATGCCTTACGGATCTGGATGAACCTGTCTTCAAGAGACTCTCGGAGAAGACGCTACAGGGCATGCAGAGACTCTTCGAAACGCAAAGAATCATCTTGTGGATCACACAAGGATGCAGGGGAGAAGACCCATATATGAACATGGCAGTCGGGCTTGGCCGAAGCTTGGTCTTAGAAAATCCCGACCTCGTCTTGCAATTCCTTGATCTGGAAAGTGGCGTTAAGCCCAATCCTAGACAGCTTCTGGAAGCACTACTACGTCTACGTCAGAGCGATTCCTGGGAGAAAGATGGCCAGTTCGAAAATGTCTTGTGGACAAATGAGCATGAGCTTGCCTATGAAAATGGCGAACTCATGCTTTCTCGTGTCTACCACAGTACTGCCTTGAACGATCGATACAATGCTTCCAAGCGAACGGTTGTCGAAACGGTAGACCCGCATACTGTCCCAGTCAACCTCTCTGTTGGTGCCTCGAGACGGAATCTGGTAGTCGATGACTTTCTCGCTGCAGAAATGCTCGATCCACAAGCATTGGTCGCTGACGCTAAAGTTCTTATAAAAGTCAGTCATTCACTTTTGATGCCGGTGTTTACAACACCTCTTTCTCCATCGTACTTGGTACTTGGTACCAGTGAAGCGACAGGGAAACCAGTCGTCGCAATTTCGAGAAATAACGGCTCCTATGCCCTGGTTTCCAAGGAGGAAGTGCTGGAGATCGAGCTTCCCACGGGCAAGGAGTCCGAGTTCTTGACCCAGTTGGACATCAAGTTACAGGCCGAAAATATGCTCTCAGTCTGCCAGAGAGACTCGATTCTACTCCTTCACGAGCCTTCCCTTGAAATTGCATCAAGCATCGTTGAATCCGCGTCAGACGGAAACATCACCGTGTTTTTCACCACCTCGTCACCAACTCCAACCGATAAGTCATGGATCAGGATAGATGCGTACTCTTCTAAAAGACTAATCCAGTCCTCGTTGCCTGCTCGCGTCTCGGTCTTTATTGACTGCTCAACGAGCGACCAAAACGGTCAAAATGGTCCCTTGATTGCATCTTCTCTGCCCGGATTATGTCTTCGAACGACAATTACTGGAATTCAGGCACTACAGCATGCTCGGAATTTCTCTATTGCCGCCTTGAGTCAAAAGTTTAATGGTGCAGTGCAGCGAGCTTTAAGGGATACTCTGAAGCCTAATCAGTTGGTTTCGTTACCTTCCATTGGATTGGAGCAGTTGACTGGCCGATCTGAAGCTATACCAGCCATTGTTGATTGGAGCGCCATAACAACAGGAGTTCCCGTCCAGGTATCCACAGTTGACAGCCAGGTCAATTTCAAGGGTGACAGGACATATGTATTGTTTGGACTCACGAGTGATTTAGCTCAGTCTATCTGTGACTGGATGGTATCTCACGGTGCCCGAAATATGGTACTGACAAGTCGTACCCCCAAAATCGATGCTCAGTGGATAGAACTGCTCGCAAAGGTTGGAGTAAGAGTGGAGATATTTGCAAAGTAAGTTGCAATGCCTCGACGATTAACGAGAGACTGACATGATGAAGTGATATCACCGACAAGGAAGCGCTTGCTACGCTTGTCAATCAAATCCGCCAGAACTTTCCACCGATCGCAGGCATCGCTCATGGTGCAATGGTTCTCGACGATATCTCGTTCTTCGAGATGCCCTTCGAAAAGATGCACAAGGTTTTACAACCAAAAGTCAAAGGAGCTGTTCACCTCGACGAGCTTTTCCAAGACTCTTCTTTGGACTTCTTTGTCCTTTTCTCTTCCTCGACGGCCATAGCCGGCAATCGTGGGCAATCCGCATATACCACCGCGAACATGTTTATGGCCTCGTTGGCGTCGCAAAGGCGGCGAAAAGGATTAGCAGGTTCAATCTTCCACATTGGACCAGTCATAGGTGTGGGATACATCAATCGTGGATTTCAGGAATCGATTTTCGCTGCCCTCCGGAAGAGTGGCTTCATGTTGATTGCAGAACGTCAATTCCATTTGTGCTTTGGCGAAGCGGTTCTAGCATCACATCCACTCTCTGGACGGACTCCCGAGGTTGTGACGGCACTAGAGACTTTCAAGTTGGGCGGCAAGATTGCACCTGCATGGACGAAGTTTCCACGATTCCAGCACTGTCTTCAATCAGACCAGGGAGGGGACAAAAAGGCGGAAAAGAAAAGCGCCGCTGTTTCTACCAAGGTCAGGCTGCTTGAAGCAACTACGGCGGAAGATATTCTGGAGATTGTACAAGGTGAGCCTATTATCAGTAACTTGCAAAATGAAGCTAATGTTTATAGACGCCTTCTTCCTGAAACTTCAAGTCGCTCTTCAAATTCCGCCTGAGACCGAAAAATCTCAAGTTCTATCTTCTGCAACAGATGATCTCGGGATTGACTCGCTAGTTGCCGTCGAAATACGCTCCTGGTTCCTGAAGGAAATTGAGACCGACATACCTGTCTTTAAGGTCTTGTCAGGAGGTTCAGTTACACAGCTGGTTGAGTACGCGATTGAAAACATGCCCTTTGGATTGACTCCGAATCGAGGCGAATCCTCCGAGGTTTCAGCACCTGTTGCACCGGATGCCCCTGTCGTAGCGAAGCCAACGCCAGAACCAGTTTCTTCGGCACCCAGTAGCCCGAAGAACAGTGCGGAGACTAGCCAGATAGGCGACGATCAAGACAAGGAAGACTCATCTGCTACTTCTCTCAACGACGGTTCACAGACCAGCTTCGAGAAGATTCTCCCAATATCTCCAGGCCAGTCAAGATTCTGGTTTCTCAAACATTTGATGGAAGATCAAACCACGGCAAACAACACCATTTCCGTCTCCATCAAAGGCACAATTAGAATTGACAGTCTTGCGAGTGCGGTACGAAAGATTTCAGCCCGCCATGAAGCGTTGCGCACTGCCTTCTTCATCGACGAGAGCCAGAAACCCGTGCAAGCCATATCCGAAACATCCCGCTTGTACTTAGAGAAAATTGTCATTACTGATGAGTCTCAAGTCGCCCAAGAGTTTGAACGCCTCCGGAACCACGTTTACGATATTGAGCATGGCGAATGTATGCGACTTATCCACCTTAGCGCAAGTCCCAGAGAGAGTTTCCTCCTCGTCGGGTCGCATCATATCATCATGGATGGTATCAGCTTAGAGGTTTTCTTAGATGACTTACAAAAAGCCTACAGTCGTCAGAATCTTTCGGAACCAGTCTATCAATACTCTGATTACTCAGAGAAACTACGCCAAGAAATTGCACACGGTGCAATGCAAGAGGAGATCAAGTACTGGAAGTCAGAATTCGCGAACCCACCTGCACCTCTCCTGTTGCTCCCGTTCACCGCTACGAAGAATCGCACGACGCTCACGGCGTATCAACACACTTCTGTGAGTCGTAGCATCGATTCTAAACTCGCGAAGCAGATCCAAGACACCTGCCACAAATCGAAAGCGAACGTTTTTCATTTCTATCTAGGAGTATTTGAGGTGTTATTGTTCAAGCTCTTTGGCAATAGCGATGTTTGCATCGGGATGGCAGATGCCAATCGTTGGAACGATCAAGTCGCCAAGAGTATCGGAATGTATCTCAATCTCCTTCCACTGAGATTTCATCTAGACGACAAGCAGTCCTTTGAAGGTGTTCTGAAAGACACCCGAAGGAAAGCTTATCTAGCAATGTCCAACTCAAGACTACCATTCGATATCCTGCTTGACAACCTCGACTGCGAGAGGTCGACCGCTTACAGTCCGCTTTTCCAGGCATTCATCAATTATCGCCAGGGGGTCAGTGAGAGACGAACTTTTGACAATGCTACGGGCACGACAAAGGACATATCCCTTCCGAGGGCTGGGTATGATTTGTCTCTGGACATTATCGAGAATCCCGGAGCCGATACTCGCATAATTTTCATGTTGCAGAAACAGCTATATTCCGAAAACGATACTGAGCGAGTGCTCGACATGTATCTCAAGCTCCTGGGAGATTTCTCGGGCTCTTACAATCGGATACTACAAGAGGTCTCACTGTTTTCGAAGCAAGACATTAGCAATGCTATTCGGCTTGGCCAAGGTAAATCCTCTTGCCTGCAAATGTCTTAATTAGTTTCAATTTTATACCAAAAGTGTACTCTCTCGATGTCCTGTGGTTTTAAGTCGTTTTACTCTATAAAATGTACGGGATAGGGTTACTAATTCGGTCTTGCAGGACCTGTTATGCATTCCAAGTGGCCGGAAACCTTGGCACACCGCATCGACCAGATGATTGCAGAGCATCCTGACAAAATTTCCTTGCAGGAGACGAGTGGCAAATCATGGACATACCAGCAGCTTGATGCAAAAGTTAATCAGATATCATCTGCTTTGCTCCATGCAAACATAACACCACGATCGGTTGTCGCGGTTTATCAAGAGGCCTCACCCCACTTCGTCTTCTCCCTGCTTGCTATCTTGCGAATCGGGGCCACTTATGTTCCACTTGACAGTACTATTCCTCAAGCCAGGCTCTGTGTGATACTTGCGGAGTGCAAACCTTCTGCATTACTCGCAAATGGCTCGACACTTGATCAAATCAGCAGCTTAGGACTTTTACCATCCGTCATCGTTTTCAATGTCTCCAATCTGCCCAATGAAAAGATCGCCACCCGCGCTGTTACTATCAGTCCCAGCGACCCAGCTGCAATACTTTTTACCAGTGGTAGTACGGGAGTGCCCAAAGGTGTTGTTCTATCCCATGGCAGCTTACGCAACCACTTGGAGGCCCTGACCGAAAGACATGGCTTTGGAATCGAAACAGTTCTGCAGCAAAGTTCAGTGGGCTTTGATATGTCTTTGAACCAGATATTCATAGCTTTGTCTCATGGAGGGACGCTTGTCATCGTTCCTGAAGCTGTTCGCAAAGACCCAGTTGCTGTAGCCAAGATTCTGCTGGAACAGAAAATTACGTACACCAGTGCAACTCCATCTGAATATCTTTCGTGGTTCCGACACGGCTACACCGATCTTTTCCAGAGCAAATGGTGGCGATATGCCACGGCCGGTGGCGAGCAGTTCTCGACAGAGCTTCTGCATGTGTTTCGATCTCTGAACGGCCATTTCGAACATCAACTCCACGCCTTCAATGCATATGGCCCGACGGAAGGCTCAATGTCCTCAAATGAGTTGGAAGTCAGTCTGGACAATTCAGATAGCCAACACATACCAGCTGGACGAGCTCTTCCAAACTATGCTATCTACATCATGGACGAAAGCTCGAATCCTTTGCCAATTGGATTTCCCGGCGAAATCTTCATTGCCGGTGCGGGTGTGGCTAAGCAATACCTCAACAATTCCGACGAGACCAGAGAAAAGTTCTTGAAGGACCCTCAACCCACCTCGTTTGCTACGAAGAGGGGTTGGGACAGAATGTACCGAACTGGAGATAAGGGAAGACTCCTATCTGATGGTACTCTAGAGGTTCTCGGCCGCATTGAAGGAGATACACAAGTCAAGCTCAGAGGCCTTCGCATTGAAATGCGGGACATCGAGCAGTCAATCCTGGAGACTGCCAAGGGAGAAGTGACAGAAGTCATTGTCACGCCTCGTGGAGACCCGAAATTTCTCGTCGCTCATGCCGTTCTATCGCCAAGCGCTTCGATGGGAAACGAGGGAGAGTTTCTTCGGCTATTGTCCTCCTCCCTTCCCCTACCGCAGTACATGCGCCCTGCGGCTATCATTGCAATCGACTCCATGCCACTGAATTCTTCTGGAAAGATCGATAGACAAGCTCTTCAAAAGCTTCCGATTCCAACCTCGTCAGAGAGAACACATCCGGAAAGAGAGCTGACAGTGACGGAATCCAAATTAGTCCAGGTTTGGGAAGAAGTATTGCCACAACAGATGGCAGATATCCACACCATTGATGAAGCCTCGGACTTCTTCCATGTCGGTGGCAATTCGATGCTTCTAATCGAACTTAGAGAGCGTGTGAAGCAGAAGTTCCAGGTGGGCCTTCCATTGATCCGGCTCTTTGAACATAGCACCCTAGGTGCCATGGCAACAACGATCCAAGATCTTTCTGTTGGTAAAGCCACTGAGATTAACTGGGAGATCGAAACTGAAGTCCCGCACGACTTTTCGAGGCTCAATTTACGACCGATCTCAGTACGAAGCAATCGAAGTCCTAGAACTATCGTCCTTACCGGCTCCACAGGCTTTCTGGGTAACTACATACTCCGGCTCCTGGTTGAGGCCCCTGGAGTGGAGAGAATACACTGCATTGCCATACGCAACAGTGACAAGTTGGCAGAATTTGCAGATTCCGAGAAAGTCGTCGTACATTATGGAGATCTGTCTCTCCCACGATGCGGTTTATCAGATGTAGAGGCAGCTTCAATCTTCGACGCAGCGGATGCGATCATCCACAACGGTGCCGACGTCTCTTTTCTGAAGACCTACAGCTCTCTCAGGGTCCCCAATCTCGGTTCTACAAAGGAACTTGTCAAGCTTGCTCTTCCACGCCAAGTTCCGTTCCACTTCATTTCCACCGGAACAGTAGGGAAATTGAGCAAGACAGAGTTTCTGGCTCCTGAATCACTCGCAAAATTCGTACCTGGTCCGTCGTTCGCCGATGGTTACGCGGCATCGAAATGGTCAAGTGAAGTATTCCTCGAGAAGGTACATAAGCAACTTGGTCTTCCTACCTTCATTCACCGTCCTTCATCGATCACTCGGAATCAGGCAGGAGAAACCGACATTGTATCCAACGTGCTCAAGTTTTCGTCCATAATCAAGGCGCTCCCGGAATCCAACCAATGGACAGGCTATGTGGATCTTATTAGCCTTGAGAACGCCGCAACTGGCATCGTTGACTCTGTCTTGCAAGAGGACCCAGTCAATGGCGCTAGGAATAATGTGGAGTACTTGCACCACGCAGGCGAGAAAGTGATTCCAGCGAAATCCATCAAGGAATTCCTGAGCGCCGATCAGAGAAGTCGATGGGAGTCTCTCTCAATGCAGGACTGGGTGGACAAAGCCGTCCAGAAGGGCATGAATCCTTTGGTGGGCGAATTTTTGCGTTCGGCAGATAAGGGTCAAGGCCTACAAATTGGACAGAAACTGTTACTGAAGTGAGCTTCAACACAATAGACTCACAAACGTATTGATTTGGATACCATTGCTTGGGTTTTTGTCGTTGGGGATGTTTTCGGCGTTTTCCTCCTTTTAGTCGGAAGTAAAGCTAGGCTGTCGTTCATGGATTATATATCTCCTTCCTTTATAGTTAGATAAATTTATCGATCATATTGAATTCTTAAGATATCTCTTTGCCACATGTACTGTGACAGCCAAATACTGTGCTAAACGTTGCCAGCATCTTCACCTGAGTCTGTGAGACTCTCAACTTGCTGTACGTATCCTTAATGCTGATGATTAATATCAGGATTAGCAATGTACATGTGTGGAATTTACTTCAAAAGCGAATCGAGAGATATAGACTAAGGAGAGAGACTTCCAACAGACTGTTGCAGCAAATGTTAGATAAAATTTAATGCTTCTAGTCGTTCTCTCGAGTAATAGAAGAAGCTAAATATAACTGACACAAATATAACTAGCGAGCACATGAATATCTTTTGGCTTTTATTTATTGGATCATAGTTTTTTCCTCCTAATCTCAAAATGTTGGTCCAGAAACTCGAAGCTCTTCTGCGCCAACAGTGCCCAGGCTCCAATCTTCGCTGTCAAACCACCATCCGCGACATCAGTTGGAACCCACACTCTTTTGTTGTTCTCTGATACCTTTGTGATCAATCTGTGGATCTTTAATGTGCTATCATCTGCTGATGCATACATCTCACGCCCAGCTCCAGGACCAGTAAGAAAGACAGGACATGTGATCTTGTCCAAGATCTTCCCATACTTTTTCGATTCCAAAGAGAACTCTTTGAATCGTCTGAGCATAGCGGTAGGCTTCTCAACTCCCATACTGCTTTTGCCCAGCATCATCTCCCAACCTGCCTGAAAATCCATCTTGCATGACAATTCTGTTAACCAATCAAAGATTCCATCGGGAACCCACCCTCTATCCCACAGCTTAATAAACGACTCAGGAGCACGGGTCAGAGCTAGATCCCATAAGCTGAAAAATGGGTCAATGGCTACGCATGCTTTGATACGTGAGTCCGTGGCTGAGCGAAGCGCAAAATAACCACCAGTCGCCGCTCCCGCGACAGCAATTCTTCCAAGATCCAACGTCAAATCTGGCCGTGATTCAGATAATTTCTCGAGAAAATCTAAGGCTATTCCTGCCACAACTTCGAAGTCGGGCCTAAGCGGAAGTTTCGACCTTTTCAGAAGCAAGCCTTGACCTGGGCCCTCGAAGCAAAGGATGGCGTACCCCAGTGGAGGTCCAGAATGTCCGAACAAGAAGTACAACTCTTCTTTTGTCGAATCAGCTCCACCAAGATACATGACCACTGGAGTCTTGCCAGGCAATCGCGCTTCTTGAGGAGGGAGATAAAGGTATCCCAGAAGACTGAAGCCTTTCTCGTACGGAATCTCCACTGACAAGACTTCGCCATCCATCAGGGCAGTTGCTCTCTGGAAACTCCTGATCGATTTCTCGGAGAAGGGTATTACTCTGGTATCATCGTTGCTAAACATATATGACGCTGCCCGAAAGTAATTCGATGCGCGGAGGTAGGCGTTCCTTGCCAGTATCTTGAAGCCAGCTTTCGCGGCTTCGTCACCGATCTTCTTTGCTCGTTCTCCTTGCTCTTTCCATGCTCGATACCAAGATTCAGCATCGTGCTTCTTGATCTTGCCCACGGCGCTCTTGAACTCGCCAGCGTCGCATCCGCCGCTTGATGTGCTACCGAGGATTCGGGTCAGTTCGAAATCGAACATGAACGAATTGAGAAATGTGAACATGATTAAAATGGATTTAGAATAAATCAGGATATCAAGAGTTGTCATGAAGTGGATGAGATATTGTTAAGAGAATTGCCACTTTTCTGTACGGGTGGACACTTCCATATTCCATTCAATTTTGTTGTCGAGCGACAATAGAAAGTTACTCAGTCACTCATGTTGATTTTTGGTATCACCACACCTCGAATGACTATCCCAAACATGCAGTTGGATTACTGTGTTTGAGTCGGGCTAATTACTCCGCAACCGAAATTTCAGATGTGTAAGTCGGGACTTATGCAAATCGGAGCCTTGGTCATTCGGGACTTCTTCCACGTTGCTGTACGCGGCCTCAATTGAACGGCGTTGATCTTTGTCATTGTGTCCTGTCTTTCCTTGGCCCAGACGGCGTCTTATCCCAATCTGTTACCTCCACCGGCTCGGTCACGTCTTGAGTCCTTTCGCCGATGGTCGACAGAATGTGGCGTCAAGCCTTCCTTCCTTCATACTAAAAAATAAAGTTTGAAGGATCACTTCACAAGGATAAAAGCGTGCCTAGCTTCACATGCCAACTCTTGCAGCAGTTGGGTTTCAGCTCCTTCCTCGTAGTCAGCCACTTCGGTATACGATGCAGGCCCAAACATTGCCCTTTTCAGGAAATCAGGCTTGTAATACAGAACATGCTAGGAAAATCGCATTAGGAAATGGTTTACACACTTGCCAAGTTTTCAGGTGATTCGGTTGAGGTTTGCCAATACCTTGGCTGTTCTTCGCTGCATTACCCAGACGGGAACAACCAGCAGCTTCTAGTGAAATATCATAATCCGTCACATCTATCTGATAATGGTCAGCTCCACTAATTCAACCAAATTGTGGCCTTAGAATACGTCCAAGGAAGTTCTGCTGCCATTGAATGCTCTAGTGCGCCGGAGGACCAAGGGGGTTCCAAGAACATGCCACAACACTTGAAATTATCGAGATGATCCACATCGTTTTGATTACAATATTAATACAGGTGTGAGAAGAATACCTAACATCTCTAGATATCTCTTCACAATACGTTTGCGAAATTAGAAAATGTACAATCCTCGTGTGAAATGTGCCCTAGGCAAATCGAAACCTTATATAAGAGCCCGTGAACACAGAACCATTCCAGCATCTTTAACCTACTTTAGATGCTGAATTCTCAGGATCGGAATTCTTGGATTTAACTGTCTCCTCTATGCTGAACTTGGTGTCAAGCTCTTTCCTGAGTGGGATTTCCTTTTCGATAATTACCAGTAGGAAACCCAACGCTGCAAAAGACATGGAAACAAACCACACTGTCTTGATCGAGTCCACATATACAGATACAACCTGTGCACGCGTGACTGGATCGGTGATCGCATCCATGAAGCTTTTCGTAGCACGCTCATACGCCGCCCCGTTTGCGAGTTGCTGCGCAACCGCAGAGTCGGTAATTCTGTACAGAAGCGTGTTGAAGCGGTTATTGAAAGCAGCTGTTGGAATAGTGGCACCCCAGATAAGCCCAAAGCTTCTGACAAAGGCCCAAGTTGAAGTTGAAAGTGCGGTGTCATCCTCTGTGAGAGATGCTTGAACAGCCGGAAGAAGTACAGGTAGAACAAGGCCTGTGCCGGCCGCATTGGCGAGTTGGTAGCCAACCCATTGCGCTGTTGTTGGATTGGCTTTCAGCAGTGTCAAGAGTCCAAATCCAACAATCATGAGGGCAAATCCGGCGTGCTGGATAGGACGATAGCGACCGAATTTCGAAAGTAAGGTTCCGGCAGCGATAGCACCTGGTATCAAAAAGAAAATTGTCGGAAGCAGTTCGACCCCTGAGCGGCTAGGTGTAGAGGCCAGTACAGACTGAAAGTAGACTGGAAGAAAGTAGATGACCGAGATCGCAGAAAGACTGTGGAGGAATGTCAAGACAAAAGCTATCGCTGAAGTTCGGTTGGAGAAGAGATGAAGTGGCATTGTCGGATTGATACAGTATTTGGAGGCCTGGTAGAACCCGAATAAACCGAATCCTAAAAAGCCGATAACAAGTGGAACGATAACGCGGAACGACGACCATGGATATGTGCTTCCTGACCAGGATAGAGCTATGAGAACCGAGACCATCGAGAGAACAAAGACAACGTTTCCGATCCAGTCAATCCGTTTCAGTCGCGCCATGTAGTCTAGGGTATTGTCTGATTTGACCCTGAGGAAGGCAAAATGAATGACTAAAGCCACTCCACCGATGGGAACATTGAGGTAGAACACCCAGCGCCACGAGGTGTATTGGACAATTAGTCCACCAAAGACTGGACCCAGTGTCGTGCCGAGAGCAATGAGACCGAACATGATACCTAGGTATTTCCCTCGTTCTCTGAGAGGGAGTATATCGCATACAATTATCTCGATTAGAACATTGACTCCCCCAGAGCCAATGCCCTGTATGAGTCGTCCAGCTATCAACATATTGATATTTGACGCACCACCGCAAAGACCACTTCCTAGAACAAAGGCCGCTGTGCTGAAGATCATTGGCCATCGACGACCGTAGATGTTTGAAATCTGGCCAAAGAATGGTTGGAATGCGGTTCTGTTTAATACATGTTAGAGGCGCAAGAATTCAGGGGAGGCGAACTCGACGTACTGAGTCAAGTAGAATCCATTGACAACCCATACATATAAGTTAGCACCACCAACGTCCGCGATGATTGTTGGCAGTGCAGTAGACGTGATTGTTGCCTCCAACGCAGTTGACAGACCCGAGAAAGCGAGCGCAACTATGATGGCGTAAAATCTGTAAGTCTTCTTCGTAGACTGAACATCCTTTACGCCTCCTCCCTCGTCACTTTCATCAGTAGTTGCCTCTTTTGTAGAGCTTTCAACAGCATTGTCGGGTAGTATTTTATGCTCAGATTCGGCTTCGACGCTGTCATGGTGCTCATTAAGAACCATTGTATCATTGTTTGTCACGGATGCAGTGGCGACCGTGCCAGCAACTGCCGCAACATTTGAAGTCATTTTGGTATGAGATAAGTGTTCAAGTTGCTTGAATATGGCTATATCAAACAGAAGGAAATTTCAACGTAGTTTTACATATATGAAATACCGGTAGTCGGTATGTAGGCCGAAAACACTTAGCGTTCGGCATTCGCGAACGCCGCTCGGCGTTCGTTGGGTGAAAGTATTCCACATACCGGTAGTCGTCTAATTTGGAGGCTGTATGCGTAATCTAGAGGCCATCAAGTACCTGCGTACCTAGGTACCCTTTGGCAAAACAAGAGATTCATGTTCACGTGACCCGAGGTTAGTAGCACACCTAGGTATAAGAGTTTGAGCAGACCAGCTGCTTTGAGACTTTCCAAACGCCACGGAATTGACTTAGATAGGCGCAGGCTGATATTAAGTGACTACCATCTCGTAAACTATTTTGAATGTCCTACTCAGTCATCCATACAAGAGATCATGTCAGTATTACTCCAGAGTCGAAGTCGAGTGAGAATCTGGAAACAGACCACTAAAGGTTTGGGTGACGGCATATTTTGATTCAGTTCTGACCTACTGGAGTTTACGAGCAGATGTCAGATAATGAGAAACGAGACGTGGATGTACGAGGTACGAGGAGGGCTGAGCACTTAAGTCCCCACATAAGCAAACACTCGGTATAGAGTATTGACAGCCGACGAAATAAGCAACGTTCATTTTCAGAATGTGTTGCTGCGTCGAGTCACTTCAGATTCACTATTCTCATCGATACGACGCACCTTTCACCTGGTCGGCCGCGGTCTCATTTGATTCGAAACCTCATCTGTTGTATAGCAGCTCGGCCGTTTTGCGATTGGCGGACTATTTGGCTCCATGTTTACTTACAAAGTGGTACGAACTGTTGACCATTGCATTCCTGACAGCGGCAAGCGCCGTTATCAGGATTGCCACGCCCAGCTCCACTGTGAAGCTTACAGTAGTGGCGGGTGGTTGAGGGGTAAATACATGAGCGGAGCGAGGGGTCCACGCATGGGATGTTCCTGCGCTGTAACTCTGGTGGGGTTTTGATGCATGGCATGCACCTCTCGGCAGCACTATCTATGTATTGTCTATAGCGCTTACGGATGGCCTTTCTTGGCAATATCTGACTTCTGCATGGCATAGGACTCACTGGACTCACGGCACCCTACATCTGGATCCTTTATGGAGCTTAGCCTGTTGAACCTATAATGACGTCCGGCTGGCTACATCCAAGACTTCGGGGGTCGGGAGCTGGCAGACTGCATGGACTATACTTCTTAGGTCGATTAGAGAGATCTTTTCATCCATTCTCGAGGCAAAGACAATCTCAAGGGAACGTTCTATCATTTATTTTATGGTTTATTCTATGACAATTCGAGCATTTTATACTGGCTTGAAAACGATCTCGTTGAGTCTCCGAATTTCCTGTTTCAGTGCTTCAATCCCATTTTCACACGACATTTGTCCCCCACTCTTCTCTTGTCTAAGCAAAAAATCTAATAGTTGGGGTAAGATTGCCTTGCTGCGAAGCTCGAGTTGGTCTTTCTTGCCCGTTTCGGCCGCAGAATCAAAAGGATGACCAAGTAAAAGTCCAATTTTCTCAACAAGGCGCAGCACAACTTGAGTAAGAATGATGATTTGTAGATCGGAATCCTGATGGATTGAGACGCCCCCAATCTGGAAGCCTGAGAGCGTGGGAAAGGATGATTGGTGACCGTGAGCGGGTAAGGCGTCTCGAACCGCAGCGAAGACCTCCCGGCAGAGACGGATGAGATTGATGTAGCAAGAGATAATCAAAAGACATGTGGACATATCGAGCCCAGTAATCTTAGACGGGACGTCCTGAGTATTGGACTTGACATGGGTGTCTGACCGTAACACTCTTTGCCGTTTATTTTGGGGTTCAGATATGGATTCTAGTGAGTCGGTATTGGTATCATCTGTGAGACCCAGGAGATTAGGAGCCCAAAACTTCGAGTCCTGCCAGGAATCTTGATTTAGCGTGGGTTGATTCTTGTGGTAACCGTGCATTCCGGCTTGAGTTGTGTTTTCCTCACAAGTTTGATATGCCGTGCTAAGAATATTGACAAGTAATCCGTGAAATGTCTGCAGCCCTTGAATCATGAAAATAATGGCAGGCGAGAGAACGTTTTGCCTGCCAACGCTCTCCATTGAGCTGGCTTCCGTGATGCCAAATTATTCTTCCTTTCGACCAATGATGCTCAGTTGTCGGTGAAGTTCGAGGTTCAGATTTGAGACCTTTTCGACTGCTTCCTGTGGCGTTGGTATAGAAACCACCCGAGCTTGAAGTTTGGGATTTTCCTCATCTTTGGGCTGTCTAGCTGTAGTTTGGTCAATTGTAACCGGTTCAATTGATACAAATGGGAATTCTTGTAGAGAGACGGTTGTTCCTTCGGTCCCAAATCCAAACGCACCAAAATCGTCGAGATTTTGAGGTACATGAGGAGAGAAAAGATCGAAGACGTTGTCAAAACTATTTTGCGACGGGGATATACACGTTTGCTCGTTGTCAAGTTCGACGTGGTGAAGTTCGAAATCAAGAGAATTCTGATTTTGTGCATCCATCAGATTGGAATCAATTGACTCTTCCAGATCCGGACCCGTCCAGACATTGCTATTGGTGGTGAAGTTCTTCGAAGATGTCGGAGATGGTGACTGTCGTGAATTGGGTGAGTTTGGTGGATGTTTTGGTTGGGATTTGTGTGAATTGTTTGTTGCCTTTCGTCGGTCTTTATCTGAACGTTGAGGTCGTCCCATGCGCACCGAAGGATCAGTAACACATGTTGCGCCGGCATTCTGGCATCTTTGACATGAAGCATGTAGGTTCGAAGTGCGTATACACCGGAGTTTCTGACCTCTGCATCTATCGCATGCTAAATGCTGCTGCCGTTGTTGTGCCTGACCAACGCCCGACGCAGATCTAAAGTTGGACAGACGATTGGAAGAATCTGGTGGGCCCATCTTCATATGAAATGCGAATCATGTGTGAAGTATAGGCAGAAAGTGTCAAGGACAAGAACATTCAGTTGCGGGTGGCGTAGATATAGCTGGACTCGCACTTGATTGTTGCCGCAAGCATATCGATCCTGCTTAGGATTACATAGAATAGATAGGTGTATATCAGTCTCCGTTTATGCCTCTTATTGGTTAGAGAAAGAAATGAAAGAAAATACAAAACTGATTACTTTAGGTGGAACAAAAGATTTACCTGCGATTTAGTGGTTGACTGGAAAATAAAGAACGCGAGGGGAGAGCTTTTAGTCGTGCGGATTTTCGTACGATTAGGTGAGAGAAGCGTGGAGTTTTGAGTTTCCGTGTGGCGTGACGGATTTGTGGATGGGGAAAGCGGGGGAGTTCTAAGCACTCAGGTGGCGTAATGCGTGAGTGGGGAGGGAATGGAGCGAAGGGGCTCAACTACTGCATGTATTACATTAAGCGAGAAGGGAAAATTAGGCGGCTTTGGATTACTACTGAGAAGGCTAAAGTATTTAGAAGAAATGATAAAATGCGTATTTGTTTTCGGCTTGTCCGATGGCCAAGACCAGTAGAAGTACAGTACCTGTCTCGCTTTCCGCTTCGATCCCGTGTTTGATCCCAGTACTTAGCCCTATTCTCCACTCTTACTGCATTCTTACTGAGCTCCGCTCTCGGTTCCTGCTTCCAATCCCTGTTTCTTAGTCCCTGCAATTGCTCCCATTCTACTCTTACTGTATTTTCCCTGTATTTGCTTACACCTCTCCATCCTTGTTCCCACTCCACTTACTTTTGGCACAATACGGCCCAGCAAGTGAGGGATACAGAATGAAGAGAAGAGCAGAGTCTCACAACATGAGCAGGGGCCCAACAGCTATGACGCAAAGCTAGCCGTTCAAAGTTAATAACTGGCTACCCTCGTGCTTCAAGAATAAGGGCCTTCTTTACCAGCTCTTGCAGGGAATCAGTCGCCTCTGTCTCATCCACGTGCTCCCAAATTAAGCTTAGATATTTTGCTTCCTGGGCCACTAAAACGAAAATTCTACTCTCTATCTTCCTCTTACGCCATTGTGCTGCGCTTTTGTATCGTTTTGTTGTGTTGATTGCTGAGCGCAAAGACAAGGAGAAAACGTGTGAACGAGAGCAGGTGCAAGTATTGAAATAAGGTAAATTGGAAAGTGATTTTGAAAGTCTTTGGCATGCATTTTGGCTACATTTCCATGTGTTACAGATGGTTTCTGCAGCTTGTTCCCAAGTTTGCACTTGATCTCACTCAGCGCTCTAAACACCGACGCTTGCTCGCTGCTGTTGCTTGTCTGTTCATTTGCTCCTGCATTTTCTGTCACCTGCTTTCTCAGCAGCAGAGTCAGCAATGTCAGCAATGCTAATATAAGCAGTGCCAGCACAGCACTCGAATGATGAAGTTGAAGAGAAATAGAGATTAGAATTTGGAAGGGACAGAGTCATTTTCAGAAAGGGTTGGGCAGCTCGCTTAAGCCTAACGAGGGGGTGTAAAGCGCTCGGGTTCCGGACATAAGGGTAGGTACAGCTTATCCAGCGACTATTCACCGCTTTATAACTCAGATAAGTAAGTGCTGGAACTTGGCTAGCTCTACTGCTTGTCCCGCTTAATTGAGACCTTATTTTCCCATGAAGTTCTTCACCACTTAGGTACCGTGCTGAGAATAAGCCCAGAAACCAAGTGGAGGAGGACTAGATGCAGAGACTAAGACTCCAGAAGAAGGTGAGAGCGAGCAAGCAGGTTTACTGCCAAGAGAAGCTGAAGGATTGAGAGAAGTTGCGGGACCGAGAGAGAATGCGGGTCCAAGAGGGGGTGCAGGAACTGAGAGAAGGTGAAGCGGAAGGCATGCATGAGGCATAGGAGGTCGCCGCGTGATAGAATAATATAAATGGATCACGCAGGGAACGTGTTACTATTTGATGACAAATAAAGTCGTAAGACAGTTCCACTCTCCGTGCTTTTGAAACTCTCGATTGGTGATGCGTCTTACTAGAAATCTTGAGAGCATCCGCTCGTAGCAGCCAGTGACATCCTCATCTTGTTCTATCAAATGAAGCAGCTCCGCTGGAAGATACTATGCATACTACCCGCATGGAAGATTCCAAACACGTTTTCCGGAGCATCCTAAGGCCTTGCTATCCAATTAGTCTGATGCTGGATCCCTGTTTGCCATGAGAATGAAAGCGGCACGGTTAGAACCGTGCATACGACGGTAGTAGCCGAATCCCGAGCTGAATACCCGAATGGCGCAACCACTTCGGAAGGCAAAGTTTGTTGAGGGATATCCTCCAGACAGAGCGGGTAGGCGCATTCTACATACTTACATAAACTCGAAAACGAGGAGGCTAGAACTAAAGCATCCTCATGATACGATACTCCATACCAGAGAATCTGAAGTCCGGACACTTCTGGAAGCTTAGTCATTCTTTGATCCAAAAAATATCCACGGTGACTCAAAAGATGGTGTCAATATCACCAGGAGCTCGTACGAAGCAAACAAAGAGTCAAATAACGCAGTAAATAAATGATTTCATGATGGGGTTGAAAACATAATTGATAAATTAGAAGAGGATGCGAGAGCTTGAAGCCTTGGATCCAAGTTCTCGCACTAGCCCCATACTGTTACTTGGGCGAAAAATACAGTATATCACAATATGTTGAAAACTGCTCAGAAGTTTTGATAATTTTCTAAATTGGACAATACTTAGCAGAGGTAAGTTTGCATTTCATTGCCCTTTCAAGTTGATGCTTCCTTCTGAAATGATTTGCTTCGTGTCAATTGTACTCTGATACTTTGTCTGTGGACACCAATTTACCGTGTTGAACTCACGACAGGCAACACTAGCTCACCCTTAGCCAGAGTGCATTGCTGGTCCTTCGACAAGCCCTCTTACCCTATCTCGCCACTATTGCCGCCCCCACAACACTGCATAGAATAAGATGAGGTATCGGACTCTCTCCCAACTTCATATCAGAATAAAATCCAATAAACAAAAGCCCCATGGAAACTTTAAGCCCTGTAGTCCTCAAATCGGCCAAAGCAAGCGAAACCGAAACCAATATATTCAAGCTAACGAAAACATATCTCAGAGCGTTATCCGAGATACCCAGCCACCAGAATACAGCCTTGTTGTGTTGAGGTAGTTTTTCCTCGAGATTCTTCGAAAAGGTAGGTGTGAACCGTTTCGTTAAATGCGCCTGGACACAGAGGGCGCTGAAAGCGGCGATGCTAAGGGCGAGAACGTCGCTGAATATGTGAAGGGAGGACATTATGGCGTGCGGTTGGTTCGCTCACTGAGATGCCTTTGAGGTTGTTCAAATGAATACTTGCTAGTCGGTCTGTGAGCGGGAAACATTCCTTTCGTTCTGGCATGTATTACTCACAAATTTCAGATGGAAGGATTCATAAGGATTGGGCTGAAGAACTAGCGGGAGGCGCTCAGAGCACGTAGGTGACGCAAAATACCGCAAATATATGAGTGAGAAAGATTACGACGCTTCCCCACAATAGTCTCATCCAACACCGAACGTCTGGCTGCATCCGAACCGCAGATCACCCGAACGCCTTGTTCGGGAGTTTCTGTCTTTGAGACCCAACCATGTCTGACTTTTGGACGAACTGTTCAGTCCGAGCCCTAAATTCCGATAGGTCTCTCTCGTATCATCATCTTCGGTTCGCGAGTTGTTTTCGCGGTCTTTGGACTACACCAGTTCTTGGACTTTTACTTTCGGGACATTTGCTGTCTCGAGCTCGAAGTATCCTTGGCAATTGAAAGAATTTTTGACGTTCACTGAGATTCTACATATTGGAATCAGACCATTCTTTCCCTGCCCCATCCCTCACTATCAGTCCACCTAGTAGTATGGCCACTTTTTTGGTCAACCATGAGCGATCATTCGAATTTTGTCGCATTCAAACAAATGTGATGAGGAATTAAAACTTATAAGCTAACACAACTTTCGTACGTTTGCTTCAAACTAGTTCGGTAGATATCTCTGCCTTTCTCTTTAAAGGTCAAAAGCTTCCATCTCAAAAATCATAAAATCCTCGTGTTCGCTCTATTCAAAGAACGAAATAAGTGCTAGACTCGACTGCGAGTCTCTATCAATCACAATGGCAACTTTAATTCGCCTTCTTCGTCTCCTTCCCGTTGCCAGTTCCTCAGCAGTCCTTATGTTCGCTCTCGATGAACATCTAATCTTTGGAACCTGGGTACAACCCTCCATCCGCGAACGCGCGAACGCCAATCTCCCAGCGTGGTGGACCCGTGGAGGTCTTCGCTGGCGTTGGGTACTCATCATATTCTACCCCGTCAACTACATCCTCGGTATCCTAAATCTCTTCATCTCACAAGATCAACTTCAAGATACAGGCGCCAGCAAGTGGTACACTCTTGGATTGTTATTCAGCATCGCACATATGTTTTATTTGTTCAGAGCGTTGAAGCTCATAGCAGCTATTGAAAATGATGAGCCGAAGGGGAATGTTACTTATTCGATGGGTCGTTGGTTGAAGATGAACTGGACTCGAGCACTGCTGACCGACTTGCCGGCATGGCTGTGCTTTATTGCTGCAGCATTGAAGGCACTGTGACGAAGGGACTGTAGGACTAAAGTTCGCAGAGACACAGAAGAGGACGTTGTGAGGGACATTGAAGGCAAGCTCCACTCATCCATATAGGTGAAAGATGAGTTCTTTAAGTAGTCGTCTCGGTTCAAAAGTTTCAACAATGATATATCAATATATTTGGAGTTCCAAGTCCGAGACTCCTTTTTGGCCACTTCCCCATACGTGATGTGGTGTATGTAATGAGTCTGACGAAAAGTCAACGTTTTCAGTCTTCGTCACAAGCCTGTTTAAGCGACAAAAATCAGTAGCATCGAATCACTTGAAATCTACTTGATAATTACTAACAATTTTTCTTTGAAACTCTGTTGTTATATACAAAAGAAGATGATTTTCATCATTCGGATTATTCGCCTAGGTTGATCTGAATTTGCCCCAAAAATAAAAAAATGCGTTTCGGCGTTCATTTGATCGCTAGGGCCCTTATGAGCTCTCCTAGTTTTATGTTAGTATTTGATCGTAATAGAGAGCATTACTTGTATTTCTTTACTTTGCTATTCTGAAATTAATTTAAAAGTGAATATCTTGTCTCGACGTGGAGGTGAAAAGGGGCGGGGTACTTAAGCGAGGTACTACCCCGCATTCTGACTAGGCCGACCCGTCAGACGACCTCGGAACCATTGTACCTCGTTACTCAAACGAAAATAACAACACCCTCCACTTTTAAACCTGCACATTTGGAAGATGAAGAAGATTGTCAATCACATATCAATTAGAAAAACTCGAGATGAAGCAGAACCGCCCAGTACGGATAGCAGGTTAGTCCTTTCTTTACCTCACTAAATGTGATAGCCATCCGATGCCACTCGAGGAAATAAAAGTTCCATCTCATCTCATAACTTACTTCTCTCCCATTGTTGGGTCTGGATCGAAGAGACAGCTAACAAGACTTCAGGAGCATCAGGCAGTGCCTCCGACCGCCGCCATGCAATCGCTGCGTTCGCAGCAAACTACCCCTCTGATCCAGTGGACGTGATAATCGGCGATGTACGTCTTGCTCTCTCTTTTCTCTTACGTAGAAGCTAACAATCTCCAAGTGGCTATCCGAAGCCAACATGGCTGCCCTAGCCTATAAATCCCAGCTACCAAACGAAATACTCTACGAGAAAACCTTCCTCGAAGCTCTGTCTCCGGCTCTGCCGGACATTGCTAAGTATGGAATTAAAATAGCAGTCAACGCCGGAGGTAGTGATACAAAAGGATTAGCCGATGTCGTGAAGAAGCTGCTGAAAGAGAAAGGATTAGGAGATAAGTTAAAAGTCGCCTGGATCGAAGGAGACGATGTTCTTGAAGTCATCAAAGAAAAGCTACAAGCTAGCGAGAAGAAGAAACAGAGCAAATGGCAACAGATCCGCAACGCACCAATGGGCAAAATGAGAGACGGAATGAGTATCTTCGACGCTTGGATGGAAGGCGAAGACGTTTCCGCCGAAGTGAAATCCGTTCTCTCTCGCCGAGACCCAGATTTTTGGAATATCTGCACAGGGGAAAAGCTGCAAGATTGGGTATTCAAGGATCAGATACTGGCAGCGCAAGCTTATCTTGGTGGCTTGGGTATCGCTCGTGCTTTTCGGGAAGGAGCAGATATCGTGCTCTGTGGCCGAGTGTCGGATGCTAGTCCCGTGATCGGAGCAGCGTCGTGGTGGCATAATTGGTCCCGAGAGGAGAATTTGGAGGAGTTGGCGAACGCTTTGGTAGCGGGACATCTAATCGAATGCTCGAATTATGTTTGTGGAGGGAATTTTTCTGGGTTCAAGGCTTTGGAGCCGACTGGGTGGGTGGATATTGGGTATCCGATTGCAGAAATTGGGAAAAGAGGGGATATGATTATCACAAAACAGAAGGGAACAGGTGGATGTGTTAGTGGTGAGTGGATCAATTTGACTTGGAAATTATTGATTGCTGAGATACACTCGCTATATGGGACATTTCTCCTAGATATTTCTTCCCAAAAAAGACAAAACTGAATGCATGCTGATCTGCGATTTTCAGTCGATACCTGCAAAGCTCAACTGTTATACGAGATCCAAGGACCATGGTACTTCAACAGCGACGTTACTGCTGTGATTGACCAGATTGCATTTGAACACTTGAGCTTAGATCGTGTCAAAGTCTCCGGAATCAAAGCACTGCCTCCTCCCCCAACTACAAAAGTGGGTATCACCGCGGATGGTGGGTTTCAAGCTGAGGTCCATTGGTTCTTGGTCGGGCTTGACATCAAAGACAAAGCCAGGATGTTAGAGTCGCAGATCCGCCATGCTCTCGGCGACACCTCAAGATTCCACGTCCTGAAATTCACGCTCAATGGTACAGCTGCAGAGAACCCAACAGACCAGAATTCGGCAACAGTCGATTTCAGAATCTTTGCACAAGCGAAAAACGCAAATGAAGTTGCTCCTGACAATTTTCTGAGGCCGATAATCGATTTGATAATGTGTAGCTACCCCGGTGCGACTTTCCACCTTGACTTCCGCCAAGGAATACCGAAGCCTATCCAGGAGTACTTTGTGACGCTTCTCCCCCAAGCCAATGTTCAGCACGTGGTTCACATGCATGATGGACGAGATCTGAAGATCGAGTATCCCAAGCGCAGCAAGACATTTCCTCAAAATCAGCCAAGCCAGGACATATCGTTGGTTTCGTCGAAAGATTTTGGTGAGACGATCCGAGGTCCCCTTGGTTGGTTGGTTCATGCCAGATCTGGTGACAAAGGTTCAAATGCGAACGTTGGTTTTTGGGTCAGACATCAAGACGAGTATGATTGGATGAGAATTTTGTTGAGTACCGAGAAGATGAAAGCATTGCTCGCCGATGAATATAATGGGAAGAACATTGTACGTTGCTTCCATCTAGTGGATGCCTCTGACGATAATAGGACCGTTTCGAGCTACCAAACATCTTAGCCGTTCATTTTCTCCTCCATGACCACCTTGAACGAGGTGTCAGCTGGTCGAGCACGTATGATTTCTTGGCGAAGAATGTTGCCGAGTTCCTTCGATGTCGACACGTTGATTTGCCAAAACGATTTCTCAATCGAGGAAAGCTTTAAATCAATACTGGGGCAGAACAAAGACTGGATGGAAGTTGTCTGGCATGGTTCGTATCAAGTCTTGCTTTCGACCAAGGTTCCATCGTCGGAGCCGATAACACTTTCTTCGTAGGGACTCTCGGGCTTAGCAAGACTGACCATGGCATTCTGAATGCCAACAGCGATTCGATAACCAGCGAGTCCTAACAAGGCTATGATAACGAGCAGGAGGTTGATGACAGCGAGCAGGCATAGCGGTATGGTATGCCATAGCTGGACTCGGCGAAGAGGACAGCCTTTTGGTTTTTTGCCGTCAGCATCGTCCTCAATCTCGAACAAGCCGGCAAGCATGAATCGGAGCGGGCATTTTTTCGGCTCTGGTGCAACAGTATCTCCCGAGTTCGTCGAGGAGGACACTGATTCTGTGTCGGTATCCTTATCTTTCTTGCTTCTCTTCTTCTTGTGGTTGATGATCATCACCTCGCCGGAATGTCGGCGGGCTCGACTGTTTGGATAATGCTTTTCTTTCTCGGATGACGCCATTCCGAAGTTAAGAAAATTGGTGGACATTGGGGAATTGGCTGCAGGGCAGAAGGCTATGATATAGACGGATGTGTCGGACTCCCTCAAGGTTTCAGATTAATTCAGGGCGGGGTCGTTGGTGTGATACGAAGGAGGCGCACATATAACAGGAGTATTATTGCAAGAATGATAACTGCCCGAGACATACATCCATGGCCCAATGATCGAAAAGACGGCACGAGGCTCCCAAGGCTGAAGCTTATGGTGCTAAGTGAGACACTATTTCTAATGGTCCAGGCCTCCAACCTGCAGCCAACAAAAGCCGAGCGACGTGGCAACGTCAAATGAGCTTCGTCGTACACCATCTCCTACACTGAAGCTTAACATCTTGATTTGAAGCAAGATATCGGGCACTTTTGAAGGATTTAGTACCCCACGTTCCGCGGGTCATCTGATAGGTCCATACTCGATGTGGTCGAGGTGACTGCTGCAAGCCAGCATTTGGGCTCTCATTCAATAGGTGCCCAATTTCATGAAGCCGCATTTAGTCCAAGGCACATATACATGTTCATTCGACAATGCGATAGCTGTTGATGAGCTCTGTCCACTCGGACAAAAGCTCTTTGGTTCCAAGATGCTCAGCCGTTGGGAGAGGAGCTGAAGCTTTACAGTTATCGGATTGGAGCAGACGATCGAGTGCAGGAGATAGACGCATTCAGACATGGCTTTCGTATTGTTGAAGGATTTGGGTTCTGCCTTGCAGCCACCACCCATTTACATGGTAACCAATACATAAATCGAGGCAGGTGGTGTGGGTTGGGGATGTCCGAACTCGTACTTCGAGATTTTCTTTCGGCATGTGAGAAAATGAAGGCCCTGCTCGCTCCAGAGTCGAAAACCAGACCAGATTTTGTACAATGATAATCCGATCAGGTGGACGTCTTGTCAGCTGCCGTTGTGAGACATCGAAGACAGGATTGTCTACATAGCGTGGAAGGGAGAGTCGGCATTGTATGTAGATAAGCTAATGTACGTACACGATCAGAAGGCCCAACACTTGAGAATTGTTGGAAAGGGTGTGAAGACGGGCAAGGCTGCCAGTCAGTGAAGTGAGCAGGTTGCGACAGACTTTCGACTTTCAAGCTGGAGCTCGGCTCGGATCGCCAAATGTCCAGAGCTCCCGCCAGGCCAAATTCGGACACACCACCGGGAACGGCAGAGGACGTCACGACTAAGCTCCAGACCCCTCCTTTCACTCACAACGCTCAATGGCAACAACCAGAGGCGACTGACTCCCCAGATCAATACGAGCTCGCACAGAGCGCCGATAGCTCACAATGTCGCGCGGAAAGCCGGATTCGTCGATGTCGAACGATTCCTTCTCAGACGGAGCTCCCTCCTCAGACTACGACCCATACCAAAACGAGCAGAACCCTGTCACCTACCATATAGACTATTCACACTTCCCGAAACCTATTCCGATCTTTGGTCGGCTCTTTGGTTACAACGATGCGATGGTGTCGCAACTTGTGCAGAGGAAATTAGACAATGCAACCAAGCTTCTCAACAGACCTGTCACCCAAGATGAAGCGACAGCACTGGCATACTTTTCAGCGAAGCAAGTCTCTATAATGTCCTATGGCTCGCCAGCTGGTCTTGCAGGTGGATTGTGGAGATGTTACGCCACGATAGACACGTTCCAATTTCCATTTTTCAAACCAGATCTGGAGAAATTCCGTTTCGATAAGTTCCCTTCAACGCGGGCACCGGTCTTAAGAGATCTACGAGCAATTGCAGCCTGGCATATGGTGAGAGCGGCATCATATAGTACGGTGGGGATTACCATTGGGAACATACTGTTTGGGAGTTACGCGGCGTCAGTGACTGTGGCGGGGGAAATGTTAGACACAAGATTAAAGACTTATGTCGAGGCCATAAGGGAGAGGCAAAGGCAGAACATACCACAAGGGACTAAGGGCTCCCAACCTCAGACTGGGCAGACTGGCACAATATCAACAGGTGGCTCTAAGCTACCATATGATCAAAGTCCTGCTGGGATTTTTGGGCAAGCAGATATGACTCCATCTTCGGGAACTTATGATTCGGGCGTGCAGGTACAACCACAAAGGCGGCAATGGCCATTACCGAGACAGATACCCCCTCAAGCCCCTCAAGCCCCGGCCGATGATCAGGCTAAGCCTTTCGATATGTTTGATGGTGCTTCCCCAACAAGCGGACAAGGAATGATGGGAGATATAACTCCAGCGCAACCACAAGGCTCGGCATGGGAAAGATTACGGCGAGGTGAGAAGCCTGCGGCTGCTCCTTCGACGACCACGTATCAACAGCAACAAAGGCAGACCCAACGAGAACAGAGAGATGGATCTACAATAGGCGATGGATACACTTTCTCAAGGTCGGACGAAGAGAGGAGTTACGCTAAGGAGGAAGCGCAGAAGGAATTTGATGCTCGAATAGAGCTTGAGAGACGTGGGGGAGATTTCAATGCAGGAAATAAAAGATGGTGATGATGTACGAGTATATTGGGACGCTAAAATGTGCATTGTCTCGGCATTTATGGTCCTCTGGGATGAAGGCCAGGTTGCAAAGTAATCTCATCACCGTTATTGATCTATGAGCGCTGAATCTTAGTGATTATCAAATTGTTGTGTGCCAGCCAGGTGAAGAGTCCATATACATACACAGGTTTGCCCTCGAATGTCCTGGTTTCTCAACCTGAGATATAGTCTTTAAACCAGCTGTCCAAGAGAGATCACTCTGAGCATCGGACCTTGAGACACTGATCGACTTTCTCTGCCTCTCAGAATTTGGGAAAATATTCAAGCAAGATGCTCAAATTAACCCCCAGTTCAAAGCTTCCAATACGTAATCCATACCTGACTTTATTCTAGCACTTCTCATAAGCGAAACCTGTCAAACCTGCTTTCACCAACGCCAGCTCAAGCCAGCTCAAAACCGGCTCAAACCCGGCTCAAGCTAGACTAAATCCGTATCAAACGACTACTTCCTTTGGTGCGATGTGCAACAAAACTTCAACTGGCCCTGTCATTGGTCCAGAATGTATCACGTGCAAGCCTTCAATCTTCAAGGCTATCTTCGTCGACTTATAGTAGGTGAGGTTTCTTAGAAGTCTTTTCCGGATCTAAAAAGACGATGTGGAGTTTTGATGTTTGAGTCGTTTTTCTGATAACATTCTCAGGAGAATATAGGTCACAAGTCAGGCGTACAAGCTACAGCTACCTATCCTGCTGCTTGGCTGGAAAATTCATGTATTGAGTATAGTCCTCTTTGAACATAAGTCACTCCTCACTGCTAGTTGGTGCTTGAGCTGTAATGATTCAATCCAATACTTAGTAGACAGCGTGTGTGGTGATCTCGTTCAACGGCAGTAATCGAAATCATCAACGGGTATACAAATGACAACAACAACCCTGAAAGCAACGATAATTGTCAAACGATAGCAGCAGCAAAGACTGCGACATGCAACAAAAGCCTCCTCGACCTTGATTGGCCCAACCTTAATTAAGCTTTTCCCTAGCTTTGCAGCACATTGCAACACCCAAATCTTGCCTTCTCAACGAAGAATACATACAAATAAAATCCTGCAATATGATTGGCCCACGGTACCTTAGCGCCAAAATTCCCAGCATGTCAATTCCATTCCTATTTTTGGAATTTTTCTCGTTGAGGTAGAGAAGTTGAGCCATTGCGACGTGCAACAAAAGATTTAAGGTTTCGTTAGCGCCGGCGGAACTTTTTTCCTGGCTTTCAGAGCAGCTCAAGAGAGCTTCTCAACGAAGACCACATACAAAAGATATCCTGTAATCTGATTGGCGGACAGTCTACTAGCGTGGAAATTTGGAGCATATGGTTTTCCATTCCATTTTTGAGAAATTGCTCGTTGAGGTGGTGAATTAAGGCTATTGCGACATGCAACAAAACTTTTCCTCGGCTCAAACGGTCTTAGCGCCTTGAATGAATGTTCGTCTTCGAGGAGGTTATGCACCCTTTGTTCAATACTCACCCTAGCTCTCAACCCTCAAAACACCAATGTTCTTGTCATTCAGAGTCTTTGGAAAACCGCATTCGCATTGCATCAATTTACCTATTCAGAAATTCGAATGGCAGAATCAAGAGCTTGGTGCTGCTCTCGGATTCAATACGTTTATTGAGTGCCACAACCTCAGCATTCCCGAGAGACGTTTTTGATGGGTCTTGTTGCCAATATGTGCTCTAGGTCTATCCAAATATATGTACAGTGAAATTATCAAGATGCCGAGATGAACAACCTAGGTCATGAAGTACTTTGGACCTTCTCCACCTTGAGGCGTCGTCCAATTGATGTCTGCAAGGGTCAGCATAATTAACCGCACTGTTCATAGGTGGATTACCTTGATCTGGAACCTTAATATCACAGGTCTTGCAATGGATGCAACTATGAATGTTAGTGAAACGCTATAGTGAAGTGCGGCGAGGGCTTACTTCTGAGCATTGATCTGGAACCTCACACCCAGATCCTTCGTCTCATCCTCGACATACTCGTACACTCCTGCTGGACAGAACCTGTTCTCAATTCCTTTGTACTTGGGCCACTCCAATTCAGCGTGCTTATCCCAATCCTTGACCTGTAAATGGACAGGTTGATCCTCTTCATGGTTCGTACCTGTCCTGCTGACACTCGTCAAGATATCAAAGCTGATCTTTCCATCAGGCTTCTCGTACTCAATTTTCGTGCATTGATCAGCCGTCTTGGTGGCGGAAGCGTCAGTACCATGGTGCTTGAGAGTCCATGGGACTTTGCCCTTCAATACGTAGGCCTCGAGTCCCGAATACATAATACCACCCCACAGCTTCAGAGGTGAATTGAATGACGGTCGCATGTTGCGAACTTCCTTCAATTCCTTCCAGATTGATGATTTGCGCAGTGAATCTTCATAGTCGTACAAAAATGGCGTTCCTGAATCTGAACTTTCAAGTGCATTCCAAGTTGCTTCTGCAGCAAGCATTCCGGACTTCATGGCCGTATGGGTTCCCTTGATCTTTGGAACATTGAGAAACCCTGCTGTATCTCCAATGAGGGCACCGCCTGGAAAGGCGACCTTTGGTATTGATTGAAAGCCTCCTTCATTAAGTGCTCGAGCACCATACGAGATGCATTTGCCACCCTCGAGTACGGATTTATAAAGTGGATGATGTTTCCTGCCAAGTATCAGAATCTGCTTTGATGAAACATTGGGCTTGAACCGCAATGTAAGATGATTAGCAAACGTAAATTGCTCACATTTTTTGGAACTCTTGGTATGGGGAAAGCCAAGGATTGGGGTAGTCCAGTCCAACTACCAAACCCACACTGACAAGATTGTCACCGAAGTGGTACATCCATCCACCCCCATATGTATCTGAAGGTAGAGGATAGCCCATGGAATGCACGATTTGTCCCTTTTGAAACTTCTCTGGCTGGACTTCCCAGACTTCCTTTATTCCGAGACCATATGTTTGTGGCTGGCTTTCATTACGAAGGTCGAATTTCTTGATGACTTGTTTCGTCAGACTTCCATGGCATCCTTCTGCAAACAAAGTAATCCTCGCATGAAATTCCATGCCTCTCTCGAAGCTATCTTTTGGCTTGCCTTGCCTTGAAATACCCAGATCGTTGGTTGCCACGCCTTTCACGGACCCATCTGATCTGTATAGTACTTCTGAAGCAGCAAAGCCAGGATAAACCTCAACGCCTATCTCTTCTGCCCTTTCTCCAAGCCACCTCGTAAATTGATTTAAACTGACAATGTAGTTTCCATGATTGTTCATCTGAGGCGGCGCTGGTAGGGGTATCGAGCTCGATTTCGTAAGGTATCGCATCTTGTCACCTCCCGCAGGAGTCGCATCCTCGAATCTGCTCTCATTGTCCTCTGCCAGCCAATCTGGAATCAATTCGTTGATCGCTGTCGGTTGAATGACAGCTCCAGAAAGAATATGGGCCCCAATCTCCCCAGCTTTCTCCAGCAACAGAACTCGGAACTCGTCATTACCAGCCTCGTTCGCCAATTGTTTTAATCGAATTGCGGCACTCAAGCCAGCAGGTCCTGGATGGGTCAATAAGAGTCTTGGGACATTGCCACTTAAAGCTTACCTCCACCAACAATACATACATCGACCTCGTCACTTTCCCGATCAATAGACCTTGGATCAAAATCATCATTGACATCTGCTAATCGTCTTGGAATTGAGACTGAAAACTCTCGTCGTTGAGGGAGAGGTGGCGCACGACTGCGGGGGCGGGCCAAGCTTGATCTTGTTTGTAGATACCATCGTGAAGCCTGTGTTGTCACCCTGACAAGCTGTCCCCTCAGCAGATTACGCTGCAAGCTTGTAGTGACAGACCTAGAGGAAGCCATAACGAAATGTCACCGCATTGCCTTGTCGTGTTTGACAATTGCTCGTTGTCGGTCTCCATGATGTAAATTTCGAGCTTGCTCGGCAGTCGGTTGAGCAATGCGGCCGAACATCGCCCAATCAAGAAAGTCCCGATTCAAAGCGAACATTATTGCTTCCATCGTCAACGTTAACCTCACTTCTTTCAGTCCATATCGCCGACGACGAGGATCCACAGAAATAAGCATAAAGATCGCGAGCTGAGTACCCTCAATCATCTCATATTATTCTATTTCGATTTTGCTTAAGATCACCCCCTCCATCATGCATTCTGATGTCCTCTTGGCACCGCCCCGTGACTCGAGTACAATTGCCTTTATCAACCTTCAGATATCTGATTATAGACTATGCTTTAATACAAACGGCTCTGTCACCTGGGAGGATCCGCTGTCACTCCATTGCCAAGATTACTTGTATCTAAGAATAATGGCTTTTGTTCACTTGGCATTTGACGTTATTCGGTTGAGGGTGAGATCAGCCAATATGGAAAGCCTCTGCACTCTTCGAAACGCCTGCATCAAGATAAAAACCGGGGAAAGAGAGCCGGCTGCTATGCGTTCCGTATGAGGTGAATGGTTCCGATTGTCTGAAAACGCAAATCATGGCGCTCGTTGTTTGACGTTGGGCTCTGGAGCCGAAGGCGTTTGAACCCCTTGTCATCTGCATCGACATCGCTAAAGAGCCTCACCACATTTTCATACCACGGTACATCGAGAATCTCCATGTCTTGATCAGATGTTGTTTCATGCTACCGCCGAGTCTGGAACGTGCTGTGCTTCTCCAACCTTGAAGTCTCTTGGCATGTCTTGTATTCTGCTCTGGGACCCAGACTAACCCGAATGCAGCCTCAAAACAGGCCCAGGCATGTCACTCTCGCCGGGGAGGCTGCAAGGTCCAAGATCCACTTTCTTTCACTGACCTTCTCGGTTCTGACCTATTTCTGGCTTCCTCCGATCTTTCATGCTCTCACATGGCCCGTTCATTCGTCCGTTGGTTTGGCAGCAGTCATCCGAGAAACTTTACTCTGCTTTGAGATGTAGATCAGACGAGTCAAGGATAAGATTGGACATCATTTTCATATCTTATCGTTTCATCAGACTTTTCATCAGTGATCCTCAGCATTCCCGTGACTGGGGGAAGTCTTGTCTGAATATAAGGTCAAGGACTCCGCATGATGTGTTCTGCTCTCCATCCACTTCTTCATACTTCAACGTGCAGGGCATTTGTATTATTTCAAAGAGGTCAGTGACAGCAGGTGTAGATATTCCTTGGCTCGGCTAACTTGTGAATAGCTGTGCTCAAGACTTTTTACGTTCTTTCATCCATATACTCCTACGAGCTTGACGCTTAACCTTCCCTTCTTTCACCATGAAGAATTTCGGATCCATTCTCACATTCCTTGCCGTCTCGGCCACGCTCGTTTCCGCTCGTGCCTTGCCTATTGAGGGTGATGCTATCGAAGCTAGAGCTCCATATCCTCTCGGTAACCGTCTCGGGTGAGGCATATGGAATTTCGACTAATATCTCTTCAGTAGACGAGATCATTGCTCGTTCGCCAAAGAAGGCCAAGGCTGCAGGTATATATCTTCCGCTACACTACGAAACAACATACTAATGTTTATCAGCGAACTCCACTGCAGACGCAAGTGTCGCTGCCACCAGTGCAACTGCGAAGAAAGGCAAGGCTGCTCAAGCAGCAGCAGCAGCATCAAACAGCACTGCTGCAGCCACGGGAAAAGCTGTATGTTTGAATCATCATACTCCACCAACTCAACGTCTTCACAACTAACTCTACGTCTAGGCAAAGGCAGGAAAGGCGGCTAAAGGAGCTGCTAACGCTGCTTCCAACTCTACCGCCGTGGCTGCTGCCTCAAACTCGACAGTCGCCGATACTGGCAAGAAAGCAGGAAAGGTGAGGCCAAGTGACGTGTGCATTTCCTTGTGACCCCTTTTAACATGTACAAATAGGCTTCCCAAGCAGCAAGTGCAGATGCAAACAGCGCTGCTGCGGGCTCCAGCTCCGCAGCTTCACAACTCGAGAGCATTGTTCAAGGCCTGACTGGCCTTGATCTCGGATCTCTCGGACTCCGAGACCTCCCCAAGCTTGAGTCAAGAAAGAAGAAGAATGGAACTGCCAATGCTGCTGCTGTAGCTGGAAGCGCTGCCGCTACTGGAAAAGCTGTAAGGATAACCAACTCATGTGATTAACCAGATACTGACAATCTCACAGGCAAAGGTCAAGGGAGCTGCCAAAGCCACTGGCGCCGCTGTAGCTGCCGTTGCTGCCACCCCAGCTGTAAGTTCTGTCATAAGTTCCCCCATGTCTAGAGAAATCCCCACTAAGTTTTAACAAAGGCAAAGGCTGCTAAAGCTGCCAAGGCTGGTATGTAATCTTAATCCCGCACTTTCTTGACAATATCATTAACACCACCACAGGAAAGGCTTCCAAGGCCAGCGCCACTTCCAGCGCCGCCGCTGCCGCGGTCACTGACAGCGTAGCTGAGACCGTAAGACTTCCACTACTCTATAATGTCCCAAGTATCAAAGTCTAACATAAAACTGTCAGGGTGAGAACGCTGCCGCCAGTGATGGATCTGCCGGTATCGCCGTAAGTGGTTCCTAACTCTACCGATTCTAGAATAAACTAACATCGACAGGCCGCTGCTTTGGCTCAAAGTGCCGTTGATGCTGCCGCTGCTGGTGATATCATTACTGCTGTACGTTTTTCTACCCTTTCCTGTCCCCTGCATTTAGAGAACAGCATATTGACCAAACCTCTACAGACTTCCTCAGCAGCCTCAACAAAAGCGACCAAGGCCGCCAAGGGAAAGGCTGCCGCGTAAATTCTTCTCTAGACGTGTTTGTGTGTGTGTGTGTGTGATTAGCATTGGGTGGTTGGTTGGGAAAGGGGATAAGCTTCGGAAATAGGAGTATGAAAATTAAACCATGATTGAATCAATTGGTTGCTTATATTTAGATTGTATATTATGATTTGATGAGTGTTTTGATAGATTGTCATGAGGTTATGATTCCAGCAGCTTTCCTGTATGTGAATTGAGGCTCGGTGCATGTGCAGGAGAGAAATCGTGGAGAAAGTGGTTTCGAAGGTCGGAGATCATTTCAAGTCTTTCTATGGTTTGTAACGAGATTGAATCTTGGATTGTATGATCGACAACAGTGATTCTCGATTCCAGACTGAAAAATCCAATCGGATTTTTAGTTTTTCATAACCTGTAACGAGGTTGAGGCCATGTACCCAAGACTGTTTATTCTGTAATGTTCCATCACAACAACGGTATTTGAAGTAAGCTCAAATTTGAAAGAAAGGAACGACATTTCCGTCTCGATACCTATCCTAATATCCAGGAGAATCAAATAGATTTTCTTGTCCCGAGTTCATCCTGGGAAGACTAAGATTGACAGTTGTTCAAACCCTTTGTTCCAAGTGATAGCTCTCCTCGCATTCCGCGCGATTCGCACAACTTGCGCAGTCTGCGCTATTTGCGCCATCCGCGCAAATAGCGATGGAGCACAGCAATACAATTATTACTTAAAGATCCTTAAACTAAAAATATAAGGCTTTTTCCAACGGAGATGGCCAGTCTTCCGCGATGTCCCCTTTCCAAATGCATTCAAGAAGAAAAGCAACTCGTTGTTGCGACAAGGCAATACATTCCAGCCAGTCATGGGCACACTTTGGTTTCCTTGAAAAGAGCCTACAAAAGAAATGATGCGGCTGCCAAGGACGGACGGAAGAATGAAGCTCGAGCCAAGTCCGTGCCTTGTTCCTGGCCCGAAGACTGACCAATCATCATACCATATGAGCATCGCTTAAACGGGCAAGGGGGAACGATTACCAACCTTCCCAGATCCAAACCTTAGGTAACTTTGCTGAATTCCGTGTCCGTGAACTGCTTTGAAATACAAAGATACTTCACCGTGCCGCTGTTAGCATATATGTCTGGGGCTACACGCTCGCACCAATATCGTCCGACCTGAACACTTACATCGGAAGATGACACGGCCACAGCATCTCACGAACTGTCAAATCCTGTCAAACTTTCGGGCCCAACATGGTGTCTTCTAGTTCATCCCGACCACGTCATGTCAATTATTCAGCGGTGACCTGGATCAGGAAATGATCTTTCGGCCGCCTCTGCCGGAGGCCGGGGAGGACGTGTGCCTCTCTTCTAGTGCGGGGTGCAGCTCTAATTATCGTGCTAGGGCATGGTCTCTGCGGGGTCATATTGAAATTCAACAACAATGATATCACGAAGCTAACATGAGCTTGGATACAGAACTCCGTGCTCGGATACGAGCTTCCTATAGCTCGGATCTACCGGTAGGTATATATCCTTCAGTTCCCTTTCATTATCGTCCAAGGTAAGGATCACCTTCTTGCCGAGATCATACAGATACACGATGAGATTCTCCACGTTCGCAGTCTTGGCCGGCTCCCTTGCAAGTGCTACCCCATTCAACCCAAGACCTTTCGATGAGGTGCTCCGGCGACGACAAGCAAGCTCGAACTCTTCCTCTCTTCAGGTCGATTTGGGATATGCAGTCTATGAAGGCTTCTACAACGATACCCACAATGTGAACGAGTGGATGGGCATTCGATATGCAGCTCCTCCAATTGGAAGTCTCCGCTGGCAAGCACCACAAGCACCGCTCGTCAATCGCAGTAGTGTCATAAACGCCAGTGCGATTCCAAATGAATGCCCTCAATCAGCACTCAATTCCGGAAACCAGCAAGCCGCGATCACAACGATCAATGCCCCTGGTGGTTCGGAGGATTGTTTGTACCTGAGTGTGTATTCTCCCCCCAATTCTCAGAATCTCCCGGTTCTGGTCTGGATCCATGGTGGTGGTTACGGTGAAGGGAATGGTGGACAGGATCTCGGACCTATTATTGGAACCAATAATGGTAGTTTTGTTGGTGTAGCCATTCAGTACAGATTAGGAGCTTTTGGATTCTTGTCTTCGGATGAAGTCTTCCAGATGGGTGTCGCGAATGCTGGGATCAGAGATCAGACTTTTGCTCTGCAGTGGGTACAGAGTTATATTCATTTGTTTGGAGGGAATGCTTCTCAAGTGACCATCAGTGGAGAGTCGGCCGGTGGTGGCTCGGTCATGCTTCAGACGATGGCATATGGTGGAACCTTGGGCACTTCTCTCTTTTCTAATGTAAGTGCACGTGAACCTCAGGAACCTCTGCAAAGACTGACCAAGTGTAGGCAATTGCCGCATCGCCATATCTTCCCATGCAGTATAACTACAATGCTTGGGTACCGAGTCAAAGCTATTATGCTTTTGCTCAAGCAGCTGGATGCTTAAGTGGCTTTGCAGCGGGAAGCCCGGCTGTCAACACAACTATCTTCCAATGTCTTGTTGGAAAGGATACTGCCGTTCTCAAGAACGCCAGTGCTGCAATTTCGGCATCCGGAATGTACGGAACCTGGGGGTTCCTTCCAGTCACCGACGGAGTATTCATCCAACAACTTCCCAGTCAACAATTAGCAAAGAAACAGGTCAATGGATTGAGAATGCTTGCTGGGGTATATCCACAAAGACTTCAATTTCCGAAAAATTGCTAACCAATACAGAACAATGCTCTCGAAGGCCCACTATTCGTTCCCCAAAACGTCACCACAGAAATCGATCTCGTGACATGGATCCAAGAAACCTTCCCCATGTTCACCACAGACGACATCTCAAAAGTCCTGCAATACTACCCCGGAAGCAACGCAACAGACAGCACCAACGCCGTCGAGTACGCCACGCTCGGCTACACTGGCGCCACAGCCAATAACGAAAGCTCCATCTCTACCGGCCAACAACAGCGTGCGAATGTACGTGCTAAGCGAGCCCCTATTTTCCCACTCAAACTTACTTCTCAAACACTAACGACGGAAACAGAATATCTACGCAGAAACAACATTCGTATGCCCTTCTTACTGGCTCGCGGAAGCCTTCGCGAATAAAGGGAGAGAAGCGTACAAATACCAGTACTCGGTGCCTGCAGCTCTGCACGGATCCGATGTCTCGGCTTATTTTGGACCGGGATCCGTTACTCAGGGTCCGGATTTCGTGAAGGCCTTTATGAGTACGTCCTTCTCCTTCACCATTCTTTCAACTTCAGAAGAAAGATGATGTTAACATTCCTCCTCCCTAGCAATATGGGGAAACTTCATAACCCTCAACGATCCCTCTATCTCCTCCTCCATCGCAGCCGGCAACTCTTCAAATTCCAGCACAACACCAAACCCGATCACAAACTGGCCAGCGTACACAAACGCGAATCCCTATCAGATCAACCTCAACGAGACGGGCGGAACGGAGTTCACGACCGCAGGCGTGGATTTTGAGGGCACGGAGGTCAATGTTACGGAGTACATGGGCCCGGGACTGAGGAATAATTTCTCGCTGGTGAATGCGTGGACGTGGGAGGGGAATAGGGGGATCAGGTGTGATTTCTGGAGGGCGATGGGGGGTTTGGTTCCTGAGTAGGAGGAGCTGGTAATGTGGTAATGCTATGATAATGCTATGTAATGAGGTTTTAATTTTGGAATAATGAAATTGGGCATTGAGTTATGCAAACATCATGGTGTGAGAGAAACAGCGATGAAGCTGAAGGGAGGATTCGTGTTTTTTTTTTTCCAATGGCAGGTGCCTTGCTCTCACCGAAGGAGCAGGTGTTGTGTGAGATTTGGGGAGAGCTTTGCAGCTAAATTGAACCCTGTACCCTCAGCCACTTAAGTCAATCGACGCCTTTGCTCAAACTCCCATGTCAGGTTAGCAGGCCGGCACACTCTCTAGAAAAAACTATGTTTCCTCCTTTGGCGTACATCTATTGTTCGTCCGGGGATTGAAGATAGCTACCTAGGGCAACATGCCTAGCATCGCCTCGGTTTCGGCCGGACCACAAGCAGCGACCCAGTGTATTTTCTGGTTGGACGTACACGAAGAGTTGATCCCAACCAACACTTGGTAGGCATAATCACCAAGAGTAAACCAAGAATCTTGGACGATGGCAGGACATCTGCTGCGGAATACTGTGGCTGAGCTATTGTCGTTGCAACAACAATGTGTCGAGGGAAGTTGAGCTCGTTCCAAACTTTGAATCTGGCAGAGGCAACAAGAATGTGCGGCATTGAGTGAGGACTTTATTGTTGTGATAAAGGAAGGCTTCCGAGCTGTGTGTAGCGAGCGAGAGTTGGGAGCTCTCTCAATGAACACTTCCAGTCGATTGTGTCCTTTTGACACCGTGCTGAAATCTTCCTAAATTCATTGAGTACTTTTACATTTTGATTGTCAAGATCATTGTTCGTCATTGCCTTCAAAAGCCTCATCTTTCCGGGCAATGAAAGCTTTTTCAGAGGGCATGATGTTCATGCTTTCAGTCGCCAGTCTAATCTTGGGCGTCGAGGGCAGAGCGCTCGAATCCGCATGAAGCTCGTGCACTTTATACTCGATCGTTCTTGAGATTAGATGTGCGTAGCATATGTAAATTCAGGAGCGGTAGTAAGGTAGTACCTACCTACTGATAGCCAGTCGATCCCAATCGAGATCTAGAGAGAATGTCCAACCTCGAGTGGTGACTTTTTGGCAGCTGGGTGATGGGACGCGTAAGGATGAATGTGCATCTGTAGGCGGCACGGACATTTGCCAAGCTTGAATGTTGGTTTTCTCCATTGAGATTTGGATTCGTTTGGTCGTTGATAAAGCTCAAGAACACCCGCGGATGTCTCGATGTGTGGCATAATATTAGAGGCTGAAATTTCCCAAGTCAAGTGATGATTTTGAAGTGCCAATTGTCAGGCAAATAGCTTCGCAACGAGCGTTGTCATTGTCGAATCCTGCTTTAGGCGTTCCGCTGTGACTGTTGGTTTTCCACGTCGATGCTGAGCTACTTTCGATGTTGGATGCGCCGCAGAGACATTCAGCCTGGTCGCTGCTAAGAGTGCCCGTAGGCCACTTTCCCCATTCATATTATTACAATCGCGAGGTGCGCCTTCCAAGATAAAGATCTACAGCACAATGAGGAAGATACCATCTATTCACTCAGACTCCCCTGGCTAACAGACATCTGAAACATGAAACACGTTATTCATTTCCCCGCTATACAATACTATACAGCAAGCACTATACAGAAGATCTGCCAAGACTCGTGCCGTGCAAGCGCATTCCGGCTATCACATGGTCTATTTGCTTCCCGAAAGCAGAACATGTGGTATGAGCCGGGACGATCTCACCCCAGCCGCAATATGCAACGGGCCGACGGTTGTAGTTTCCAGGGGCCTTGTCTCCTCAGCTCTGCTCGACTCATGTCCATCCAGATGCGGTTTCGATGTCCGCTTTCTGATTCTCGTGTCTCGATGTCAATCTTGGTTGATGAGTGGAATGATTACTCTGAAAGGATATCAGCTGATTGACGAACTGCTAAGTGCACAATAAGGTGTCGATTGGGGATCCTTGATGGAAAGTAAAATGCGAACCCAAACAAGGAAACAAACGAGCAAGCGCTGCAAGGCGCTTAGAAGGGCCGAAAAACAATGGGAAGTAGTGAGTAACTTGATGCAGAATTCCATACAGCAACACTATGGGGGACTCTCCGGCGGAACGAGGCACACTCTTTCTAGTATCCCGTATAAATTACCACCCTGTAAGTATCCCACACACCACTTCTTACACGAGAAACACCTTGTTGACTGTTCACGATACTTCGAGGGAAAGACGTCAACAAAGATTTCCACTCGTGCATGTCTGAGCCCAGCAAAACAAACGTTTCCAACAAGGCACTCACTGTCCCATCTCCCTTCGACCGTATATTGCATGCGCTCTATGGCTCGACCGTGCCTCTCTCATATCCCACATTTCCAGGCAGCGCCGCAAAGCCAATCTATTCGACGATCACTTACCAGATATCTAAAACGTTGGATCGATTGCAGCCCTATCCAATCAAGCATCATCCCTCGCAATCACAGGTATAGTATGCCAATTATTAGATCGATTGGAGATGGGATGGATACTTCCAATCTCACACTGGTCAGATTTACGAGCGATGTCGAGCAGGACAGACGCAACGCTACCATGCCATGGGATGCGTGACAAAGAGTAGCATAATCGCCCAAAGTTGCCATGGCTCGAGTACCACTGAGTTGAGCTTCCAGAAGGGTTTTGGTGCAGCTCAAACTTCCATCCAAGACCCTATTCTTGGATCGTTTACCGCATGCATACATGCGTCTCGCATGGTATTGAGCACGTCCTCTACGAGCCCTGACATGTAATCATCCGGATGAATGGATAGAGTATGTGTCAAATTCCAGCGGGATGGATTGATATGTTTTGAGGCGTATAGCTAATTTGGATAGTTCCAGATCAGATGAATTGCGTTGGGGCTTGAAGAGGAAACATAGATTGAGAAGCGTTGTTACAGGATTGAGCCAGAACGAAAAGGAGATGGGAAAGAGAGGGGCTAGAAAGTTCACGAACCTTTCTCGGTGTGAGGGATCCACTGTTCAACGCTTGCTCTGGACTCCGCAGATGTAGATGCAGAGTCTACCTATGCCGTGCATGCCAGGACTTCAACGGCACAGGGTGCACGAACAAGCTTTTGCAGGCCAGAATCAAGATATAAGTCCGTACGAGGTTAGCTAACCACGTTTTTAGAGATCCACTCAGAACAGAATACTACGCTACAGACGTGTGCTGAAGATAGTCGGCCGACATGCTGGGCCGTTGGCGTTCGAATTAGAAGACCTTCTTTGTGGGGAACTCGTACCGTCTTGCCGATCCAAAGACAAACGACAAATCGGAGAATCCGTCTCGATCTCCCCAACTTGAGCTCTAATATGGGGAAAGCCTAACAGCGGCTCGTGTCGAAAACTCGAGCGCGTGTAGCGTCGTGGACTGCTGTCAGTTTGTTGTGGTCCCATAACGCTGTCGTGCTACGCAATTTATCCAGAACAGGGCATCGTTTAGCCTGAAGGATTAAGACCATGGTTGCCGAGTTATAGGCCCACTACCCCAGACTTTGCCCCTAGAATCCCGCCAATGCGGGGTTCGCAACGTCCATCTAGTGAAGGAAGCGCCACCCAGGCCATCCCGTCAGGGCAACATCTACCAAGGTACAATCCCGCGTGCACCCCTCTAACTCCTCACATGATGTTCGAAACGTCTTTCAACGACCAAGCCACCAAAGTTTGGATAATGTCCATTCTCAGACCGTGGCTTCGGGTCCAGCGCTTTATTCGGGTCGTGGAACTTCATCTACCTGTCTACAATCGTGATAGAAGGGGCTTGTCATTGGTTCTCTTGTTGTTTTGGGGCTTATGCGTATACAGCGCCTCAGGAGACGAAAGGAAGTCCTTTCCATCTCCTTTGCGCGGATTGAGTCTGCACACGATACGGATATGGTCAGACGAGGAGCGTTGCATCCACGAGACCTGCCCTACCTAGATCTAGACGACGTGCAGGCCGGACCCTTCCACTCGCTCGCCTCAAGTTCCATCCATCCCCGCCCCTGCCCCGGATAAACCCCTCCATCGGATCTACTTACTGTATTGTTTGGGACTCTCTAGTGAGTTGGACCCGAGTTGGGTGATGGGATTGTTCTTGTTCGTTTGTATAATAACAGAAGATCTTCCCTGTTCCCAGTCGATCTTCTTTTCTGTCTTATTCCTCCTCGTCCATTGGAAATTTTGGACCCGAGTACCTGTTCCTCTATTCTATCTCCACTTTTCGTACTGTGCTTGGATAGTATCCTTGGTCTGCTGGCAAGATGGTACACATAGCGATGGACACGCAGGCCTCTAGGGGTGCTCAACTTGAGGTTGCTCAGGCTGAGGCTCCTGAGTTCGAGAAGGTGACCTGGTATTCGGATCCCGGGTTGAGAGTTTTGTATTTCTGGTGTGCGGTTCTTTGTGTCGCTTCCGCAACTACTGGTTATGATGGGTACGTACAAACTTCAAGAGTTCTACTTCAAGATTGGTTATAATATGCTAACAATCGTAACAGCATGTTGCTAAACACATCTCAAAACTTAAAGACATGGGAGAACTATTTCGACCACCCTAAGGGAGGCAAGCAGGGTCTCTTGAACGCTATCTACCAGATTGGCTCTCTGATCAGTTATCCTATTGTGCCCTACATGGCAGATTGGTGGGGACGTAAAGTTCCTATCGCCGTTGGTGGTGTTCTCATGATCCTCGGTGGTTTCTTGGGTGCTTTCTCAAACGGCTACGGAAGTACGTTCCTCCTCCCAAAACATGCCAGAGTAGAGACTCACGTGTTATAGTGTACCTTGGAGGAAGATTCGTCCTTGGATTCGGCAACTCTCTTGCTCAGATGTCATCCCCAGTCTTGCTCACCGAGCTCTGCCACCCTCAACATCGAGGTCGATTCACCGCCATCTACAACTGCTTGTGGAACTTGGGTGCTCTCTGTAAGACACTTTCCATCCTTCACCTAATATTCTAGCTAACAAACACCCAGTTGTCGCTTGGCTCGCCTGGGGCACAATGCAAATCCAAAACGACTGGGCCTGGCGCTCACTCACCCTCCTGCAAGCCCTGCCCGCCATCATCCAAGTAACATTCATCTACTGGGTGCCTGAATCTCCCCGCTGGTTGATCTCCAAAGAGCGCTACGAGGAAGCCGAGACCATCCTCGCAAAGTACCACGCCAACGGCGACCGCCACAACGCGACCGTGGCCTTCGAATTCAGAGAGATCAAGGAGACGCTCCGTCTCGAGTTCGAGTTCAAGCAAGCTAGCACTTACATGGATTTCCTCCGCACAAAGGGAAACAGATATCGTCTCGCGATCCTCATTTCCTTGGGCGTTATCTCGCAATATAGTGGCAATGCTCTGTTTTCGAATTATATGAATCTGATCTATACCAGTGCCGGTATCGTTAACCAGGATCAGCAGATTCCCGTAAGCCCCCTCCTTTCCTTCCCCTATCTTTCTCGCTTCGACTTTCTGACAATACGATGCTAGCTGAACGGAGGTCAAACCCTTCTCTCCCTCATCGTCTCCGTCTCCTGCGCCTTCCTCGTCGACCGCGTCGGTCGCCGGCCCCTCTTCCTCGCCTCCACCGCCGGCATGGTCCTCATGTTCATGGCCTGGACGATCGTCTCGTCGCAATACGTCGGCCCCCTGCTCGCCGACGGCAAGACGCCCAACCCGAAAGCCACGAACGTCAAGACGACCGGGTACCCGCAGATCGTGTTCGTGTGGCTGTTCAGCGTCTTCTACGCCCTGGCTTGGTCTGGCCTGCTGGTTGCGTACGCGTTGGAGATCTTGCCGTATAAGTTAAGAGCGAAGGGGTTGATGATTATGAATCTTACCGTCCAATCTGCGTTGGTTCTTGGAAAGTAAGTCCGCCCCTCTTTTTTCCTCCACGTTCCTTCCCCTCTCCCGTGCCTCCTTCATGCTAACGTGACAATAGCTACACAAACGCCATCGCCTGGGCGAACCTCGCGCCCCACGACTGGACGTTCTGCCTCTTCTACACGCTGTGGGATTTCCTCGAGCTCCTCTTCGTGTACTTCTTCTACGTCGAGACCCGCGGCCCCACGCTCGAGGAGCTGGCTAAGATTTTCGATGGGGAGGGTGCTGAGGTCGCGCATTTGGATATGAGGGAGGTGGAGAAGGATATCCATATGGAGAGCGAGCCGATGAATGAGAAGAATGCTGTGGCGCATAATGAGAGTACTGTTTGAAAATTAAGTTGATTGGTGGTGGGGATACCCCGTGATGATATGGAAGAGGTGGTTTGGTGAAAGGTGGTTGATGTTGCGAAGGGCTCCTTTTAGGGACTTTTAATGCGTATTCTTTGCCTGAGTTATGTTTTTGATATACACTGTGAGTTGTGATCGTGTGAGCGTAAGGGCTTTGTGTGATCTGTTTGAATTTGGTCCATAATCAGGTGCGCGCTATGCCAAGCCTTCAATATTAAACTGCCAGCCAACAAAGCAGGGCCAAGTACTGTACATGCTCCAAGTATGTGCAATGTAGGCAAATCATGTAACCATCCCACCTTAATGTTCTTCTGGATCCTCGGTCAAAGTCTCTCTTAACCGCTCTTCCTCCGCCAGCCTCTCCTCCTCCGCTCTTTCTTCCTGTGGTTTATGTCCAGCGAACACAGCCAACATACCCAAATCATACGTAGCTTTCAAAGTACCAGCCGCAACGAATGCAATCCAGACCACATTATGATCAGCCAGGATACCGGTAATAAGTGGTCCCAGGCTCGAAGCAGATGTCTTGACTACGTTGATGAGACCCATGACAGCTGTTCGCTCGTGGGGAAGGACGACTGCGGCGAGAAAGGCGGAGCGAGGCGCCACGTCCATGGATTGTGTGCAGGAGCGCAGTATGAGGAACATCATTGCGAATGGGAGGGAGTTTGGGATGGGGATCAGGGCGAGGAATATGGCGGATGGGAGGTGGGTGAAGACCATTGTCTGGAAATTTGTTAGTATTTCTGCTTTTCAAAAATGGGTTTTGCGAGACGTACTTTGACATTGCCAAATCGCTTTGCGATTGAGGAGGCTAGAATCATAGATGCAGCGGCAATGATAGCGGTTGTGAAGAATAGCGAGCCCAATCTTCCGTCCGTCAAGCCAAATTTGGAGCGGAAGAACCATGTTACCCAGGAACTATTCTGCTGTTAGTGATTGTAAATAGGCCGGACATTGAAAAACACTTACAGAGGAGCAAGACTGGAAGCAAAGGCGTCCAAAGCAAACAGAATGCACAGATTGATGACAATGATCCTACTACTCGGGCTGATTTCTGGCAGCTTGGACGTGAGCCAGTTCTTCTGCTTCTTTGGTTCCTCATCTTCAGCCCCATCTCCTAGAAGTGGAGCAGTCTCTGGATCCGCAATCGGGGATGGCTTCTTCTTCTCGGCTTCGCAAGCTCTGCTGAGAGCAAGAGCGAGACATAGCTTGATCAGGCCAACGCAAGCATATCCCCAGAATGCAGATCGGTATGAGACGATCACAGTCCAACCCAATGTCTCTTGCATGTAGTATAGGAGCCACCCAGTTGTCATCATTCCGCAGGCAGCTCCAGCTGTGCCAATGAGGGAGTACCAGGCATATATGTCTCCGCGATTAGCTGAAGGAGTGAGTTGTGCGAGGGTCGATTCTTCGATAGCTCGGAAAGGGCCAATCTCATTACCACTGACACAAAGTTAGCTAGTATTTGGAAGCTCTGCAATCGTGTACAGACCTTGGACTAATGACACCAATGATTGCAGCAGCAAGCAATACCCAGTAGTTACCAAATAGGGCAAAGATGATTCCAGCAAGTGTCATAAGTGCAGCTCCCAGTGCTAGAATAGCCTTCCGACCCAGGGCATCCGCAAAGAGAGTCAGAACGAAGCTGATCAGAGTATCTCCCACTAGAGTGAGTGTCATAAACAGACCAATCTTCCATTTCGGGATACCCAAGACCTCAAGGTACGAGACTAGAATCAGGGTTGATCCGCCATAGGCAAACAATCGAACAAAGCGTTGAATGCAGAGGAGCTTGGTATCGATGGTGGAGCTCCAGAGCGATACTAGTCCCAGCTCCTCCAGGACCTTCACAGCATATTTCGTTGCCATCGTCGCTGGCTCTCTGTATGCGAAGAGGAGGAAGTCGAATTAAGCTTTGCTCCAGAGGTTTGGAAGTTGTGGTCGAAGAGCGGCTTTATGGAGGCAGGAAAAGATGACCCGGAATGCAAAATCCGGTTATGACGGAAAAGCCGCATCCACCCCGTGTCGAAGTTATGCGAGCCATGGCAGGTAATTGCAGGTTTTCTAAATGCAAAGGATACGTGATGGCGAGTCACCGAGGGCATTCCATTGGCGGCTTATCGTGCTGCCTAGCGGGATCTGATAAAGCAAAGCTGCATGGAGGAATCAGAGCCAATCGTTTGCCCCACCCTCCATCAGATACGCCCTTTCTTACTCCGAGCTCCGCAGATGCAGTTGTATTGTGCTTGGTACGTTGATTCATTGCGCCTTCTATAATACAGCTCGAGAGTCATAGCAAGTGCTATTGATTCCATTTTGCATGTAAAGCTTCCTCGTTCTGTCCTTCCATGTTGGCTCAAACAGCCCGAATGTCATTGAATGTCACTTTTTGGGGGGAGGGGGAAGCATGATTTCCAAAAGTGAAAAAGAAAGAGCGAACAGAATTTCAATTCAATTTTTGAGGGGATGAAAGCTCTGCTGCAACGCGGAAACACATTGCAATAGTGGTGCTTCTTACATTCTATTTGCCCAATATGTTAGAGCTTGTTTCAAATGCTGTGAATGTTCAGATGATGATTATCCTTTTCCTGACCAAAGATCTTGGTTTCCCAAAGAGAACATTACCACTCGCGCCGCGGAATATCCCAATTCTCATAAATGTCCCATCTCCAAGTGGAGCCAACACTAGGGCTACGAAATCATCGCGCTCTTTGAAGCCAAGAAGAGCATAAACAAACGACTTATTGATGTGATCTTGGTCCTCGCACTGATCGTAGTCCCAATAGAATCGAGTAAATCGAGGAAGTTCCCGTGGATACGATTTCCTCATCTGCGAATAATCTTCTTCTGTAATGCACGCCGTGTCGAGTTCAAGCCTTCCGTCAATAAGCCGTGACAATGGGAATTCGTCGTCTACTAACGTAATACGGCAGTCTAATACTTCTGCAAAACTCTTTTCAACTTCTTCCACACCAACCTGTCCTTTGTATGAAGTCCAAGACCAAGTCGGCGATTGAGATTGGTCTTGTTTTGGGAGGTGCAAATTCTCAGTATCGGCATCCTTTGTGATCGTCGCGGTTGTGGAAATGCTAGCGTGCCATGCGAGGTGTCTGACAAGATACTTTTGCCACATGCCAGCATAGTACTCGTCGCCCCAAACTTTTTGCGTTTCAGAAGCCACACCAGAGAGCGCGGGAAGGCGATCTTCATGGTATGTCAGGGCACGGCTGCTATAGTCCATCATAGTTTGGATCCATATCCTCGACCTAAGAGTGTCGATATCATCAACGAGTTCCTCCGCAAGCCCATAGATACTCTGTGGAAGGCGTCGATGTTTGTAGTTGTAGCTGGAATAGTACGTTGGAGCTTTCCCCAAATTGCAGTCAGGGAACTTGTCTACATTGCAAATCCACTTTAGATGTGCTGGCCCGTACCAAAGAATTCGAGGCGAAAGTAGAGATTCTTGACAGGCCCATGCTCGAGAATCTAGAGGGCTTTGTATGGGTTCTGGATGGCCTTTGTCTTTAATCCAAAGGGTTCCAAAGGTACCATCAGGAAGGAGATATGGGAAAGGACAGGTACCAGGTATTGGTCTGGGAGCAAGGAAAGATTCGTTAACACTTGTGGTGTTTGCGGCAGCGATAGTCATAGTCGCATTTTTGTAAATTGTACCCATGCGCTTGATCTCGTGCTTCTTATCTTCATCATCATCTTGAATGATACACAGGGCGTCAATCCAGAGATACCGGAATCCAAGGTTCCGAGTGACTCTGATTGCGTCTTGTATTGTGAGTGGAAGATTAGGCATTGAGATGCCTTGATGTTTGTCCAGAAGTGTGGCCGTTGTTGTTGTTACCTCTTGTGGACCACCCCAAACATAGCTCAGTGCGAGATATTTGGATGCATCTTTAGATTGTGTGGTGTAGAGATAAACTTTGTCGTCCTCGCCTTTGGGGCGGACATCTATCACTCGAGAAGGCAAGCACGACTCATTTGATTTCGGGCAACAAGAGTGGTTTTTCATGCACAATTCAAGCCGCTTCAAGATCTCTTCCTCAATTTCTGGTCCAGAAACCGAGATATGATCGTCTTCAATATTGGTATATGGCGCTGCAGTATCATCTACACATTTCAGCTCATGCTCGAGTGCGTTTTTGGATATCCTCACCTTGGCCTGTGAAAGGATACAACCATCCAGGTCTTGAATCGAGACTCCTTGAATCTGTGTCTTCGGCTTTGGTCCAATTGTACCACTTACAGCTCTGAAGGTCATCCAGTTTTGCATTTGTGAAGGGGTAATCTGTGCTCCCGGACTGCGCCATGTGATCCCCGATTTCATCGTCCTTCAATGGGGAACTTCTTGGGAGTATTTGAACCTGTGTTTCTGGATAACCACGTTCTCCTCTCTTGTGATACCTTGTCAATATAGTACAAAAAGAGCACCCTAAAGCTGCCGAGCTGTATAGCTCCTCGATCGAGAGATGCTTGTAGCCTTGTCTGGAAGCCAGTTCTTGCAGACCCTCGAGCGTCGAAGTCATTCGAGTGCATCGCTCACAGAGCCGCTTGGAGTTGGGAGGCAGGTTCATAATACCTCTGGATCTTTTTGTCGTCGTAGCAAGATGAATCCGTCAGAAAGAGAGGCGGGAGCGTCCGCCGATGAGGTGCAGAAAAGACATGGAGTATGCAGCTCATGTGACAGTTCGCTTAGCTGAGGACTTCTCAGAATGGTAATGATGAGAATTTGAAGGAAGAGAAAGGGTATGATAGCTCTTTGAATGGCTTGTGAAGTCTAGTGCAAGAGAATAATCAAAACTGAGATCTCTTCGATCATCAAATTCGACTCCAACAGATGGCCAATGACGGCAATTTACTGAAAGTCTGCAACTTCTATCTCTCAAGTCCTCTATATCTTCAGCGCCAACAAAAGCACGCAAAGTAGCACTGTATTGCCAGGCAAAGAACTCGTTAGCATATCAATTAATCGAGAATCGAGGGCGAACCTGGTAGCACTCTTTTATATCAGTTCTCCAGAACTTTCCTCGTATGCTGCGGAGTTCATGCTCCACGTGACAGCATTATATCAAATTTAAAAGGCCGAAAACAGGTCAAATGTGCCGTCTTCCATACTCGAGGGAGATCTCCACTGCGTCCCACTTTCTCATACAATGAGTTCCAGAGTTGTGAGTTGCTTTGACTATTGCTCAAGCATGAAAAAATTTGATGTCTGATCGAGGGAATAGTGGCAGGACTGCTCACCAAAACCAGAACCTGATCCCTTCTTCTTAGTGGCTTCACTCAAGTGATGCATTTTTGATTGCTGAGCTTCACAGTCAATACAGAGCAGTGACCTGCTTTAGGTTCACTGTGCTCAATCAGACATGCAAACAAAGACGGTGTTGTTAACGACTTGCCTTACTGGAGATGGCTGATATGAATTACGAGCACCGTCCGTCAGTTGTGTACTCTCAAGGCGATAGAAACGTTACAAAAAGAGGCTACAGTAGCGAAAGAGACCGAAGCGGACCTACTGTATCAATGATTGGTCTCACCCTTAGACAATGGTGACTCGAAAACCCGGTTGACCGTTGGCAATTTCCATGCCGTACAAACAACCTTAAGGATAAGGTTAATTTAAGACTCCACTGGCTAGAAAAGGAAGCTGATTATTTCTCTTTCTACCACGCGTAGAAAAAGAGTGGGTCCCCAACTCATCAACAATATTTCCCCAGCTTCGAGACATCCACTTTTTTGCAACTTCAATAATGAGCTCCCAACATCACGGGAAGGATCATGCCAACCTCGCCGTCCAAGTTGTGCGGGGTATCATTGGATGCTTCCCCAGGATGGGAAGCTTGGCGTTCGGAGCCTTCGTGCATGACGGGCTTGACCGAGACATTCCAGAAGCCAAAGCTTCACGACTCAAGCGCTGTCATCAATCTGATTCGAGGAAGAACCCCTACAAGCTTCAATTAGACGCCGTGGTTACATTTCCCCCGCTACTCATTACCCCGAGCGTTACATCTCCACCGAGGACAAAGAAACAGAAATACGGGATTAGTTCCTTTTGCTCCAACAACAGAAGTCTTGGCCCGAAGGCGTCCCTGTAGTCGGCCCCGTCGTTCACGTCCAATAATTTCTGAACACTGCGTTGCTCGCCAGGTTCCAGGCGCTTCTGCAGGTAATGAGGAGGGCCGAGATGCACGAAGGGTCTGATTGACATCGAGTGATGAGCGCTGATCCTGAGCGCTGACTGGTTCCGAGGCATCGGAAGCGCAAGTGAGGTGTGAATGCGGGGAGGCTGTCCGCGTCGCCTCTGTTCGCCGCATTTACGACGTCCAACATTCTGTACTCTTTCAAAGTGTCGAGTTGCACGAGTTCGTATGTACTTTCAGAAGATTAAAAGGACCGAATGTATCTCGGGTAATGTCCGTCTACATGGCGAGAAGTCTCGCATCCTTGGAGGTGCAGGTAACGCTACAAATCCCCACAGTCTACAAAGTACACCCTGCACTGTCCGGTAGCGCTTAGATTGGCACAACTCTACCTCCGCATTTTAGATATTGTTTGGTCTGGAGTTGCCCTCAATGTTGGAAGGAGGAGGAGGGTAACTGCATTGAGAGCGAGTCCGTTACACTGGCCATGTGCCCCCTGAAAAGTTGGTGCTACCTAGCATCACTTGGCAGCAGTTGGCATGCAATATGTTCTGCTTGAAGATAGCTTTCTGTTGGAAGGATGCACAATCTGGACGCAAGTTTGTTCCAATCCTCGCTCTCCACATTCCGGAACAGACCAGGGTCTACATGGGATGATATTGTTCCCACTTTCCTGCTCGAGGATAGTCAACTCCGGGTTGTTACATAGAAGGACCGAAATTTACAAGAGGTCTGCGGAACGCAGCCTGTATTGACAGTACTGTACCTTTAGTATAAAAACTTCTGCATCCCCTTGCACTCGTCTCCCTCACCTCCCTCTCTCCTCAACCTACCTTGGCAGACGCGTCTCCCAAGGAAGTCTGATCTACAGGTAGACAACAACCCCTCTCTCCCAATCAACACCTTCGTTGCCCATCATGGCAGGAGGAGCTATTGTCCATGGCACCACGGACACCTCGCGGATCGAGGCGCCGGTTACTATCAAGGCGTACCTGATGTGCGCTTTCGCAGCATTCGGAGGTATCTTCTTCGGATATGATACTGGATGGATGGGAGGAATCATGGGAATGAAGTACTACATCAGACAATACACCGGTCTTCCTGTGAGTAGTCTCGCTCTCACGACTTTTCGAGAACAAAGCTAACAAATTGGAAAGTACCTCCCAGAGAACCCCACTGCCGCTCAAACCGCTGCCTTTGTTCTTCCCGGATGGCAACAATCCCTTCTCACTGGCATCCTTTCTTGCGGAACTTTCTTCGGTGCCATCATCGCTGGTGATCTCGCTGATAAGATTGGTCGACGATGGACAATCATCTCTGGTTGCCTTACTTTCACCGTCGGTTGCATTCTCGAAGTTGCCTCGACCACACTCGCTCTAATGGTGGTTGGTCGCTTGATTGCTGGTACAGGTGTCGGCTTCATCTCAGCCATCAGTAAGTTTTCTTTCTCATTTCCATTTTAATTGTGGGGAATCCTAAAAGTTGGGACGTAATATATTAAGGTTCCATATTTTGTGGGACAATATGAGTTGGTTAAGTACCAAGTGTGAATAAAGATCTACATGAACTCCCCTTTCGTCTCGCACGTTTAGTCTTCTCAGGACTCCGGATTTGAAGTTTCCAAATAACACATCTGTCATCCCGATTTTAGCAGTATGGAGCATTGCTAACTCAATTCTTTCCAGTCATCCTCTACATGTCAGAAATTGCACCTAAGAAAGTACGCGGCGCACTCGTCGCAGGCTATCAATTCTGCATCACGATTGGTATCCTTCTCGCCAACTGCGTCGTGTATGCCACCCAAAACCGCGACGACACCGGATCCTACCGAATTCCAGTCGCCGTCCAATTCCTCTGGGCCATTATCCTAGGAACTGGTCTCTTCTTCCTGCCCGAATCTCCACGTTACTTCGTCAAGAAGGGTAGAATTGACGAGGCTGCTAAAGCGCTCGCCAGTGTGCGAGGACAGCCGATTGAGAGCGAATTCATCCAGGATGAGCTTGCGGAGATTATTGCGAACAACGAGTACGAACTCTCGGTCGTCCCTCAGACGTCGTATATGGCATCGTGGACGAATTGTTTCAATGGCAGTATCTTGCATGCGAGTTCTAATATTCGTCGAACGCTCTTGGGTATTGGTCTGCAAATGATGCAACAGGTACGTTGGGATCCCGCCTTGTTTCTCCTTCATCCTGGAGTGATCATCTTCGGGAGCTCTCCCAGATTTCCGTCAGAATGTATACTGATTTGACAATAGTTGACCGGTATCAATTTCATCTTCTACTACGGTGTTGTGTTCTTCAAGAGGTATATCACAACCCACCTCATTCCCCAATTAACAAAAATACTAAAAACTCCCTCCCAGTTTAAACACAATCTCCAACCCCTTCCTAATCTCCCTAATCACCACCCTCGTCAACGTCTGCTCCACCCCCCTTTCCTTCTGGATGGTCGAACGTTTCGGCCGTCGCAACCTCCTCATTGTCGGCGGCACCGGCATGGTCATCGCCCAATACATCGTCGGCATCGTGGGCGTGACCGTCGGCCAAGACAAAGGAAAGGACACCAACACTGCCGCCGTCTCCGCCATGATCGCCTTCATCTGCATCAACATCTTCATGTTCGCGACGACCTGGGGTCCCTGCGCCTGGATCGTCGTCGGCGAGGTCTTCCCGCTGCCCATCCGCTCGCGCGGCGTCGGGCTCTCGACCAGCTCGAACTGGTTCTGGAATTGCATTATCGCGATCATCACCCCGTATCTGGTGGACGCGCAGTACGCGAACTTGTCGTCGAAGATCTTCTTCATGTGGGGGTCGTTGTGCATTGTGTCGGTGCTGTTCGCGTACTTCCTTGTGCCGGAGACGAAGGGGCTTTCGCTGGAGCAGGTCGATCGCATGTTGGAGGAGGTTACGCCGCGGAAGTCGAGGAGCTGGGTGCCGCACTCTACGTTTGCGGCTGAGATGGGGTTGGTGGAGAAGGGGGTGCGGGTGGAGGGGACGAAGGAGGTTTAGATTGTGGTCTGAGAATGGGTGTTGGTGAGGTAAAGGGGGATATTAGATATCTACCTAGAGAGACAGGAAGAAGATGGCTTGACATAGAGTTGAAACATACCCAGCAATCACTCATCCATCGACCTGATACCAATAATTCTTTTCATCTCAATTTGTATTGTTTCCCACTGAACTTATCAGAAGCTCAATCTTCCTTGAGCTTTGTGCTACGCGGCGATGTCATATATCTCGGCTACTCTCTTAAGACTCAACCATCATGTCTCTGTGTTGAATCCTTGCTTCAGCGCTATGAGAAGCCACTTAATGCAGGTACAAAAAGTGGTCACGTACCTAGATATGTAGCATTGCGTAAGACGGCTACACCTATCATCAACCTCTCCGTCTAGCTTCGATTTCATGTTGCGAGCTCCTCAGGAAAATATCGAAACCCAAATAACACATTCAAAACCTCAGAACAGATTTTCGTTCAAACATAACATGAATCTCCAATCTCGTAACATCCATCTATCTATCTATATACATCCCAAACTTCCAACAACAATCTACCAATCGATATTCCCCTCCCCTCCACCCACAGCACCAACCATCTCCCTCTTCGCCTCAAACGGTTTCCGCCCCTTCATCCCCACCCCATTCCGCCCAATCCTCCGATCCAGCTTCTCAAACGGCCCCTCGCCACTCTCCCCCTTCCTCACAACCCACTTCTTCGTCCCCAACACCCCATCCAACTCGTGCACCGGCGGCAACTTCAGATACACCATGCCATCCTCCCTCTCCTCGCACGGGAACGTCGCTATCGAGACTTCCTCGTCATTCTGGCACCTCCCCGCTTGCTCGCCATTCAGTTCGTAATTCCGCTTATGGTACGGGCAAGAAACCCATAGCTTGTCGTCCGAGTCGCCAATCAGTCCGTCGGAGAGAACAAACGCGCGTTTATGCGGACACATCTGCTGAGACGCCAACCACTTCCCTCTGACGCGGAAGATAGCCAACTGCGTATCCCCCCTCTTGATGGTAGCCGAGATGCCATTCGGCGCCGCATCCGCGCCCGCAAAGTGCGACGCTTCGATGATGGGCTGCCAGGTCAAGCTCGTCCATTTCGTGTTCTTGAAATCCTCTTTCACGCTCTCTTTCGCCCAGTACACCGGTCTCGTCTGTCCCCGATCGGTCTCCGTCTCCATGGTCTCCACCGTCTCGGGCGTGTTGTCGAATTGCTGGAATTTCTTCCTGATCTCGGGGTTCTTGACAGCGAGCGCCCACTCGTCGAAGAAGGTGCCGACGAGCTCCTCCATTTGCGCTTCGAGCGAGGCGCAGATGCCGAGCTTGTCTTCGAGGATTACTTCCCGCAGGTACTTGATGCCGCCGGGGAGGTTCTCGAGCCAGCGCGCGGTGCGTTGCAGTTTGTCGGCTGTGCGGATGTAGAACATGAGGTAGCGGTCGAGGATGGGGACTACGTCGTCTGGCGGGACGTCTTTGGCCAGGAGTTCGGAGTGCTTGGGGGAGGCGCCGCCGTTGCCACCGACGAAGATGTTGAAGCCTTTGTCTGTGGCGATGAGGCCGAAGCTGGGGTTGTTAGTGGATGTCTGATTTCAAGTCTTGACTTCTGGGGAGGAGAATGTTTGGCTCGGTCTGGACTTCGAAGAGCCTTTTAAAGTCGAACATGAAAGTTCGACTTGAAGGAGTCAAAATGTCCAGACTCAAGTTGGAACATTCTCCCCTTCTAAAGTCAGCTCAAGGGAAGGGAAACTCACTCCTTATTCTGCGCCTCAGCACACTCTCTCACACACCCACTCACACCACCCTTCATCTTATGCGGACTCCGAATACTCTTATACCTCTCCTCCAACCTGACCGCCATCCCCACACTATCCCCAATCCCATACCGACACCACGTCGTCCCCACACAACTCTTCACCGTCCGCAAACTCTTCGCATACGCATGCCCGGACTCGAACCCGCCCTCAATCAGCTCCTCCCAGATCTTCAATAGATCCTGTTTCTTCGCCCCAAACATGTCGATCCGCTGCCCACCCGTGATCTTCGTGTAAAGATCGTATTTCTTCGCCACGTTACCCAGTACAATCAATTTATCAGGCGTGATCTCGCCCGCCGAGACGCGGGGGATGACGGAAAAGGTGCCGTTTCGTTGAATATTGCCCAGGAACCGATCGTTGGTTTCTTGGAGGCCGTGGACCGGTTTCTCCATGATGTGTTGGTTCCATAGCGAGGAGAAGATACTGCCGATACTGGGCTTGCAAGCCTCGCATCCTTGACTCTCTTTGTCGTTACCTGCTTCCCGCATCACTTCCTCCAGCGTCTTGAGTTTCTTGACCGAGATGATGTTATACAGATCCGCTCTGCTGTAGTTGAAGTGCGGGCAGATGTGATTCTTGACTTCTTGGCCCATGGCCTTCATCTGAGCGTTGAAAATGCTAGTCACGAGAGGCATGCATCCACCGCAACCGGTTCCTGCTTTGGTGCAGGACTTGACGTCTCCGATCGATTTGCAGGTCCCGTCTTTTACCGTAGTGACAACATCACCCTTCGTAACGTTGTGGCAAGAACAAATCTGCGTGTCGTCGTCGAGGTCGTTGCCGTCATCTTCTCCGTCTTTGCTGGCTCCGAGGATAAATTCCGAGGGTGGAACTTCGAGGGCTTTTTGATTCTTGACCATAGGGACTAGTTTCACGTAGTCTTTGGTGTCGCCGATCATCATGCCTCCGAGGAGGTATTTACCGTCCAGGGTAAAGAGGTATTTCTTGTAGACGTTGGCGAAAGGATCCTTGTAAGTCAAAGCCTTGACAGGACTTGGTGGAGGGCCATCTGTGAGCTTTGATAGAGCATCTGGGGAACCCTCCTTCTTGCGAGCTGCTCGAACCGGGAGGTGTTTCGGCCCATCTCGATCCGCGAAGAAATCTCCAAAGCTGGCTACTTCGACTCCCAGGAGCTTGAGCTTCGTGCTGAGATCTGGGCGTTTAAACTTTCTATACGAGTGGACTTTCGCTTGCGTGAGGTTGAATGACAAAACGTCTGCCATCTCGATTCCTGGGGCAATGAGACCGAACGTCTGATTCTCCCAGCTTGCGCACTCCCCAATGGCGTAGATGTCCTTGGTACTCGTGCTCAGATCCTCACCAACGACAATCCCACCTCCTCGATCCGCACACTTGATTCCCGCCCTCCTCGCAAGTTCATCTCTGGCTTTGATCCCAATAGCGAAGCAAATCGTGCTACAAGCCATCTTCTCCCCATCCTCAAACACCACGCCCTTGACAGCATTATCTTCCGTAACCTCAATCTTCCCCACCCTTTTACTGAGCAGGACATCGAGCCCCAAATCCCTAACTTGCTGTACGACCAATCCACCCGCATCCCCATCCAATTGTCTACTCAAAACCCATCGATTCCTCTCAATAAGATGTACTTTCTCGAAAGCCTCCAAATCAATCATCGCCTTGGCAGCTTCGAGACCAAGTAATCCTCCTCCCACAACAGCGCCATGTGTGCCTTTATGCTCTGCCGCAAACGTGATCAAGTTCTGCAGATCCTCGATGGTGCGGTACACGAAGACGCCTTTGGCGTCGTGGCCGGGCGTGTGGCGGGGGAGTAGGGCATCGGAGCCCGTGGCTAGGACGAGGACGTCGTAGGGTACTGTTTCGCCGGACGAGCAGGAGACGAGTTTGTGTTCTGGGTGGATTTCGGTGACTTTGGTGTTCAGATGGTAGTTTAAGGACCCTTCTGGGACGTTGGAATACTGGGGTTTTGTTAGTGATGCTTAGTGAGGGTTGTGGTGAAGGGAACATACCCATTCTTTGGGATTGAGGTAGAGATTCTCTACTTTTCGGTGCTGGAAGAAACTTGTGAGTCCGACTCGATTATATGCTAGATGTGCTTCTTCGCCAATGACTATGATGTCGTATTCTCTTCGTTTGGCGTCCAGCTTCATCAATTTCTCTCTATAGATTGCGTATCAGCTCTTTTCTCCATCCTAGCCCCCAATCTTCTCGAGTTGGAACTCCTCACGGATGTACAAGAAGCAATACTCACATAAAACTAATCCCAACCATCCCCAATCCCACCACAACCACCTTCTTCCTCGGCCCCCCATGGCTCTCATTTTCGCTGCCCTTCACTCCATCCGGTCCCCCTTCAATCGGACCAGCTTTAATCTCCTCCACCGGGACTTGCGGCTGCCAATTACTCGACATCTCGCTCTTCCTCTTTCCACTATCACCGTAAATCGCTGTTTGATCTTCCGAACCGCAATTCTTGAGCCTCACTCGCGCACCAATAGTAGGAGACTTGATATCACACACAATCGAAACCACAGAGAGAAATGAAAGAATAGAGAAGAGAGAGAGAGAAAGAGAAGATACAACCAGACGAAAAAATCACCAGCTTTACCTCCCTACCAACCTAACTAACGTCCCTCCCTCCCGCTCTCCCAAGAATCTTCGATCAGTCCTATATCCTCGGAAATCGCACCAGCCCCTTCTACACCAATCACGCCGCCCGCAATGCACGGAGAAACAAACACTTCCATCATCGATCCATCGATCAGCCTCGTTCCTTTTTACGCAGCTTATCAACTGCGAGGAGAAACCTTAGCGGCGCGATAAGAGGCTCGAGATAAGACTAGTGTTGATCTGTGTGATTGGTGGTGTTTGATCGAATGAGTAATGATTGGTGAGGAGGGCGGGAGTGGAGATCGGCGGCGGAGAAACATGGAGATGTTGGGTTGGAGACTGGAGACTGGGAGGTTTTGAGGAAGAGGTTACATAAATCCGAGGGAATGCCCTTTTGGGATTTGGTGTTGCGCCGGAAGTTTGAAATCTTGATGTGGAGATTTCTCGGGATCTTTTTGTATGGTAGTCTGAAGGGAGTGGTGTCAACGTGCCGCGGTGAGGGAGGTATTGCTACAGCGGATTGCATAACTCGTGACACCACGGCAAAATTAAAAAAGTGAACTATTGATATCCGTTTCACTATCAATATATTAATCTCGTGCACGTCACATTTGATGGTTCAGATAGATTATTTGATGTGATAATTCATTGATCGCTCTCATTGTACAGCCATTATTATCTTGAATCCAGGTAAAACCGGAAATCAGGGGAAAACAAGCCGCAAGCTAGCAAGCAATAATCAACTATCCCTATGAGTGATTAAAAGCAAGTGGAGCTTTTTTTCCCATCGCAAAAGCAACGCGCTCTCTATGATTTCCATCCCAATGCGAGGTCGAATGTGTCCTCTATGATAACCTCCAATGCAAGATCGAAGGTCTTCGTCGAGAACCCTGAAGAACACGTCTCATCATCCGTCAACGCCAGAGCAAAGGATTCCTGCAAAGTGCAATAAGAGAAATTGGGAAACCGCAGAATAAACAGCCCATGTTTGCCCACCTCCCATTGCGCCGTCAAAGCATCGTCCATATGTACCAGAGAGGTCGTCGCATAAAGTCGAGAGACTACCTTCTCGTCGCAAAGCAAAGTTTTGAAGTCATACAATACATACAAAAGAACAAATTTTGACTGATTAACAGCCGTCTCCGCCATCATCACTCACTGAGCATCATGAGTTAGTACTCTACATCCATGTGTCGATATTCAGGGATACTCACTGCTCTCATAACCAGCGTCCTCCATGCCGACAATTCGCTTCTGGATGCTCAAGCAACGTTCGACAATGGCATGCTTGACTTCCTTGTCAAGGCAGTTTTGTTCGCCGTCCTTACCGCCAACCCAGATTCTAAGTGCACCTGCCAAACCTTCCAGAGCATTGGTGCAACTGGCGGCGACCAAAGTGTGACCCTCGATAGTCTCCATAAGTCTGAATGCAGAAGTGAAGCCAAGAAGAGTCATATTGGTAGGGCGAATAGTGGCAATGATCTCATGAGCTGGCTTAGGATTTAGCGGAACTGGGTAGCGCACCATGTGTGCCATTGCCATTGCGCAACTCAAGGACATCTTGATATCAGGAAAGCCAACCGTTGAAGTGCTCGTGTTGACCAAGTTTGAGGGCTTTTTGTCTTGGTTCTCCAACGGAGTGAGAGCCTTGATGGCGGTGGCAATGTTGCGTCCTCGTTCCTTTTGAATCAGAACGGAAAATGCTACCAGAGCTCGTGCTTGTGCGGCAGAGCCAATCGGTGCTGTTCTAATGGCAAGAGTGATATCAGCCGCAAGGTCTTTCTTAGAATCCTTTTCACCTTCAGGGGTGAGGCTTCGGGCAAGAGCTTGCTGAAGAACAAGACTTGAGTACCAGGCTGCGACAGCGTCCAGAGGGCTACGGATTGCGTGGTCATCAACGACGCCATCCATACCGCTGCCACCACGGCTATCAGTGTCATGTGTTGTTGGTAGGTTCCAGGCAAGGTTGTAAGCGCGTTGACCAATACTGTCGGCCAGAACATCATCACAGCCTTGTTCGAGAAGAGTAACAAGATAGGGTGGCAGCTCATCCTCTTGCTTGGCCTTGGTGTATGACGCTAGTACTTGAAGTTGCTTTGCTTCGTTCCACTTCCATCGTGCGAGTTTGGCCGCAACAGCCTGAAACAGATAATAACCGCTGAAGCCACAATTGCCAATTTCCCACAGAAGGACACGAATGTGCAATGCCTTTAGCATGAGACGAGCTGGTGTATCTGGCAGAGTACCGGAGGCGAGCAATGTGAGAGTGAGACGACTCTTGCTGACCTCAACATCTCCACCAGCCAATTGAGCATCGAGAGCGATAGTCCAGGCTTTGATGCGGGCAGCTTCTTCTTGTTGAGTAACGCCAGTGAGGTAAGCATAGCCATCGGGACCAATGATGTTTCGCAGGCTAAGCTTGACCATCTTCAAGCATAGAGCGGCAGCTTCAAGGAAGAAGTTGTGACGTGGGACCCAGACAGTTTGGATTGCGGTAAGCCAGGCTTGTCGACGAACTTGGATTGGAGAGGCCAATGAGGGTGCGGCAGCAAGTGAAGCGGTTTGGGTCTTTCCATTGCTTGGCTTGGGCTTTGAGACGAAAAGCGATGGTAAGAATGCATAAAGCAGAGCGCCAATGACCAAGATGATCTTCAAGTATGCCATGGTGTTTGCAGCCGAGACATGGTAACCAGCAACACGGATCTCCATGTGAGAGTGAATGGTATTGCTGAGGCTTCTCAGGAGGTGTACTGGAAGGGCAAAAAGACCACGAGCACCAGGCGTGTCTTCTTCTTGCTCGGCCTCGCGCATGCCTTCGAAGAACATCAAGCCAGCAAGAGATCCTACCATCAACTTGCCGAAGTAAGGGTTGTTCTGCCATCCACCCTGGACCACTGGGCGGGTTGGTTGGTATTGCTCTTGAGGAACAGAGAATGGCTGTTGTTGGCTCATGTGACCTGCGTTGATATTAGTACAAAGATTTGAGTCAGAGTAAAGTATGTTTGCCACTCACCATGAAGTCTTCGCATGTCATCAGGGACCTGAATCATACCTTGAGGCTCCAGGCCGCCGGGCGACGGCCCTGGGGTGTTGTACTCATTGAATTGGAATGGATTAGCCATTGGAGGTGCTGTATAGCCCATCGAGCCAGAACGGAAGAGGGTCTCGAATGCTGCCAGGCGTGCCTTCTGTTCTGAATTCTCCTCAAGTAATCGCTTGTTGCGCTTCTCTAAGTGATGAATGTACTCCGTAGCCTTGGCGAGGACCTGCTCTAAGTTAGTATAGCGCACATGTGTTGACATCACAATGAAGGAGTAAAATGACGACTATTGTGGCGAGAGGTAGTCGGAAATCTGCGACGATTTCGAAAAACAACCGGGAATCCTTGACGGTCTTTCGAGGGAGATTTGAATGCTATGATGACTATGACGACGAGGATCACTTGATTTTCGTCGCCTTCGTACCATGCAGGAGTAGCACACATCCTCTGTGTCGTGCATGGATTTTGAAATGGTACGTTGGTGAATATGGACACAGCATGGATACAGAACGAGCAGAAATGAAAAAGAACAAACCTAAATCATACGTACGGTGGCTTTGTTGGACTTATGGGCTGGAGTCAGGCCTTGCAAATCCTCTTGGTCATCAGCACCATCGCCATTTCGTGTCTTGTTCATAATTCGTAGACTTGGTACACTGTCCCGCAGCGCCGCGATCTTATCGTTCAGATTTGTGCGATACCGCTTCTCGATCATGTTGTGGGCCGTCTTCTTGACCGGCGGGTTCGAGTCATCATCATCGTCGTCGTCTGCCTCTGCAGAGGACTTGCGCTTTCGGCTTCGTTCCTCATGATTGTCGGGAGACGAAATCGAGCGGCTCTTGTTGCTAGCAGTCGAGTTCGGACTGTGCTGACCGCGGTATTGCAGATGTTGAGGCATTGCGATATTGCGCAATTTCTCTTGCTGAGCAGGAGTGAGTGTGTTCATGGTGGTGTATGGAGTTGGAGGAATCGGTTCGATTTTGGTCTCGATCGGAGCCTCCCAATTGAGGGGTGTCGAATAGAGACCTCCGTCGTAAGTCGGAGTCTCTTGATCCCAATCAGCTAAAGTGAATATTAGTATCGAGTCTCACTGTTCGGGCATATGTACACTGGTACACAGTTTAGACAGTTACTGACCGGGAAAGAGAGGGGAGTCGGCTCCGTCCAGCGCCAGGGTGTCGGTGGTAAAGACGACGTCGTCGAAGCTGTTGGTGTTGTAAGGGTCGAAAGCTGCAGGAATTCCTGAAAGAGTAGAAGGGTCAAGTGAATCGCGAGATTCCATGACGAGGCGTCAACGGGGAGGGAGGGAGAGAGAGGGAGGGAATGTCTTTGTGAGCTGATAATTGCGAACAATTCTGCAGGTGAGAAGAACTGAGACAAGGGTCAATCACGCGGGCCTTGATGTTGGGGGAAAATGTTTGGGATTGGGATTTGATTTTGCAGTGAGGTGTGAAGTCAGAAAATCGGCTCATTCTGATATCGTACCACTTTCTCTGCGAGGAGTGAATTGATAGCCTTGGACTGGACTGGACCCCTGCGGATGGCGGGACCTAAGGTGGAGCAATACTCGATCTGGACTAGCGAATTCTTAATTTCAGCCACGTGATCCCCACTACAGCCACACTGGGGCGCCTCGAGAAACAACAGGCCGGTCTCGACCTTGAAGTCAAAAACACCCGATTCCAAGACGAAAATGTTCACTTCCTTCAGCCTTAAGGACGTCCAAGATGGGATTGCGTGAAACGTTTTAAATACCGTCTGCTAGTAATTTTACACTTGGCCGTTGACGAGTTTTTATGGTTATTTCTATATCTTCTCTCAATATTTTCTGTTGCCGACTTCATCCCTTTTCGTGTAACAAGTTCTTCCTATCGTACGATACTCGGCGCCAAAGGACAGCATCGAGACATGCGTTGCCCCACATGCAACAAGCCTTCAGGCCAAGGTATTCCATGCAATACATCCGCCGGCAATGATCTCAATGACTGGATAGGCTCGAGGGTCATATTCGGGCTTGAGGCTCGGAGAAAGTGAAGTATAAAACTGTCTGGCGTATAGGAAACCTCATGGAAAGTATCTGGAAGGCATGGTGACAGAATGTCTTGAAAATATAGAACGTCTCGAAGTTCCTGATCAAATATGTAGAGTCCGTCTTCTCAATCACTTTCTTTTACAGGCCGTTTGCAGCATCTACAATGTTCCTAATAGGGCTTACATCTCAGCGGACTTCCTTTAGCGCACCACCAATGTCCCGGCAATGTGCCTTCCAACGGTTGTAGGTAATTTGATAGGTTGAATGCTTAGGAGGATCCCGAATGTCTTCGTAGCCACCGGAGGTCGACTCCAGAAAGACGCCGTATGGAGGATCTGAGGCTAAAAAAGTCTTCCTTCCCCACCTCGGAAGCAAAGAATATGCAAGTATTCTATGCGTAATGTCCAGCTGACGGGTATGCAAGATGCGTTCGTCAATCAATCTCGGCACTGTTTCTGGTCACTCGACTTTTGACCCATTGGAGCAGATTTGGTCTCCGCTGGATTTGGTCTAGACCTCCTAGATCTCCCGGCGGTTCTGTGGACTTACCACACTTTGCTGGTTATGTGCTGGTAAAGGCAAAGTTTCTAACTAGTAGCTTCTGGAGCAATGATTGACTGATTTCCAGTTTATGACTCGGAGGTCTGTCTGGTGACTGCCTTCTTCTAATGATTTCAGTGTGCGAGTTCTTAATTGGCCTCGTCACAACGTACCGTCCCATGGAACTACTGTAGGAACTAGGGAGACTTCTCCAAGTTCCAATCACTTAGAGGTCAAGTTTTAAGCTTTGTTCGTGGTAGTCACTATCTCAACGTTGATGGCTAATGAGGAAATGCCCCACATTGCACCTTTGGTACCCATCTAACCTGCTAGCACATCAAGGACAAAACCTCACGACCAAAACGCCGCAGCTCTAGAGGATCAATAGTACAGAACTATGATAATCACCGTACCTCCAGCATTGGTACCGGTGACTTCAATATTATCTTCGATCAGGGCATTTCACAGATTGCTGGGACTCATCTCGGCCGGTTCTGTGGTACCCCTGGGGATGTGAGGAATTAAACAATGAGACTAATGAGGGACTTCCAATCGTCTAAGATTCAAGAACACGGGCCACCTCCTAAGCCTCATTTGCTCCGAAGCATATTGATTCTTGTTTGTATGCAATGCGACGTCGTGTGCATTTTCTGCTATTCAATGCGTCCATGCTACACAAACACAATGTTCTCTCGAATCCGCAGCTAGGACGCCCAGACATCGAAACCCCTCTAAGAACATGTTCTTCGAGAATCGGCCGTTCCACAAAGGCCAACAAACATATCAAAAGCTTGTTGTACCACTGGGATGTTACTCGCGAAAGACCACAGCATGCAAGTATCCGGACGGACTTGCCCGAGAACTAATTCGTCGTAATGGAAGTCTCAGCTGATATTCTCAGCCAAAGTGCCTCGTGGGAACAAATACTGTTATAGATAATCTCCTCGAGAATTGAGGCTATACTGCTATATCCGAGGCTGTAACATTTCATCTTCTCGAAGGTCCAATACATGTATCAAAATGCTCAGGTGAAGCAGGACTCGAGGTCGGAGCCCACCTTGTCCCGAGCCGAGTTCGCTTCACCGCTGCATCGCGCTAAGCATATTTTTGTAGCTTCTTCAGACCTCACTCCTTCACGACAACTTCACATCACCACACCAACTCAGAATATGTTTCTGCATATGCACTTGGTGCAGATCATACTGAAGAAAATTGAGCTCGTCCCCATTTCCAAACTTCTGCCCACCAAACCACGCGCGGTGAGGAGTGGCCGCCGCGCCGTTAAGAGCACGTACTCCAAACCCAGTGGGTTTCAAGTGAAACAAGGTGTGCAGGGTCCGCACGCACACTCCTCCGAATCTGAATATGCCAACCAATCGATTCGGATACCGAAACCGAGAGCTTGCCAAATGTGCATAGTGCGGCAATGCCGCAGGTTGTCAATGTTAGAGATCTTGTTCCAGTTTCTCATGGTGATGGACGTTTTGGGATCCATCGACCCAATCGAGTCTATGCTACGTCTTGGGACTCGTTTGACGATGCTGCTGATTTGCTGCTCCCCTCACCAGCGAAAGAGAGTGCCCAGTGGCCCTCGGAGGTACGAAGGTAGACCCAAGATTGCGTGCGCGTGACTTGTGCCTCCCCTCGATACTCGTAACTTTCTCTTCGTTCATACCCACTTCCTGGTATCAACGGCCTTCTGCTTGTCGTCGTCGCCGCCGGTCACAATGAGTTTGCGTTGACAGCTAACCACCATGATGCGATTTCATGAACTCTAATTCTTACGATTCCTCCCATAGACTGGGTTTATCAATATAATTTGTTTCTTTTGTCTTTAATTCTGCGCCGCGATGGCCATATCGGATGCCGTCCAGACCTTGTCGGCGGCGTTCTCTTTGTTAGTCTTGAGTATACCCTCTGCCAGAGTGCTGTCTGCTAATCACCGTGTAGCGGTATCCTCCTTCAAGCTGCGACTGGCGCTCTGTTCATATACTATCGAGGTCATGGATCATCTATTTTTCAGGACGGCCGGAGGCTGGTCCTCGTGCTGTTCTTGTTATTTGCAGCCCTGTGGGCGCAAATAGACTTTGTAAACCTTCTTTTGCCAGCGACGATGGCAACGGGATGTCAGGCGACACTCATCATCACGACGATGTTCGACCAACTGGCGAGAGTGGGCATGGAGCAGTTTTTGTTGTGGTCAGTGGGACATGGGACACGATTGACGGCCGAACGATTGATATTGCAGGGAGTCCTGCTGGCAAGATTGGTGGCAGGTGGATTGTTGGTTGGATTCACAAGGCCTCAGTTTGAACCGGTTTGCGTGGCTGAAACTTCAGTCCTTCCGATCGCGATCATTGTTCTCGCCCTTGATGCGATAATCGTTGGTGTCTTGTTGGTTCGAGCTGCGTCATTGGGCATGTTCCAAGATATGAGTGGAAAGTCTGGGTCTGAGCAAAGTAAAGCTCTAGTGCTGAGCATCTTTGGATTTGGCTTTTGGACTGCAGTAAGTTTGCCAGGCTGCAGTGTCCAACCATAGACTAATCCTCCACTCAGATGAGTGTACCTTTGATTCTAGGTATTCCAACGATTATACTCATTCTCAGGACTGTTTTGCCTGCGAATGGCCTTCTTGTTCTTGTTGGTTAGTAAACTCTATCGAAGACTTGAGTTTTCCACTGACATAAGCCAGGCATCGTCACCATGTTTCCACATGCACTACTCTCAGACCGCGAACAGATAACTACACCAGAAGCTCGCTCTCCATTCGTGACACCGATGCCACCCTCTCGACAGATCTTCCAGGAGAATGTCAACAACGACGGCTCTCCTATCTCAAACCACAACTACACCAAATCGGGCTCACTGTTTGTGGTCAACCCCTCCGCTACTCCGCGTGACTCGCCGCGTGGTCCATTTGCCAATAGTCCTCGAAGCGATACTCGAGGTTTTACGAAAATGAGCGAGGAGGTCACAGTTCGAGAAATTGGTGGTAGAGATGCTCCCGAGCGACCAAACCGACCAGAGCGAAATGCACCAGGCTATCGAGGCTCAAGCGGTGTGTTCCCTTCAATGGCGAATGCAGCAACAGTATCCGCTCTTGCTCCCCAAATTCGACCAAACATTACTGTGAACACCAAAGTCATCTCTGGACCCATGAACTTGGGACCTTCTCCAGCTCAACAAAAACGAGGCTTGTTCAATTTCAACAAGACGCCAACTAAACCCAGTGTCAGATCACTAGGTATCTCTCAACCCGTAACTTTAGACACAGAGAGTGGAGCTCAGCCATTCGCAAGGATGCAGACTATCGACCTTGCTACAGCTGCTTTGAACGAGCGGGAGCGAAGGGAAGGTGCCACGGCAAGGGCGAAGCTTATTGCAAATCGTCCAGCTCCTCAACCACCAACCATGTCTTCTCAGGAAGCCTTGAGGAAGAGCATCAGCGTGAAGCGAAAAGAAATGCCAATGCGAGTCTCAGAAGCCATGCCAACAATTCCCGGATCAGTATCTTCTTCGATGGAAGCTAGCGGCAGTAGTACTTCTGCCTCGCTCTCACCTGGGCGGGACGACATACGACGACGTTCCCCGAGACAGACCAACAACTTTGAGAAGGTGCCTGTTATTGATGCAAAGACTGGAAAGCCTGTCCAACTTCAGCGAAAGAATACTCTAGGTGGACTACCTTCCAACCCTAGAGCAACAAGATTAATGAATCCTGCTCCTGAGCCACCAAAGATGACTATTCCACAGCAAACAGTTATGTTCATGAACGATATTGTCTACGACAACCCTAGCGTTGTAAAGACTATTATTCGGGATGCGCCGAGCATGTATGCAAAGCGGCCGAAGACAGCGACAGAGAAAAAAGGGTCTTTCGACTCGACTAGCTCTCTGCATTCGGCTGGATCAATCATCCATCGCCCAAGACCATACAAGCGTGACCAGTCCAAGGATCGAGCAATCTTCCCTAGCGAGCCAAGTCCTGGACACAGAAGGAGCAGATCTGGATCCGGCATCACACCTTCCCGGAAGAGCATGTTCTTGTCCAATCCTGGGAGCCCTTCAATGCTACCTCCCTTACCTCCACCACCAACCACTGCTGCAGATCTGAAGAGACTATTGCCAAATGACACAAAGAGCATGACATTCGACGAGAAGATCGAATTACTTTTCCCCGCACCACCAGGCGGAGCTACAACTCGGCAACGGCGCTCATCAGTCCCGTCTCTCCCCCGTGTTCCCTCAGTGTTCATGTCCGACTCGCCTCAAGCACAATCTCCTACCGAAGAAGAAGCCGCTGCTCGTAGAGCCTCAAAACGTACCACCATCGCTGAATTCCTCGTCGACACCGTACCGCCAACCATCCCGAACAAATCCGCCAAGCGACAATCCGTCAAATTAGCAGAGTCAGAACGGCAAGCTTACCGCTTCAGCGCAAATACATATAGAACAATAGCTGATGAGGTGGGCGAGACCTGGATCCCCGGCATCCCGGCTCAGGACGTGGAGCCAAGAAACGCTTTGCTAGGAGTGCCGCAACGACAATCTGTTCTTGATGATATGAGGAAATCTCACTTTACCGTCACAACAAATGCTGATTCAGAGGATGATGCGACTACCTATTGGGGTTCGGTCCATGATGATGTTCCTGCTGTCAATATTTCGAGTGCGAGATCAACATTCATCAAGCCTTTTGATAGCAAGAAATCTAGCACTGTTCCTTCTATCCGAACTATTGATAGCGAGGATGCAATAGACGGAGAGGAGATCATGACTGTTATGCTTGAGTCTGAAGAAAACAGACAATCATTCTTAGTCGACAATGTAGCGGACAACAACAGACGATCGTTCTTCTTGGATGCTGGCGAAGCCTTACCAGGTGATAAGACCCCATCTTCCATCAATGAGAGAGGATGGCATAAGAGGATTGGAGATGAGTTGCCTACTTTCTCTGAGCGGAAGGAGATGAGGAAGTCAAGAAAGATGCCTCCACCAACTCCCTTATTGCTGAACAGAAATGGAAGACAAGCAACAGTTGTAGTGAGGCCTGCTGAGCCATCACCTCCTGCTGACTCGCCCGAGCGGGCTATTGCAGAGATCCAAGCTCAACTAAAGCGCTTCGAAGAGCCGGGTCGTGGATCAGTCGGTTCCTTAATACGTGGTCTACCTGGCGGAAATGAAAGCGGTACTACCATGGGAACCGATCGACTGCGTCTCCTTGAGAATCTAGAATTGGAGATGGGTCAACAGGAGAACCACTGGCAACAGATGCAAAACAATCTCGATCGGGATTCTATTGCAAGCACCTCTCAACTTATTTCTCCTCAACCAGAGACAGTCTCAGAGTCGACTATGTCGCGTGAGTCCTCTCAAAGGTCATCTCGCACCCCATCTAGAGTTCTATCTCGACGTGCTCGCATCAGAAGCAGCATGACGGACCGCTCTAAGGGTCAGATGTCGAGCCGCACCACATCAACTGAGAGCTCTGACAACTCGAGAGCCAGTGTCTGGCAGCAACGTCTTGCTGAGGCTCAGAATGAGTACATGGAGAATGCACCTCAATTACTGAGAAAGAAGAGTCTAAACTTCCTCTCGGTCTCCAAGTCACATCAACTAGGCAGCCCAACCCCACCTGACTCCGGCGAATCAGAGACAGATATGGAGACGGATGCAGGAACGGAATCCGAGTCTGAGCTGGAAGCCGCGAGATACCAAGAACTTCTCCAAGCTCCTCGCAAGGATCCTGCAACTCTATGGCAACAACCATTACCTACACCAAAGGCGGCGGTTGGTCGGATGTGGAACCCACCCTTCGAGTCCGTTCAAGTTAGAGCGGCTTCACCGGAACCTCCAGCGATGAACGTTAGACCTGTTCAACGTCGCACTCAATCTGCACTACCTATCTCCAGCACTGATCTCTGGTCTAAGCCAAAGACAGCTGCAAACAAGCGTCCTGTTGTAGCACTGTGGGGCTCGAAGTTCGTCCGACCTGTAAGCATTGTGACTCGCCGTGTGACACAACGACCGCAACGCAAATCAAAGCGCGTAACATTCCTCCCAGATATTGGTAAGTACTTCCCAAAGCACTTGTATACTCAAGCTAACACAGCATTAGTCGAGAGCCCCGTCCCTCTTCCAAACAAGAGAGACACTCTTGGAATCTTCCAATTTCCATGGGGAGAAAAGTCTGATCAACCTGTATACCAACCTGCCTTCAACCCTGCTCTTCTCGCTGGTCCTGCTCTGAACGCAAATCTCGAAGCTAGAGCCCGGCAATTGGAGAACTCTGAGCAATCAGAATACTCGTCTTCATTCTTTGATGATTACGACGAGGACCAAGATGAGATGGACCCTGAGAGTGATGACGACTTTGATGAAACCACACTGTGGGAGATCGCAAACTTGTTGAACTCGAAAGATGTTCCATCGAAGCAGAGTCTCCTACCGCCTGCACGTGGTCAGGCTATTGCAGAGGAGTTTGATGAGTCTGATGATGAGGACAGTGCTATCCCACCTCCCGTGATGAACCTACCCATTCGACCACTTGCCATGAACGAACGAACAGAGTCTCAACTCTGGGCCAGTCAAGCCGAATCTGCAATCCCCAATATCAGCACTGGTTTACCACAACCTGAGCCTAGTGTTTGGAGTGCGATGGTTCTAGCTTCTGATGATGCCGTCCGATCAAAGGCCCGCTCCTCTGATGCTTTGCCAGTCCTTTCCAGCAGAGAATTGTGGGCTTCAAATGAGTCCGAGAAGTCGTCACCCGTAGAGTCGAGCATGTGGCAAGCAAGCAAGGACATTTCTAGTCCACCATCAAGTGCTATGTGGTCACCACAGCCAGAATCCACTCCAACTCGCGAGTCTGGTCTTTTCACTCCCGTCGAGGGCTTGGTAATTCGAACCACGGACGCAACACCAGCTGCTATCCAGATGGCCAAGACTCCCCGCCCAGCTGCTGTCCTTGCACCAAGCATCTCTTCACGAAACCTGTGGACTCGTCTTCAGAACATGGAAGAAGCCACTGAATGGTTGTCGAAGTCAAGTGCTGCTCGCTCTCCCCGTGCGCAGGTGATGTGGGCACCCACTTCTAAGATCGTGGAGGCGCAAAAAATTGGTCTTTTTGATGCCACCTTACCAAGAGTAGTTTTCCGAACAACCACTTCTGCCCCAGCTGCGATCAACATGATCTGCAAACCACGTACGACCAGAGTACCGCTCAGTCAGTTGACATCAACCAAGCTGTGGAGTGGATGTAACAAGTTGCCCCTTGAGCGTGATTGGATTTCCGAGTCTTCAATTCGACCTGAAAGTCCCTCAATCTACTCAGCAAGCTCTTCTGGTAACTCTTCCCCAGCCTCTGACTCTTCCTCTGTCAAATCGACTAGCACCAAAGCCTCATCGCTTTGGGGCTCAGTCTCAGCACTGGCGATTCCAACATGGTGGGAAGGCAAGAGCAAGAAGCCAGCAGACTCTTCACCCGTGGATGACTCGAAACCCGCATCAAAGATTCCAGTTCGTCAAAACACCCCTCTAGCCCCAGTCCGAGAGTCTCGAGTTCTTGCATCTCGTGATATGTGGGAAGCAAAGACCCCTGTGTTGGAGAAGACACCATCTCGAAGATTCCGAAGAGGCACTGTAGCTCAGGATTCAGCTCCTGTACCACACAGAGCCCTTCGCCACCAATACAGACCTATTGTCGCATTCCGTGCCAATTGGGATGAAGCTCTAGCTGAAGCCATTGCTGCTGGAACACCAAAGAGATCTTTGCCACGTCCAATTGCAAGGAAGGCCGATTGGACGTCCGCACTCAATGAAGCTATCACTTCTTCAAAGCCCAGACTTCAACGTCCTCAATGCTCGCGAGCTATGTGGGCGGATGCTCTTGCCGAAGCTGTTTCCAAGAGCAGGATCCCAAGACCAGTGAAGGTTCAACGATATGATCCAGCTGTGTTGCACCCCGTCTTCTTCACCAAGTCTCTCGCAACAAGCGCTAAGGATATCCACCCTGCTGCGATTGGACACGCCTCTCCAAAATACGATCCTGCTGTCATGCACCCTGTTTTCTTTACCAAGTCTCTCATTACCGATATCAAGGACGTTCATCCAGCTGCGATCGGACACGTTACAAAGAAGTACGATCCATCGGTTTTACATCCAGTCTTCTTCACTGAATCGCTCGTCTCCACCACATATGATGTCCATCCCGCTGCGATTGGTCACATTTCTAAGGTGATACGACCAAGCATGTGGACTTCATCTCCAGTCACTGCAGCATCCAAGTCAGGCTCGATGTGGTCGAAAGAGAGTTCAGTACCCCGCAAGGCAGCACTAGAGGCAAGCATCATCGCTGAGCCTGTACGAAAGGTTACTGTTGCACGAGTAGTGGAACTTCCAATCCTTGAATCCAAGACTTTCTGGCAGCCGGCCAATACTGTTACCGTCGAGCGAAATTGGATGTTATCAACTCCAGTTCAGTCTCCAAAGACATGGACTCCACGCAGCGATTCATCCTCACAAGGCAGTGATATTAGCATGTGGTCAGCTAAGGCCACCTCATCTCCATCCTCGCCAGATATGTTCACAGACATGGATGCTGGACCTGTTCGAAAGGCTACTGCACAAAAAGGACTTGATCTACCTGTCCTGGAATCCAAGACGTTTTGGCAACCAACCAGATCCGATTCTACTGAACGAAACTGGATTCAATCAGCCGTCGTGGTATCTTCCAAGACATGGACTCCACGCAGCCAATCACCTCGATTGCAAGTGAAGGATAGCAATAGTATGTGGGCTGCTAACACCACTTCTTCTTCAACGTTGCCTGATATGTTCGCCAACATGAAAGGTGGCCTCGTCAAGAAAGCTTCTCCTTCCCGACCATCGGCTCTTCCACGCCTGAACTCAAACGAGCTTTTCGGAACAGGTTCAGGGAGCGCTGAGCGCAACATTCACTGGCTCCACAACACCTCCACATTGCCGTCTCGCGCCCTTACCTGGACCGCACCTTCAACGTGCCAAGCAACGTTGCCAGAGAGCAGCATGTGGGAAGCCCGCCCTCACATCAACCTTCCCTCTGCAACATTGTTTGAAAATGCACACAGTCAACCTTGGAACTCCAAAAAACGCGAGGAGACGTCATTGAGCCAACTGGAGAGCACAGATATGTGGCGCCCAAATATGTTTATTCCAACCTCACCGCGCAATTGGCTGGTGAAGAGGAGATTCTCGAAGGTAGAATTCCGTTATTGAGAAATAGGTCTAGCATAATCATGTGCTCTGTAAATAGTAGATAGGTACATCCTTCCGTTCGTTTAGGGTAGTTTTTGCGTTATTAGGATGAGCGAGCTCGGGCCAGGAAATTGTTGATACCCCTTCAAGGTGGTGGATTCGTCGGCTGTTAGAAGCCTTTTGTAACGTTACCAATGTATTGCTTGTACAATGTGGTCGAGCTTGACTCTTTGAAGCTATACGACTTACTGCCCGATCAAGATGCGAGACGCAAAATGATGAGGAGAAGACATCACGTTTTGTAAGCGAGCCAATGAGATCCGTAAAGTGACGCCAAGCAATATCCAAACGATGATCGCACAGTTGCCACGAGCCACGAGACCACCTTCGTTCCCATGCTGGACGCCGATCAAGTAGATGTTACGCGTTTGATTATATTCGTACTTATATTCACATTGCATGACCCACTCTAAACGCCCCAGTCAGCCAGTTTATAAAGACACCAATGCCGCGCCCGAAAGATAATGCCACACGTCCCGACAACACATCTCCAACGTCTTCTCAGTCCGCCATCCCAACTCCTCCTCGGCTCTTCGTGCCTTAGCTACGCATGAACCGACGTCTCCTTCTCTTCTACCCACAATCCGAGTTGGGATTTTTCGCCCGCAAACCTGCTCCATGGCGTCAACGACTTCCAGCACCGAGGATCCACGACCACTTCCAAGATTATATACTCGGAAACCGTGGTCTCCCCGGTCCGCTCGGGACTTGAGCGCGGCCAAATGTCCTTTGGCAAGATCGGTAACGTGAATATAATCTCTCACAGCCGTTCCGTCAGGCGTGTCATAATCATCACCATAGATGCTCAGAACGGGCAAGGCGCCGGTGATGACCCTTAGCACGACGGGCATGAGATTGGTTGCAGCATCTCGAGGATCCTCTCCCAGAAGCCCTGATTCGTCACAGCCGATTGGATTGAAGTATCGAAGCGCTGTGATGGTCCATTCTGGGTCTGCATAGGCCAAATCACTCAGGATAGCTTCGCACATCCATTTGGTTCGTCCGTACGGATTTGTCAGTCCAGAGCTACCCGAATGGATTACTTTTGATTCGCCATCATCGTCAACGAAATTTGTCGTTTGTTGACTGCAGTACTCTTCGCGCAATGGAATTCCGATATCTGCGACGGTGCCGTAGACGGTAGCAGAGGATGAGAATACGAAGTTCTTGATTCCGTATTCGCCTAGTAAACTGCAGAAATCGATCATGCCTCCGACGTTGTTGGCATAATACTTCAGAGGCTGCTTAATGCTTTCTCCCACAGCCTTGTAGGCTGCGAAATGGATTACTCCGGTGATGTTGGAGCGCTTTCGAAGATCCGATTCTGCTGGACTCAGTACAAAAGGAGCTGGAATTTCGTACTCGTCCAAAATCGCTGTCATTGCTTTGCTGTCTCTATAGTCGGCTTGATACAGCTTCAGACACGGCCGGCGCTCTGGTGTCTTCTCGTAGTGATTCGACACCATCGCTTCAATCCTATCGAAGACGGAGCTGAAGGCATTGCTGAGGTTGTCGATGACTACGACCTGGAACGGGAATCAGAACTGATGGTTACCTCAGGGACGGAAGAAGGCGCCTACATTATACCCGGCCTTTGCAAGCTCCCAGACTGTGTGGGAGCCGATGAAGCCACAACCACCGACCACAAGAATGTATGGAGCATTGACCGACTTTTGAACAAGATCGAGGTCGATGTCGTCGAAAAGCAGTGATCGTTCGGTGAAGGGCGTATCAACCTCACCAAAGTCCGATCCAGATGAGAAGCGCTCTGGGCTTGAGGCGCCACTTCCTGTGCTGCCAGGCATTGTTGAATTATACCCCGCAATCTGCTGTGATGCTTGAAAAAGTTTTCTCATAAGTCAACTCTTCTGTACATGTCTTTATATGGCTCGGCTTTGAGGTGCAGCACGGATAGATATTTTGATCACAGTGTTTCTTTTCCTTGCCATCAGTCTCGCAAGAACGTGGTCACCTCGCGTGATAAATTACTCGCGAGTGATGCTGGTCACTCCAATTTGGGGCCGTTCTCCAGGTTTCTTTCACCCGCTCAGCCGTGGATATTTTTGCAGCATATTGGGTGAGAAAGTGCTATATTGGTCCCCTTTCTAGAATTCCTTTGAATTGCTGGGAAAATGCATCGAGCATCAGACGCGTGGATGCTGTAACAGTTCTGGTCCTAGTCATTTCGTCTGAATTGTGCCTGTAGGATGCATTCGATCTGGGCGATCAGGTTCCGGGCAGACGTTACCGGTATCACCCTACCTCGAGATGCGCATCTTAAACTATCAGATTGAGAAAATTTCTCACAACAGGATGGCTGGATCGCTCTTTCGGTATATCTGCACAGCAGATTCGTCATCATGGCCCGAATGGTAAAGGAGCACTCGCTCGGAAGCATGTCAAGTTTTCTCGATGCATTTTCTCCCGGTTTCCTCGACCGGCACTTCGAACAAGTTTGGAAATGCAGCGTTACGCGTCAGGTTGTTACTGTCTGGGGATTCGCCGCGTTTATCTCACTCACAATTAAGCTTTGCAGGGCTTCTGCAGACTTCTAGAGACGTCCCGGGACAGCAAAGTCAGGAACGCTGTGCTTGGCATACATCCCCCAGAGCAAATTAACTGTCTACGACCTGGGTCACCCATTCTCGAGCGCACAGTGCCTTCTAAGGCTAGGATCTGTTTGGTACCTGATGGAGGAGGATTTCCGGTTCCACAGTGCGCTTTGCTATGGAAACGATAAACCGGCCCGGTCTAGGTTGTGGAACGAGAAAACATGGACCTCAGCTCATCGAAGTGTGAGTTTTACCCATATTTTCTCAAAATCATCGTTCCGATGTTCAATGAACTTTGATCTGGGGTAACAAGGATGCCTCCCCACCGTCCCAGCAGTGAGATCTATCATATGCAGGTTCGACATACTAGCCACAGGATTTTCAGTCACTACATATGCCGGCCTGGCAAGTGCTGCGGTTCCAGGCCTAGATCATCTCCAGGATCTGTCCTCACTAATCAAACGGGATACCCGAACCAGTCGACTTGCGAGTCGGTAACACTCAGTGCCTTGAATCTTTCATGGGGTTGATCTCACCTCACGAATAGGCCAATGGACCCCTCTTAAAGGTTGGTCTCGTGATACGATAAACGAGATGATTAGCACCACACTTCTCCATCGCGGCTATTTTGTTGCAGAGGCTGAATTTGTGATCGGGTATTCATCAGCCAGCGAGATCCTCTCCAAGCAGAGCCCAATCTATCAGCCGCCTCCACCATCTTAACGGTTCTGTGCTTCCACAGTATCCCGCGAACGTGGGATGAGAAATGTACAGAGCCAACAGGAGGAGAGGATCTTCTTATCTTGATGTTGACTGACGACGCTGATAAGGGCTCTCTGGACAATACAAAAGGCATTGAAGGACCATATCAGATTCTTTAATGTTATGCTTTCATTCGCACCATCTATTGCTCTCGACTGAATCGACCTCGTCTCATCTCGTCTCCTCTCGGCGCATTATGGAGGTATACTGACAACATATACGAGCCAGTCATGGCGCAAGCTCGGCGGCCCTGTCATCCGAATACTCATATTACTACTTCCAAGGGCCGGCAATGGCGTTTTTCTCGAGCGGTATGTGATTCTCTGGTCAAGCTCGCTGCTGACCGTTACTTCCAAGTTGGCCGTTTCACGATGGCGTGCACTGAACCAAGGCTTGGTGCAACATTAGGCCGCCCCGGGAAAAATCCACACAAGTCACTATTTGCCGTATGGTCCAGCTTCAGGTTTGCCATCATGGATATACCCCACAAGAACAAGGGTGGCTGTTTTCACCTACCGGTGTTCCTTACAAGCATTACCTGCCTTGGCGATAAGGTTCCAATGTCTCGGGCCCGAGCAATACTTTCTTCGATCACTTTGTCAACAAGTTTTGCTTATGCCGACCTCTGTCAAGGAAAGTTCGTCTTGGCAACCTACGTCAAGAGATGCATGTTCGCCTTGGCGATGTTTGTTCATTGTTCAATCTATCCAGGACGATGCAGCATTAGGTTTGTCGTAGATATATGATGGATATTGGATTCCCCGCATTAATGCAAGACCATTACATTGCATTACTTCGTACATATAAACATGGTGAGCACGTTCACATTCCCTTCTCTCTTTGACGTTGAATAATATCAGGAAGCCCCGCCGTTGCATCTTGTGCTGCCCGAAGTTTCTGGGGGTACGTACTCAGATGCAAAAAGAGAACTTGGAAGTTTTGGCTGAATTCCATCTCGACTGAGGAAACCCTCAACAATTCAACAAGAAATGATGGTTTTGTGAGTCAATTATCAGCATACTTTCGCCATCCGCACCATAATCACGAGTGCACGGAATATGCTCCTGCTTTGCTGCACTCCGGAGATCCTCATTTTGGAAATTTCGCGATCGAAAAATTTTTGTCCATGGTCTTCTTTCATTGTTTTTCATCTATGGGAGTTTTCAGCCTGCATCCGTTGAATATAGGCTGAACGGGTTTCCATGAACAAGGCTGCCTGTCAGGAACGAGAACCCAAATCTGGCCACCACCAACTTTTCTTTCTTTCTCGCCCCCATCTGCTACGCTAGCAAGCTTCAAACCAGTCATCCAATGACACATTTTTCAAAATCGTGGAGAAATTGGCGGCCTGCTTGTAATCGCAAATCAGCGTCAAGGCATCGGCGCTCGCGGTGGCGTTGATGGTGAAATTCGTCGAATTCATACTCGATGTGGAAAACGGGTTTGTTGCTCGCGACGAGCGGTTGGTAGATCTTGCACTCTCTGTATTTCACGCACTGTTCGTTCACTGCATATTCTACCTCGTCAATCACTTCCTTTACCAGGTCCCCTCTGTTCTTGAGCCCCATGGAGACGTTTCTCGCATGAGCCGCTTCGGACAGGAACGTGATGTAGTTAATGGCACCAGCTCGAGTGAGATTGAGGCCATTGTCGTTCTTGAACCCGTCGATATTGTCGGGATCGACGCCATCGCAGCCCTTCGTGGCGGCGAGGTCGAGACGCTTCAACATGATGCTCCGGACGTTGGGTGAACTGGTATTCAACCACCATTCTCCTGGCCAGCCGACGAGCGGAGCGCCGTAATCAGAGGGCAGGAAGTCTGTTGAGTCCGATCGGCGGCTTCCACCACGTTGCTGCTGTGGAGTCGTTCGTTGAAGCGGAGGTGATGGATGGGGTGGTGGGAGAAGGGGAGGCGATCGCATGTCGGTTGAGACCGATTCCCAGTGCGAGACCCAGTGTAACGCCCAGTACGACCCCAATCATCGCTATTCCGAGGAGAACGTGCCGCAATTTGCAGCTGCATGTTCGGTGCTGGTGCTGCTCGGATGTCGGGGCTTCATGGGGATAGGGGAATATGCCTCCAGACGACATAAGCGATGTCTTGTCTGACTGTTCGAAAGTGAGGATACAGTCAGGAGATCATGGGAATGAATCAGAAGAAAAAGGAAACTATTGGGAGGACTTCAAAGCTGAATATTGGGCATCACCGATTCACAATATTGCGGTAGCAATCACATTACATTACATCCACGCAGCCAAGCCAAACCAGGCCATTATCTCTCGCTCACTATCACTCATTATCACGGACAATTCCTCTCCGTTCGTTTCGTTTCCCATCCTATCTCTCCCCAAGAACCAGCATATACGTCACCCAACCCTCCTTTCATTACCATTCCCCGTGGCTCGTCACAGATAACATCTTCTCTCAATCTCAACCAAGAAAAATCAAACACCGCCACGTACCCACGAGGCTGAAATAACCAGAACAGGTACAGTACTGTAACGGCCCCACATACGTACCCCCCAAGTGCCGATTCGGACCGGAATTTCTTTTCCCTCCTTCCTTCCTGCCTTCCTTTCAGGATCTGATCTTCAGGAACGGGACGGGGTATGGGTATTTACCCTGGCACTAGGGAGTTGTCGATCAGGGTGGGCTTGGCTTGGTGGGCTTGTCGATGAGAGGTCGCGAGGCCCGGAATCGAGGGAATTCGGTAGGTCTGGGGAAGAAGATCAGGCTGATTGCCAAGGGATTTGTTGGGGCATTGGGGATGCGGAGGGATAAGGGATAGGTGCATGCATGTATGCGGACAAGGCCAGGGTCAGGGATAGGGGGAGAGGGGAGAGGGGAGATAGAGTTTAGAGTGCTGTGAGAAGAAAAAGTTTTGGTTCTGGTTTCTGGCTGGCGCCGACGTTTTCTTTTGTTCTGTGCATGTGGGTTGAGTTGAGGGACAGGGAGGGGGTTCGGGACCGAGGGGTGGTGGGTGTGGAGAGTCGGTGGTTTAGGGTGAGCGTCGTGGATGAGGTAAGTGTGTGGACCGTAAGTAGGTGGATTTGAATCTTGGATCTTCAGCGAGGAGGAGAAAGCTTGGAATTATTTCTTTGATTCTGTTTAGGTAGGAATGAAGTGGCGAAGGGAGTTTTCGGCTCGAAGAATCCCCTTTCAAACACATCCATTCTTCGATCCGAAAAACCTTGTATGCGCCTCAGGCAAGAATTTCCGATCGTAATATCCAGCCGTTATCTCTTCTGTAAAGAGCTGTCTGTGTGCACCAGGTAGGATCGAGATCGATATTGAGATCTTATCTTTGTGGCTTGCTTGGTTGATGTAAAATTTATGTAGGTGTGTATAGAAATAGAATTTATATAATCAAATAAGGTAGGTAGATAAGAAAAGTAATGAGATCCCTCAATCATGCGATTATGAATCCTCCCAAATGCAACCCCTCCTTCCCTGCCTAAGTACAATGCCAATTTAGTCCACCAGGCCACACACGTTCGTTCATACTTCTCGCCATTGCATGCTAAGTACCATGTCTAGTAAATTGAAACCGGCTTGCTCAGAGTAAACGTAACTGGTTGCCCAGCCATCTTGACCCAGATGGTCAAAGGATCATGACCAATTTGCTCGGTGGCGAAGTTCTGGGTGTCAGTTACGCTGGCTGGGACCGTGATGGGGATGGGGACGGAGCAGATGTTGCGGGTCGAGGTTATGGTCACGGCTGAGATGGCGCCGGTGGTGGGGTTGACGTCCCAGGTCATCTTGGGCTTGCATGCATCACGAGTCATTCGGTCTCGGAATGAGGCGTTGATCTAGGTCATTTTAGTCTAGTCCTCTATTTTGAAACAGAGAGGTACTTACATCGTCATGCTTGAGTGTGATCAAGGGCCAGTTGACGCTGTGAGAAAGGTTAGTTGGTGGCTGAGTACAGAAGGGAGTCGGCGTACAGTCTAATAAATTCTCGGATCACGGTCTCGACCCAGACTTCCATGAGCGAGTACACGGTGGTGATATCGTCGGACATGGTGTAGTAATCCGCATCTTCGTACATCAGGTTGGCTTGATGGAACATGTATGGGTCATGGTGCAGACCGAGCAGATGTCGGGTGTTGGTGTCTTGCTCAATGCCAAGGATGGTGTACATATCTCCTACTCCCTTGGAAACGTTCTTCCATTCGGCTACGACACAGTCGGCGTAGTTGCACTGTTTTCGATTAGTGATGGACTAGAAGATGGACACATATCAGAAAGCTTACGTTGTAGTAGATGTTGGAGGCCCAACGAGGTGTGATTTGGATACCTGCATATCCATTTGAGGCCACTGTAGACATCAGAGGCCAGTGCTCGTTATCCTGATTGAGACGTCAGTACTAGCGAAAGTTGAGTTTTAATCAGGATCATCTTACAGCATTAAGAAGAGGCTTTCTGGTATTGTCTCCAACCACGTGAACAATACCCTGCTCATACCAAGCCTTCAAAGCATCTCCATTGTGCATACCAGTGATAGCAGGAGGAATGATTCCAGTGCCGCTATACTTCTTAGCTTTTGAGATTCCAGATTGCTCCAACCAAGCCTTGTTCCAGGTGAGCTCTCGCACTACATCAAAGTAGGTAGAATTGTCTTGATCCTCGTGAGAGAAGGTGTGAGAGATGTGCGAGAAAGCGTTGAGGTTGGCAGGTTGCTGCCACCACACGAGCAATGGGTCCTTTTTCATGCATGCTAGAGTGTAGTTGCCATATTCAAGAGATGCATTGGCGGGCCATATGCTTGAACCTGAGCCCAAGGGCTTAGCAAACTCCAATGGGGTATCAATTTGATCGGGGTATTCAACTGCTTCGGTTAGCAAAACAACAGGAAAAAATACATGGCCTTCTCAGTCATCGATCTAAAAAAAAGATCACTTATAGAAACCGAATAGAGCACTTACTTGGACCTGGGTTACAGACTACGTCGCTTCCAGAAGGATCGGCTGACTAGGTCAAATGAGTTATGTTTCTTGCACGTTTTATGCAGGTGACTGACCTCAAGGTTGCCATTACCATTGTGTCCAATCTCAATCCACCAATTGCTACCTGGATTGAGTCTCTTGTTGATACCTGCCATCACAGTGACATGATGGGCAACATCAACAGCTGAGCAACGGAAGTTTTCTCCGGTATCGAACATGGGTGTCTCGCTAATTGTTGGTCAGTTCAGCATGTTCTTGTTTTGATAGAGGAAACATACAGGAACATATCATCAACTGTGGAGATACGTTAGCAAGGTTCGGCTTGAGAGCGTGGATTGGTGGTTTCTAGTACATTGGTACTGGAAATTGTATTTTAATGCAAAGGAGAGGGATCGTGGAAGACGAACCTTGTGTGTTCAACATTGCTCTACGCCATCCCGCAACTACGTTCGTCAGTATGATTAATACAGCAAGATCATGAGCACATACATAAGCCTCTTGTTCCCCAAGTAATCCATGCATGTTGGAGGAAATTGGAGGTCAATGACCAATCTGTTGCAAATGGCATGAAGAAAACCATCTGTAAAAATTAGACACTTGAACTGTCTAGGTTATCAGATAATACATACTTGTTGTCGCCCATTAATGACATTTATGACACCTGCAGTGGTAGTGGTAGTGATATTGTCCGCTGTCGCTGGAGCAAATTGTGCAATCTCCCAAGCGATCTTTGGGTTGGTGATTTTGGCAGGATAATGGTATAATCCTTTTGTGGTGAGCCCAGCTCCACTATTTTGGGTAAGCAAAAGATCAATCAATTCTTCATATGGGGTGCCTACACATTGAGACCGGCTTGGAGGAAAGCAGAAGCGTTTGAGATTGAGACCAACTGTTCACCAGTGCAACACGCACCAAGAGACTGTGTTCCAGTGTCGGCTGATGGAGCTACATCGAGTCTCACCATTCGAACACCGAAGGCAACTTGATAAGCATATAGAGATTGCCATTGAGCACTTGTCAAAGCACTCGCATATCCTTTGGTTCCATAGTCATAGCTGACTTCTGACAACACAACAATGAGTCCGTAGTTTCCATGAGTTGTTGTGTCATTAAGGCTTGGCAGAGCGGCACCGGCTTGAGGTACCGTTAAGACAGAGTATGGGATTCCTCGATCATTTAGGCCGGAGTATGCCGAATAAGCCGAGGTTGTGTCCCGTGCTATAACCAAAACTGTGCTGTCGACCGTGCCAGACGTGGCTGGTACTGCAGGAGTAACCACAGTAGGAACGAAGCTGGTGTTGGCGGAGATAGACGTTTGATTCAGTTGGAGAAGGCCAAGAGGTAGTGGTTTGGCAGGCTGCTGCACAGATTGATGGTTCAGAAGGATAGTTTCGGTGCCATGAAAATGAGTGTGGTTTCCTGTCCTGTTGTGATGTTTGAAAGCAAAAGCCGATGGTAGGCATAGGACCGATGCCAAGATGCAAGATGGGAGCAACATCGTGAACGCCAAGAGATGGTATGCAGGACAAATGATTCGACAGGATAGTCAAGTAGCATTCACTTCCTCACAGAAGCACGCACGAATATATAAAAGAAGAAGCGAAAAATCTGGTATCTGATGACTAGGTGTAGAAAGAAAGCTGGCGCGGCCTCGCGCTCGAGAACGGAAGTAACGTATACACGCAGGTTCACACTATACTTCCCCGCAAATAAAAATCAGATCTGGGCGTTTCTTGGACATTCCTGGATAACCGGAATGTTTACGTTTAGCCCTATATTGCATCCTAGTCGCCTTCGTGTAACGCTCGTGGCAAATTCATGATGGGAGAGTGAGCGAAGAAAATAGAAGACGTACGAACTAGTCGAGACTCGTCAGCTCTCATTTACTGAGTCGTACACGCGAGAGCACAGAGATGAGCAAGTGCTGCGTGCCCGACTGAGTCTTCCCTTTGTCATGGAGTCATCGTGAGGCCTGCGACTAGAACAGCCAAAAGCGGCTGAGCCTGTGATGAGAAGGTCTGCTGGGACCCGGAAATCATGTAATCATAGACGTGGACTGATATAGCACGGAACAGACGAAGAACAGCACCTTGGCATGTCTTCAATCTGGGTAAATCGCGGTTGCAGCGAGCCGTAGATGAGATGAAGTTGAAGAGTGGTGGTGGATGTGGTGGATGAAATGGATTCATATATGGCTATGTAGTCAGATCATGGGGGAGGCAGATGAGGCCAGATTGGAAGAAACGTCAGGTGCCCCGGAGCATTTTGCGGGGTGGCGCTTTCGGGGTGCAGAACAGCACGCTACTGGCGGGATGCCACCCCGCTCAGGGCATTTCAGGGCACTTTCAGGGGAAGCCGCCCAGATCGCTTCAGGGTCCCGCAGACTCGGCATTAAGCGGAGACACGCTAAACCTAATTGTCTATTACGCGAGGTGCGCTAAAATAACGACATGCACTTCACTCGCTCGCTCCATCTTCTCTTCTCAACTACGTATAAACGAGGCTCAATCAATTTATTTTATTCATCCCATCATCACTCGCTCATCGTTGTCCTACCACATCCTCCCACTTGTCCATATTCTGCCGTAGCAGCCCCAGATTCCTACGCTCCTCTCGTCTAGCTCAGGCAAAATCTCAGCACGTCAATCTGATCATTGCCATGAGATTTCTGCACTCTAAGTGCCGCTGTTCATGCCAGGTCTTTCATTTCCTCTGCCCCTCGCCCTGGCATTTCCGTTGCCTCAACCTACTTCCAGCACCGATGAACCCCCATCGGTACTTACGAGATTGTAGATTGTTCCTTCCAATCGCCCAATCCGGGTGGTGCCAAGAAAACATGGCGATTCTTGGGGCGCCGGCCCGATGTGTGGAGATCATGAAGTGTCGGATCGTGCCTATTCTGTCCTGAACAATTTGTATCAGGTCTATCAAGGGCCAAGAAACATCGATCCGCCTGGCCGGATGTGTATTGCGATGGTGGAGTAGCTGTGTGTACCTCCCTCTTCAGCCACGGAGGCTTTCCTACTGTTTCCTTCTTAGTCTCATGTTCTCAAAACGCTCTTACTCTCAGAACCTTGTCTCCCCGCACGTGGGACCAAGCCTTTTTCATCTAGCTGACGTTGCTCTGGCACTAACAATGAATGGCTCCATGATATGCCGTGTGCTGGCCGTTGTATTTTGAGTGATTCTTTCTCGGCCAGTTGATCTGGGTGTGCCAACTCGTCTCTTTGTTCTGTAATGGCTAACATCACCGGTGTTGAAGCTGCTGGATGGGACGAGCTGCATCGATACTGGTGGCAATATGTAAAGAGCATATTCATTCACGAGAAGAACTTGATGCTCATGTTTGCTAGATCTTAGTCGGATTCATTCTCCTCGCCGTTGGGCTCGGGTCGACGTTTCTGTTGTATCTGGGTCTGTGCAAGCTCTACAATGACCACATTGTAAGCCACAAGTTCTTTCATATTCAACACTGTTCTCCCACGAATGCATCTATGAATGGATCTCAAAGGAACAAAAACTGATTGCACATAGCAAGGGAGAGTCGGTTCGAAACAAGTGCCCAACGATGTACGAAGATATCTCTCCCAGTCATCTGCCGATCTTTCTCCGTACAGCATCGAGAAGACGACGAAAAGGCCGAACAGCTATGGAGTATATTTGGGGGCATTCGAGACACCTCCAACAAGCGAGCAAGTTCGGTTGCTAGCAGAATGGGATCTTTTGGTTTTCGATCCGTCTCAGGCAGGCGTGCTTGAAGCAATGTCTTCTGGGATCTATGCTATCTCGCCACAGACGATCGCACGGCTCGATGTGAGACACATAGCAAGAGGCTCGATACATCCCATTTCTTCGATTGTACAATGGATCGGTAGACATGTCAAAGTGTCGGCGAAAATCACCGGACATCAACATTGCTTCACCGGAGTACTTGTCAGTGCTTGGGAGGAGGTCATTACGGTACCAGTGCTGAAAGCATTCATTATTTTCGCCAGCGGCCTAGGCTTCACCGTTTACCTTGAAGTTTCCGCTCCGCAATTTCTTGTTGAACCCAAGTTGGCAGAACTAGAAGAAGTGACAGGATTAGTTCTTCGAAATGGCACGATATCAGCCAATGGGGAAGAACGAGATGCATTTCAGATGTCGCAGATGCGGACCACGATCAAAGCGTTTATCTCGCAGGCATGTTTACGAAGCTTCGTGGTACTTCTGTGGGAGACACTCGAAGACGATGCTTCCCCTCTAAATGCAGTAATGAGGAGGAGCTATCAATGGTCAAGTTTTTACAGTGCATTGCCATGGATTGGTACGAAATCTGCTCTAACCTCAGCTGAGCTTTCTCTCGTCCAAGAAGAGCCTCTAGCAGCCTTCGACTGGCTGAAGGAACTTCGAGTGATGAAAATTCATGACAAGTGGCGATTCAACAAAATTGTTAGAAACAAGCCTCCATTGGATTTATTTATGCTAACAACTTGCAGGTAACACCAAATTATTCTCGAGGCAATTTTGAATATCTGGACGAGCTCCACAAGATTCTTGCCACCGATCCTGATTCACAGTGCGTTTCTACGATCTCGCAAGAGTCAACAGAAATATCCAGCCTTACGTCAAGACCTTCATTGGAACGACAGACATCTCGTAATCAAGCTTCAGCCGCTAGTAGCAGATCCGCCAGTAACAGTCTGTCTTCGACATCTCAATCATCGATTCCTTTGGCTTCTCCAAGTTGGCTAAATCTGTTGGACCAAAGCGCTGGCAACGCCCTTTCAAATTCACCAAGAGGCGGATCCTATGATTATTTCGGGTGCTTCCCGCTAGGCTTCAACGTGACTCGAAAAGCTTTCGCGGATGTCGTCCAAGCTCAGCAGCGTTTGAAAGGCATGATCCTCCTTGATCAGATCAAAAATTCCCAGCTGAAGGAAATTGGAGAAAAATTACAACAGTTCTGCACCACGTCAACTGCCCGTGGTACTCGTCCTGCTTTTGAATGGCTAGCTGTCATTCAGGAATTAGCGCATCAGCTCTCAAACCTAGCTGAAAGTGGCTCAGACGATTTTCTGGATCCGATTCGTGTCTATATTGGCCTCGACTCCGGCTTTCAGATCCAGGCACGGTCCCGCTTCTGGGGAGTTTATGGATTCAACGATGATGGAAATTTGGATATATTTCTGTCGAGGAATGTCCATGATATCACTGGCGCTATATTGCATACCTTCTTGTCAAGTCGCGGATGCTCAAGGCATGAGTGTTTCCAGACAGAGGTTATGTTTGCGACATGGTCTGGAGATCTCGTCGAACCACTTCATCTATCCCAACGGATGGTCGATGACCTAGCACTTCTATCACCAGCGGAACTCCTGAAATTCCTTCAACATCTCACTCTGACGCCTGGTAATGGAGATTCTACAATCGTCAGTCTAGTCCGCGCAGCGTGTGAGAAACAGCTGCTTGATGGAACAGACTTCGCGCAACTGAAGGAAATTAGTACCACTGGGTATTTGAGTGGCCGAGCCACTGCAGCTGATTTGGTCAATGCCCGACTTCATTGGTACAAACAATCCGGCTGTCAACATCCTGATCCTTTGATTGCCCTTCACAATTTCCTACGAATAGATGACTCAATTACTCTCATGCTTAAGCACCGGAATATTTCCTCGCTGCAAAGGCTGACAGACGTTCTTGTAAAGTCTATCGAAGATGGCATAATCGACAGTCGGGTCGACCTGATAGCTTTCGCTGTGTTCTGCGCTATGAGAAAGCACGCATTTGACGAGGCATATATCGAGGTCACTGATCGCAATACTCTCTTCAACGACCAGAGCGATCAGGCTGCTGCATTTGCAGAACTATTTGCCACAGGTGCTCGATGCGAGGCATACTTCGACCTAACGCCGAGTGCATTTGGTAAGATGTTGTCAGATCGATATAGAACCTACCATCACCGGCCTGGCTATGAACCACCAATTTGGTCAGATCTTGAACCAGCAACACCTTCTGCTTATGCGGCTGCCAAGATCGATGTTGACCCAGAATCCAAAAAATCGTCAATGTCAGCACCTCAGAGATTCACGTTCCTTAGCGTCTTTGCCATCCCAGCTTTGTTGGATATTCTCCTGCTCACAACGACTGGTCGAGGCTTGTACTTGAGTAGCCAAATGAGTCATAAGGTACAGCATTCAGCTACGCTAGCATTGATGTTATCTCTTCTGATCTCGGGTGCTGTTGGCACTTGGATCACATGTGGTGGATCATATTACCTCATCTCTATGGCCTTCTCTGCCATGAATATGTTTGTGATTACTAGACTTGTTGGAGGATTAGCATTTACACTGGCTATTGCTACAGTTGGACTCATCGCCGTGGGAGTTCTCGATGGTATCGGAGCTGGATTCGTGTTCTTCCTTTACTTCGTTGCCCTGACCTCCTATCTTACTCTGTTGGCCACTCTTGCGAATTTTCAATACCCTGGCTCTGCATTTCAATCTGTAAGTATGCCTTCTGCTGAATTATTTAACTATACTGACTCCAGATAGGGCCGTCCTATCATCATCATGGTCATTCCATTCTTATTTATCTCTCCGGTTATGTGTATGTGGGTCCTTCACCACGACATCTACATCTATCTAGTCGTCATCTACACTTTTTTGTCTTTGCTCGTATTAGGTGTTCGTCGAACCGGATCACGCTGGACGACGTGGTATCTAGCAATTGAGAAAATAAACGACCAAGACCTCAGAAAATGGTACATCAAGAAGTACGAGGATGGCGACGAGACCGCCGTTTCAGCCATGACGGAACCTGGAGTGCTGAAACTTGCAAGAGATGCCTTGTATCGAGACGTGACGGCAGTCAGGAGGCAGTGGAGAATGAAATCCAGCGATTCAGTTGTCCTCTCGCTTGCGAAAAGTTATGATGCTACGATCTTTCTTTTAGAATGGTACAGTGGTTATTCTGGCACACCTATGCCAATTCCATATTCTTCGACATGGAACATGCAGACGAAGGTTGCCCTCCAGACATTGAAACAGCTCCAAACTGGGATCCGACTTCACAACGCATTCATACATTGGCGCCAAGCTGGAGACGAGGCAAGTTATTCCTTAATATACAGCAGACCTAAAAACTAATGTGTCATGGCTATAGGTTGGATGCACCATTCTCTACTTCATCGTCGCGCTTCTCGATAAATGGAGTGCTCTACTCGCTGGAGGTCAACTCCTCGGATTGTCCTCGCAAAATACTCGTTATCGTATGCCAGTAGGATTCGCATTAGCTTAGTATGCTCTCATTTCATTGCCTTTCAGATTTTCAATCACATTATCAAAGCTTCTACCGATGCTCAATTAGAGAGATTTCAAGCTGACAATCATTTTAGCTACCTCATCGGAGCTGTGCTTTTGGATTTCAATGCTGCCAAACTTCACACAATGACTGCGAAAGGCCAGAATATGCTCATTGGCGATGTCGTGTCAATCTCGGAAGCAGTCAAACGCGAGGTACGGGCTCGACGCTACCTTTACTGGACTATGCTTGGACGATATCTCCTCTTCCATGTCTGGAGTATGGCCGTTGCTTCTACTCTCCTGTGGGTCTTTGATAGCACGAGAGATTCCACCTTGTTATTCCTGGCATATGTTGCTGCTTATACTGGTAAGAAGATCTCTATGCTCGAGTAATCAGACTGCTAACATGCTACCAGGCTTATTATGGTATCAGGTATGATTTGGACGTCTCATCTGCAAGGTAGCTCTACTAATTTGTACCCAGTATACCAAGATCTTCTCGGGGCCCCGAAGTCTAAAGCCATTGATCGCCGCTGTTCTCATCGCTCTACCCCTAGGCCAGCTTCTAAGGCACTACTTTCCCAAATGGATGTACTGTGATGTAGCGGCTCTTGGTGTCGCTACATGGACAGCAGCGATTTTGACACTTTACTATGCACGAATCAAGACGAAGTCTGTATACAAGACTAGCAAGAAACCTTTGATTTCGAAGCAATCCAGCAACAAAACAGCTAAAGATGGTAATTACCATGCTTTTACCAACCCTGGAAAGGATCCTTTACTATCTCAAGATGAGCTTCGAATCGTCTTTAATAATCTCCAAGCTTTGCGAGAAGAAGAGCGTTATCAAATTGATCCCCAGACACACCCTGGGTTGGAAATCAAGTCCGTCTTGCTACATGCACTTGGAAATTGTTGCGATCCACGCGGAGCGCTCTCTAAATTTTCACTTGAGGCTTTTCCAGACGCGGGTGAACTCTTGGAACGAGCTGTCTTTGGCTTCGAACATGGCTCTGTTGTTGTCGATTGTATTCCCATGGCTGCCATGAGTGAAGCATTCGGTGATGTCAAAGCGATCGCGCGTGACAAACAAGGAATTTTGAGGATTGTCATTGGCTGTGAGATGATGAGTGTTCATGAACAACAGTCAAGCATCAGCAATTTCTGTCAGACGTGAGTAGTATCCTGAATTTTCCAGCAGGCACTAATTTCAATAGGACTGCCGAAGTCATTCTCCACGCTGTTGCAGAGAGATTCATGGGAATGACACACGAGAGTGCCACACTTGCCGAATCATTCTTAGTGCCCGTACCTACGTATCATATCGCTAGACACTCACCAGTTCCCAGCCGCGTCAAGAACTACTTGACCGTCTCAAAATGTTCAGCTTCACAGGCTAGAGCGCTTGCTCGATTTTGCGAAGACCAAACCATACAATTCCTAGCCTTAGGATTTGACCCTGATCTCCAATGGGAGCACCTCCCCCGAAACATTCGAGAATTGATCATCAAGAGATGTACTGGCCAGGAGGAAAATTTGACGAGGTCTCAACATGAGTGGCTTGTGTTTAATCATGCCCGCGGCATACCAATTAAGACCTTCATGACAAGATGCAATTTTGGTGCCTATGTTGCGATGTCGAATCGGAGGTATGCTCTTGGAGCAAGGAATGATACATTGGGCGAGATATTCTATCACCAAGACACTCTCACTTCACTGAGTTTCCTAAGAGTCACACCACCAGTGGCTAAGTTCACGACACAAAAGATAATACGGAGTCTGAAGGTCCCATTCAGCACCGTGTATCACAATTTGGGAATCTACCTGAAATTACTTGCCATTGCATTCGTTGCAGAACCAGAATTCCAGAGAGAGCTCAATTATGCCATTCACAAAAATCCAAAAGTCGTCAGAAACATAATCTTCTTCTTCGCAACAGGAGTCTGGAAATACACGAGATCTATTCAACAAATTGTTATGCCGATTTTCCTCCTTCATGGTCGCAAGAACGTATCCACGTTGTGGCATCGAATCGGCGGCACCACTGTATCACTAAAGAGACAAAGAATTGCTATAGAGAACACTGATGGGATCTCGACTGCATTCATCCATCCAGCAATTGCTGAAGACGGAGCTTTTGAGGTTCACCAGTATGCTGGAGAGATTGATAAAGAGCCAGAAGATAACTGCAAGTTGCAACGCATCAGCACTTACAGCAAAGCCATGCTTCTTCTACGACGAGAAGACTTTACCAATGGTGCAAAGGGGAATGTGTACGAATATGAGTACCTCACAGAGAACGGAGGTTTACGACCAAAACGTCTTTCTAAAATACAGAGTCATCGGTATCCGATGCTACGAAAATGTATCGAGGGCAAGGATGCTTGCGAAGAGGTCAATTTCAATTATAGAGGATTGGTCCAAAGTGGATCCTACATTCTACATGGGAGCTTGATCAGATTCAGCTGCCATTATCGTCAGGGTAGTAATTTCGACGACGAGCTTCTTCGTGCCGAGTTTGTGCTTCCGCACTTGACTTGCACAGTCTCGTGGTCGGCACCGCCTCCAAGTCACCCAGAGAAGTTGGACAAATGGATCCCGCATTCTCAAATCATGGAAGCTACTTTCGTTCTCGGATCAGATGTCTACGAGTCCCATTGGAGATACGATCATAAGTTCGATCCCACAATTTCAACAACTCTCAATGGCGAGTCGATCGAAACTCCTCCAATTATTCGTTGGGATCATTTGGGAGTGTTGAAGAAGCCGACGAGATACAGCTTTCACTACGATGACCCGTTGATCACTTTCCGGTCCATCAAGCCTCACGCCATACCTAGATGGCTAGGTCTCAATATACACCAAAATCCAGTGTCGACTTCCCGTGCACGCTCACGCCTTTGGATGGCCTGGAAGAATACGCCAGGTTTTGACGGCGTCATAGTCCGCTGGTTAGACGAACGTCTCCTTCGAAGAGAGCCGCTCTTACGAACCTATTGGAGTCGTCGTGATCGCGGAGATCTTCCCGGCGCAGAAGCATTTCTTAACGAAAACGCCGACAGTGTCATGGCCGCCGTTGATTTGGACAACTCCATTTCCGGCTGGGCGCCTTTAGCTATCAAGATTGCTGATCTTTATAGTTTTGGACAAGGAGGAGATGCGAATAGTCGGACTAGGTCTAAGGATCCGGATTTCGATAATGATGGATTGCAGGTCCTGGCTGTGGATTCGGGTACGTGGCCTAACGAGGGAGGTGGTGTGTCGGCTTGTAGGAGGGATATGATCAACAATTTAAGGTCGGTGAGTTGGCATATGATTGCTGAGTCTGCGAATGATTTTGGATTGCCAAAACATCAGGTAAATTTCCGAGACATATTTTCGTCCAAGGTCAAGCTAATTTGATGTACAGACCGAGATGAATGTTCGCAGCTTGAAAGTCATTCCATTGTGGGGCCTGGATTTCCTCACTCCAACTCATGGTCTGTTCAGGGATAGACTAGACACGGAAGTCGAGCATGTACCTCGAGATGCTACGAAAGCAGATGTCAAGAGGAATTTCTTACCTATCTTGACGGCATTGGTGAAAGGGGCAAGAACGAGCCATTTCACCAAAGCAGATATCATGCAGACGACAAGAGCTTTGGTCAATCTGAATACTTACTTTTCCGAGTCGAAACATTGGGGTGCGATCTGGACAAGTAGGACTGTCAAGGATGCGTGGAGGGAGCTGTGGATTTCTCAGGATTTGGTAAGAACTTGCTAATCACCCGTCATCACTTTACCAACTACCAGCAATCTTGTTTGGAATCCTGTCTATCCATACTAACTTCAAGCAGGTCAGCCCAACACCTTCAGAATCATGGTTCCAAACCGAGATTCCCACAGTAGCCCAACTAGACGGAGCCCTCGAACTCTGGTTCCGCTACCTCTTTATATTCTCAATACCAGTACCTGACCGCATCCCCGCCATTTTCCAAGCCTCCCATCACAGCGTCAGTGCCTCATATGGCATCGTCTGCAAGATCAAGCGAGGCTGTACTCTTCAAATTTGGGATCATGCCATTAGTTGGCGAGAAACGAACCTTTACCTCTCATCTGATCTCTGTACCGTGGCACCGTTCGTCCGAAACTCTTTGCTCGGATTGATGAGAATCACGAGTCAGTTGATTCTTCACCATGCAGATACCATTCTACCATGTGCGGATTTCTTTAATCCTGGGTGGGAGATTGAGATTGGAACCAGTCAAGGCTCGCTCGAGCATCGCAACACCTTCAAGAGGAAGATTGATCCGGTTGTCAACGTTCGTCCTCCCTTTTCACTTCCACTCTCATGCTAACAATTCTCAGGGTATTCCTGACATGTCCAAATTCGCCCCCATAAAAGAAATAAGTTCCACTCTCCCAACAGTAACAATGCTCTCCCACGTCTGGTACGCAAAAGACATCAAAACCGCCATCCTCTCCGCCGACATCATAGTAAACGAATGGCACTTCACCGACTACCGCCTCGATATCTACGGCGCCATCGACAAAGCTCCCTCCTACTCAACCGACTGTTTCGAGATCATCGCCTCGAAATCCCTCCCCCGCTTCGTCGTCATGAGAGGAGAAGCAAATCCAACCACCGTCCTCGAGAAGACCTGGGTATTCCTAAACTCCAGCATCTCGGAAGGATTACCCTTAGCATTAGGAGAAGCAGCATTGACAGGCGCCCCGGTCGTCTGTACAGACGTCGGCGCCAGTCTGCGTGTTTTGACAGACCAAGATACTGGGGAACGATACTCAGCCGTCGTGGCTCCGAACGATGCCCGGAATCTCGCACGCGCGCAAATTAACTTCCTCGCCATGCTCGACGAGTGGGCACCGTATGCCAACGACCCTTCTGGTTTCAAAGCCCCAACCATCACCGACAAACCGACGAAAGAAGAAGTAGCAGCCATCACCAAGCGCATGTACGAGAAAACAGCAGAACGAAAAGCGCTAGGTATGAGGAGCCGAGCCATCGTGCAAAAAGCCTTTGGGGGAGAGCGATACCTGAGGGAACACGAGCAGATGCTCTGGATCGGGAAATCGAAATACGATTTGATCCACCGACCGCCTCCACAGCCCTTACAGCGACCTAAGCTCCTGAGAAGCGGACAATCGATGCCAATGCCCAGCACCGTCTGGGGTACTGCTTCCGTGAGCATACACGAGCGAAAATGGCCCGCGAGTTCGATCCAGACGAGTTCCATGATGACAGCCCCGTCTTCAGCCCTGATGACGCCTGGCGTGAGGAGTTTATTCGACGTAGGCAGCGGCTCGCGACCTAGCAAGGCCTCAACGTTATTCTCGACCCAGCCACCGAGTATGAATATGCTGGAGAATCGGAAGAGTGGGTTAAGTGCTAGTATGCCGGCACTGACGGCCAGAGCGATGCCGCAGAGAGTGCAGTTGTTGAAGCGGGATAGCAGTTATGGGTATGAGAGCAGTGAACGGAGTAGTAGTTTCCGGGCGGTGATGACGGGGATTGAGAGTGGGAGGGAGAGGAAGCAGCAGGAGGCTTTTGTGAGGGATGTTAGTGCTGCTTTGCAGCAGGTTTGAAAGGGGCGAGGAGGGGTTGTATATATGATTCTTTCGTCACTTTCGTTAAGGATTGTTTGGGTTGGTGATAGCGTTTTGCATTGCTTGCTTGCATTTTTTTGGCTTTTGGCTTGGGGTAGATTGCATATCTAGGGAATGATCGTTCTTGTATATAGTAAGTTGAGAGGGAAATGAAACAATACCCACTATTGAAATATAAACATGGTGATTGCAAGTCCGCAAATAACTCTGTAATAAAGTTTGTAAAGTTTCAAAGGCCAGTCACCACTTTCTTGGTTTCTAGGCAATCAATCAAGCTGTAAAAATGATCAAGAGTGCATTCATTACATGGACTTTAAGCAAAGGAAAGTCCACCACACTACTACTACTACTACTACTACTGTAACTCGAATCTACCTACCTAACAAACACCCGAAAGTACCAAAGGTTAGTAACTCGATATCCCTTCTCCTTACCGAATGGCTCACAGCATAAACCCCATGTCACCTCCAACAACAATCCACATTCACCCTTCCCTCCAACCTCCTGTCCAAATGCACACCCCTCTCTCCCCTCCTTCCCTCTCAGTGTAGTTAACGAGAAGAGAGAGGAAGAAGCTATTCTGTCACTAATCGGATGTTCAACTTGCTGGGAAGGGGGGGGGTGAAGGGAGGTTTGGTTTATGGGGTGAGGGTGAGGATGAGGATGAGGGGTCGAGGGTGGGGTGGGGTGGGATGGGATGGGATGGACGTTTGGTGATCGGTGGATGGATGGATGGATGGATGGATGGATGGATGGATGGATGGAATCCGGAGGGAGGCCTGGCGGACGGGTGATGTAAGTTGGTATGGTATGGTAGGTATGGATTGGAATGGAATGGGAGTGAAAGTAGGTGGCTTCGGTGAGATGACGGGGGAGAGAAAGACGTTTGAGTAAGTCCCTCACATCCACAACTCCTCATCACAACACAAAGGCAGAGAGAGAGAGAGAGAGAGAGAGAGAGAGTATTACTAAGATCCATCATTCCTTTCCATTCTACTTTAGCAGCAAGCAAAAAGAAGAAGAGAGAGAGAAAGAACAAATGCCAAGCAAGTATGCGCGCATACAACAAGTAGGTATCTTAACGCCAACCGACTAGCCTGCAGCTCGAAAGAAAGAGAAGTTCTATTACATACATACATGCATTTGCCTTTCTCTGCATCTATTTATCTCATTTTTCTTTGTTTGTTAGTTCGTTTATGCTTTATCCACTAGCCGACATCCATCTGTTCCTCCAAAACGAAGGTTGATCCTGCCAACTAGCTTCAAACCCCCATACAATGGTTCGCACGCGCGCACATGATTACACCCGATTACGCTCGCAACGCTCGTTTAGAGACGCGAAATCCGATCCGTATCGCTACTCCTACCCAACTTCTCGCCCCCTGGCAAATGAGCGACACCTTCATGAGCAAGGTGGTTGCTATACTTACTATCCTCATCCGAATCCCCATTCAGCACCTCGCGCGTCAACTCGACATAATCGTACGCAAACTCGCCAATCTCGGCATCGTCGACACCGAGGATCTCGGCTTCCTCGCTGACGCGGAGAGAGAGGCCGGGGATCAGGTTGATGACGAAGAGGATCAGACAGGTGCCGCCGAATGAGTAGACGCCGCCCGAGACGGAGTCGGCGAGTTGGTAGCCCAGTTGCACCCAGTGGTGGTTGAGCCAGCCGCCCGGGATAATGGTCGCGCCGTCCAGGTGGGCTATGTAGTCGGCGGCAAAGAAGGAGGTGAGGATGTTGCCGATGAGACCTCCGACTGCGTGTTCGGCGAAGATGTCGAGGGCGTCGTCGATGCCGAGCCAGAATTTGACTTTGGTTGCGTACTGGGTTGTTTGTTAGATTGTGTCTCGAGAAGAGCGAGATAGAAAGAGGAGTGGTACGGAGATGTCATGATCTCGTAGGAATTGACATCTCAGAACCTTTGTTGTAAAAGATTCTTTTTCTGTACCACTGTTCGGAATCGAAGGGACAGAACTTACGTTAGCACCAGCGGCCCCAACAACACCATAGATAACAGCAGCCCAAGCTGGAACGAAACCAGAACCCGGAGTGATAGCCACGAGACCAGCAACAACACCCGAGCAGAATCCAACAGTGGACCACTTCTTCTCAAGACGATAATCCAGAACGCACCAAGTGATACCGCCCATGCAAGCCGCCAGGTTAGTGACCACAGCCGCCATGACAGCGCGCATATTGGCCGAGAGAGCCGAACCGGCGTTGAAACCGAACCAACCAACCCACAGGAAGACGGTACCGATGACAATGTGTGTGACATTGTGGGGGCGGTAGTTCAAGAGCTGGGTGCCGTGACCGCGTCGCTTTCCGAGCATGATGGAGTAGGCCAGGGCGGCGCAGCCGGACGAGATGTGCACGGGAGTTCCACCGGCGAAGTCGAGACCGCCCATCTTGTAGACCCAGCCGTGGGGGTTCCATGTCCAGCAGGCGATGGGATCGTAGATCAGGGTTGACCAGACGAACATGAAGACGACACAGGGAAGCATACGACCTGGTATTTGTTAGTTCTAAATTCTTTGTTTTTATATTGGGCAAAGTTGAAGTTGTGTCTGGAAAGACAAAAATGTAACAAAGGTGAACATACCTCTCTCGGCTACGGCACCAACAGCAAGAGCAACAGTAATAGCCGCGAACATGCCCTGGTAAACGGCGAAAAGTAGATCAGGAATCTTAGAAGAACCAACAGACGGAGCAGCCAAGGTATTGCGGAAACCAATATTCTCCAAATCGCCAATGTACTTGCCCGCAGTGTGCGAGAAGGACAAAGAGTAGCCCCAGAAGAACCATTGGAAGGAGACAACGGCCGTAGCCATGATGGACAGCCAGATGAGGGACAAAGCCGACTTTCGGCGAGCAAGACCAGAATAGAAGAAGCTACACAAGGGAATCACGGTCAGTGGATTTGGTCGTACAGGATGTGAGCCACGTTTTCGTATATGCACTTACCCGACACCGGGAATCATGAGCAGCACAAGTGCAGTTGAGGTGATCATCCAGGCGATGTCGCCGGCCTGGGACGCGTCAGTAAGGTCTGTCCAAAGCCAGATCGAAGCTGTTCAGAGCCAGATCGAAGAGGGCTAGGTAGGTAAACGTACGTCGTAGAAGACGTTGAGATCCTCCGTCAAACTGTTTCCACCAGTGGCAATCGAACCATTGTAGGGGACCTTGATGGTGTAGTTCAAGGCATCGAGATTGATACCGTCGACGACTGGGTCTGACATCTTTGCGAATGTATTTGCGGGCCAAAAGATTTGGAGTTGTACAAAGATTGAAGATCAGCTGTTGGAGGTGGAAGAAGAAACGAAGAGTGGGCGAAGAGCGAGAAGCGAGTTAGTCGCCTTCAGCTCAGAAGCGCGACGAGGCTGAAAGAGCGTGTTGAAGACGAAAAGGTGAATTCGTGCAAATCGAACCCAGGAAGAAAAAATTCCCTCTCGATGCCCCAACAACGCGACACGGTTTGTTATTTGAAGGAGGGAAGCAGGTTGCACGCTCAGGAAATCGAGGTCTCGTGTGTGTCGGGCGAAAAAGAGGGATCGAGGCTGTTCGAATGGTCTGTTGGCTTGGCGAGGAAAAGAAGCAATTCCTTCCCAGTCCAGATGCGGGATAGACGGACAACGAGACCTTCTTGTCTGTGAATCACCGCGGTGATCGACGGTTCACGTTCTCAACCAGAGTGAAGAGGGGCAGTGAGGAAGGAGAGAAGGAGAGAGAGTAGAGGGGAAGAGAGGGGGACGTTTCGCAGTGGGATGCACTTGGATTATGTATCAGACATTCGATGCTGGGTCGGGTCAGGTAAGGTTACTTACGGAGCAGCGTACTGTACAAGCAGGCTGACTTCGTTCGTCGACTGATGCGTTCCTAGCCCTCCGGCCCCTGTCACGGTCAAGATGGGGCTAATCGATGGGATCCCACTCCAAAGATCCCACGCTCACGCTCGTCTGGAGGCCTGTCCATTCCGGTCTGTCCTCCTCTTCCAATCCCCGGTCCTGCGTCCTGCGTCCTGCGTCCTGCGTCCTGCGTCCCGCCTATGAAGGAACATTCTAGCGCTGGTGAAGGGGCACGCAGCCAACGCGAAATCAATGGAGCCATCGCCTCGGACCTTTCCTCTTCTGCCATTCGGTGGTCCCAACTCTCAACCCCGCCCACCAACCAAATATCGCACGCTGCAATTTGGGTTGGGACACTGCGAGATCTCCATCCCTGTCCGAAAAACTCAGACCCGTCCGTCCAGCTCCATCCCGGACTCTGCAGCGGCATGTCCCACTGTTGCACCAATACGGGCTGGTCCTAGTGGGCCCGCCCAAACCACTCTAAATGCGCCACCAGGTCTCCACCAGAGATAAGGAAGTCGACCTGCCAATCACACGCCGGTGAGTTTTGTCAATTGGTGATGTCGGCCACTGAAGAGAGTGGTCTGGGGTCCCCTGAAAAAGGGTGGATGCCAAGAGCCTGGAAGCGAAGACGCATGCGGGATGGAGATGGGCAATGGGATCTCGGTCTGCCCTGACAGAGACAGCCAGAGGAAACGCCATCTGATCACGGCACAGAGTAGATGGCGTTTCTGGGGGAGGAGGAGGAGGAGGGGATTATTTTTCTGTTTAGAGAATGGTCTGTGAAGTTTCATCAGCCGTTTTCTCTCTTCTCTTTTTGAGCTTCATTCTTTCTTTATTCCTTTCTTCATTATGCGTTGCTACCGTACCTGGAACTATTTAACCTTATTCTCGTCTCGCCAGACAGGAAGCTTAGATTGGAGATCAGAGACTAGAAAAAGCAACGGCGTCGGTGTCGTCCGACCATGCCATGGTCGAGGCTGCCAGTCGCTTCTCGCAAAACACCTCCGAGGCTACAGTAGAATATCGAGTCGTTGGCTGAGGACCACTGAACAAGACTTCCGACGCATCCACTCAGATATGGCCACTGGACCGTATCGTCGGATTATTTAGGGTTCTGCTGCAGCGTATCAGGTTGCAGTTGAGACCTTCGAGAACGAATCTCATGGTTTATTTTGAGGTAGGTTTCGAGCCAGTCCAGTATCGTGGCCGCTGCCAAACAGCGATCTCGGGGCGTGAAAATGACTCGAGCAAGAGTTGCGCTGCTGGAGAGAGGCAACTCACGCATCTCGGAGCGACTATCAGATACTAACTCAACAGCTGGTATTGCCAAGACTCGCAACGGACATTGACTCGAACCATACTGACGGAATCTCAAGCAAGAAATTCAGAGTCTACATGCCGCCAAGCAAAGCGTTCAACCACACCTTCATACTTACCATGCAAGCTGAGAAAGACTCCATATATCCCAAACGGTGCACTTCCAGAACCCCGCATGATGCATGAAATGACTTGAATCCCTCCTCTCCAAGAATTGCTTCTGAAAAGCTTAAAAGACTCGATTCGAGAGTGTGTGATGGGAAATTTAGGGGTGGTGAAGATGTCATTGGAGGAGCGCGTGTCTCAAGAACACGTTCTGGGGGCTTTTATGATTTTTTCTGCATCGAGAATTGCCGGAAGAAGCAATTTGGATTGGATGGTGTGATGATGGATGCGGAGAGGGTTGGATATCTCCTGGGGGTTTGGGTTTGAAGATGCGACTTCCCTTGCTTGTTTTTTGAGTGATGATTTCAGCTCCTTTTACGACCTAACAGTGACATTAGATACTTCGCTCCAGTTGCTTTTCGAGGATATTGTATGAAGCAATTCTCTTTGAAATAGATTTAGCTAGACAAAATCATCACATCATCAAAAACATTTCCACGCCGTACCAAGACATCCATCTACTGTATCTGTAACCAAATCTCTCCCCTGATCATGAATTTACATTCTTGGAACAGCACCATCCAACATCCCCCTCCTCGTCCCGTCCCTCATCCTAGGTTCCATCCCGCCAAGACATCTCATCCCCGAACCCTCCCTCCTCCCAAAACCACGTTTCCGCCAAGCCAGACAGACAGACAGACGGGACCATCTCCACCCCACCGCACCAGCAGCGGGGATGACATCTTGGCAGAGATAAGGATTCTAGACGCAATTCGCGACTTCGTGAAGTCTTTCATTTTGCGAGATCTGGAAAGATGACGATGATGCCGCCCCAACCGAGCGATAGAGGGGAGATGAAATTGCGTGACTGATTCGAAATCGGCGGCGCCTTGCTCGGCTAGGCAGTGACGAGAGGGATGTTGTGCAAGATTTTCGAGTCCTGTATTGTACCTGATGTTGTGCAACCCCATCTAATCCAGCGTTTTGAACTTGTCTTTCATTCTGTACCCAGTGGTTTCAAAACATCCATCCAGTTAAAGTAACCAACCAACCAGCTCCTGCATACTGTAAGGTTATGAGTTTCAAGCTCCCACCCATGCCATCCTCCTCTGTTTCTTGCATGCATGCATGCATGCATCGCGTATTCACAAGAAATACCCCACACACATCCCTCAGGTCTCAAAGCCACAGCCTGCGAACCCTTGAACCACATACCGTCTTCTCATCAATGCGTTGCGTTGCGTGACCTCCAAACAAATCCCGCGAGTGCGGCGACGACACTGATGCAAACAATAGGGTGCCTGCCTGCATGCCGTCTCTCCACCACCACCACCACCACCATAGCACAAAGAGTCCCTGCAGCCTGCGTGCATACAGTACAGTATCTTCTGCAACGAAAATTTGCACCCACACACACACGGCCTCGGTAAGCATCCCGAGAGGACAGTGCCCCGTCCATTCAGGGGAGGAAAGGAAGCGAGGAAGAAAAAATTACTTGTACGTACAGTAACCTACCCCACGCATCGAAGCGAGAGAAAGAAAAAAAAATGGTCATCCCACCTTCCGGATGCAAAACGAAAGAAAGCCACGAAACCTAAAATGAAGGTTGTGTCGGGAGGTTTCGCGCTACTGTATGTATGTACGGCTAGTACGGTACGGTACGGTAGCTGTGTTTTAAAGGTAGACGGGCAGGTAGGGGATCTTCGGGGTGCGGTAAGTAAATACATAGGTTATATTGCGCGTTTTAAAGGTAGATGGGGGAGAGGAGGATCTTCGGGGAGCAGGAGAGAGATTGAGTGATTGATAGTGATGTGCAGATGGGCGATGCGAATGGAAAGATGGTTGGTGGTGTGAGGGTGATCTTGTGTTGGTGGTACGGTAGAGAAGATGAGTAGGTAGCACGGGATCTGAGATGGGATGGGATGGGATGGGAGGAGATGAAATGAGATGCGAGATCCCGTGGGGAAGATCTGGTACCTGGGTAAGTAAGTTGAGGGAGGGTAAGAGAGTGGTGGTGATCCTTTACTTGATTTGTGAGGTTTGGTGTTGTTTTCGGATTCTCTGCGTTTGGATTTCTTTTCTGTTTAGCTGCGTTCATTTTCAAGGAATAGGGATTCGATAGTTCGGTCCCAATTGTTCTTTAGCTCTTCACCCAGGCTCTTTGATCGTCTGAAGCAATGTTAACCGTGGCAGCTCGTAGACGAAAGTCTTCTGATGTTCTTCATCTGTATGGATACCTTTTCAGGGTCAGTGACCTGCTTCTATGCAACGAAGAAATGCTGTGTTGATCTTTGTACTACAGTACATCTCGAGTCTAGATCTTTGTACACACATACGTTGTGCAATGTTGCTCGAAAAAGATCACCACTTCCTAAATTAATATTTCCAGAACGTGGATGCAGTGCTTCTAAGATAATCCCTCTTGCAACACAAAACATTATCTGTTTCTGCGGGAGCTTTCTCTCGATACCTGCCTCGAGATGAAAACTCTCGCTCTCATTCACCAGCTAGGTCACCAAGAGAATAAAAAGAAGTAACAAGTACTTTGCACTAAATTCATGGAGTCACGGTACTTAAGCCCCCCTGTTTCTCTTCCACACCCTTTATGTCACTGGTCTTCTCACCTACCTGGTTGTCTGCTGGTTATGAGATGGTGTGTTCCTGGTAAAAGAAACATTTACACTTTAGTACCAAAAGTTCAACGATTTAACAACGTGGGTCAAAGCCGAAGTTTGCTAGTACCGATTTCATTACTGCCGTCTGGTGAAAAGATAATTTGGCCACGACGATCTGACCATTGCGAGTAACCTTGATGGATACGCATCCATCAGTAACACGGCTTGTTGCGGATTCGTTTGGGAGCTGATGGTGTGGTTCTAAAGATTTCTCTCTGAAGTCGTCTCCCTGGTTTGTGGCTTTTAGTTTTGAAAAAGTCTTGCTGTTGACAAATTCCCTCCCTATTCTCTAGATTTTGTAAGTGAGAAGTCAGGTTCCAATGAAGTGTACGTGTTCTTGCTCATACACCTCTTTACTTGCCGACCTTTGGCTATCGAAAGCCGGCTGAAAAAAAGGTGCATTTATGTCTACCTATATGGCCTCTCACCAATCTTCTGGCTTTTGAGTCGTGAAAAGTCAGATAACATTAAAATGCAACTATCTTTGTTCATAAGTTCTCTCTCTATTTTCTGACCTTTGCCTACGAGACGTTGGATCTACCTGGGGTGTACTCAATGTTATTTTTAGATCTTAGCTATTCTCTAACCTTTACTTCTTGTCTTCTGCCATGAATATATAAAGAGGGGCAGGAAAGTTACTTTTGGTTCCCCCCCGGCGTCTCTTTTCGCCCCAATTCAACCCTTCTCAATCTTTCACTGTCCCCTTTTCGCCCATGTCTCTCACGAATTCGGCGTATATGTTCTCTTCTTAACAACGACATCGTACCCCACCCATAAAAACTAAAAATTTCCGGCAACCCAGAACCCAGAAACGAATGACTTTGCTTTGCTCAAGAGCACAGCCAACAGACCGAAGTACACGGGAGCCGGTAAATCGACTTGGAAGTGGCGTTGGTTTCTCTAGATGGCGAATGTGGTCCTGATTGTTTCTTTTATAGACAAATCTGGTGAGGATGTGCTTAGGCTTGAATAGAAATCTGCTTTGGTAGGATTGAGTCACTTTTGGGCTATGATGTGCAATTCCCAGGGCCAGCAAAGAACATGCCAGGAAGTGAATCAATTCTTCTCAGCCGCACGGTGTCAAAATTATCTCTACAAATCGTAATTAAATTCACGCTCACGACAGACGTGGACAGGAGACTTAGATTCACGCATTGGAAACGAGGTATATAACGAAGTAGCTTTCAGGTTTGTGGTACGACAGGCAGCTATCTGCAATCGATTCTCATGTATCCAGATATCTTGTCTGTAGGTAGCCGGGGGCCTTCTGAGGTTGGAGGCTACTTGATTGGTTTTGCATGGGGAGTTTGGATATGATTTGTTGTGTGGATGTTTGTCTTGGTTGATTGTTGTTGCTGTCAACGGATAATTTTGCTGTTAATTAAAAAACGAGTTGCTTATCAGAGTTGAGCTGTGTAATATCAGAACAAACTAATCTCAGCTAGTGAAATTAAGACATTCTATTCACTTGAGCACTTGAAGATAATGTTTCAAAAAGCAACGATCTTTTATTAGAAATAATAGCTATGGATATACCCAAAAGCAAAAAGCAGACGGCCCTCCCAAAATACCAATAAATCAAGCAGCCATCTGTCCAGCAGGTAAAGTATCCCAATACCCACTACAAAAACATCTTCGCTGCTGCATCATCAGCCAAGCCAACGCCGGTCTCTGACTCATCGAATCCTCCATGACGGCTGCGCACCGTGCACACCTTCTCCATTTGACTCCCTGTCTCGAACTCCCATTCGCTTGCGAGTCGCCATTCTCCGAAGAATGGAGGGAAGGTGGGTTCCTCAACCAAGTCTTCAAGAAACAATCCATAGTCCGTCCTAGGTTTTTCCTCTTCTTGACAGATGCGTGATCCTCATCTATTTCCAACATTGTGAAATCGGCAAAGAATAGTTGAGCGGGTTCGATTTCTTCTTGTACTGTTTCTAGCAAGCCTTCCTTTCGGAAGAGTTCAACAATGACAGTTTTGAAAGCGTCAGGGAAGGAACTCCCGAAGAGCATCTTGATCTCCAATTGGTTGCGGACCTTTTCGGCTTGCGGGGAGCCCGAGAGAACTGGTTGAGTAGAGGAAGATGAGGTCGGTGGTGTGGCGTAGGCTGTTTTGATGAGGGAGCTGAGGGATGAGAGTAGGGCTTCGGCGGTCTTGACTTTGACAATGGTGGTTGAGGTAAGGGTGGCAATCTGAAGATATGCTTGTCGAAGAGCTGGAGTTACGTTTGAAATTGGGTGAGGACTTTGGGAAGGATTTTGCTGATTGAGGTTGTTTGAAGGGGTTCCTCCACTGAGCATAATGGCCTTGCGGGCAATATAGTCTAGATGGACTAAGCGTCGGCAGATAGCGGTTAAGAATCCGCGGACTGATGAAGAGAGAAGCATATGGAGTGCAACTGTATTGGTAGAGTGAAGATGGGCGAGAAGGTCAGGAAGAGAGAGCTTGCTCGCGTTGGTCAGGTCAACTGTGGATGGTACAGTTGTGGGAAGAGTTAGAAGGGTATCGACGAGCCAAGCCATTAGGTCAAGAATCCAGCGAACGGAGCCAGTAAGAGAATTGATCACTTCTACAGAAGTGTCAGTGCCATCAACAGCTTAGTACAAACCAACTTACCTGAGTCTTCTAATGGGGAAACCTTGTCAGGACCCATTGGATTGAGATTCGCAGCCATCGATACGCAGACGACGATGTTGCGTAGCTGTAGGACCAACCATGAGAATCTGCCTGAGAACGTTCGAGGATTGAATTCTCCCTTGAAACCAAGGGAATTTTGTAGACATAGACAAAGCTGTATGGATGTGTTTCGAACAAGCATATCGTGATGTGACTCTTCTGAATAGTCTGCCTGTAGTTTAAAAATGCGAGATGTGTCCGTGAGCAAGTCATAGATCAGTTCTGTTGATGTTAGCTTGCATTTAGGGAAACAAGACTATACTTACGGGGAGTCGCATGCTTCTTCACTGTGGCGAGAAGATCGTCGTAATTGACTCCTCTCATCACGGCTGTACCAATAGAAAGTGATAACGCAGCTATAGTTGCTCCGTACATAGCTTTACATGATCAGAATAGAGCACATCAAATTTCAGGGAACATACGATCTTCCGCACTGGTACCTAGGTCACCTAAACGATAATCCAGATGCTGCCATTGCACCTTACCGTCGCCCTTCAGTTGCACAATAGAGCAATAGCTTGGTGAAAATGCAATTTGTAAACCTGCGGGAATCAGTCATGATCAAAAATGGAGAGTGGGATTCTAACATGGCTCGTCCTCAGGGTAGGTGAAGCCAATCTGGGAGAGATGCCAGACGCGTTCAAGGTTTCCATCATTGAATGTCTCCGACATATCAAACCGATCACGATACTCAATAGAGCCATCACTGTATGCAAAGAAGATCACTTTGCCATGATTCATAGGCTCCAATCCGATAGCTATCTTGTTGACTGTGAAGCTTTCAATCTTCTTCAGAAATACAGTAGGCTAGAGGAAGTCAGAGAGGAAATAGCCAACGATACGACCGCGTAAACTTACTCCTGGTTGCGATCCAACGCTATTTCTCCTCGAGCTCAGCTGCTCAAAGGCTGGATGAATATTCTGGTGCTTATCTCTTACTTCCCATCTATCTACAGTCGTATAAACATCTTGATTGAAGTGCGAAGAAGAAATTGGTAAGTGTGAGCGGAACGTAATGATCGTGGGTGAAACTACTTTGCCACCAGCATCGACACATGGTGGCAGGAACTCCAAGCGTGAGAGTTGTTGCATTGAGGACTCCACATGTGAAGGGTTCAATGGGATACCAGGTCCTTCGTGATACCAGCTCGTCACAGCCAAGTGCCTCGTCTTGATTTGCGGTTGAACTGGCAGTTGTGCGGGTGCCGCTTTGTCCATCTTCGGTTGATTCCACTCAATCACAGCACGAACAGTTCGTAGTTGTTTTGATGAGGTAGCAAATGCTATTAGTAGAGTGTTGTCTGTAGACCATCAGCACCAGCCAGCAGGAGTCTTCTGTTGCTTACTTTTATCGGCGCATATCGCAGCATGAGTGATGAGATCATCCGATGAGACTATGCTTTCAAGCTCGGTATGGACTTCATACCATTTGTTGTTATTCTGGGGGAAGAGGAGCCTCAACAGCCCATTTGTGGTTAAAAAGATGAAGGCCGATCGATTGTGATTTGGATGACTTGGTCCCAGACTTGGAGCTTGAGATGCCTCATAGCGGTAGTCCGTCCCGTCCTTCACAGCTGGACCATTCAATATTGTCTAGCATCAATCAGTTTCACCGAGCGGTATTGGATGGTTTGAAACACACAGGTCTATTTGGGGGGAGTGTTGCCAGATTCAACCAATAAGACCCAACGACAGCATGGAGGTCATCTGTTGGGTCAGCTTGAATCATCCTGGCAAGGGCGACCTTGTTTAGTGAGGAAAAGACGGATAGAATGGCAACACGCCCTGCAGCATCGATTGCTGCCAAATCGCTGCCATTGGGGGCCCAAGCAAGATGTTTGAGAGGGCCGCCTTCCATTGAGTTGGAGAAGTTTTCAGTTTTGTAAGGCTCGCTAAGTGCCCAGGTGCCATCTTCTGGGTGGCACCGTAGGTTTCGCAGGTCTACCGCCGTGCCATTTGCAGTGATCGATGCTATGCTTCCCCATTTGGACCACGCAATGCTTCTATGGATTCTTAGCCATGTACTCGTATCTGTGCAGGTACTTACTGGCAGCATCCACTTTCGCGAAGCTCGTCTAAGCGCTGGTACAGCTCTTTAGGGGGAGGCCGTGCTGGAAGAGACAAGTCACCCCCGCCAAAAAGTTCCATATCCAAAGCATCATCGTCCATGATCATGGGCATTTCGGAGCCAAGGCTTCACCCCGAACGACGACCTGATTCGCGATCCCTGATCCTCCAAGTGATGATAACAATAATGAAGATGAAGTAAGATGAGACTTCTGGAAACAACAGACCTAATCGTCGCTGTTGTGATCGTCGGGTATATCTGAGATGTAGAAGCAGTTTCGTACGTTTAGCGAGCGTCTCCAATGATAGATACAACAGGGTGCGGGTAGTCTAGTCCAAGTTCGGCTAGATTCACGCATTCCCCCCAGTGACCAACATCAAGATTCGAGATTCCACTTCGATCGACAGCGACAACAAAGGTAAACAATGGGCAAAGTTGGTACTGGGCTTTGGCTTCGGATCTTTGACTATGGATCAAGGGGGGAGGGGCTGATAGGAGAAAATTCCGGTCTGTGCCTTGCAGTGCTTACTTGACCCCGTTGAGCGGGAACTTGCATGTATCTATTCACGGTGTTCCTGTAACCTCAAATTCACGCTTTGAAGTCTGGAACCATTCAACTATTACAGATATGAGAAAGTCTAATTTTGCATTACCAGGTGAATTGGATAGATGTCTTTGATACCCTCAGGCGGCAATTTCAGATGTTCATTGTTATGGGAGTGAATGAGCCCGTTACCATTGTGGCATTACTATTGTGGCCCCCGGATTACGCTGGTTTAATGCGCCGAAATCTTATTAGCGCGCATTGCGGGCAACGACATCTCGATCACTTCTTTTTACCCAACCACTTCTTTCCACTCCACGAATTGTGACTCGACCAGGATAGGAAACCCGTCATGATCTGAAGAGGCGCGCTCTCAGATTTCTCGACTCAACGCCTTTCCCCTCCTTCCTACGCCGACCCTCTACGACTGCGAGCTCTTGGCAGCCATGTCTCCAAGCAGTTCCCCCCTCTCCTCTCCGCTCTCCAGTGTCGCCTCTAGATCGCCAACACCACCTGGAGACTATCCATCACCTCCATCCAGCAATGCGTCAGACAAGGAGACCGCGTCTGGGTCGCGCGACGCGCAAGGAGACGTGCCGGACTCTGATGGCCCGCCACCCGCGAAGAGGCAAAAGATCGCAAAGACGCGCGAATTGAAGACCGAATATCTCGATTTGCAGAAGCTTATTGAAAGCGAAGATGAGCTTCACCATAAGACTCAAGACGCGAAGCTCACCAGGTTAATGGAAGCTCTTCGCACGAAGCGCAAGATCGTCGTTATTGCGGGAGCTGGAATATCTGTTTCAGCCGGTAGTAAGTTTCGATTCTTCCCTCAACTACGGATATTGCTGATATACTTGTAGTACCTGATTTCCGCTCTTCTAACGGCTTGTTCGCAACTCTGCGTACCCAGCACAAGTTGAAGGCTTCCGGCAAGCATTTGTTCGACGCGTCTGTATACCGAAGTGATTCATCTACGACTTCGTTCCACACCATGGTTCGAGAACTATCCCATCTTACACAAACTGCAGAACCTACGGCATTCCATCACATGCTTGCGACGCTTGCGGAGGAAGGACGCCTGTTGAGATTGTACACTCAAAATGTTGACGGTATTGATACTTCCTTAGAACCATTGGCGACTACGGTCCCCCTGAATGCAAAAGGACCTTGGCCAAAGACAATTCAGCTCCATGGAGGTTTAGGAAAGATGGTTTGCTCCAAGTGTGGTCATCTTGCAGACTTCGACGGTGCGCTGTTTGAAGGCCCAGAGCCTCCCGCTTGCGAAGAGTGTGAGACAATCGACACAGTGAGACAAGCTAGTGGCCTACGGAGTCATGGAGTTGGTCGTCTTCGCCCTAGAATGGTCTTGTACAATGAATTCAACCCTGACGAGGAAGCTATTGGAGCGGTGAGCCATGCCGACCTGAAGACTAGGCCCGATGCAGTCATTGTTGTAGGAACGAGTCTCAAGGTACCAGGTATTCGACGACTGGCAAAGGAGATGTGCTCCGTTTCCCGAGGAAAACGAGGCGGGTTTACAGCTTGGATCAACTACGACCCTGAACCCGTAGGCATCGAATTCAAGGATTGTTGGGATATGGTTGTACGAGGAGAATGTGATGAGGTTGCACGACTGGTCAACTTTCCCAAGTGGAACGAGAAGGACTTGGGCGAATACACAATCGTCAAGAGTGAAGAGGTGGAGAAGAGCAATACTCGTCCAGAAGTGGTTGTCGAATCATACCCTATCACTTCTTTCCAGCCACCCGCAATGCCTACACCAGTCGACAGTCCACGACAACAAAGTCCAACATCGCATGCTCCTGCCAAGCTCAAGCAAATCTCACTCAGTTTCGCCGGTGGTCTAGCTAGTGAAGCCCCTGCCTCGAGGCCTGCGGATGCGAAGAAGAAGCGTGGTAGGAAGCCATTGCCTTCAATGCCGACGAAGCCTATGAGTGCAATCAAGAAGACCTTCGGTGCCTCTAAAACCACGAAATCCATCGAAAGCAAACCTGTGAAGGTAGCCAGTAAATCTGCTGGACCTACTTCGCCATACTTTCCGAGCCTGCACAAGACTACCCCGTCATCTCCCATGCGGCCCGTATCTCCTTTTGAGACGAGAAATAACAAAGATTTGTCTTCACTAAAGGCACCTGAAACTCCAAAACCCGTTGTTGAAGTACCCGTGTACCAACAAGGAACCATCTCACCCAAGTCGGTCCCTACGGGAATGGCGCATCTACTGTCATAAACCATTGGTCGTCTTACAGGCATCGCTGACCATTATCACTCAGCAATGCCGGGGTCCTGTGCATCAGATTTCTTTTTATACGAAAGCATTGGGCTGGCGTTCGGAGCATTTCATAAAGGCATCACATTAGGAGTCTATTATGGAGAGGCACCCATACCATCCACATCGGCGTTTTCACTGCAATTGGAGGTCTCCAATTGTTGCATTTGGGAACTGCTGGACCAGCCAGCTTATTGTACCCAGAATTTCTTTCTTACTTGCATTGCATCTGCGCATACCAGTCGCATTGTTACTGGCTGTAATTTTTCGGAGAACCTGGTGGGAGGATTGAGCCTACATATGCTTGGCCTCCTCATTCTGTACATAGAAATCAACACATTCTGTGACATCAAAATCGTGTGCCGTTCGCAGTGAGAAATTGATTCGAGTGCTTTCACGTGTAAAATGCGCTAACTCGGGCCAGCTCTATCGCGTCCACCACTGAATGCGGAGGAGCTGTTCTTTGTCAACAACATCATCATAATCCAAGCCAACAACAAGCTCGAAGATTCCGCAGACGAATCCGAGCAAAGCGCTACCTATTAGCCTTCGCATATTTCTTACCTCCAGCTCTGGAATTGCGCATACCAACCAGTACAAGCATCGGCGCGTCGCATCGCATACCTCATTCCAACCACCAATATGGATCTACTCCATGGTACATAAACCCTCCTATTACTATAGCGTATCCAAATATATACTAAGAAATACTCAGATCTCACCTTCGAGATGCTACGCTTCTACCACGCCTCAGAACCGTACACCAAACCGCTCACCAAGCTCCTTGTCACCATGAAGAACGAGACATACCCCCTCGTCCTGCCATACATGAACCGGCTCGCGGTCCTGGCCCAGGACTCGCCCGCTATAATCACAGTCGGCATCTTTCTGCTGATACTGTTGATAGCGCTGCAGATACTGGCTGTGATGAAGAGGGTGATGATGTTTTGGTTTAGGCTGGTTATGAGGTTGATATTCTGGGGGGTGGTGGCGTTGGTGATTAGTGTGGTGATGCAGAGGGGCGTGGGCAGGACGGTGGAGGATATTATGGGGTGGGGGGAGGAGTTGAGTACGGTGTGGTGGAGGGAGTATGAGAGGTGGGAGGGATATCAGAAACAGCAGCAGAGAGGTGTGCAACAACCGTTTGGCAGGGGAAATGCGGAGACTTCGTGGAGGTAATAGGCGGTGGTGAGGATGTGGAGTGATTCTTTGGGTATAGGTCTGGGATATTGCATTGGGTTGGGGCGTTTCTGCGTATAGGGTTGGGGGTTTTCATGGGAAAGGCGTTTAGAGGAAAGGCTTACAGGACATGAGATGGAAAAGAGGGTTTTCAGACCTCGTGGTATTATTATGGTATCATAATGGAATTAACGCCAACGCTATGCAAATCGTCCCTTGTTCCCAACTCCAAATTGTAGAGCTTTGCCGTTTCCTCAAAATTATTCGTCGCCGTATTCCATTTCCACCTCATCATTAGGTTCTCTTGGTTCTTGTGCTTCGTGAAATTGGATGGCATCATCGATATAGCTCAATATGCCACCCACGCTATCTTCGTCTTGTACATCCAACCTTAGGTAAGAGACCATGCTGAAGCTGTCGATTAGACCAGCAACAGCCTTGTTGAGCCTCTTAAAGCTTGCGCCTCTCATCAAGGTCGCTGTATCTGTAGTCGCTCCAGAACCATCATCCTCACCCTCTCCTGTATCATCGTCTAGTAGTGTAGTGTCTGGATCCAGAAATCTCTTCAGTTCTCTCTTTCCAATCTGCCCTTTGACCAGATCCATCTTCGATAATATGTTGACATGTGGAACCTCGAGCATGATCATAGCACTCATAGCACTCAATGTGCCAGCAAAGAATTTTGCTCTGTCCACAACAAATGTAGCCTCAAGTAGATATGCCGCACAAAGATTGATATCCAATGATCCAGTCTTTGTGAGATGCTTGACCAGCGCTGGTAAGATAGGAATATGTGTATAGAGTTCAATCTGGCCTGGCATATCGATTATAATAAGATATTCCTCCGTCAAAGGATCCAGAGCCTCGGAAATGAAGTCGAGATTATCGAGCAGAAACTCGAAGCAATATATCAAGCCTCCATTAGGGCCGAGTCCCATCTCTTCCATCACATCTTCGAGAGATATAAGGTCTTTAATATCGAGGTCAGGCTCGTGGACGAACTCTTCGGCGGCAGGATCGAGATTCACATAGAAGCAGGAACGGCGGTTGTTTCGAAGATGTGTTATGAGGGCCGAGCAGAACGTTGTCTGATATTTTTAGCATTGTCGATATTCGCAACGAAGAATCGCAAGCCAAAGAAAAACCTACTTTCCCTGCTCCGGCTGGGCCCATTACTAGACACCCGAATTTACTCATGTCGTCTTGTGCAGATGTAGAGTAACCTCGATTGCAGATCTGAACTGCAGTGTTGATGGCGGGGTAGTTTCAGCCTTTGCGTCGAGAATTTCGACGGAAGGCTGCAGGAATAATGACGGGATCCCTCAAGGCTGATGGCTTCGTGATATCCCACGTGTTGCTCAAATGCGAAAGGTTCGCTCCCATTCGTAGAAGTGTCGCTCTCGGGGAGGTAATAAGGCTCTAATGCAGTTGGCTGGGAAAAAATGATGAAAGCTTTGACAGAATGTACGGGCGGTGAGGGTTCGGCCATATAGTTTTTCAGCACGCAATTTTGCGGCACCGCGCAAACCCCACCAATTTTAAGGTCTCAAACCTCCGAGTCTTTTCATTCAAAAGCATCTTCCGCCCCCCGAAAATCACCGTCTCTTCTTCCTCATATTTCTTGCCATCTACACTCCCCATCTTCCATACCATCTCTCCTCACCCTCACACATCGCCACAATGTCCCACATCAATGGAAGCAACGGTACCAACGGCCACAAGGTCCATCACAATCAAGGAACCTTCCTCTTCACCGTAAGTCCCGAACATCCACTGTTGACATGGTGACTGGACTGTGCTGACGAGTAACCTTTAGTCTGAGTCCGTAGGAGAAGGCCACCCAGACAAGATCGCTGATCAAGTCTCTGATGCCGTTCTCGATGCTTGCTTAGCCGTCGACCCCCTCTCCAAGGTTGCTTGCGAGACTGCCACCAAGACTGGTATGGTCATGGTTTTTGGTGAAATTACTACCAAGCACAACATCGACTACCAGAAGGTTATTCGAAATGCCATCAAGGATATCGGATACGATGACTCTGCCAAGGGTTTCGACTACAAGACCTGCAACATCTTGGTGGCCATCGAGGAACAGTCCCCCGATATCGCTCAAGGTCTCCATTACGAGAAAGCACTCGAACAACTAGGTGCTGGTGATCAAGGTATCATGTTCGGTTATGCTACAGATGAAACTCCAGAGTTGTTCCCTTTGACTCTGCAATTGGCACACAAGCTTAACGCTGAGATGGCTGCTTCTCGACGCGACGGTTCCATCCCATGGCTCCGACCCGACACCAAGACTCAAGTCACTATTGAATACAAGCATGATAACGGTGCAGTCGTTCCTCTCAGAGTCCACACTGTAGTCGTATCTGCTCAACACGCTGAGTCAATCTCTACTGAGCAATTGCGAAAGGAAATTAAAGAGAAGATCATCAAGAAGGTCATCCCTGCCAAGTACTTGGACGATGAGACCATCTACCACGTGAGTCATTTATCCTACCCATGTCAGACGACATCTAATTTTTACAGATCCAACCCTCTGGACTCTTCATCATCGGTGGTCCCCAAGGTGATGCTGGTCTTACTGGCCGAAAGATCATCGTTGACACCTACGGTGGATGGGGTGCTCACGGTGGTGGAGCTTTCTCCGGAAAGGATTTCTCCAAGGTCGATCGATCTGCAGCCTATCTTGCCAGATGGATCGCAAAGTCATTGGTTAACGCCAAGCTCTGCAGACGTGCTCTCGTCCAGCTCTCATACGCCATCGGTGTTGCTGAGCCACTCTCCATCTTCGTTGACAGCTACGGCACCTCTAACCTCTCCTCTGACGAGCTCGTCGAAATTATCAACAAGAATTTTGATCTCCGACCTGGTGTGATTGTCAAGGAGCTTGACTTGGCCAAGCCAATCTACTTCCAGACTGCCAAGAACGGTCACTTCACCAACCAAAACTTTAGTTGGGAGAAGCCTAAGACACTCAAGTTCTAAATGAACTTCATTTCGTCTTCATTTGAGTGATAGACTCAACGTCTATTGCTATTTAGCTATTTTCTACTGGATCTTACGGCGAAATGATTGGACGAATGGGCATAGGTCTCAACGACCTGGACGGAGTTTTCTCGATTCAAGATTTCCCTTTGCATGCGTGGCGGTGTGCATCTGTTTTTTTGCTGAAGAAAAAGCTTTCTCTTCTCGTTTCGGTATGCGCAATCCTTTTCAGCAGCGTACAAGAAGATAAAAGTCTTTCAACATAGACCGTAGATTAAGGGCGGCATTCATGGCCTGTACGCGAAGCCTTCCGCGAGGCTTTTGTTTCGCAGTTAGAGAGCATCATAGCATTCGGCGTTTAGGAGAACTTCAACATCTTCTTACGGTCGGATCAAGTTTGGGGCGCGTGGCACTCGCGCCCATTTCAAGCATCATTTGAAGCTCTTGCATGGCTACGTGCTAAATGGGGAGTTTAGATAGAGCGTTGTGGTAATATAACTAGCCCGATGGTTGCTATCATTCGCTCGTATTTGTTTTTGATATAATGTGAAATGTTTTATGAATTGTAAAGCACGTTGGCCTCTGTCTTATATTTATGCGTTCCAAACATCCCCCTAGCCCAAGCAAGGAGGAATCTCAGTCGCGCCCAAGCACATCGTGCCAGGTATGTTACCAGTGGTCCAGAATAATTCCCCGTTGCTAAGCCCCACCTCCAACTTCATGTATCATTTCCCTAAAGCATTGTATATATCCCATGCGGCACCTCATCTTTGAAGAGGCAACGAGGATCTCAGCACCGCCAGCAGAGAATATGGGGGCAAACATCAACGTCGTTGCGTCCCCTTGTCATTCGCAGTCGGTGAAGAATAAATAGGCCAAGTCCGGCGACGAACAGATGGGAGCGTGTAATCGTAGTCTCTCCCGACTATCTTTGCTAATGTACAAGTGTCTATCCAATGTGCAGATAAAACATGGTGTATAGTCTCTTACTTCATTTCGTCTCAATTTACAGTTCGCCTAACTCCTCTGGTATGCAGCCTTCTTCGTCGAGGTAGGAAACTTGGTCTCGGTGTGTGACGGTGGCTCTAGTGAGTTATTCGTCGTGGTGAGAATGCTACTGGGACAGTGATTTCTGATGAGAGGCTGCAGAATAATGTGATATGCTGCCATCGGGAGCTGCGAATATTGTGACGTGCCTTCTTACTGAAGAGAAAGGGTCGAGAATTATGATTTCGTTTTCAGATTTGATTTCTTCAGAAAAACTGGTGATGCAAGTATGATTGCATCAATGTCTGGGGAAAGCTCCTCGTCGACTCCAAAGGAGGGAGGCTTGAGCAATAGCTCATACCACTTGTTCATCCCTAGTGCGATGCCCAGGACTTGGGAATTCAACTCCAATTTAGCTTCTGACAACTTGAGACCTATTCTACAGTCTTCGCTTCTTGTCTGGAATCAAAATCTTCCTCAACATTAGATCTTCCACAGCTATCAAGGATGCTAGGCTAGCAATCTCGCCCAAGTCCTGACCAAATTGAGCTTGGACAAGAAGTTTCTTAATCTCATTGGTAAAGACGTTACTTAGATCTGGATTAGACAAACGTTGATCACCGAAGATGAGGATATGACCGGTCAAGACAGTCATTTCGCTCACTCTTATCACCGAGCTGATCACAAGGTCGTTTTCTACAGTGGAATTGACAACGCCGTTAAATCGTCATAGTTCCCCAAGCGGAGTACCTTCGTTGCCAAAGCTCCCCAAGTGGTTCATCGAGAATGAGTAACTTTCTATCTACCTGGTCAATGATAAATACCCCCTCCACCGTTTCTGGGTTTCAAAGCTTTGGCTTTGGGATGTAGGGGTATTTCTGAGACAAATGGGTTGAAGCTTCCATTTGATGGGAACGGAAGTGAGGACTGAGTGAGGAGGTGTGGTGAGGAGGTACGGGACTGGTTTGGTTAGGTGATGATAGATAGTGAGTTTGAGTGTGGCGGAATAGGAGGAAAGAAAGCAGCTGGGTTATTATGCTGACGAGCTTGGAGTTGAGGATTGCTATGCGTTTCTTCTCTGGACCCAGAACGGCTGAGAGTGCGATTCTTTTGTAGACAGGAAGAAAAGGGATTGTCGGGATAAGAGAGAGGGGTTGAGGAGGGATAGATCTTTGTCTAGTGAATGGAGGTCTCGAAACAAGCAAGCAGGTAACTCGCAACATTGTCTTGGGACCGCGACGATTACCTGGAAAGGAAATGTGTTCATTGCTACGATACCCTTCTGTATCTCTTCCTGAATAAAAAGGGCATTGGGAGTAAGCACTCTCAGACATCTAAAAACGTAAAAAAAAAAAAGAACCTTTGCCTTGAAATCGAGACTCTTAATTCGTTTAACAGGAAGTTTCCTTTTCATTACCTAGAGATATTTTTTGATTCTTGCCATAGTTACAGAGAAAAGAATCGGCGGGCTTTTGGGAGTGAGAAGGCGGGTCCTGGCACGGTATAGGAATGGTCTGACTGGGACTCCTGTTGGGTTTCCAATTTTTGATAGCTAGAAAGAGAGAGAGATTTAAACAGCTGAAATGAAAAGCAAGAGTACAATACGTGAGATAGGTCGACAAATCGCAACACCGCTGGAATGACGATGTGCATGCATTATTGAACATCTGTCAACGGGATGGAGGGGCCGAGCCTCATAAGTGGATCTCCTCTCTGAGTTGACTATCTTTATTTCTCCAATTTGCGAGAATTGTGAAGCAAGCCCCACAGGAGCAACAATCTCTTAATACATAATCGTAAATCGTAGCAAGATTGTTGCACATCGCAAGCTTATGTGGGACTGTCTGTGGTCAAGGCGAGCGATGATGGTGGTTCGACTTTTGGTGGGTGGGACGTTTTCCATCGTGATAGTTGCAAGTCGGTTAGCCCCACTCGAGCGCTATGCATGCGTGCTATGTGGAACTTTTTTTTTTTTGGACGTCGAACTTGGGTGTTTGTTGGTCGCTTGAATAAGGGAAGAAAGAGTGATTAATGTAATGGGAATTTTGGAAGGAGATTTGAAAGAGGATGAGAAGTGGTACTGTATTCGCTTGTTGTGTGTGGGTTTGAGTTCTAAGCTTTGACTTGTGAGCAGATTCCCCGAAATATGAAAACTAAGTCCACAGACGGACCGGGGAATTTCTTGAAGTTGAGGTGGGATGAAAATTCTGATAGAATTGATCTCTGTTCAATTAAATTCGGCTTGAAGTCTCGGATCGCGAACACGACACCTTTCTAGATGAAAGAGCTACTGCATACCCGAAACGCATATCTAATACCCAAGAAACTCAAACTCATCGAAGCTTTTCGCCAAGAAAACCCAAACTCAGAATAAAAGCCAAGTTAACTTCCTCACACTCGGCAAGTAGACTTTAGACTTGAAACCAATTGTGAACTATATCTTGTAACAGCTTGCAAGGGAGGAAAGTATATCCCCACTCTCTGCGACGTGCAACAGGATGTTTGTAGAGAGGGGTGGAGGGTAGGGATGAAGGGTGTGTTGATGCTGTGGTATCTTTTGCCGTTGGAGTATAGAGGGATGAAGTGTGGAGACTCTTCTCGGGAGAGAGAGTAGCGGAGAGTTTTTGTTTGGATAGGTGATTCTTGTTGTTGCTCGAGGTTATTGTTGAGATCTAGTAGTGTTGTCAATGGTTTTGCGCAGAGATAGAGGAAGATGGACTTCCTGACTTCAAAGTGGAAGAGCTGATGGGAGAAGAAGATCTTTCAGGCGAAGGAACGAAGGAAAAATAGAGGGACAGAAAGGAAAGAAACTTGGATCTTACACTGGACTTACTGTTCGGTAGGAGACGAGAAAGAGGAAAATTAAAGAGAATGGAATTCGGAAAGCACTTGCTCTCCAAAGACGATGCTGCGATGATAGACTTGAGTATCGAAGTTGGATCTGCCCGAAGGAGAGCAAACGCAGAGGAAGGACATCCGATGCTCGCCAAACTCGGCTCCTAGAAAAGGGGAAGAGACGACGACCGCCACATCACAATCTCCCTCCTACACTTCTCTCTAACCCCACAAGGCAATACAGTCCTCCAAAAAGCAAGACATCTAATCTCGATCTCTATCTCCTCAGCCTAAGTCGGGATCGAGAAGCTAGTCAGCACAGCCACTTAGCTCTATACGCCATTCTTCCCGTCTTTTCATCCAAGATTAGCTTTTGTAGCTCGATCGAAGCTATTCGACGACACTTGCGCTACGGATCTGGGAAGAAATCGAATTCTCCGGTGCTGGGAACTGCCGAGTGATAGAAAGATGGCAGAAGTGTGCTGCTCGGTGGTATTTGATGCTCATTTCGGCTTTATGTTCCTTCATAACAATCTCACTGAGAATCCTGTACATTAGAATCTAGGGCGAGTCTGGATCTTTGAAAGGCGGATGATCAGAAAGGAAGCTTGGATCCTGATCGACGATAGTGTGGGGTTCGTATACGGAGATCGCATCGGCGAACGATTGGACTGTGAGCCTTGCGACGTGCATCGGAGAGTTCGTTCTATCTATCCCTCTCTCGTTTAGAAGCCCTTGTTATAGGAGAGAGATAAGGTCAGGTTAGATGAGGTTAGTCGAGATAGCTAGGAAATTAAGAGACGGAGATCGGGAATGGGCCGGTGCTGGTTTTGGTAACGAGGCGGAGATGGCTGCTTGTTAGGGATGTGGGTCGGGGGCTGGCTAGGAGGAGAGAGTTTGATGTGCGAAAATGTCTGCTGAGGAATGAGTCCATTTTTGTCTTTGTTTGCAGATGTGAGTATGAGACTGAGACTTGGTAGGTATGGTTCGAATAAGATTTCTGATCTCATTGTTCGTCACAAGATACAAGTTTCTCCTTGAGAATTGTGGCGAATTCCATCGTGGTTGGAAGAGATGTGAAATTGGTATGAGTGGTGGAATACCCTTTTCAAGCTGGACCCGCTCGGCGTATCCGTGCGTCTTCTTGTTCCTGAAGCTTGACTTCTTTCGGCATAGTGTTCGACCCGTTGCCGAACACGCAATTATCGTTGGCGCTCTGGAGAAATTTTCATTTGGAATGTCTGGCCAGAAAGAGAGTCTCCACTGACTCAAAAAGCAATCAAATTTTGACCAAAATAGACGATTGCTTGAATCTGGATGATTTAAACGGGATATTAACGTGGATCAGAGGTCTCATTTTTGCTTGTTTATGCACGACGATGCGATGCAGAGGAGCCGTTGAAGGTCTCACAGAAGGTTGTGTACGCCACGGTGACATACAGAGGTACATGGGAATTGTGTACTGGAAATATTGAGCGGAATGCATTTTTGCTTCTTGATGGAACACGGCTGCTGCTGGCAGCTGCATGCAGAGCAGCGGTGTGAAAGTTTGGTACCGCCGTTGCGCAGGAACAGAAACGGAAACAGAAACAAATCCAGGGTTTGGTGCAGCGCAGAGGAGACTTGTCCGTGCTTGTAACGTTGAATCGACCGACTGCTGGTGTGGACGTGGATCTTTTTTTTTTTTGGATTCAGGGGTAAAATCAAACATTACCGAGCTTGAGATCAATACCACGCAACGCAACGCATCGCATTGATGGGTAAGAATGCCTCATCAAATATTTCTGGAAGGCATGGTGGAATGTTCGCGGATGATTGGCACGGTGCGATATGTTGCTGCAAATTCAGCCAGAGTCAGCTGGAGGTTGCGCATGGAGTTCTTGTGTAATGATGGATCAGTATCTGGCGATCTGGGGTAGAGGTACGAGAGCCGCGTGGCGTTCTCATTGGGCGGGTAGAAAGCAGCCATGAAGATACGGTGGGAAGCGTCATTGGCTGGTAGATTTGTGTTCCTTGCGCTGCATTTCTCGTCAGCAACGCCATGTCTTGGATTGCTTGAGTAACTGGCGCTGGCGCTGACTTTCCAACTGGCGCCCACTAGCATTATTTTGGTTCTGGCCAGCCAGCGCAAAAACCAATTCGCCAATGCCCTGAATTATCTGTCCCTGTTCCCTGCCCTGGTCCCTGAACCATGCCCCAAATGCTCGCCAATGTCTCTCTGCATGCCCCACCCCAAAGGCTATTATCCACTACAGGCCTCCCTCATTGGTGATGTTCCTGCATCTACGCACCACGGTCCCCATTCTCCGCTGTGGGTGTGCCTGGTCCCTCGTCTCCACTAGACCCAAAGCGCGTCAGAACCTTGATCACCGCCGTCCATCAGAATCACCTTCCCCTGGACGTCCCTGTCTCCATCGAAGCCGTCAAACCCTTCGGGCCCACCGCCGTCGAACCCATACCCATTTCGCGCCTCGACGTCTGCGAAACCCACTCCCACCTCTGCTGTCCCCCATTGGCATCTCGTCCGTCTTCCATGCCAGCGCGTGTCCCGTTCGCGGCTTCTCGACCCACCCCCAGCGCGAACTCACAGCCGCCCATTCCTCTTCCAGATCCACTTCGCCGCCCTCGACTCGCAAGATTGAGGAAGGCGTGAGTGAGCCAACGACTTCAAGGGGTCGCACCGGCACTAGAATTGCTCTCATCTTTGGGAATTCCCATTGTGACCCTCTCACCCAAACACTTTCCTCAGACTTGCCCGTATCCAGCATTATCTCGAATTGCTCGCCCACCTGCCAATGTCTTGTCTGCCTCCCGGCAAAACAGATAATCATGGCGGCCGTTGCACGTTCTCGTTCTCGTTCTCGAGGAAACATCAACCCCTCCGTCCCGATATCTGACACTCCTTATGCTTCAGACCCATCTGAACTTCTGCTGTCTTCGATTCATCCACCCGGTCAGCCGCTGCCCGACCACGCGAACGAGCATACCAGAACTCGTCTCCCGTCCATATCACTTCGAACCCGAGCAGAAACAATCTCGTCGGTATCTTCGACCTCGTCGTCGCCGGTCCGAAGGAAACCTCTACCAGCAACGGCCTCTCCTCTGGCTACGCGGTTCTCTTCTGGTGAACACCTCACGGGTAGGTTAAAACTGCCGGACCAGCCGTTCGTGAGGCCATACTCAGTCGACAGCCCTACCCTTCACGAATTCCCTCCAACGTCAAGCGTTCCTTACAACCCTGCCGTTGACACAGAACAAAGTTTGTGGAGGTACACATTGATTCTTCTATCACTCCCCATGAAACAATACCGTTTCAATGACATGTGCTAATATATGAGAACAGACCTGACGTCCATCAAGACGCATTGACGTCCGAATTCTTCTCTGACCCGGTGTCACCTCATCGCGCGACATTTTCGCAACAAACTGCTTCCCATCCCAGCAGTCCCAACCTTATCGTCCCATTGCAAACACGCTCGACGGCTACCCCTCTGTCAAAGCATGCGAGACTGACCAGCGAATCAACACTCACTACTGCGTCAGAATCAATCACTCCATGGTTTAGCGATACCAGTTCCACCACTTACTCAAATTCGACTATGTCCATATTTTCTCCCAAACCTACACCACCACACAACCTCAACGGCCCTCATGTTGCATCACGAAGCTACTCTAACGAATCCAACGACTCTAATACAACAATACAAAAATCACAACCGAAGTCACCAGGCGCTTCGAAACTTGGATCCTTCTTTGGCTGGGGAGGAAACTCACCGACATCATCCACCACAACATTTTCTGAGAAATCTTTCTCGCCGATACCCTCACCTGGACCTAGTGAAAACACACTTATTTCCGCCGATGCCTCCAGAACTGCATCCAGCAAAAATATACCTTCAGCCATCGATGTGCCAAAGGCCAATGCGGAAGCAGGTAGTTATTTTGGAAGCGCATACCTCCAGTTACCATTGGCGACACCGACGACACCAGTACAAGTCGAAGAGATGGAGAAAGAGCTGAAAGACATCAGCTCTGAGCTGGCCTCGTCTATTCGGCGAGAAATGGATCTTGAAGATCTTGTAGAACGGTTACAAGCAGAAGCGCAAAACCCTCCGTCCAGTGCTGGCAAGCGAACCAGCGATTACTTTTCGGACTCAGGGACGAGCTCTGTCAAATATGGAGGCGAGCCAGACTCTAGGCAAGATGAATTGGATCGTGCAATTAGAAAGACTGAACAAGAGAAAGCTCAGATCAGACTAGAACTCACCGGAAAAGTCCAAGATGAACGGACGAGACGGAAACATCTCGAAGCACAAATCCGCAATTTGGAAGAGAAGGCTTCTCAGGTTAGTCGAACGATGATCATTTTTTTACAGTACTGACATATATGCACAGGTTGACTTGGCATCGATTAATTCTATGGATGCAAATGGACGAGTAAGAGATCTTGAAGCTACTTGTGAAGACCTCCGACGCCGACTTGCAGAGGAGAAGCAAGTCAAAGACAATTTTGAAGATCTTTTGACGGCTCTCAAGAGTGAACTGCTAACTTCTCACAACGAAAGAGACAATCTCAGAGATGAAATTGTGCCGCAATTACGAGCTCGAGTGGAGGGACTCGAAGCTCAGGCGGCCGAACATGAACAGCTTGCATACGAGCAATCGAAGATGCAACAGGAGCTACAGACGCTCAAAAACGAGAATCAAACCTTGATCAATGCTCAAAGATTACAGATGGAGATGCAGCGGCAGATGAAGAAGTTTAATACTATTGTCGAGGAAAGCGCCGCACCAACGCCAACCAGGTCATCTATTGGCCTGATGAGGTCTAATTCAGTTGCGCAAAGTAATGTGTCTAGAGCAAAATCAGGGTCACTGTCTCGATCAGCATCAGTGAAGACTGCAGAATCTCGAGATGCGCTAGCCGAAAGAGTGAAGGACGTAGAGGCTCAACGTGATGCACTCCATCGTGCTTTGAAGAGTTTGCTGGAACGCCAAGAATACCAGAACAGAGAGAATCAGAAACGGATTCGCCAGCTGGAGATGGAAAGAGACCGAGCACTCACCAATTCGCCCAAACGATTAAGCTACGACAAAGAAGTTGCGAATCTGAGAGACGAGATCAACACTCTTCGCCGCCGTGCAGATGAAGCGATCGAGCAGAAGTGGCAATGTGAGAAAGGACTCAGCGGGTTGAAGATGGATCTCGACCGTGCTGAGCAAGAAATAGGATCTCTAAGAAACCTCTTACAGGAGAACGATATCCTGATACCTACAGGACCTCGTGAACGCACTCCGTCAGGTACTTTCTCTTCAGAGTCACTTGAACGGGCCTATCGGGACCTTCAAAAGGCATATGCCGAATCTTTGGAACGGGTCAAGAATCTGGAAATCACCAGCTCCAAAGATGCGGAGACCGAGCAGGCAATGAAGGAGCTCGAACAGAGTCTGGCAAATGCCATGTCAGAGCGTGATTTCGCTCAAAAGGAGGCTGACTCACTACGCGAGCAATCGCAGTCCTTGCGGAATTCGGAGAAAGCCCATGTGAACGAGGAGACAGTGCTCGCGGATGAGCTACGAGATTCCGCCAAACGAGTTGAAGAACTAGCTACGCAAGTCCGACAGCAGCTTGCCTCAAATGCCACTCTGAGACAACGACTTTCTGAGACCATTGAACGTGGTGAGAAGGAGCAAAAGACGAACGCTCAGAAGATCATGTTCATGCAGAGCAGACTCAAGACTCTCGAGGACCAGCTTATGGCCGCTCAACAGGCATCAGAAGAGAAGATCTCCCGTCATGAGGATGAGGTGCGAGATTTGAAGGAGAGTCACAACATTCAGCTCCAACGTATGAAGGATGGCCTGAAATCTCCACGACTTTTCGCACCTAAGTCCCCCATCACATCATTATTCGCAAACTCGGCCAAAGCGCCAAGGATCATGTCGACCTCATCCGGCAAGGCGATGACAGTATCTGAGGATTCCAAGATGGAGTTTCTCAAACAACGAGTTCTCGAACTCGAGAGTGCTCTTGCAGATGCAGACAAAGAGATGGAAGAAGTCGTGGGACGCATGAACATTGCTCAAATCGAAGTGATGGAGCTCCAGAACGAGAGAGAAGAAGCTGTTCGCGAGACGAAGAGACTTCAGAGAATGATCGAGGACGAGAAAGTCCGGGCTTTCGAGGGGAGATTCGCTACCCTCCAGTCATGATCGATATTGAAGGATGATAACCAAGATTGAATTGCCTTTTTTATTATTGTTTTGCTACAGCATTTTAGCGGGTTATACCTTGCATTGCATTTCCCTGGATAGCGGGAATACCAACATGGCGTCTCTTTTAATTCTTCTAGTAAAATATCTTATAGGGATGGGATCGGTTGGGCCTCCGAGCGAAAGCTTGTTGAGGATTTGCTTAGTTAATTGTTTAGTTTAGTGTCTCCTTGGATGGGGGATTATTGTATGTGTATAAGAGCGGTGTTGGATACCGTCGAAGTAGTGGATAGGGCGGATGTGCATATATAGTGTATGAGTATAGTACATAGAGAGGGGAGAGAATGATACTATATGATATCATGAGTAATTTGCTTGCCTGGTTCGATTTTGTGAGGCTACAGTTCCTGCTTTTCATGTTCACAATGTTTGTCGAGATTTGGTGCTTCCATTCTTTCATCTGTTGTCTGGCTCGATCCCAATTATCTTCCTTCATTATAGTCACCACCCCGCGATTGATATTATCCGCATGAAATATCTGTCCACCACCCGTACGCTCACCGATTCATCCGATGTCTAGCTCAACATCAATCACTTTACTGCTTTTAAAGTCATGACTCTCGCCCGCTCCCATCCTAACAAGAATGTCCATCCCAACCCCATCTACCCTCTCTCCCATTCTCGGAATTCAACACGCCTCGCACCCATCCTTTCTTCGCTAAAGACGACCGGGAACTTTTCTGGCCAACATGTCCTTCTTGTTATAACTGTCTCTCTCCGAGCTACTCGAGTCGGAAACGGTCTGCTCGGTGAACAAACAGTGCTTTTTGTCTCGGCGGCTAGTTGTTTTGCTAAGATTGCCTCGCTCTAAGAATATTGTTTCGGCCTGGTGGGATATTGGCTACTTGAGGAGGAGGGGCCGGTTTTTGGTTTGGGGTTTTCTGAGGAGAGGTTAGGTTAGGTTGAGTGAGAGCGGCGCGTTTTGCGCGATGGGCGCGAAATGCGTAAATTGCGCAGGAGGTGGGTGGTAAATGTGCACTTTAGTGAATCATCAACATTATGAATCTGGTTCGAAGGATGGGAGATTGATTGGAGATAGGTCTGGGAGTGGAAATTTTCGGTTTTAATGTACGAAGGGGAGAAATAGCAAGTCTGTTGGGAGGTGTGATTCTTTGGAGAGAGACAAGGTATGAAGCGTCCTCCTCATGGCGAGAATGCACGTTGCAGGATTTTAGTCGGGAAGATTGAAAGAAAAGGGGGGGTTGCATGGATTGGTATGTTGGGAGTAAAAGATCGGCTATTGCTAACATGGTATAAGTTTTAGTTGGAAGGGATGTTGTTTGGATTTAGGATAGAATAATATTAATGAATGAAATTTTATAACCTAACGCCAATCTTACGAAGCAACGGAGCTGCTACCAAGATTTCACTCCCTGCTTCTTTACGCTACCAGGAGTCCTCTTCACGCTACCAGGAGTTTTCTTAACCCCCTTCCCGAGACTCTTCCCCTTCCTCGGCGTCGCCACTTTCTTCTTAGGCGTCTCTATCTTCTCCTCCCCACCCAACCACGGCCCCATCCACCACTCCATCTCCCTCTCTACCTCATCAGCCACACAGCGCGACCCCTCCACACCCCCATCGAGGGCACACGCACACGCACACTCCCTCTCCAACCCCAGCGGCAAACCGAACCACGAAAGCGCCCCTCCCTTTTCCTTCCCATCCCTTGGGTTGAACCACGATGGTACATCAGGAATAGGAGCAGAAAACATATCCCCAACAGCAAGCGGAACGAAGGGATCCAGACCGGGACAGAAAAATGGCGGACAGGTCTTGCCCGAGCTAGAGGAGTGGGTACGGATGTGCGCTGCGTGGAGGCGTTTGTTAGAGGTGTTGAAGTGGGTGATGAGGGTGTTTACTTGACACAGGATGGAGGTGGGGGTTTGTGTTTGTGTTTGTGCTGGAGGGCTGCTGGGTTTTTGAGGTGGTGGTTATGTCCTGGGTTGGGAGGTAGGTTTCTTGGTTATTTTTTTCGCGGTAGTTTTTGGGGTTTTTTTCTCGGGGGTGGGTTTTGGCTTTGAGTTTGACGTCGAGGGAGGTTTGATATGGGCGGCGTCGATGTCGTCTCCTTCTGCTTCTGCTTCGGGGGTTGAGGATGAAGGTCGTTCTTTTGGTCTTGCTGCTTTCTTTTTGGGTGGTGGTGGTGGTGGGGCAACGTTGTCTAAGGTGGGCTTCTTTACTTTTGCGCCTCTTGCTAAGCGGGGTCGAGAGCTTGATGCTGTTGCGGCTGCAATTTTCTTGACGCTTTTTGGAGGCATGTTGAGATATGCTGAAGTAATCGGTAGCTGAATAAGGTTGACGAGTTGGGAAAATTGAGGGTTGTGGAAAGAAAGTCACGACATTTATGACGACGAGATCTATGTTAGGAAATTAAGCACATTCCTTAGAAATGAACACAACGAGATGGTGGAATGGAGATACCAGCCACCAGATAATCCACTTGGATGATGAAAGACAGTCTCGGAGTACTATTGTGATACCGGTACTTGTAGTCTGTTTGATTCCTCGTGACTTCTAACATGTACCTCCGTATGCAATGCAATGCTGATATAATGCCCCAAGCACCGTCGCTATGCCCATGCAACCAGCAAAAACTGTACAATGCTAAACCCGAAACACCCCATACAATGCAATTCATGCCAATTCATCAAGGTCGTCATCCCATCCAAGCGCCTTGTATATCGACTCATTGTTCGTTACATCATGATTCTTACTTTGATTGAAAACTTTTTCAACCTCGCTTCCTTGTCGGAGATTTTCTTTGTCGCTGCCTATCTCTAATGTAGAGGGATGGGCATGTCCAGTCGTTGCCTTTACAGGCGTATCTGCAATCCCAGAAGTATTAGAGAACTTCTTCATTGCTGAATCCGGTATAGCAGGGAATAATTGAGCACTCGATCGCCTTATGTGTAATGGTGAAGACGGGGGACAGTCTCCAGAAAAGACGCCCGCATGCCCAGACAGATTCGAGAAAGATGGCACAGGTTTTCGTGTTGGTGTTGCTTGAACAGATGACAGGAATGGATTCCTTGTTGGAAAGCCACCCGAAGACCGAGAAACAGACTGTGGGATCATTGGCAGGCTCGACGGAGGGATTGCCATAAAGTCGCTCATAGATCTCTCGCCACTAGAATGTTGGGATCGGGCAAACATATCCCTCTGCCTATTGGCCTTAGGTGTAGCAGAAATCTGTACTGATTGAAACAATGGATTCCGTACAGGCTTTTTGGATTCTATAATTGTGAGTAATAATTAATGAGCAGATATGGAATAACTTACTTCGAGAAATCGAGGCTGATCGCTTCTCGGCCGTTTCCACAATTGATTTACCGGCTAGCTCACGATTGGGTTTCTTAAGCGCTGATATAGCTTCCTTCAACTCTGCCTGGATGACAGCTTGCTTCTCCGCTTTAGCATTTGGTTTCGGAGCCATAGCGCTCAAGTCGATCTCTCGTCGAGAGAATCGTCTCGAATTCAACAGTCCACCTCTATTCGCCTCGACTGTTTGAGAGTCCGCAGATGGAATACTAGACAATGAAGGAGCTTCACTAGCTTCTCGCTTCATGCCTGGGACAATCGGCATGGTAGCGGATCTCATGAGGGAAATGGCTTTGTTGGGGCCTCGAGACATGCTTCGACGTTCGCGATCATCAGTCAAAACGCGTTTGAGACTGTGACGAGGTTTGGCAGGAACAGGACGTTTAGTAGCAGCGCCAGGCCTCGAAGGCGCCCCAGAAAAGCTTGCAGATTTGGATAGCTTTGGTCTGGGAGGAGACACAACTACAGGACCACCAAGTTTACGATTAATGGCAGCACACTTGTCGGGAAGACGAGACGAGAAGCTATATGGCTACATTAGACTAGCCTTCACTTGAATTTTCAGAAAACTTACAATGGCGCGATCACTTCAACACAGAAGTCCCTCAAAATATTGTCTGTGTGGCTGGTTCGAGCTGTAGGAGTATCTATGTTCTCACTGACGTTCTGTGATTCGCTAGAATGCCCTTTCGTCGCTTCTTCCAGGGCTACCGACTGCCAAATACAGAGCCTGTCTATGTGTAGATCAATGAGCATGGTCAAGTCCTGAGGCTTCTTCGATTTGCCCTGCTTTTGTTTGCTTTCCATTGGTTCAATTGTCGGAAGAGCCGTGGGGAGATCTTCCCCAATGTCTTCTGAACTGGATGCCAGAGGCTGAAGAGCCAGAACTTCTAGTATAATAATAATCTGCAGCTGTGTCTCCCGAATACGTAGTTGAGATATTCGACGTTTCGTACGTTCATCTCGGGAATCTCCAGGTGCTCCAGATTCTGCTTCATCGTCGTGACTGTTCCACCACTTCCGAATAAGTGTATCTTCTGTTGGGTACAAGCCGTTCTTGCCTGGCTTCTGCTTCTTGTTGCTCTTCCTTCTCTTGACCTTTGCCGTGGGATTTGCGTTGTCCTCACTCTGATCTTGAATATCGAGAAGAGAAACGCAAGTTGGAACCCCATCACGGTATTTACTATCAATCAGCGCGTTTGACAGGATGAGACTCTCGAGAAAATTAACATGGTCCTTCAAATCAAGGGTTGAATCAAAGTCCATGTGGAATGCAGCTCGAGCTCGTGAGAGAGGACCTTTTGCAAAGTATGCCAAGGAAGCCTGTGAAAATTAGTATTGATATATGGACACTAGCAACATTACTTGCCATTGAAAGATATAAGGCCTCAAAGTATTGTGTCCGTACGTTTTCAAATATCTCAGCGGCATCAGGATGCGAGACAACATCATCCAGTATAGGCGCTGGATCTGGTCGTTCTCCTGCCGAAGACGTAAAAGCGGGAGCAGATTCAGACGGGATAGATTGTGATTCAGCCGATGTATTTGATATCGGACGCTTCACCATAGATTGGATAGCCTCAATCGCCAACCGTTTCTTTTTGTTGTACTTGTTGATCTCAGGTGTGACCGTCGGGAGCGAAGCTTCTTGGAAGATAGTGCTGGGTCCTTCAGACACCCTCGGAAGTTCCTGCTTTGAAGCCACTGCTGCAGCTCTCAATTCTTGGAGGTTGACCCATGATCCAAGCTGGCACAGCACATATAGCCCCAGACTCTCTCTTTCCACGGCATACAATGTCCGAGCATCGTCTAGTCTTGCGATCAAGACCATAGGTTGGGTGCCCATGCGTTCCTCCAATTCTAAGATCTTGACATGTGCCTCATAGAGTCTAGAGTGCGACAGGGCTTTGGCCGAAGCTACTATATCGAGGGAGGATAATGGTAAGCGGGATCGCGGAAGTAATATCAGAGGTTGCAGAGTGTGCTGTTTGGTAGAATTTGTTGTCGGATAGGGCTGAAATGCCATTAGTATATTGTATGCAGCCGAGCATTGAATAACGGACCTTGACTACAAATTTGTCCTTCAACAAGTCATCCATCGTACTGCCATCTCGTTTTCGTTTCTTTGAGCTGGACCCAAAACCATCACTCGAATTGAGAGAATTATCTGATGCAGGAGTTAGGATACCGGAACGCGTTCCAACTCCCGACGCGTCATGTTCGTCTTGGCCGAACATAGCAATAAAATATTAATAATTTGCGTCATGAAGCCTCTAGTACGACATACAGAACCTCAATTGCTGTAAATCTGCTTATGATGCTGGCGATGTTGAGTAAAGTGTGGTGTTGGAAAACGCGGGCAAGACGCGCTTCCACAAGGCTGGGATAGTGTAAGCTAGCCAGAAAGAGGCTATGATGGGCAATGATACTCGAGGACCAGAACGTCATATCAAATGGGAATTCTATATACAAATTGATAATGCCATATCAATTATAAAGTTCGTAGCAAAATATTAAAACATATATTGTATCGAGGTGCTCAAATTTCTTTTTTTTCTTTCGTCCGTGGAATTTACTATGCATTTTGGATGCAGTCTGATCGATCGTCCGATCCCGATATTTCAATAGGTACGATAAGGTAGTTAGAAAAGACCGAGTACGATGAGATGAGCATCTAGGATGAGATGTGAGATGCACATGTTCAGGATTCTTCCTTGGAATGGAATTATGTTCTTCCTGGAACTCTCTCCACTGAAGCTTGTCGTAATCAAGGATGGATGCGCCGGAAGGCTAACAAGAGATTCATTGGACTTGGCTTCCATGCTAGTGAGGCGCAACGCCACAGCAGTGGCAATATCAACTCGCGTCCTTCATGCAGATTGCACGTCCGCGACTGTTGTGAGAGGTCAACTCGAAGCAAAAAAAAGGAAGGTGATCCAGAGATCCCGTCAACTGCCTTGGAAAATATTGTTCTGGCCAGCCTGATTGGTGTTGAGGCCGCTTCTTCCCGGGACAACAACGTTTCTCCGGAGTTTTAGTGCCTCTGCGATCACGATTCGACAACCAAGATTTCCTGCCTGGCACCGGTTATCCATGAATCTAATAGACCTCGCGACAAACACGAATTTGACGGCAATCCCGGCTTTGACAACGATACCTTTTTCTTTTCTTTTCTGGGGTAGCTATTCTGCTTGTCCAGGGTTCAAGTAGACGCATAGACTTTCCCTCGTCCGATTCCGCAGGATTTCAAGGATGCCCATACATCGACGCTAAGTAAATTACTGCGAGCGCGCCTTCACCTCCAGATTCAGCCTCTGCTCTACCATGAGTGTAGAAATTTCACCTCGATCCGTACGCTTCTCCAACGGGGCGGAGGACGACACACTTGATACTCTCAAGTCTCCAAGAGTCATGGCGCGTCCTCACGTCCAGACCAGCGACTCGTCGGGTTCTGGAGACTCCCATGATTCTGAGCATCTGCCACCAGACAGCAGGAGTGTACCGCATCTGCAGACCTCACTGTCTCCCCCCGACACCAGATCTCAGATGAACAGCCTCAACTCGAGTCGCAATGGTAGTGTGTACACACCTGTTACTTCGCCATTCGCCCCTCCAGCGGCCAGACCTCCAAGACCTGCTCCAGGTTAGTCTTCTTTAATACTATTGGCCTCTCCTCTCAAGAGCTTCCCAAAACCTCATCATTATTCAGTGCTAACTTTTTGAAAAGCAAGAACGCCTTCCAGCACCTATGGTCAGACCCTAACCCAGCAACGAAGACCCGGTCCCCCGTACGGTATCATGACCAGTACCTCTGACAGAAAGCAGTCACGCTTTAAGATTGCCCCGTACCAAGTTCAAGAGAAAGCATATGTGCAACGGCTGCGACAAGATCCTGAGGAATATTTCGAGCCTTACACTCCCAGTCTGGGGTACACATCAGATAGTGGGGAGGACGAATCGCCTTCGGAGCTCCATTTTGATAATGACGCTTACGACCAAGAGACTCTGCTGTTTTACAACAATGAAGATCTTCAGCCGACCGCAGAGGATCTTCAAGACCCCGCCAACCGGGAACGAGTAGAATGGCATGGAATGCTGGCTTCGGTCTTGACCGGTGATGTTGTGAGACAGGAGAAGAAGCGTTTGATAGGGACGTCAGACAAGCAGGGAGAGAATCTTTATACAGAGATATGGCTTGGCTTACGAGCGAGAATCACTGGGCGAGGAGTGGCTGCCCAGAAGAGGATGATAGAAGACACTCGATCAACACTTGATAATATGTTGGACGAGATCATCAGATTCCAGGTTCAGGGCGTCAGCGAAGCTGGAAAATCCCCTGTCGACCAGGTACGAGATGTGGTTGCCAAGATTGAGAAATGTGAATTACTATATCCGTCTCGATTGGCTCTGGAGAAGGCGAATAAGTTGGCAGCTTCTCCTCAGTATCAAGCCACTTGCGACGCCGTCATATCTTGGCACAATACAACGGAATTGATTAACACCGAACTCGCTATTTTACAGAGCTGGGTTGGAAATAATGAATTGGACTTCAATAGAGCGAAAGAAAGATCACCATCTGGAAATGGATTGTCAGACGAGTCTTCGTTCATAGATAGACTGCTGAAAGAGGATGGCCTACGCTCATTACAAGGAGACAAAAGCATTCTTTTAGGAGTCGCCGAAGTTATCTTGAAAGCTAAGAAGACTCTCATCGAGAACTCCGAAGGGTTTGCAAAGCGCCACCTACCGCCATACATCGAAGAACTATTGACCCTCATCAATTTTCCATCACGACTTATTGAAGAGATCATCAAAGTCAGACTTCAATTTGCTAGGAAAATGAAGGATTCAGCCCAGCAGAATGCTATGATGCAGGAGCAAATGATTTCGCAGTTTCAAATCTTGTTGAAACTGGCAATTCGCATCAAGCAAGAGTATCTAACAATCTCTCAACCCGAACCTGGTTGGGATCTACCACCTTGTATTGACGAGGGTTTTGATCAGGTCGTCCTCGATGCTTTGAAATTCTATTTCAAGATGCTGAACTGGAAATTGGGCGGCAACAAGAACACGTTCAAAGAAGCCGAAGTCCTCGAACAAGAATGGGATTTCTCCAACGAGATTGGTCGTCATCTACAAGGGGGTGATGTCGAGGTTGCAGAACAATTCAGCTCTCTTACTCACAAGGCCTTTTATCGTCTGAGTTCAACCTTTGAGAAAGATCTACTAAGGAAACCCCAAGAAACTGCAACAGAGATGACCAAACGCTACAAGCAAAGTCTGGACTCTGTTCGTGTACGCCAGCGCATGTTGCAACGTTTCTCGAGGGTGCTGAGCGACCGCTTCGAGAATGCTACGGACTTCAGTATCGCCGTGCGGAGCGACGATCTGCAGCACCTTTACTCGAGATTGATCGAAACAGGCCATTTCCTGGTATACACCGCCAGCATTGAACATGATGGCATATTCTTAATTGCATCCCCCTCTCTGTACAACCGACCGCAAGAAATCCAATCCATCTTGGGAACTTGTTATCACTCGGAAGATGTGCCGGAAGATCCGACCAACCCATACATCTTGGTTCTTCGGCCAGAGAGTCAGATCCCATGGGATGGAAGACAAGTTGATGCAAACATCCGGGAGCCCACTACTGATGTCAAAGTCGGGCAGCTTCGACTTATTGCTGATGGCTCTCAAGTGCGGTTACAAAATGCTCGAGCGGCATTCTTGGACTCTATCGACATGCATTTGGATATGCTTGTGGAGCAACGGTCGAATCTCAAGAAGGTCAACCTGAAACTAACCGAGATCAAGAAAGTTGTGTACAGGCTTTCAAATACCATTATGGACAGCGTTGAGACTGTTCGACAACAGACCAACGGAATGGATTGCCAAGAACTGATTCAGACATGTTTTGTCTTCGCCACCGAATTTGGTCAGAGATCTTTACTTTACATGGACCGAAACCGAAAGCAAATGAACAACCTTAAGCTTACCAAGCTTGCTTTGGACTGGGTCAGCTTTATCTGCGACGACTGCATTGCGACAGACCGGAAGACTTTCAAGTGGGCAGTACAGGCTTTGGAGTTCGCAATGCTCATGACACAAGGTCAGCATATCTTGGCTCTTGGAGAGGATGAGTATGCTAGACTTCGAGCCAAGGTTGCTGGTTGCATGTCCCTCTTGATTTCGCATTTTGATATCATGGGCGCTAGATCTACCCTGGCTGCTCAAGCGGAGAAGCAGCGAGCCGAAGCAATAGCCGGCCAATACAGAAAGATGGACATGAGTCGCCAGATGGATGATGAGCAGTCTGCCAAGTACGTCCTCGAAGAGAAGCTTGCTCAATTGTCATTCCTTGACGACACTCGGAAACAAAAGGAAGCGGAAAGGCAGGCTCTCGGTCGTGTTCTAGAAGAAACAAACGAAGCGGACCGATCATTGACTTATTTATCCTCGTCAGCATCCAATGTCAACATGCGATGGCAGCAAGGCAATTTTATCGGCGGTGGTACCTTTGGTTCGGTCTATGTCGCTATCAATCTGGATTCTGGTCATCTGATGGCTGTCAAGGAGATTCGCCTCCAAGATCCATCTTTGATTCCAACTATCGCTGGTCAAATCAGGGACGAGATGAGCGTGTTGGAGGTGCTTGATCATCCCAATGTTGTCTCATACCATGGCATTGAGGTCCATCGAGATAAGGTGTATATCTTCATGGAATACTGTTCCGGTGGATCACTGGCTGTTCTTTTGGAGCACGGCCGCATTGAGGATGAGCAAGTCATTATGGTTTATGCGCTTCAGCTACTGGAAGGTCTTGCTTACCTCCACGAAAGTGGCATCGTTCATCGCGACATCAAACCAGAAAGTAAGTTCTAATCAAGAATCAATAATCTGGGAAACGGCTAATCATGATTCTAGATATCCTCCTCAACCACAACGGTGTGATCAAATATGTGGATTTTGGTGCAGCCAAAGTAATTGCTCGGCAAGGCAAGACATTGGTTGCAGCTGATCCAGCCGGGAAAGCCAATAAGTCCATGACTGGCACGCCAATGTACATGTCACCAGAAGTCATCAAAGGCGAAAACCCAGGTCGTGCAGGATCAGTCGATGTCTGGTCATTAGGATGTGTCATCCTCGAAATGGCAACGGGTCGACGACCATGGGCATCCCTTGACAACGAATGGGCCATCATGTACAACATCGCGCAAGGCAACCCTCCACAACTGCCTTCCTACGACCAGCTCAGCCCAGAGGGCATCGATTTCCTGAAGCGATGCTTCGTCAAAGATCCCAAGAAGCGTGCTTCAGCTGCCGAGTTGCTTCAACACGAATGGATCGTTGCAATCAAGTCACAAGTTGCCATCGAGCCAAGTACTCCCAGCGACAGCGGATCCTCGGTCCACTCGAATTCCGGACGAGGTAGTCTCAGCTCCTCAATGACATCTTACTAATTTCTCTTCTATTGATACCACTTTACACCCATAAACTACGCTGCCGAAGAACATTCCGGAGGCACGGCGTAAAGATTTGTTTTGGTTTGCGCGGTTTTACGCAGTACATGAAGCGTTGGGAACATAATGCATGCATCAGCGGATGAGTTTAGGAGTTCAGGAAAGAAGGGTCTGTTTGCTGTGCCAATTATTACCCTCCCTCCCTCCATCACCACCTGATTCTTGTCTGGTTTGGACGAGATGTCAGAATGATGGAGCGGAGCCTGGATGCGGCGGCGAAGAGCAAAACACCGGATCGGATAGCAGGGGACCCGATTTTACATACACGAGCGAGGACCGGGAAGGGAGCGTGTGGCGTGGAAGAGACGATATCCGAAGAATTGTAGTAGTCAATAGATCTATCCAATCAGATAACAATAATTCGAACGGCACCGTCGTCGTCATCAACATCATCATCATTGGATTTCAAATCTGGTTTCGTATTCGTGCTGGCCCAGATTTCACTTCTGGGCTTACTGATAGATAAGCAAGCGTACCTAGGTAGGTATTTGAAAGCATTGACTCGTAGTCGTCTCTTGATACACCGGACAGGAACACTTCAGATGTCACCCATCACCATCCCCCGTCGTCCACGGTCAATGCTACGACTGACATGTTAGACAGTCAGTCAGTGATCATCGGGTCAAAGCACAGCGGAAACGAGCGACGATCCGGAGATCTTCCGTGCGTGCACGTACGTGCACCGCACTGATTGTTTAGCTCGTATGTCCGGATTTAGGGTTTCGAGCTCTGTTTTGCGAAACTGCGAGGTTTTTTTTTTCGGATGAGGGGAAGATGGATTGGATGGCATGGGATGGGGAGGTTGAAACTCACCGAGTAGAAGATTTTTCTGGCTGACAGGTAGGCAGACAGGCAAGATCGCTGTCTGGAAAGAGTTGAGATGCAGAAGCAAGCAAGAAGCAGAAGGTAGGTAGGCAGACTGTCTGTCTAATTTTGGGTCATGTCGACATACTTATCCATCCCGCACCCGCTCATCTCGTGTCTAATAACCGATTCTGAGGATCTTGGTCACCATCGGCGCTCAAATAGATGCCAACAATAGATAAAATAAGATTTTACTTTTCTGCCGTGCTTCTGGTGCTGGCGGTTGAATTGAAGATGGTGGTTGTACAAGATCCCCCCAATCCCCCACTTTTCGTTTCAAAGGCAAGGGAGGAGGAGGCTGGGTGATGTGGTGTGTGCTGCGAGTCATAACCCCGCTACATGTGAGGAGGGATGCAGAGCACGTTTTGGATAAATGCTGTGTGAGAGTACAGTAGTTCGTCGTACAAGTGGGTATGTATGCTGCAGAGAGCAAGCAGGTTAGATTGGCAAGGGTGGCGACATACTTAACATACATACATGAATTCGTACATAATAGACGAGGCAGGGAAAGTCTATTAGAGATGATGGACGGGACAGGATTAAAGAAAGAAGAATAAGAATAGAAGGAAAGAAAGAGAGAACAGACATCTGCAGCAGCAATGCCTGCCCAGCACATTCTGCACCGCACGTTCGTCGCTGTCGCCCTCTTGGGATAAATGTCCACGCCGTACAGAAAACACTCACAACAAGCGGTGAAGCGCCCGGCTAGACCTCGAAATTCTCCGATTGACGAAGTGTACGAGAGAGAGAGGATTCGCAATTGGCGGCGCTTGAACCAGCAGTATTCTAGTAGTTCCATGCGAGGTCTGCATGCACGCAAGGACTTTTGCAATTGATTAGTTCTAGTCCAGCGGGACGAGAAGCAGCAGGAAAAAGCAAAAACGCAATCCTTCAAGCCACGACACTTGGGTGCGGTGCATTGGTGTCAGGTACGAGGATACTAGACTCAGTAAGGCGAACCTGCACAACACTGCGGGCGCGATTATTGTTGAAGTGGTTGTTCAGCAGCAGCATTGGTAGGTAGGTAGTGTTTGGTGCGCTGTTCAGGGGGAGGCAAAGGATAGCAAGGCTGATGTCAGCGCAAGTGCGGGTGTTTCGGTTACGGGTTGGAAAAGGGGAGCCGATCGCTTCCATTGGCTGCCAGGTCTCAATTGGGCGGTGTGGTGAGTATTGAGCGTGAGGCTCTTCTGGTGTTACGATTCTGGAATGAAAGGCGTATTGAGAGGCTTGATTTCGGGTTTTGGTCTGGGCGGCCATGAGTTTGATTCATCGACATGTGGAAGCTGTGGGCGTTGGCGTTGTCAATCAACGTAGGCTACCAAGATCTCATGTGCATGTGCTTGATGGTGGTGAGATACGGGTGCCCACTGGCGTTCATGCGACTCAGGGGAAGAAAGAGGCTGAGGAAGCTGTCAACCTTGGGCTCGGGCTCTGGATGTGTCAGTGGCTGGCGGGAATGCGTGATGTTGGGTTATCTATGTGTCTGGGGATATCGAGGTTGGTGGATCCCCGTGTCCCAGAATATTTGGATTCTGTCTCTATTCGGAGGGGTTTTGGAATGCTTGCTGTCGATGATGCGTTCTGAGCGAGGAAGGAGGGGGAGAAAACCAAATCGGCAAGAATTGGAGAGAGTCATAAGCCATAGTGTTTAAGGTTGCGTTTGAGCAGTGATATCATGACTGAGATTTAATTAACATTTCGTTGCAGAATGCAGAATCAGGACGGGCTTGGAGGGGCCAATGTTCTGGATCGTCAGTATCGATTGTCTTCTTCAAAGACATTGGCGGGGTCAGGAACGTGTCGGCCCAGCCCGTCGTCTACCCTCCGAATCGAGAAGGAGTTTTGAGTCTTCCTGTACCAATTCGGGTAGTCTAGATCGTACCTGAGTCTCTTCAAGACATTTTAAATTAAAGTTGGCTGCTTCAAGTATCGTGACCATTGCAAGATGGGACTTGCCGTAGCCATTACAATAGGCTCGTATTGCGTATCGGAGGCTCATTCATCAGGATTCCTTTTTCAGGAACTGCGGAGAAGCTTCATCCAGATACCGAGAACAACGAACCCCTCTTCTTGCTTTTGTTTCATCCGGACGATCGATGGGATCCGTAACATCTTCGGATACTCGGGATCGTTATCATCATGGCTGACGTTTTTGACAGGAAAGCTTTGTTTTGTCTCGTCATTGCTATCGATAGCGATTATGGGGCGGCGGGGAACTCGTCCTCAGATGATGCTCGTAAAGTTTGAAGTTCGTGATGGTTCAAACGGCTACTGTAGATCATAACTACGCTCATATGAGATTCATATGGAAAACGATCATAAGGTCTTTTGGGCCTTTGTAGCACAGGGCGAACACGGTCAGGGGCGGGAGAAGCTTTCGGGCAATGAATGGACCGGATAGGAGGGGAATAATTTCACAAAAACAAAAGCCATCATCGATCTGTAGCCGTTGTCAGGTACCACGTATGTGTGCGGCTTGAGAAGGATTTGATGAGGCCCGTTCACCAGACCCCCCTCCATCGTCTACATGGGAATTGGAGAAGCAGGGCTCGGGTGGACTGATTTCTTGCTGCGAGATTTGAGTTCTCTGGCGAAGTGGGTTGGAGGTGGTGGTGCTGGCGTTGTTGAAAGCCATGTCGATCAAGCCCGTTGGTCTCCTCATGTTCAATCAGGGGGATTTTCTGATTTGCATGGAAGTCATGGCCTCAGGTTTTTGGGCGGAAGGGGTTCGCTAAAAAGACCCTAAGGTTTCACGCCCGCAGCTCCAAACAAAAAGATCCGCTGGTCATATCAGCAGCAGCAAACCCACCGTGGTACTAACACACCTACCTAAGCATTTGCAGGGGAGGGGAAGGTAGGGTTCAGATACAGGGCATGCTCACGAGCCACTGAATCCTCCGCTCTCCTCCCACTCACTCTCAATTCTCAACGGCTCAGACTCGTCTCGATGGCAGACAGCGACTGGCTGGGCGGCCGCATCTGTCACTCTGGCCGGACAGCTAGAAGCCCTTGGGTACCACTAAGTCCACGACTACGAGCAGACTATCCCTATCCAATGTATCAGCAGGTCAGGTCCATAATCAGGTCCACCAAGTCCCGCTGCTCCCGCACTATCAACCTTGTTTCTTGCCGAGCTTGTGGCTGGTGTGGTGAGTGGTGTAGGGGCTCTTTGTTCTTGTTCTCTGAGTTTGGAGCTGCGCTTCACCGCTCCGATGTCACCTCGACACCCCCGAGGTGACCTCTAACACAGACGCAGAAACATTCATTTCTTTTCTTCTGTCCATTGCAACTCGAACCCTCTTGCCGTCCCGATGATGATGACCTGTCGAAAAATTTCATATCAAATGTCTCACAAGTCAACGACTCACTGCCTTCTAGTGCATCGCACCCCCAGCCATCCGGATCCAGATGCCCACATTTTGCCGGCTGCATGCGAAATCGAAAATTTGTGACGGGTGAGTCTGCCCGCAGCAAGCGGCGTGAATTAATCGGCAAGGTACAGTTTTCAACGCTCAAGCCTACCCCACCAGCCCTTGCACAGCACGTTTCGGCAATGGCGTCAAAAGCTGTCGGTCCTCATGGCACGAGTTGATTTGCTCAATCGCTTTAGTCTCCGAACTCCCTGCCAGGGTGCCGTCCAGGATGCCTTGGTTCGTGAGGGCTGCCATCGAAACATCCCCCTCCAGACTTTCCGTAGCCACTCGTCTTGCGAGCCAGAACAATTCAAGCTCCGGCCCAGGGTCTGACCTGCCCTGACACCGCTCAACCAGAAACAAGGATTTTCTCCTCCGCTTCCACACCTCTGGCTGCTGTTTCTCATTGCACCATAGCTCCACTCCTCCACCACCACCACACAGACCCAAAGCATGGCACCTTGGGATTATTTTATTCTTGCCTATCTGCGGATATCGTGTTGAGATAGCACCGACTATCCCTGTCAGAGCTGCAGCGCGGGATGGCCAGGTCCCCAAGTAAGTGCCGTGAGCATCTTATATTAGATGATGAGCCTGCATCTTTCTGTCTTGGAAGCTTGTGCGCCTTCGACGTTCTCTTTGTCGAATCGAGTGGTCTCTAGATCACTTGGTCACGAGCTGCCCTCCTCTCCACCACTCTTTCTTTCTTCTTTCTATCATTTATCCATACTTCACTTGAAGATTTTCCTCAGTGCTGGCAGTTCTCACATCAACAGCGATGTGTTGAACTCCACAATTCGGATCCCCTTCTCCACATCTCTCAGACCTCTTCGACATGAAAACTTCACAGACTGCACTTTTTGTATGCCTACTCAGCCTGTCAGACGTTGTCCTAGGTGATTTGCCTCTTCCTTCACTTAGTTCAGTGGCCAAGGCTTCTCCGCCGACTCCAAGTCCACCAAATGGAAGAAAAAAAACTGATCCGCCATCAGCTATACCTGCAGCCAGCAGTACTGTTACCATAACGGCGTCCATCATATCAACAACCCCGCTCTCAACGGCAACGGTACAACCTTCTAATCTGGCAACTACCATCAATACCATTGATGTCTCGTCTTTTATGACATCGTCTTCGTCAGCTACCCTGACTTCTTCGGGAGCTGCTAGTACGCCTTCGAGCTATAACGGGACGTCCATGTCATCAGCCTCAACAGTCTCTCAAGCGAAAGATTCAAGTTCCATATCTCATCAAACCTTGGTCATCATCCTATCAACCGTTCTTGGCTCTGTGGGTCTTGTTCTTCTTGCTGGAGCACTCTTCCTTTTATATCGGTTCAGCCGAGGACAGACACCTTTCGGACATCGTGGAGCATCGCCGATCAATGATGATGAGATCGAATCGTGGAGGAGAAGTGGACGAGAGAAGCATCAGATGACTCCACCAGATCATGGACCAGCAATCCGCGACGTAACTTCGCTTCCGTTGCACTCACCAGCGTGGACATGGGCAGCTTCTCCATCATCCATCAGAACGGTCTCCGCCAACTTGTCTGAGCTCCACTCGGTTGTCGCTAAAGCCCCAAACGCTCGAGCTGGACTAACCGATGAGGCTCTACCTGGAGCCGATCCTTTCATCACACCTCCTAAGCGACAGAGTTCTCGATTGTCCAAACCACCTCCAGGACACGCCAGGACGAAGAGCAGGAGGAGTAGTATAAGTACCAAGAGCATGTGGAGTGGTCGAGAACGAAGCAGTAGTGATTTGAAAGCGAAGGATCGACATTCGACATGGTACGACCAGGACGACGAAGTGATCAGCAGTCATATAAGAACAGATAACGGCAGCAGTTCGCCTGGAGCATCAGATTTCTTTGATGGGATGCCGTCTGGAGGACTTTCGCCAAGACCGAAGTCACGGCCTAGATTATACGAGATATCGAAAGAGGACATTGGTAGAGCCATTGCATAGACGACTGGCAACAATAACAACAATCTTCATTCTGCTGGACGAGAACACACAGACGGTTCGGATTGGTACTGGCATACAATGCCGACATATATTATATTTTCCTTCATTTTATGTTTGTGCAAAGCACAATAGGGAAGGCGTCTTGGGCCGGGCTTCGACCCGATGTAGGAACATACTGAGGAGACTTTGACGCATATGGCGCTTGCCAGTGTAAATGCAGCAGCAGGTTCTTCTAGAGCACATTGACTAGCATTGTGTAAACAACCATACAATTAACCAAGATTTAAACACGTTCAAAAGATGTCAAAGCATGTCAATGAGTGAGATCTTAGTCATTCTTCCAGCACTCGCTGAGCAATCGACAGAAATTTGAGTGAAGTTGGGAAAGAAATGAACAACATTCGAAGATTCATGCAATATAAATTGAGGATCACGTGCTAGACACGAAGCAAGCGCGACTCCACGCGCCTGACCGCCTTCATAATCTGCCGCGTTCTTCTTTCTCCCCTCGATGAACGACAAACTCCAATCTAAGAACTCTTTCTTACGATTTCTCACGCACACAATGCCTCCCAAAAAGGTTCCTCCTCCTCCCTCAGCAACAGGCGACGAAGGTACGCCTTCAAAGCAGGATGCCGTCTTCAGAGAGGGCATCAACATCGAGGTATTCATGGAAGCTAAGTTTGAGGTCGTGCCATGTCCAGCCCCCTATAGATAGCTGCACAGCGCGATCTCCTACTTATCGACAATCCCAAAACGAGCAAATCTAACCGTATCACAGGACTTGAATTTACCGAAGAGTATTGTGACGAGATTGGCAAAGGGCGTACTCCCACCCAACACGCAGATTCAAGGAAATGCAATGTTGGCAATGACCAAAAGCGCGACGGTCTTTGTGAATTATATTGCCAGCCAGTATGTCTTGAACCCTATGCAATTGTTAGCCGGGCCATTGTCTTGGACTCACTGCTGATCACGAATCAACAGGGCAAACGAGTTCGCTTCAGCATCTAATCGAAAAACGATTGCACCTCAGGATGTGTTTGCTGCGTTAGACGAAGCACAATTTGCAGACTTTAAACCAAGATTAGAGGCTGAGCTCGCGAGTCCGCTTCCCTTCCACCAGACACCATTGCAAGACTAAATCAGACATAGAGTTCAACGAAACACAGGCCGAAAAGAGGAATGCGTACAAGAACAAAGTTGCCAATAAAGCTGCAGGCCAGTCTGGGGCTGGCGAAGACGACGAGGGCGACAGTTTGATGGATAGAGAAGGACAACCAGCTTCGAAGAAGGCGAGGTTAGATCACGACGACAGTGCTATGGACGTGAGTGAGATGACGGAAGGCTATTCGCGGGCAGATCATACAGCAGATGAAGAGGGTGATGATGGTGGGGATGAAACAGAAGAAGACGAGGAAGACGACGAAGGAGACCAAGAGCGTCTAGAAGTTGAAGAGCAACTGGAGGGGCCTGAGGAACCAGAGGATCAGGACGAAGCACTGGATAATGGGGACGATAGCGAGTAATCGGCGATGGGTGGAGTTATGGTATGGCTGCATTTGGGACTTGGAGTTGACTGGAAAAGCGACGTCTGGTTCAATGTACGATCTATTACGAAGCGCCATATGCGGCACTCATTCGACGTCGGCCTCATGGTATATGGGTGAAAACCACGTCGTGGAACGTTCATCCTACGTGTCAAGCGATATGCTGGAGAGCATAAGTTCCTACGAGCTTCCAACCAAGCACGACAACGCGGAGCAAACTGCAAAATATTCGTCTCTATGCATCGAGAGCAATTTTGGCTTGGGGTCTTTCGAAAAGTTTCGAGATTCTTTGACATTGAACGGGGAATATACAGAATTAGCGACTTCTAACTCTACTCTTCCAAGCTTTCAACATCTTCCTCAGCCCCAAATTCCTTGTCAAGCGTCTCAGCTTTGTCTATCACAATCCAATATATCTTCTGAGCGACTTTGCCTTCCTTGGCGTCAACCTTCCTCAACTCTCTCTGTCCCTTCCCACTTATATGCACATCTTGCTCCATCTCCCGATGGCCAACCTTCTTCTCTTTCTTCCTCAACACTTTTTCTAGATCATGATCCAGCTTTCTCAACTCCTTCTGCAAATCCCCCTCGACTTTATCCCTCTTTTCGGGGTCAGCTCCTCTCCGTCCACTTAATTTCTTCTCTGCCTTTCCAATCTCTTCAGCCTTTTCTTCCTCAATCTCTCTGATTTCTTTATCATATTTCCTCGCTCTTTTGTACTCCTTCCCACCCTCCTTTTCCATTTCCTCCCAAGCTTTTTCCCTCTTTTTCATCAACCTGCCCTGCGTCTTCTCGTCCCGTTTCTGCGCTTGCTTACTCCCCATCCTCTTCCACCAATTAGACATCTCCGCCGGCGGTGGGAGGTTCTTGAACTGCAATTCCGCCACCCTATCACCAAGCGCTCGCATCCTCCTCATTCTCGGATCATTCTCCTCACTATCCCACTCCGCCCTTGTCAAAGACGCAGCATCCATCTCCACCATCGGCGGCAGATTCAACACCTCGCCCACCTCCCCGACCACAGCCATCATCTTCTTCGTCTTCAGCACCTTGACCTTCAACCCCCTTGGCTCCCAGATCGTGGTGTTGGCATGCTTGACAAATGCTCGGGCGCGCACCCAGCTCGTGGCAGAAGATGCGAGCCCGGTGCCGACTTGCAGTCCAATGCCAGCGTAGTTTATGGGGTGCGGCGCGAAGGTCATGATTCCGCCGATCATGGTGACGATTTGGAAGGCCGGGGCGGCAACGAACGCTTCGTTGAGGCCGTCGATGAAGGTTAGGAATTGGTCTGGTGTGATGTCTTTAGAGGTCAGGGATGGGGCCCAGGCTCTGGAGAAGGGGGAGAAGAATGCGCTGCGGAAGGATTTGGATGTTTCTATGGGCAGTGTTAAATGCTGGGCTTTGGGTTCAGAGATTAAACTTACGGGGAATGACGATGGGTTTGAATGAGCTGCTATTGCTCTGAGAGGATGAGGAGATAGCAACGGTCGACATGGGAGGTACGAGAGCTGTCTGAGGTGCACCCATTGGGTCGATGGAGCGAGTTACAGCATCGTAACTTGGTGGAGGAGCATCGCTCTCGTGCTGAACGAGATATTGTTGTTTAAGTGTAGGCATGATGTGTTTGCCGAAGATTATACAATAACTAAGTAGATATCGATTGACATACTTTGCAACTCCTCCATCTCAGTCTGAGAGTTCCTCAATTATATATCCCAATCCCCATCATTATCAACGAACCCGTGTTTCGAGAGAGCGTTGATCATATTCCCATCCATGATGATCACAACTACCTCGATTACCGCATCGAGCATGCACCTGCGAAGCTTGACAGACGGGACGATCCTTTTGACGTGAAGACGTACAGCCCTGCCAAGCCACAACGTATTAGCGTGAAGCTTGTCAACTGCTTGGTGTATCGAAATAGGTATAGTGTCGATCGGTTTAGTGGGGGCGCTAAGATCTGCTCACATCCTCTGGGGAGAAGAACATAGCTTTCCTGTCAGGTTGGTATCAAGGTTCATTAGCTTAATGACCAGCTTGATATGAGAACAGTGGTATATGGACCATAAAGGAAAGAGAGGAAGTCAGAAGTCATGCGTTTATTCTATTGCGGCGGAGTCCTTAAGCTTGAGCCCCGGGCTAGATATCGGCGAGTGGTGAAAGTTCATCATCATCGAAAGTTGAAAGTGTGGATGGAGTTATTGTGGACTTACTTGCACGTTACTTTTCAAATTCAAAATGTCAATCTGAGTTACATCCCGGTCAGGTATGTGAAATTTTATCTCAACGTTCACATTGCGAGCATCGAGTAACAGCACTTTTTATATTCTTTCTAAGTGTATCTTCTCGATACTTTATTTTTAAGTCTACAAGCCGCAAAACCCTCCTCAGCTCGGCGTGAGTCAATCGAATGAAGTTATCGTGGTTGTACGACAGCAGACTGATAATCGCATGATCTTGGCGACTCATTATCCGATCATAAAAGTCTCGATACATCCTAAACAATGAATTGAGTCACCATCACGGGAAGGATGTCAGGCCGTCTTATGTTTGGAACGCAGCGAACATCTTTACCAAAGGACATGACAACCCTCTGGAGGTATGGTCAAATTCTGTCAGGTGAGAAGTTCGACCGCAGAGCGCGCAAGTAGCGCGAATTGCGCTGATAGCGCGAAACGCGCATCTATCGCAAGAATCGCAAATTAAGACTCCTTTTGAGATATACTAATTTAGGTACCGAGACTTATCACATGTACCTGCACTTCGAGCTCCCCCAGCTACGAGAATAAAGAATGATGTCCCCTCTGCGATTTTCGACTCGCTTGTCTCCTTTTCCCTTCGCTTGCGGCAATTCGCTAATGTTCTTGAAGTTTATCTTTGCAGCACTTCGCTTTCCTTAGGGGGGATAACTTAAAACTAAGGGCATGGCATTCATTGTCACGCAGTGGGAAGACATTATTAAGCTCAACGTATATTCGCTCGCACACAAGCTCAACCAATTTCATCTATCTATCTACATCCGCTTCTCCCCATCCTCCAAGTCCTACATTTCCACTCCCACTATATAGCCCCCTCACATCCCTATTCCCAACCATATTCCTCATCACCCTTTCTATCTAACTAGAGCCATAAATAGGTCCAGTGCTCTCACTCGCCACAGAATCTGCATCAGAGACATCATAATGTCCCGAACTTCCTCCACTGCCAGAGCTGGAACTACCCGTACTCTCATACTTCCCGTAGAAGTCATCATCGGACTCGGTATCGGGTGTATCGTCCCTTTCATCGTCGGCATCGCTACCGGAGCTGCCGCCGCGGAGGTGGAGCTCGCTTTGGACAGCCATGATTGGAGTGATGGTGGAGAGGTCGAGTGGGGACGTGGTAAGATCTTGGATGGACATTTTGTAGTTTCTTTGTTGTTGACTTTAAAGTTTGTTTGTTTTGTTGTTTGGATTGATTTGATATCTTCTTGAGAGCTTGTGTTTGTCTGATGAAAAAGAGGAGGGAAGGTAGTGAGAAGGGAGATATTTATACCAAAGGGCTTCCTCTATGATGTTCTGTTCATGATTAAATGAGCATCAAGTATGATGTAACATTGAGTCAAGAGAATGAGGTTTTACTCCCATGTACTGTATTGTTACAATCATGAGGAGGTATACAAGTGATGTCAGATAGCGCTTCGTAGTCCTCGGGGCGTTCAAAACACTGACGGCATATATCTTTTCAGCATCTATTTCACGGCTCATACGTCAGTTGATGTCTATCAAGAACTCTTGATACTAAATATCACTACTTTCTCACCAGTCTATTCCCTCTTCCTGAATGCTATATATCAACTCTCTTCTCCAGCTACCTCTCTATCCATCAAGTCCCTACACCTCACTCCCACTCTCACTCACATCCTCCCATTCATCAGAATCCTCATCTGTCTCCCCCTCATCACTTTCCCCATCCAAAGTACTGCTCTCGTACCCATCCTCTTCAGCCTCCTCTACCCATTGCAACTCCAAATTCCACCAAGCTCTTTCTATTTCCGTATCATCATCTTGAAGAGGAGATGTAAAAGATATTGGTGCTATCTGCGCCATGATTGGGAGGGTCATTCTTCTTCGAGTATCACAAGACATGATATTGTCTGGATTCGAGACGGAATTTTGTTGAGTCTTACGTTCGAGGATGCATTTGGTGTTGACTTTGAGAGAGAAGAACTTGCGTATTTCTAGTTACAGACAGCAGATTGTGAATCAAATCAAGCCTATGCTAGGGTGCTAGTCTTATTCAAGGTTCAGTACAGTACAGCGTCACTTCCAGGCACATTCAGATAACGTGCAGATATCATGAATATGTTATTTCTGTAGTCCGTGTCTAATCCAGGTACGCCATGCTATGCTATGCATAATCCAATCGCAACTCGCAACTCAACGCTCATCGTTCATCATTTCTCGGCAACAAGCTCGTACTGCTGCATCTCATTCTCTACGACCTCCTTGGCCGAATTCCAGCTATCTTGAAGAGTGCAACCCTCTTTCCTGCAAAAGACTTTCCAGACCACACTTTGCAAACTAGCAAACGACATTGTGTATCCCAACTCGTAAGCACTCATGTTGTCCAACCCCTCTTGAAGCATTTTTTGAGCCCAAAGATCTGGTCTAAGCAGTCTGTCCTTTCCTCCTTCTATGAATGCATACGGGAAATATGGACCGAATCTCTGGGTCAAGTCTTCGAAGACACACATGCATTCTCTGATCCAATTATCGTCCGATATGTCGTCAGGACGGATGGTTGATGGAGTAAAGAACCAATCATGGGGCGGTGGTCTAGTCATCTATGGAAGTCAGCAATGCGAATCAACCTCTAATTATTGAAATACTCCATGTCTCAACATGAACCTCAACTTAACGAGAGACTGCGAGAATGCAGCTGTTCAAATCAAGATCAAAGTTCCCCCGGAGAAATCGAAGAGGCCTACTGTACATACCCAAGAGTTTTCCGATACCGTGGCTTCCAGAGTGTTCTTGGTCATGGTGAAATAATTCTGGCCCATGACTTCAACTATGACTCCCAGCTTCGCCAGTTCCGCACTTGATAATGAATCAAGAAACTCTGCCTGATGTGCTCGTACTTTCAAGGTGTCTGGCAAGCTAGCGGTACAGTCTGCCAATCTGTACAATAGGAGGAACGAAAGCCTCTTAAATCGGGCAATTCTTTGGCCAAGTTCGTCTTTTGAGACATCAAGTGTGGGCCAGCTTTGAGCGTGGTGATCGACCATATCGGTGAGCTCATTGCTGATAAGGAACTCCATGGTATGAACACGCGAGAGCATCTCGGAAGCCCATGGATATGTGTACGCTGTTACCGAGATGCTACCTAATGGTATCCGTGAAGATAGGACTTCATGTTGGTCGATATTCACCCATTCAAGTCTGGGTTCCCTTGTCAAGATACTTGAGCAAATCGATTTCTCGTAGGTTTTGAGTAACTTATGCCAAGACTGTGTGCTGTCAGTAGATGATATGACGGTCAGCGGAGTAATATTCACACCTTGGAAGTGGCTAGCAGGTTATTGATTGACTTTGGATCAACGAGTACAAGCTCTTCGGCCACTCTCAAGCAGACTTCTGGGTACAGTTCGAGTCCGCCAGTGCTTCGAAATAGTGAGATAGACATGCTTGTCTCGCAGAGCCCGGACGACAAGGCAGAATAGACAGGAGTTAGCTGTGTACGTTCGTGTGTGCGGCGAGATACCAGGTTGCATTCAACTGTAGTAAATTTGGAAAGAGCAGCTTATACTCACTAGTAAGTCAAGCAAGCAATATGAGCATATGTTGAGTTGTCAGTGAAGACTTAACGATACGTTGTTGAAGCAATGAATGTAGCAATGTCATAGAAGATGGGGAGTGAAGAGGAGAATTGGGAAATATTGGCATTTTATCGTCTGAATCATCAAGGTATTCAGGAAGGAGCCATCGGGGTATATAGTGTGAGAGTTGACGGATTGAGAAGTCGCGGCAAGGCTGACGACTTAGCCTTGCGTGAATATTTGAGAACCTTGAGGGCTACTTCCTTCACCCCACTCATCCGGATTGACTTGACTCCAATTCTCGGCACCGTCCTATCTGTCATTGGAAGATCATGCTACTGGCTGGCTCCCACAACAAATTATTAGAGTGATTCCAAGTGGTGTTTGTCTACAAGTGAAGGTCTATGTTCGAATGAATCGCTCCCCGTTCTCTCGGTAAGCCCCTGTTTTCGCTTATTTTCCCAAGTTACACGAAGAGTAAGTATTTTGATTGCGACAAAACCACACCAAGAGCCTTACTAAGAACCGAAAATGATTCCTGAAATTAGACTGCGTACATACGAGTAAACAAATTCCGTGAAAAAGCGAAAGCAGCGCAACGAGAGAGGGTATAAGATCAGAGAAACCTCCCAACGCGAACGCTAGCCATTCCAAGATATCTCCGTGTATTTTTGAGCAACTCAGCAACACCGACCCTAAAATATATGAAAGACCCTCAAGACTTCCTGGAGTTCTTCTTCCTTCCATTCCACGCCTTAACACCACTATCTTTGGCATTTTCCAACGCCTTCCCGCTTCTCTCCTTGACATTATGCTTCTCTGCTTCGTCTCGCATATCATCAATTACATCTGGGCCGATTCCTGTGCCATGTATCCAGTCCAAGAGACCATACGGCGCAAAGTTTCCTTGTCCTTGTCCTTCGCTGTGTAGGTCTTGCCTTCTTGCAATACCGCCGAGGATAATTCCAGGCACGGTTGTATAGCCTGACATGGCTAAAGTCTCTTCGATGGTAATGATAGATACAAGGAGTAGGTAGGTGAGGAGGTGGACTCGGAACATAATCGATGGAAGATAGACTGGGAGGAAGCGCCAGAGGAGGTAAGGGAGCGGGTGATCGTAATGGGCCGTGAAAGAATATGGGGCGGTAATGGAGTGAAAGTAAGTCTGGTGAAGTCTGCTGATATAATTGGGAGATTTAGGGTGTAGAATGAAGCGGTGTGCATAGTATTGGAGAATCTGAACGCGATTAGATTGCTGAGGTTCGTTGTATAAGGGTGCTTTAACGAAGAGGTAAAACCCGCCACTTCATATAGAAAATTCTTCTTACCTCACGAAGCACCAATCCTCTGGCTACATCCTTTAATATGGACCATGGCATTGGTAAAGTAGTTGTAACTTTCAATGCGCTCCTGAAGCCGAGGACTTGCGTGAAAAGTAACTCGACACCCGCCTGGATAGCAATACCCAGGCATATGTTGAACAAGCTCAAACCAATGACCTTATACCATTCTGATCCGCCACCTCTGCGCGATCCTCGGCCTCCTCCAGTCCTAGTCGGTAAAGCTTGTAATCCTTGAGTTTTGAAGCTCACTGCGACACTCGGAACGATCGAGTCGACGATCAAGAATAGAAGCGCAGGTATGAAGAAGAAGAGCGTTCGAATAGCAGCAGTTCCAACCAGCTCTACCTTCAGTGGCGGCTGGCTGAGCACAAGAGTGCTCCATGTCTAATGCTAGAATTAGATTCCTATATCGGATAGTTCAGCTCTGTTCATACCATGTAAAAGAAGAGCAAGTTCAGAGAAGTGCTGTAACTGGTCAGGGATGGCATGAGGAAATATCCCATGACAGGGAGTGACAGCGCAATACCCATGATAGCTGAGCTGATTCAATGTGAAATGTTCAAATGAGGCTGGAGATATGTGAGATGGGATGAAGCGAAGTGATTGAAGACGAACAATTAAACTGTTCTTCCATTGCGAAGCTACAGCTCTACTGGAGCTGTCGCAAGACTTGATTCCCTCTGAGCTCTGAGCCTGGCCTTGGAACAGCGTCATTGTGCAGATGTCATGGGCTGGCCTCGCCTCGCCTCGCTTCTTCGCGGGGGTCATTTTGCCGACTCCAATCTAAGCTAACCATAATCGTGGAGGCTGCTTACCCAAGCCTCAGGGTTCACAAAGTATAAAACGGGTATTATGAAAAGCATTGACCCTCAAAAGATAAAATGGTGCATTAAGATGTGCGTATGAGATTGTCTGGATGTGACGAGGACAATTGACTGCATAAGGAGATTGAGATAGAGGTGGAAGCATCTCCGATGGGAAATCTCTAAGAAATCTCGACCACGCATGTGGTCTACTGTCACACTGGCGGAGGTGGCCAGCTAAAGTCTCAGTCGTTGTCAAAGTTTACACACTTCTTGAATGTGAACTTTCACCTTCGGCACCAAACCCCTTCTTTAAGTCTTCTCTCGCACGAGCCTCCTTTACCAATATCCAAAAAATCGAATAGGAGCACAGATGTAAATCCCCGGGACAGGCTTCGCATCATCTAATTTACCTTCTGTCCAACAGGGGCTCCACGCGCTTCCTTCTCTCAGATCAGAAGTGTCTCTCCGACGCCCGCAAGCTTTGCTTCTTCTGCATGTTTCCCCTCCGGTCCTATCCTGCTATCCTTCGGATTTTATCCACGAGTCACTCCCCGTTCTCGCGACTTGAACTGGTCTGCTGCATTGCATGAACCGTCCATCTCATCCCAATCCCGTCCAATTGCCGGGCACGCATTATTACTTCTTTGGGAAGCGGACGCTGCCGCGCACTACTTCTCAAGTCCATGCCCAAAGGGATGCCGTTAATCCCACTGCATCTTGACTGACATTCAGAGGAAACACCACTTCCTGCACACATCTGCAAAGTACACTCTCGAGCCTTCGAAGAAGCAGGAGAACGAACTCTTTGCATGCCCATCTGAGACAATACAATCCCAGCGTTGGGTGCCTGCATCACCTGCAGTAGTGTCCCGTCCAGGTGCGAACCGTCTTGTATCACCTTCTTCCCCCTGAAGGTCAACGGGAATCCAAACAATTGAACGGAAGCTGACAAGTGATCGCGAACAGTTCCCCTTACCGTGGCAGCACCTGCATTCGATTTACCAATGGCATACTCTGCAGTCTCTGCATAGCTATTGTCAAACTTCCGAGAAGCACGCGTCGAACTGATCTGGTTTCCTGAAACATCTACTCACCTCTCTGTTGTTTTGGGAGTGTCAATGCATCGTGCAGAAGGATCCTAATTCGCAACCTATTCACGAATCCACTGTGATCTACGGACAATAGGGAATAATAGGCGCACAGATCTGATTCAGCCTAAGCAGCCAAAAGCAACCCGAAGTCATCATGGACCATTTCACTACCCCTCCTCCCATACCGTCTCGCAATCGACAGCATGGTCGGAGAAAGTCACTCCAAGGTCCCTTGGCCCATTCATCCAACCGCGTGCATATACAGCCAGCATCGCCGGAAGTGATATCGTCTTTAATCACATCTCTCTCAATCATCTCCTCTCCCGCGAACCAGCTGTTCGAAAGTACGGGAGCGCCTCAGCCATCACCCGTGTCCCCAACATCTACGAACGCGACATATAATACTTTCGGAAATCTGAACGCGCATAATGGGCAACGTTCCTCAGGTGGCAGTTTTGGAATAGACTACGGCGCATACGAGCAGCCCTCACTGCGACAATTGATTGAAGAAGAGTCTTTGGATGAGCTAGCTGCTCCTACACCGGTCATCCGAACAGCTAAACCGCCGTCTGGTTTCTCCCCCCTCACTGCGCCAAAATCACCAGCAGATTCCAGTCCTCTCAAGACATTTCTGAGAGGCAGTTCCAGGCCGTCATCGAAGGGGTCGAATGCATCGAAAGATCGAGACGATGCGAGTAGTATCGGCAACGTATCTATTGAACCAGGACCGACACCAATTCCAGAGTTGCGACGGAAATCCTCTGGGGATAGCTGGGGCAAGAAACAAGGCCGAAATCAAAGAGGACTGATGTACATGAGCTCCCGAGAGCGTCTGCGAGAGAAGGAACAGGAGAAGAAAAGAGCAAGTGTTGGGACTGTAGGAAATAACACGAAAGGGCTTGGTTTGGAGCGAATACCACTTCCCAAATTTGAGTCGGACTCCTTCATGGCAGAAGATGCAATCGGAGAAGAGCCCGAGGAAGTATCGCCAACGAAGAACGGCAAAACACCAGTAACACCAACAATGCCTGGCTCAGGTAAACCAAGCCCAGCCCTCAGTGCTGGCAGTCAAGGTGGTATCGGCTCTGGCAGGTTCATACCAGAACGAGACTCTTCTCTAAGAAAACCAGCTGCTTCTACAAAGAAGCGGTCGTCTCAAAGATCTAGCCGACAGAACGGAAAGGGGAAGGGTATCGATGAAGGAGACGATACCATACAGGAGAAGGAGGAACAGTCCCAAGAGCGCAAACGTGATCGCACTTCCAGACACCAGAAGAATGGATCAACAGAGGCAGCATCCAAGATGATGGAGCCATTGGACGACCTTCAGATGCCACGCCCTACAAAACCGGTCAACGGCCAGAAGTCCGACACAACAAAATTCGACCAGCTCAAGGTAGCAGAAGATGTGGACGAGGGCGCACCATCCCCGGCAGTCGCTCAACGAAAAGCGCGACCAAGCCCGGATCGAGGTGATCGTTCTTCAAGTCAGAAGAGGAGGTCAGGGAAAGCTACCCCTGAACCTCTGGAATCCCAACCGAAACGAAGTGGTTCTAGGCTAAAGCGTTTGTCTGCACCCCTGAGCCCAAGAGCATCCGACAAAGATGCACACCAAAGGGCTAATTCGAATCCTCTGGCGAGGGTCGGTTCTCCGGAACCTTCCAGACCACACATTCACGTTGACGATCGGCCAACAAGCGCTGATTCCATCGATGACGCTGTAGAAGCATATCTCTGTTCGCCTCGCTTATCACAGAAGATTCGACATCCTCAAACGGGTAGAGTTATCTCCTTCTCGGAGGTTGGTGATTCGGAGGGGTTTGCAGTCTTTTGTTGTGTGGGCATGGGATTAACGAGATATATCACCGCCTTCTACGACGAGCTTGCTTTGACTTTGAAGCTACGGTTGATTACTCCTGATCGCCCAGGCGTTGGAGACAGCGAGCCATACAACGATGGAACTGCAACCCCTCTCAGCTGGCCAGGTACGGTCTCTTTTACAGATTTCTATCTCCAATGCTAATAATTCTAGATGATGTCTATGCTATTTGCCAGACCTTGAAGATCACCAAATTCTCCATCCTTGCTCACTCCGCAGGTGCTATATATGCACTTGCAACTGCTCTTCGTATGCCTCAGCATATCCGAGGTCGCATCCACCTGCTTGCTCCTTGGATTCCTCCATCTCAGATGAATGTTTTCGGGGCACAAGTTGCTTCGCCTCCAACGAATTCGATCCCGACTTCCCAGCGAATTCTACGAGCACTCCCGACTCCTATTCTCAAAGCGGCAAACTCGAGCTTCATGAGTGCTACAAGTAGCTCGATCACGAGTAGTCTCCCAAAGTCGCAGAGACGTGGTAAGCGCAAGTCCACTGGACGTGATACTCCTGCACCGTCAGGACGAAGCACCGTCACTCCAGGACCAGACAAAGAGAATCATGGCAGGAATTCCACCATCTATCCAGATCCTTCTGAACCCGGTGCCATGGAGAGAGCAGCCAAAGATCCAAATGATCCAAACCATGAAACGGCGATTTTAGCAGCCGCAGCAAATACCCTGGCCGATAAAGAACGACAAATGACTTATGATACGAGACTTACGCATGCCATTTGGGACTTGGCCACTTCTGGTGCCAATCCCGCTGTAGATCTGTTGGTATGCCTAGAAAGACGGCATACCATTGGATTCAGATATGTTGATATCACGCGTGCCGTGGTAATTCACCACGGCAGCAAGGACACGAGAGTTCCTGTTGAGAACGTTAGATGGTTAGGAAAGACCATGCGGAGATGTGAAGTACGAGTATTAGAGGGCGAAGGACACGGCCTCATGGCTTCAGCTGCTGTAATGGGAGGAGTGTTAATGGAAATCGCCCGCGAGTGGGATGACTGGATGAAAGTCACTGGCTCAACGGGTGGTACAAGAGGTGAGGGTGGCAGGAGAACACTGAGAGAAAGGGCTAGTGTTCAAGCTTTTAGGTGATTTTGTTCAGCATTGTTTGGATGAGAAAAAAAAAGGTGTATTATGGGGGCTAGTTTTGAGCTTGGCGTTTGGCAGCGCTGATTGTAGGAGCGGGTTCTTGGAGCAGATATGCCATACATACATTGGCTGCGATCTGATTTTGATGTACTTCTACGATCGCCTGGCTTCGCAGACCAGCATGACTTTGCTATATCTCATGATAATAATAAATAATATTTCATGATTCAACAATCACGGACTTCATTTATCTCGATAACGTGACAATTTTGATGCTACAGTATATACTCATGGAATTTCTCATCATCAATAATCTAACGAAGCTGACAAGCAATAGTTCATGCTCTATCCCGCTCTACAAACGGCTCATTTCCAGAATTGCCTTTCCGGCAGCATCCCGGATGTCCACCCGCAAAGACCCTGTATCAACTTGATGATACCCAAAATGACGGCTTTGGATGAATGTCCCTCCCGTTTCGTTTTACACCTCCATGAAACAAGAGGCATTTATCTCCCAGGTTCAATTTATCGCCGTCCTCTCCATCTATGAAATTCCTAGCCGATTTTAGCACGCGAAAACACTAAAATGTCCTATACTAATTCCAACATTACACACTACTACAAAGTTTGTTTCTAATTAGACTTTAGTTTTGATTTATTAAGAAGTTATTCTACGTGCTCATTAAAAATATTAAGTATAAACTTAATTTATTATGCGCAATACTTTACATTCTGTGAATTTGAGCCCTGTCGCAAAATCGGCCACGAATTTCACCGATGGAGAGTCGCCGTCTCTACCTAAATCACGGACCACATCTCCTTTTTCTCTCTGTGGCGCAGCGCATGCTGAATAGGGTTAGGATTCGATAGACCAGGCACAAGTGTGGCGCTAGATTCTGCTGGTCCCATGCGATAGGCGCATGGTTGAAGTGAAGTGGTGTTCTCCGCATTTTCAAATCTCAATCTCTTGGTTTCTAAAGCCGAGCTCTCTCTCTTCCACACTTCACTCCACTTCCTTCTGGAAATATCTGCAACGTTGAAAAGCGGTGGAGTTGTTACGGTCCCCGCCTTATCGCACGATCGTCATTGGGATCTGTTTCCGTTTCCGAACTGGTGGAGACATTCATCTGAGACACGCGCCAGTTGATCGCTGGGTACTTGCATTACACAACTCCACGTCTCTCGTTACTTTTTCTTCGCTTGGCGACAGCTACTGTTCTGGAAGATTTGTATATCTGGAATTATTGGACGACAGTGGAAGTAAAGGAGAGAAGGACTAGCGAGTGAAGAAACATTTGGCCAAGTGAATAACGACACGACGAGCAAATGAGCAGGCACCACCGAGCCTCTCGTAAGTCCTCCCTCTACTATCCCCCTCCTGCATCTCAAAAGACCGTTCTCCAGCAAATCAAAGGACTTCCAGAGAACGCAAAACTAACACCCAAACCCATCAGCAATCCAAACCTCCCCCCTCTTCTCCCGACCCCACAAAATGCCTTCCACACGCCGCGTCAAAGTCCTCTGCCTCCTCCTCTTCGTCTTCATCATCACAATCCTCTTCTACACGTCCTCTGCCCGCGAAGCCGCCGACCGCGACTTCTACTCCATCACCAAATCGGCTCTAGACAAGAAGCACGGCACGCCTGGAGCAAAAGAAGCTGTTGTAGGAACTGCAGCAGATGAGGAGAGTAAAGCTACGAAACAGAGATTAAAGGAGGCAGCGGATTCAGCAAAGGAGAAAGCCAACGCCAAAGCACCGAAGCCTGATCCGCCAAGTGTGGTTGTAGGCGTGGGGAGCGCGGCAGAAGGAGCATCAGGCGAGAGAGGTGTTGCTGGGAGGAAAAAGTTTAGTGTTGACGGAGAAAGTCAGAAGCCTGTCAAAGAAGAGAGCGAGGAAGAACACAATGCGGAAGTAGAGCTGAACTTTATTTTGAAGAAAGCTCCTAGTGAGTTTCCTCCTAGCTAAGAGAATTGGGATGACAATAGGGGCTAATTTGGTGTTCCAGTTATCATATTTTCGAAAAGTTACTGTCCGCATTCGAAACGGGCGAAGAACATCCTGCTTGGGAAGTACATTATCGATCCTCCACCATTTGTTGTTGAACTCGATCAACATCCTCAGGGTCTCGAATTACAGGCCCTGCTTGCAGACAAGACTGGCAGACGGACAGTACCGAATGTTCTGATCAATGGTGTCAGTATTGGAGGCGGAGATGATGTCGCAGATCTAGACGCGAAGAAGACATTGATTGACAAGATTAATGAATTTGGTGGAAAGAAGATGCTACAGGTGAAGGAGAAGCCAGTCGAGGCGAGTGAGGATCATGGGTTGAGATGAGGTTACATAACATTAAGGGTACAAGAAGCCACGGCATCACACTCATGCTCTGGATTTTTACTCTTCGAATGACTGTTGCAAGTAGAGAAATGGGGTACAAAGGATAAGAAATAAGGGAATTGTATTAGGGCAGCGTTCCAGGAGTTCATCGGCCGGAGGTATGGTGGGAAATCAGGCACTGGGAGGAGTTCGGTCTTATATGCCACCTTGTGCAATGTATACCATGAGTCTTGTATTGTCATGGGTACCGGCCTTAGGACTTATTAATGAAGATACTTTCTGAAGCCCTGGGTCCTCGGCTTGTATGGTGGTTGGTAGGTACCTATGGGTTTGGGTCGTTCCTCCCTCAAGACTTGCAACCGCTCAACACTTGCTGGTACCTACCTCAAGACCCATCGCCCCTTCCCGAATTATCCCAACAGTCATCTCTTACTTAAATAACCATCTCTTCCCAAACCTCCATCTTCTTCTTTCAACACTTTCAACACTTCCACCACCCACAGCCAAAGTTCTAGGTCCACCATACTCCCTCCAACATGAGGTTAGGTGCCATTGCGGCAGTGCAGGATTCCTCTGGTCTTTACTCACAACTTTTTACTCTCTTGTGCGACAGTATAGTGGACCGAAGATGCTGACTGGACCATTTGAGGGGTGGTGAAGTGATCCTTTGTTGCTCGACTTGAAAAGGGAAATATATTTGCTTAATAACTAATTAAGGTAATAAATTAGAAAAAGAAATTATAATAATCTAAAGCATTACCCAATGAAATTTATGCTTTTATTCACTATAAAACTAAGAAGTTTAACTATTTTTTATTTTATACTTATTCTTTGTTAATTTAATTCACTTACTTAGCCTTACCACTCTCCAAACCGTTCTCTGCAGCTAGTGAATCTATAAATTCACCTCTTTCGGTCCTTTGCTCTCCGTTTTCCACTCTCTATTTTCCATTCACTTCTTTTAGCCCCCGTCCTTCGTCCTTCGTATTCCGCCCTCCGTCCTCCGTCCCCTCTATATAAACCCCCCTCCGGCCTCTTTATAATCCGCACAAAAACATTCCTAAAACAAGACGAACATAGGAACGGATAGTGATAGTGTTTAGAATGTTATTTTGGCCGTGGCTTTGGTTGTGTAAAACTAGTGTAGTTTGTTATACTACTTTTTTTTTATAACATTATTTGTTATAAAAAGCTATAGAGTATTGTTGTTGTTAATTAAATTATTATTATTAAATTTTAGTATTATTTTTTTTAGAAAATAATATTAAAAAGGGAAATCATGATGAGCGAGCTTGGTAAGTCTTCTCCAGTCTTCTTATTCTGGCTCTGGAGGACATGGGCTAACATGCTTGAAGACAGAAACAGCAAGAACGAAGAAGAGATAGAGAGAAATACATGCAAAGCAGCAATGTGAACCATCACAACCTGGAATGAATGCGAGGTCAGAATGATTGCGACAATTGAATCGATATACAGGAACCTGGAAAATGACACCATAGAAGTCTGTTTGCAAGTCATCCGCTTGCACAGATCTGGAAGCGGGTAAGATCTTCGGGTTTGAGAAGTATCATTGTACCATTAAAATTATTCTTTATCCCAGCTCCTCTTCCAAACACATATCTGCCCCAATCCAGCGCCAAATTCAATTTCTCTATCTGGTCCGCATTGCTAACAGGACTCTTTCTTTCACTCTAAACTTATAGATCATGTCGCGCCCTCTTACTGGCCTTCCTGATCCTCTCTCCATACATATACAATACGAATGGAATGGGAATGAACGCAATGCTCAGGAAACCCAACAACGAACTTGCCCAATCCACACCAAGGTTGTTGTACATGGCAGTTGCGAATAATGGAAATCCTGCACCAAAACTGGATCTCATGAAATCGTTACCTGCATAAACACTCGCCGCATGCTCAGGATAGGCATCTCCTAGATAATTCAATACCGAGTTGAACAACAAGAAAGCACCGACAGTGAAGAATCCTGATCCGATGATGGGGACGATCCAGTGAATAGAGGGTCGAGAGGTCCATCCGAACCAGAACAAACAAATCGGAATGCAGAATGCTCCTACGAAAGCTGGAGGAAGTCGTTTCTCGGGTTTGAGCTCGCCATTCTCGTTGAACTGCGGTTCTTGAACATACCACAGATACGCAAAGAATGGCGGTATAACGACGAAAGCACCGACGAGTATACCAACAAACGACAACCCTTCCTCACCGAGGTTGAATCCATAAATACCCTCAAAGACGATTGCGAAACTTTCGAACCAGACGTATAAAAGACCATAGATGAGTGCGATGTAGAGATTGAGGAGGAAGAGAATCGGTTCCGTAAACGTGAGAGAGAATGGTTTGACGAGGGTCATCATGACAATGTCCTTTCCTGTCATTTGTTCGCTCATAAGCTCCGGCTCACATTTGAGATCATCACGACCAGTTCGCTTGCGAAGTCGACGAGTCCGACGGTACAGGATGTTGGAGGAGCTTGTCTCAGGGAGGAATAGCACCAAGACGATCAGTGCAAAGCCGGAGAGCCATAGCAATTCCCAGATTGGCCACTGCCAGCCTTTGTGCTGGGCCGCGAAACCACCGATCAGTGGACCAAGGACTGGACCACAAATTGCTGCTACACCCCATATTCCAATGGCATATGCTCGTTTTGATGGTTTATACATGTCTCCCAGGGAAGCACCTCCTGTCGCAAGCACAGGACTGCCAAAGAATCCAGTCAGGAATCGAAAAGCGAGAAGCATGCCAAAATTCTTCGCGTATATGACGGCGAATTGGAAGAAGACGAAGACAACTAAGGTACCAATATAGACTGGATTGCGGCCGATTTGAGGGATCTCAGACATCGGAGCCCAGATCATCGGACCCAAACCATAACCGGCAACGAAAAGAGTCAGACCCAAAGTCGCTGCAACTTGACTGACGCCGAAAACCTCTGTGATTTCTTCCGTGCCAGCTGAGTAAATGGCAGAGCCGATGTAGACAGCAAATGTCAGAAGACAGATGAGAAAGGTGACCAGGAACTTCTTTCCCATGGACCAGTTCATCGGGTTCTTGACCTAAGTCAGCACAAGCCTCGAAGTCAGCCGTTTGATTCAGGGACCTACTTCTGGATCATCGTCCGAAAACCAAGTAACGATAGTGACATCTCGTCCCTTCTCAGGATCTACCAACACACCGCTAACTTCGTTCCGTCTTGCATGTGTGTTCTCAGGATGGCCAACTCGGGTATCGGAGCTTTCTCTCGAAGTACTGTCTCCATTATGTTGTTGTTGTTGTCCATCTGTATCGCCGGATTCTTCCTCTTTTTCATCTGGTTCTCCCGTATGGCCATGATGTGCCATGTGTCCACTTTTCTCCTTGTTGACATATCTTTTCCATAAAGACGGATCTCGTTCTTCTTCGTATTGTAGCACTCGACCTTTGGTGAGAATACGGATAGCATGCCCAGTGACGGTATCTCGAAAAAGCTCCTTCATCTTGACAAAGCGTCCGGACGAAAATCGGCGATGTTGATAGTGGTCCACACTTCAAACACGTCCCTTGAGAGGAGGTCAGCACCTTTGTAGAAGGAAAGAATTAACGGTTCTCGATCTCGGACTTCCAATAGTCAAAATCTCCACGCCAAAGTTTCAACATGATATCGTCATTCAAGTTGCTGGTGCTCTCCAGTGCTTGGCACTCCAATACGGACTTCGGACATTGTGTTGAAGCCGCATAAAGGTAAACTCTCCATAGACTTCTAGAACGGTAATTTGAGTCATGGTGTCGAATCAATCTACCAAACCACATGAGATCATACCATTTCCCATCAATATTTTTCTCAAACCGTACCTAGTCTTGTCGACTAAAGGGAAAATTAACTCGTTTTGGCTTGGCAAGCGCTTGAGGCTGCTAAAGCACGGCAATGACGTCTAAGACTTTGGCAGAGCATTTGCTCGATGAACATCCCATCGTGCTTGGGGCATGCTGTAATCTCCTAGTGGAATGGGACGAGCAGATCTGCCGCGATCTTCGGCATGTTTTGCGATCGTGCGTGGGCAGAGTTTTGGTTGTATCGTCGTATATTTATGCTTAATGGTACATTGGCGGCGCGCTTTGCAAATTTGGAACGATCCAGACCACAAATGTCGTGGTCGCAGGAGTCGGTTGGAAATCTGTCGAATGGAGATGCTCAACATTTGTAAAGAAGCTCATGGTGGATTGCATAGCTTTAGGTAGATTCTTGAGATGCAGTACACAGCAGCAATCTGAATAGGGGTAGCTCTGCTCGGCTCAACCTTCGTAGACTTAACATATCACATATAGTTTCTGGCAGTATCCAATGTGACACGGAAATTGGTATCGTAAGTCACAGACTTGGACACGGCATCTTTCGTCTCCTGGTTGTGATAATGCGAAGCTTTGCCCACCTAAGTCTATTATTGTCTGGGCTGTGATGTTGATTGATGAGCGCCGCAGCGATTCAGCGTAAGTCGGACAATCAAGAATGCGCCGCTTCCTTTTATTGATCCAATTTTAGGCTTGTTTTTGCCAAAAGTCACTTGATATCGATGCGATAGCCTGCAATGTTAGATTAACCATAAGATAGTTGGTTCATCTCTGTCCTCTGGATCACACCTATTGAGGAAGTTATGTACTATTACGGTGAGAGGCATCTAGACGTATCTTCTTTTACGTACATAAATTGCTGCAGAAAGGTCTGATGAGGTCTAAATGTCCCTCTTCCAGATCGAGATTCTGGAAGGGTGAGAAATCTCGCCTATCTTCTGGTGGTGAACGTCCACTTGGCCCACGGTCATCACAATGCCGGATCGACGAATCACCACCTTTCGATAGTGGAAGGGAGTGCTGGAAAGGTCTCTACTTAGTATTATCATATCAAGTGCCCGAAGCAGAGTATTAGATCACGATCAATTCCATTTCCAGCTTCAGCTCACGGCCAAAACTTTCTCAATGCATTCGCAGCCCACTGACGATGGTAACGTGACAAAGTGCAAATTGTTGAAAAACGACAGACAATTTGATGGAGAATTTCAAGTTCTTTGATCATAAAGTGTTTGGATATCTTCTGGTTCCAATTATCGCCATGACTGCAGGATGTCATTGCTTCACTCGAGGTCCACGTGAGGAGAGAAAAGTCCGCAATCTGCGCAAAATGCGCATTTCGCGCGTTTTGCACAAAGGTGCAAAAACTTTTGCGATGTGCAACAGATCTGCAGGTGTCCCGAAAGGAAGTGTTGTCTCATGTGACGAGTCTTCCAAAAACAGACAAAGCGCTTCGATTGACAACGATGCATCTCACTTTGAAACCGCCGACTCATCTCTCAGATCTCTTCTCCAACATCTCGAATCATCTTTGAAAACATGATCTCCACGCGGCAACAGGTGGATCTCAAAACAAGACAGTTGCTAAATCGAGACCAGATGGCGAACTCAAGTGAGTTCCAGGAATCCTTGTCGGGCATCAGCCTCGAAGGCACAGGGCGCCATAAAACCAGGCCGCCGGATCACGTATCCTTAAAGAAGCTCTTATCTAGACCTCGTGTCGCGAAGCACAAAGCGACCTCACGGTCTTCTTGAACCCTAATGATCCGTGCAGGCATTAGATGTTGTTTCGTCAATCACCCGCCGAGCCGAGACCGCATTGGCCTTTCTAAGACCATGAACCAGGAACGAGGCAAGATGCACGTTCTTATTTGCCCCGTTTCATGAAGGTTCTTTTTTGATACTTCTTGGATGCGAGGAGGTGAAGGCTTGGCGGTTGTCGATGATCCGTGGTTTAGACTAGTATGGAGCTTTGATATATGGTCTGCTCATGTCCATGGCATCTTTTTCTATCTCTGTCTTGTGTGCAACACTTTCGCTTCTGTGATACATTCGTTCTTATTTCTCTGTATTTTTCTCATCAATTTGAGCTTGTTAGTTTTCTCTTCGTCCAACAATTCACGGTCCAAATAACTTGACTTCTGGACTAAGATGCAGCTCTTCTCCTCAACGATAGTTCTCCTGCTATGCAGCAGCTCTGTTTCCGCAGGGCCACTAGATCGACTCTTCGGCCGGGTTACTTCCAGACAATTAGTATCTGTGCGAACAGTATCTCCAGATAATACTTGCGGGACCATTTTCAACAGTACCAACAACGGAACTACTGCTAATGGATATACCTGTCCATCAGACTTGCCATGCTGTAGCGTCCATGGTTTCTGCGGTTCAACCAATGATTATTGTCTTACTACCGCCGGCTGCCAGTCTTTGTTTGGAAATTGTACCGCACCGAGCGCGGGTACTATAACTCCAGACGAGACTTGTGGCATTCTCGGGGCTGGACAATACGGATATACTTGCGATGCGCAAAGCCCTTGCTGCTCTGGAAAGTATGATACGGTGTCTTCATCAAGCGAACAATGTTGCTGATGAGAAACAGTGGGTGGTGCGGAAATACAACAGACTACTGCTCGCCATCGAATGGCTGTCAAACAGCATATGGCACATGCGATGCTGCTAGTAATAGTACAAGCTCAAGCGGTGGAAGCAGCGGAACGCCAGGAACCAGCACAAATGGTCAATGCGGACCTGGATTTGGCACATGCGCATCAAATGAGTGTTGTAGTCTCGCTGGCTACTGTGGGGTCACCGAAGGTATGTTAAGTACAACCTGGATGGAGGTGTTTTTATTGATGACGGACATTAGATTATTGTGAAGCACCAGATTGTCAGTTCAACTATGGACCAGCATGTGATGCAAACAAGATTCCTTCAGGTACCAATACTTCTTCGATCGCGAGACCCAAGTTGGGATCAGTGATGTACGGATCAGCTGGCATCTATGACTGTGCCAATGCAGGAGACATGGCTTTGACATTCGATGATGGACCGTTTATATACACAAGCCATATCCTAGATCTCTTGGACCAGTATAATGCTAGCGCTACATTCTTCATCACTGGAAATAACAATGGTAGGTGTTGGCTTTGAATATATATTTTTTTTACGGCGCAAGCTCTAACTGTCATTAAGGGAAAGGAGAAATTGACAACACTAGTCTACCCTGGTCCGCTTTAATCCAGTAAGTAGGACCTCTCCTCATCAGCTCAGAATATGCTTACAGATATAGACGGATGTACAATGAAGGTCACCAAGTTGCTTCTCACACGTGGTCTCATCCCGATCTCTGCAATATTACTTCCGATCAGCGCAAGAATGAAATGTACAAAAATGAGATGGCATTGAGAAATATACTTGGCGTTATACCGACCTATATGCGTCCTCCATATTCATCATGCACTGCGGGTAAGTCAACCTCATCTTATTCGCGTATTGAGAAAATGCTGATATCGGGACACAGAATGCGGCTGCGAAGCAGACTTGAAAGAACTAGGTTACCACATTACTTACTTCGTACGTCCCTCTCCTCTTCTCTTCACTTCGTCCCTTTTCCGTCAACCGAACCCCTCTACCCTTCGCTAGCTTCCACCAGGTCTAACGTCGACCAGGACCTCGACACTCAAGACTACCTCAACGATTCGCCAACCCTGATAGTCAACTCCGAAACAATATTCGACAACGCTATCGCTAACAGTTCTTCAACCACAGACGATTTCCTGGTCATAGCCCACGACATCCATAATCAAACCAGTCAAGTATTAGTCGAGTACATGTTGAAGGGCCTGACAACTGCTGGCTACAAACCCGTGACTGTCGGGACGTGTTTGGGTGATTCAAAGGCGAATTGGTATAGGACTGATACCACTGCGACACTGGGTTGAGAAATCTCAGAAAGTGCGGGCGCGAGGGAATGAGGAAGCGAAGTTGGAGTTTTGGAGTTTGGTTTCACCGGAGTTGGATATTGAGAACTAAAAGCATTTCTCCTTTGAAATTCATCTCTTGTTGACAAATTGATATATCTTCTCACATCTTTTCTATATAGCTCAAGAGTTTTTTTTTTCGCTCTAATAGTGATATAATTTTAATACTAAAGTCTGGGATTTAAAGTCTTCATGGCATACACCTGAGGTTGTTCTAATCACCTTAAGCGATGACTTTTCAGATGCATTTTCATTCGTCTTATTCATTGACATAGCAAGCATCGGGAACCTCTGAGAGCGAAGCAATCTGCTAAATAAAACCACGAAACTTGACGCTCATTACTGCTCGCTCACACATCACGTACCGTGGTTTCCAGCCAAGCCCCGAAGTCTGCCCTTCCTTCAATTGCCTTCATTTCACCTTCATCGTCTGTCCCAAAGTCCGAAAAGCAAACCTCGCTTTTGCAATCTATAAGTAAATTCAACACTCAATCTCTATTCGCAACCCCACCACTCCAACCCCGCTACACACATTCACCCCCTCAAAATGTCCGGCGCCGACTCCCTGCAACTTCTTCATGTGGAATATTTTTGCCAGACAATGTCCTCCCACAGTGTCCGGTCAACATATCGACGACAAATGTCCATGGAAGACTAAGAATCAGGACAAAGACGAGGACTATTGTGTTTCTCTTTTTGTCAGTTGTTGATGGACTTTCAGCTGAGTGACTATACTTTTTGACTTACCAAAGTCGAGGTCGCGTGCCACCTCGGAGAAGATTCACTGTATGGAACAGACGTGGTGGGCCACTTGCACATTGATGAACATCAAGATAGCCAACATTGAGTAACTGGGTCTAGTGTAAAGTTCATCAAGTCACGAGAATGAGGTTCTTTACCATATGATGGAGTCTAGACATCTATATAGACTCTTAATCACAATGATCGATAGCTTCCTAGAAGTATGAGCTCTGCTACCAATAGAAGTAACTTTAATCAACACTCGTTCACCTCATCTGTTGCCCGTCTCCGTAAAATTGTAATTCAGCGGACAGGTTCAAAGGAAAATGTAGACTCCGCTGAAAACTTGCCTCGAGGCCTCAGCAAGAAACACATCTGGAGCCATGTTTTTCAGAACATTGAGGCTTACTCTGATGTGAGACTTGGCTTGACATGAACCCACCGAAAGGAGATGGTAGAAGTGGCCAGAATATTGATGGCCTTGAGAATAGACTCTGCGAACCCTGAGTTCATATAACGTGCAGCACAGTAGATTCACAATTCCACAAGCAAAAGATAAGATGATGTAAATGAACGACAACAAATGCTTTCTATGCCAGCCTGCCTTGCCCCGGCTAGCGACGAGGTAACTGCGCCATATGTCCATAGGGTTCCGAACGCCAGACATTTATGCATGACCCATCCGCCCTAAGAGATCCTTCAAGAAGCAAACATACGAACTCATAGCCAAGCACCACGATGACGAGCACGCTTCCCAGCAAAACTATATCTGGTTGTTTAATTCTCCGCCCTCCACTTCACCGTTCTCGAGAGCATCCATATCGACCTCTTCATCTTCTTCTTCCTCGTCCGAATCCCCAGCATCGACTTCCTCTTCATCATCCTTGAAGCCACTCTCAATCTCAAGTCGTCGTAGACGTCGTCGCATCTCATCTCGTTGTCCATGTTGCCATCGGATCAAGGTCGCTGGAGCATGAACCCGGAAGCCATAGATGCGGGGTACGTATCTATCATAACTCTTTTGGGGGATCAACGCGGGGTAGACCTGGAATATGATGTTATGAAAGGAAGTGCCGAAGTACGCGCCATCAATAGCAGAGTGACGGGAGGATTTAGGGTTGTAGATATCTTCACACTTGGCGCAGTAAAGCTTAACAGCCTTGACGTTTGGGTTGTCGGACTGGCCCATAGGTAGGAGTGGGTGTGATTTGCACATCACTCGAGGGCATTTTCCAAAGTCTGCTTTCTTGTACTTCTCCAACTGGATCATGTCAGCTTTCACTATGTGCGTGGCCTGCAGTGGTGACATACCATCTTTGCTAAGCCTCTCGTGGTGACAATATATCTGGCGTGTACGAGCCCATACAGGTGTCTTGCAGACTTCTCGATTGTCTCCCTCATCTCATCGTCGCAGTCCAGGTCAAACACATCGGTAACCAAGTCCAGCGCATATTGGTAGTATTGAACTTCAGTATTAAGGCCAGTAAGGTTGAATCGATCGGTCAGGTAGTCTTCATCGATTTCGCAGAAATATTCGTTGCCTCGAGAGGAGATGAACTAGAAAGCAATTGTCAGCAAATGCTTCCAGAGATCATGCGAACCAAAAGAAAAAGCAGTACGCTGTACACCCAGTCGTCGAAGAAACTGGATGGTCTCCTAGCCATCCTCTTGGATGGGTTGCGAGAAGGCATTGTGGGGGAGAAGTATTCCTTCGAAATCGAGTTGATACTGATCACAGCTGTAAATATTTCGCGAGAGATATAGTGCGCAGGTTTGCTTTGTCTGCATTCCCGGCTATCTCGAGCCGATATTTGTGTTGCGGAAGGCTACTTTGCGTCGCATATCAAGAGGGTTCGAAATCTTTGTGGCCTGCAGCGCCGATGCAATGCCAACAATTAAAGTCCTTATATTGTGCCAGACATTCGCCCGAAACACGGCGGCCGTGACTTCCGATCCTCTATCCCAATGTCCCTCCTCGTAGCATACATGGCGCATAGAATAAGAAGAAAAAGGTGGTACTTGCCCAGTCGCGCTGCATAAAGTGTCAGCTCAATGCCAGAACATCACAACACGGAGTTGAACTTACCCAATAGCTGGTATAATCCGAGTCGGTATCACTGTTGAAGTCGTCCATTTTCACGTCACCCTTTTGGCATGTGCTGCAGAAGCACGGCCAGACGTAGGCAACGTGGTGAATGTTGGCTACGAAGTGAGGTTTGAGGCTCAGCGCGAAGCGACGAACTTGTGGAGGGGCAGTGTTTCTTCTGGGTTTAGCCCCCGTGCACCCTTGTGCCTTTCGCTCCCAAAATGGCCAAGAATTTAAGCAGCAATTAAATGAGCACAGTGCATGACTACATAATTGGTCAGATACGCATATCGATGAAGATGATTACATGATGACCTACAAATGTCAATCTAGGGTACATAGAATGCCTGCTTAAGGCTGTCATATGGTCATATGTGCTATCGTGGTTGATGCTCATTCTCGGTGACCTGGATCAGAAGCTATTTTCTTCACTGGGAAAGTGCGGAGCAAGAAATCGTACTAAATAACCTAGACTTCATGAGAAAAATTTGTACGATCACTAGTCAGGCAAGACCCGGGATAGAAAGGTTGGATAAAGGATAGTCTTGTCTCTATCAGTCAACTTTTATTCAAGATGTCCCTTGATACGCTAAATCCCAATGCCCTGTAACGCCGCCTATGCTGCTTTACAATGCTATTGGCCTGTAATATCACTTTGTGGTGAGAAATAGTCCGCAGGGCTGCTTTCCTTGCTGTCCCCTTGACTCATAGGACTATGACCATCGCTGCTTTCACCATCAACGTCGCTGTTGCTGCTTCCATCTGTGGTGGAAGAATGCTTCGTCGGTCGAGGCACCTTCAGCCTCGTTCCTTCGAAGAGAAAGCTACTGTTCTCGCGTTCGTCCTTGGGGCTTCTTAAATTAACCATCTCCAAAGCCTCAATCAACGTCGCCCCGCTCTCATCCAGCGCTGTCAGGAATCGGGCAAGCTCCTTGCACAGCTCCCAGTCTTGTTCATCTTTGGCTCGGGAAAGCAAGCGGACTAGTTGCTCAGAGCTGGAGCTCAATTCTTCAAATGTGTGCAAGATCAGAAGATACCCTCCTGCCGTCTTCAAGGTGCCCCTTTGCAGAGACTCCTCGAAAAGTTCTTGAGGTGGTGGAAGGTATGCAAACAGGGTTCGCCAAGATCGCACTTCAGTTTTCCGCGTACACTGGACTACGATGTCAAGGTACTCGGCAAAAGATGATAGGAAGGACAGCACACGGGGCAGGAGAGCGTTCTCTGGAGAAGGAGGATTGTCTACTTCCTCATCAAGAACGGTGTGAAGGAGAATCTCCAGAGAATGCGCGAAATATTCTAGATTCTGGTACCTGTGTGCAAGATGCAAGGCAGCAGATGAATCGAACCTTGACAGGTGGAAGCGAAGCACCTGCGGTATGAACAGATTTGTCTGGAATATGTTAGCTTTGTGCTTCTAAAAATCGAGAGTAGCATACTCTTATTGTGAACCTGAAAAAGGCGAACTTTATGTCACGACGTTGGACAAGATCTGGCTCAACACCGAGAAGAATTCCTTTCCCGAGCAATGCGGACATTGGATAGAAATCTATAGGTATAGAGATCATGGGTGGCAGCTCGCGAGCTAATTCGGAGGGAGCAGATTGGAGGACGTCTTGGACCTCTGTCCACAGCTTCATCTCATTACCTTCGAAGATCCAAAGCGAATCCCGTAGGCCATTTCCTTCGTCTTGTACAGAAGGGCTGCCATTCGAGCTATCCGCTGATTCTGGTAACGGCAGGGGGCTAGCAAGTGGCAAGTCTCTCATCAAGATATAGTATTCGACGTTTGGTGCAATGACACGCATTTCGTATTTGAGCTTTTGTTCCTCATTCAATGAAGGCTGCAAGAGAACAAGCTTACCATCGACGAGAAAGAGTAAGGTAGCCACAGCCACATCATGAGAAGGATCTCCGTCTAGGATTTGGTCATCAGGCAGTATCCAGCTCAGGCCTCGGACACGAGCAGGTGATCTGACTATTCCATGAAATGTTATCTGACCCACTTTCTTGAGTTTCACACTACCAGATGCAGCTGTGAAGATATAGTGGTAGAGGAGATTGTCGTATGTGTAAACAAGTAAGGAGTCGTCTCCAGTCAAAGTGATAAGTACGACTGGAGCAGGTAAAGGTTCCACATGTAGCATCATGGAGCTATCAAGAGCTGTTTCTCTCGAGAAGAGTCGTAGTTCGAATGAGTCGCCTGCTTCAGTTGCGGCAATCAAGATATGCTGATGCCAACACATCCCACCTCGTACTTGAAATTCATTCTCCATGTTTTCGTTGACAAATGTCTTCCAACGGCCGCTGTTTACACTGTAGTGCGCAAGGCCACGGCGGCCAGCCACAGCAACATACCTGCCATCCGCTGCTATGACGGAGCAACGCATGGGCCACTGGTCTACTAGATAGCTTGATGGTATCTGAGCTGTGTGCCATAAAGATGCCTCTGCTGATATCGTGGTTAGATCAGGTAGGTCATAGCCTCGATAAACCATTATGTTCGAAGTCGTCTGGAGTAGGGTTCGCGAGATATTTGCAGACGAGTAACATCCTGTAATAGCACTTCGAGCCATCTCAATTGTCCAGATTCTATCATCCTCTTGGCCAATAACTAGAATTTCTGATCCTCCACCTAGCCATGTTGCCTCTCTTACGCCTTCCAGCCAGCCTTCTTCGTGCTCCTCGGAAATGCGTCGGTCTGCAACAAAGCTGTTCGCCCCAGGCTTCCCGAAAACGCTCCAGATAGCCCAACCATTCTCATATCCAGCAAACAGACAATATCCATCTGGCGAATAGGTCAGACACGTGAGTCGACCTGAAGATAATTGAGAGACAGAAGCCTTATGACTGTGAGATTGAGGTATATTTCCAACATAATCCCGTGCTGTATAGATCTGAATAGTGCCATCCGTGCACCCCACAGCGATTAATGAAAATCGTGCATTTATTGCCGCCTTTACAGCATTACCTCCAACAGTTTCGGGGTCGTGGAAGCAATAACCTCTAAAAAGTTTCTGTGGCCCATCCACTTCTTTTTGTTGTGACACCCTTTGAACAGCATACGCTTTGCCATCATTCGTAATCCATGTTGATAGGTTCATTGGCCGGTCGTGTATCATCTCCGTTACATTCGTTTTCTTCGGCATCCAGTCCATACGGCTGAAGAGTTCAGTGCTAGTCTGGTTTCCAGTGCTGTCTGGGGTCCATCTGATACACTGGACAGCTGCCGGTTTCTGAGTTGCAACCACCAGCTCATCGTCCAAAGCCAAAGCTCTTCCAATGCCCGCATCAACCTTGATGACCATTCGAAACCGTACACTAACTTCACGCACTCCTCCGCCTTCTCCAGGACCCCAGAGGATCCTATCACCGCCCTGATTTCTAGCCCCACTGAAATTGCTCTGCCGGCGTGTCTGGCCACTTGTATGAGTTGCGAAATGGGGTCGGTACACTCGAGCATCTGGATCCGTTGCCAAAGTATAAGTAATCAGGTATCCTGAGGTTGTTTGAACTACAAAGATGGCGGAGTCAGGACGGACGAGGAGCGAAACGTTTGGTCCGTATGTGCTTAAAGATTTCTTCGATCTCACAACGACAGCTAATATAGCTGTTGGCTATCAAGAAACATTGTTAGCAAAGTATTGGACCAGCCAGCTTGTACATACCTTTGTTTGCCATATTGTTAAGGATGTGGAGGTAATGACTGCAAATAGATGACCAGTTCGAGAGATTTTGAGAGATAGCAGAGGCTCGTTGTCTGCAGAAGCAGATAAGGTTGTATCATGGCCATTGAACCGCACCGGGAACCGTCGTTGGTTGTCATGCTCGACAGGTTTGATTCCCGGGGTCATGGGCGTCATAGGCGTCACCGGAGTAGAAATACCGGATAGTCCTTCATTCTCTCCTTCCCCTCCAATGCTGGGAGCCTCCAACAAGGATCCACTTCCCTCTGTCGTCTCGCGGGATTCTGCATCATCGTCTAACTCGAAAGTACGATCTCTCGGAGCCTTGCTTGTACTTGCTGCATATATGCGGGGGGCTCCAATGGGCCAGTACATAGCTTCTTAGTAGCAGCAGCTAGTTCATTCGTGTGGTGGCATGCCAAATAGACTGGCATGAGTGAAGGAGCGCAAGCAGATGAATTCTATATTCACGGTCATCGATAGCTTCCATTTGGTATAGTTTCGGCGATATATTTCCCCGGAAGCCGAAACGGCAGGGGTCTTCATAAAGACAAGGATTCGCGAAATGTGGAGGTCCAGGTTGACGTTGACCACGGATTTATACGCATCGAATCTATTGTACGTTTTACTTTCAGGGCGGCAATCAATAAACTCTTCTGTGCGCGTCTCGACCTTACACTTCTCACAATAACACCAATTTACCTCTGAAAAGCGATCTTTCACGGAATCAAAGCTCTCAGACCTTATTTCGGGTTCCAGAGTCTCTTCCATGGCTCCCGCTCCCCTGCGTCCACGCCAGAGTGTGGCAAAGGAACGATTTTCAGCCCTATTCGGCGCTCAGAAAACCGTCTCTTACCATGATCCACAAGCTTCGAGAGGCACTGGTAATCACGGGTAAGTTATGAACACACTTATGATGCATTGCACCTTTGTGGTAGCAGCGCTTTTGTCTGTTGCTCTTTTCCCTTCCTTTTAAACTTGATATGGTTTCGCGCCTCTCAATGTTTCTTAGGCCACGACATGCTTCGCACCTCGTTGTTTCTGTCGCTTTTGCTCAATTCATGCATCGAATCAGCCCTTTTAGCTTGAAAACGTGTAAACATACTGACTGAAATTCTACAGTTTGCGGTGTATTGCTTGGAACCCTCTTGGCACTTTGATAGCCACTGGCTCACCAGACCGGATACTTCGAGTGTAAGTGCTCTAGGCTATGTTGTAGTCGTTGCTGACATCTGAAGATGGAACCCAGAAAGACAGAACGTCAAATACTCAACAGAACTCAAAGGTCACGGTGCTGCAATTGAGCAAGTGGCATTCAATCCAGTAAAGGATGCTGAGTTATGTAGCGTCAGTAGTGATGGTGTAGTCAAGTTCTGGGATGTGCGAACCAAGGCAGTCATCAATGAGATTAAAGGACTTCGTGAAGCTTTCACTCTTGCGTGGCACCCCGATGGCGAAACTCTCCTAGTAGGCAATAAGGTATAGCTGATTCCCCATGATCATCCCAAGTAGAAAGCTAACGCAGCTAGGATGATAATATCTTTGTTCTTTCGCCAACTCAGTCGCAACCAATCACTTCCCACCAACAACCCGTACAAACTAACAAGTTGACTTTCGATCATAGCGGCGATAGAGTCTTCCTCACGACAGGCGATGGTCGTGTCAAGATACTCTCTTTTCCTGATTTCGAGCCTATCTACTACTTGAGTCATGAACATACAACACCTTTCACTCTGAATGGCCATACATCCTCCTGTCTCTCCATTGACCTTCAGCCCACAGCTCGCTTTCTCGCAACAGGAGGCTCGGATTCGATCATTGCTCTATGGGATACGACTGACTGGATCTGTCAGAGGACGCTGATTGATATGATTGGACCAGTCAGGAGCATCAGTTTCAGCTTTGATGGAAGTTATATCGTTGGCGGATCAGACGAAGGTCCCGGACTGGAGATTGCCCATGCAGAGACTGGAGAGTATGTACACAGCGTCAAGACTGCCGGCCCTTGCCCAGTTGTAGCTTGGCATCCAAATAAGTACTGTCTTGCTTACACAGATCTCGGAAGCCTAAAGATTATTGGAGTGGATCCTGAGAGGAAATAGCCAAATGTACATTATCATGAGATACCCGGTGGATTGATTTGTTGGCGCATAGGCTTGGGAGCGGGAGCAGTCGCTGACGAAAAGTTTGGGAGATCTTGGGACCCCTTAAGATGAGTGAATGAATAGATGTCTAAATATCAGTCTTTTGGACAATACGGCATGGACAATGGGTGGATGCATGACCATCTGATAAGTCTCTCTGAGATATCAGATCAGCTCTATCTACTCTGGGAAAGTCGACGGCCCAAAGAAGGTAGGCGGAAAATCAGTTCCCAATGCTTCACCATGCTGTTCTCAATCCTCTTCTCAAACCCTTTCCCAATCCTTTCATTTTCTTCCTCTGTATATGTATATAACCCTGTACACCTAGGTAGTCAAGGATGATCTTTCACGGTCTTTAGTCCAGCGACCGTGGCGAGTGTAGGATGGAGCGAAAAGGGCCTGGTGTCGTATTGGCCACGTCGTTCAGATAGGCTCATGCCGCATTCGCATTTGACTTTCCTAGATCTTCTGGAAACAATCCCACTGCAAGGACAGCCATGCCTCGTGGGAAACGTCACTGCGACTAGGAGTAGTAATCGAATGCGAGCAGGGAATAATCGGCCTGATATTCGTCCGACTCGAATGTCCGCAACTGTCCGCGTTCCATGCTCTCACCGCTTCTCTGCTTGATTGGCAAATGGTCAAGACCCCTCCACGAGGCTGAACCGGCCGAGGTGACAAACAGCCCAAATTGCAAGCCGGGTCCGTGTTGCCCAAGATGCGAGGATGCACGGCTTACGGAATCAACGCTTCGAAAGCGCTGGTGCCTTGTGTCCCTCATTCAACCGTTCGTCTCCATTTGAGGGCGGATGCATCAGCCCGCTGTCTGAATCACTCAACCCGCATGGCTTTTCAGTCCCTGGGAGCCAAACACTGCCACAATCATCAGACCCTCTTTTGGTCAAAGACAATAGCTCCTTTTTGCGCGTCGACTCCTCCCATTCTCATAACTGAGGCAAATCCTCTACCCCAGAACTCCTTTGCCACAGGGTCCGCTCAGTACTAAGGAGTGCTCAGGCTCAGTTCAGGCTCTGAAAAGAACTGAGATCATTCGAGCATTCATCGGTATTCAACATTAGCGAACCCCGACCGTTTATCTACAACGACTTTCTGCAGGGCGCCCATCCACCACCATTCAAATTTCACACACTCAACGAGATCTTGTGCTGCAAAGTATGTAATCGGGGCGTCCAAAAACGTGGACAAGACGAAGTGAAGATTTCTCACCCGTCTGGCTGCCCGAGAAACTACAGTCCGGAGCCACTTAAATTGCGGCACAGCTTCGCTTGCTTGAACAGCAATACTTCTGGAACGTGAGAGCATATCTCTACTCAACCAAACACACAATCGATCGAAGGAGAGTAGATATACAAGCTGGAGAATTCAGACTTCTAGTCTGCTAGAAGACTCGGGAACATGTCCTCAGGCTCGAACAGTCCACCAGATGGTTACTTCAACGATCTTTCGAGGCCGACAGAAGCCAATGGACGTAACAAGAGAGCACGGAGTCCAGCCGGTGAAGCGAACGGTGCAGCGGATCCAGCAAGTGGAGGAGACTCGAATGTGCCAAAACCGAAGAGAATAGCATGTATCATTTGTAGGAAGAGGAAGCTCAAATGCGACGGAACCAAGCCGAGCTGCTCAACATGCACGCGCTTAGGACATAGTTGTGCTTACGATGAGGTGCGAAGGAAATCTGGCCCGAAGAGAGGATATGTAAAGGCATTAGAGGAGAGATTGAGTATGTTATTCATCGATTGCAGGCCTCTTGCGCCGCTCGTTCATGTCTACCTGGTGCTAATTTATGTGTCGTGAATAGAGCAGGTCGAAACGCTTCTCAAAACTCAAGATCCTGCGGTGGTGACACCAGAACTACCACAAACAAGTTTTGGCAATGGACAACGAAATGCCAGTGGTGTTGGCCTCAATTCAGTACCGGCTGGAGACTTCAATATTTCAAACACTGCGTTAAACATTGGAAATGGGGTTGATACGGATCGGTGGGGTTTCAATGGAGAATCACCCTCTGCTCCAATTGACAACATGGCATTTACAGCAGATCTGAATATGGGTATGGGAATCGATGACAACACATTTACCTGGGAAATGATTGGACTTGGGTTGGAGGAACCGCTTCCTCCTCAAGACACCATCGATGAATTGTATGTTTTCAATGGAATCCTGAAGGAACACCTGCTTATATTCTATGTTCAGACATCAGATATACTTCGACAAGATCCATCCTTCACTACCTATGATCCACAAGTATCGATACTTGGCGGCCATGAATTTGTATGTAAACCTGTTCATAGTCATATGCGATCCCCTTGTTTCGTCAAGCTGCTTTTCTGGAATTACCGTGCTATTTTATCGTCATATGCTAGCTTCATAACCAGAACTACGTTCTCCAAACGCTTTGTGATATTCCTGTTGGCTGTATCTTTGCTATAATAGTCCTCTGTTATGAAATATGAACTAAAAGTTGTTCAGAGCACCAGGACAACGTCCTCCTGTGGCATTACGGTACGCTATGTGGACGTTAGCTGCATCAGTTGTCGAAAAATTCATGGACCTCCGAGATCATTTCTACCAAAGAGCTCGAAAGTACATGGAGGCCGACTATTTGAAAGGCCATGGGGAGCATATGATCTCTATCGCTCATGCGCAGACGCATTCTCTCCTGGCATCTTATGAATTCAAGATGATGTACTTCCCACGAGCATGGATGAGTACAGGCTCAGCTATTCGATTGTGTCAAATGTAAGTCTCAAAGGAGCCTCCTGATTTGATCTCTCGATGGGACTGACTTTCGAAAGGATGGGCCTGCATAGGTTAGACGGCGCGGGGTTAGATGTCAAGATGTGTCTTCCGGCACCCCGAGACTGGACTGAGCGAGAAGAGAGAAGGCGAACGTTCTGGATGGCTTTCTGCGAGGACCGATATGCAAGTATTGGAACGGGTTGGCCCATGACTATCGACGAGAAGGACATTCTTACCGACATGCCAGCTTCAGACGAAGCTTTCGAAATGAGCAAGCCGGAACGCACCTTATCACTCGCTGAATCGATGAGTCCTACTGGAGCTTCCAAGCTTTCGCCCTTTGGAGGAGTAGTTTTAATGGCGTGCCTTTTCGGACGAAACCTGATTCATTTGCATCGTCCAGATGCTGACGAGAAAGACCATGATCTGAATGGCGAATTCTGGAAACGCCATAGAAATATGGACAACATTCTTCTCAACACATCATTATCTATGCCATCTCATCTCAAACTGCCCAACGGGCTAGCGAGTCCCAATATCATTTTCACGAATATGAATATCCATACCTCAACCATCTGTCTCCACCAAGCTGCCATTTACAAGGCCGATAAGAACAAGCTTCCTGCTTCTATTAGCGCTGAAAGCAAAATTCGTTGCATCACGGCAGCGAACGAGATTGCAAGCATTATGCGAATGATTTCTCATATGGACTTGTCATCTGTAAGTTTTCTTATCATACATAGTTTTTGTGCAGGCTCTAATTATTTACAGATGAACCCCTTCATCTCATTTTGTCTATACGTAGCTGCCCGCGTCTTCGTGCAGTATTTGAAGAGTCGCCCCGACGACAGCCAGACGGGAGATTCCCTTCGATTTCTCCTCTCTGCCATGAATGCGCTAAAGAAGAAGAATCCTTTGACCGAATCATTCTTAGTCCAACTTGATGTGGATCTTGAAGGTCTCGGTATGCGAAACGCAAAGTACAAGTCAGTGTTTGCATACAGTGAAGACAATGTAAGCTACTATCCATCTATACCATTCTTGAAGCTCTGATTGACGGCATACAGCTTGGGATTTCCAGTGCAAAGGCACCTCGAATCGTGAATCATGGCTTTCAAACCGGTCTGCCCAAACAAACCAACGAGTGTTTATTTATGAGGTCGGTTGAGGATGATGGGACAGCTATGGATGATAGGGCTCCTGCTACTAGCAATCAAGAAGGCGACCCAACATCGGCGTCATCATCTGTTCCGCGCAACGACAGCTTCGGTGAACACCCAAATTGGATGCCCATCGATCAAAGTGGGAAACACGGGGATCACGTACAGCGAACACTTCAAGGTCTTGCCCTAGGTGATATCCCACAACCAAATTATCCTACCAGAGACGTCAACGGAAGTGGTTACGGTCCTAGCGACAACAGCACGGGGGCAGATTCGGGTTTATCTCCTGACACTACGCAGTCGAGCTCGAATCGTCCGACTCCAAACGCTTCTACGCCTTCGGACACACGCTCGAATCTTCAGAATGGACAGGCTGGCTCCGGTGCAACATCTTTCTCGACTAGCCCAGCCTCTCAGCAAAGTCGTGTTCCAACTACAGATGGGAGAGCAATGTCTTCATTCTTCTCTGGAGCGCCGGATTATACCGGTATCGTCCCGAGTACGGGCATGACGCCAGGCAACGAATTTTCTATGCCGGAAACACCTGGAAGAGGTTTTGATGTTCCAAGTGGCTGGGAAATGAGCAACCAAACAAACACGGGCTTGACTCCCGTAGGCGAGGGGGTGTTCAGACAGCTAATGGGATTGGGTCCCATGGATCCAATGTAATTTATTCGCATCCTCGTTGCAGATCTGCTTGCTAATAATAACTAGGGATATTGGCTGGGAAGCCGGTTCTTAAAACATACTCTCAACTCAATATCTCTTATTTCATCAACATGGGCTTGATGTCACGAACTCAGCAAGGTGATGGGAACAGGCGTTTGGCACGAATCTCCTTCCCGAATATAAGTTCACATTTAAGGTTTTGGTACTCTGCTGGTGGGCATGAAAGGGATGAACCTTCTTCTCTAGGCATTAATACATGCATACAGGTACAGTACATGGCTTTGGTGTTTGTATGTGTATGATACCATTCGTTTCTGTCTCGATTGGAAGGATTGGAGACTGGCGTTACTCGTGATGATTGGAAATGGGTTGTACAACAACAATGGATTGGGCATGAACTCAACTATTCCTTGGGCAGGCTTTGGACGGGACTGTCCCACTCTAGGTAGAAACACCAATATCGAATGAAACACCCTTGAACATCAAAAGCTGGAGACTCGTGATACGTTGCTATTTCTAGAAGCACGTCCCCTGGTTGTGGTTGCTGTGCTTCCATGCACATGCAAATGTGCGGGAGCAAACAGTTTCTGGGGACTCCCAAGATTTCGTTCCCAGGTCTCGATTCCCATCGATGCATGCATGCAGCCCTCACATGATGATATCCTTGCCTTTCCACGTTGCGAATCATCTTCCTATTTCCGCCCGAAGACTTGCATCAAGACGGTTGGGAAGGTAGCAACTCGACGCGAAGCCCTCATATGCAGAGAAGACGTTGGGATATCGAAGCCACTGATGATAGTATGAGTGTGAACAGATAACTATGTCATGGTAGTAATAGGAGCTAGCAACTGATTGTGGCTTTGATTTAGGTTGCAAGGACTGAGGTTACAGTTACGTGCTCCCGTTGTGGTGGCTATGACACTTGAGGGGAAAAGGAAGGTTTAAATCTGGAGGTTATTGGTGGGAGTTCGAGAAGATGATGACCCGACTTGGCTTCGTAGAAAGGCCTATCACGGTGCTTCCGATACAAGACTGTAGAAATAGGGGCAGATTGCCTATTGCAGATCCCTTTACCGACCTAGTTGGCTTCAAGGCTAATATACTAGAAGAAAAAGAAATTGAGATGAAAATGGGTGAATCTTCAAGGAATTTGCAAAGTCAAAAGGGGGGGTGTTTAGCGGGGATAAGCGAGAGCAGTGAATACCTTTCGAGTTTGCGCTGCGATCGCATTGGAAATTCGGTAGAAGAACAATTTCTGGGAGGGAACATTGCACATATTTGTACATTATCCACAATATTCTAGTATATGCCTTATCTTTTTTGTTTTGTACATGTAGCTTCGGGTGATGTAGATCACCTCTAGCTGTTTCCTGCATGCGCTCCTTTGTCTACTTGACTCTGCGCTTTCCGTGATTCCTCTCTCGCGCTGTTACAACCCACTTATTGGGCTTCCTGACCTTGCGAGTCTTATAACCTCCTTTGGCCTACTTCTGTGTAAGCTTTGCGCGCAAACAATATGAGTGTGAGCAAACTTACCGGCATACCCCACGGGCTGACAGGGTTAACGTTACCCTTGGACTTTCCTCTTCCACCACCGTGCGGATGATCAGCTGTGTTGTTGTCAGTCTCTGAAGCTGATCCTAACCTGATGTAGGGGCTTCTTACCAGCATTCATTGCAAGACCTCGAACTGTGGGGCGAATATTCAACCATCGACTACGTCCCGCCTTACCCAGTTGTCGATGCTGGTAGTGAGGGTTGCTAGCCACTCCGATGGTAGCACATGCATCTTTGCTCACTTTCCGAATCTCGCCGCTCTGAAGCCGTACATTGACATACTTGTTCCCACCCTGAGTCGTCTCGTCGTCCTTCGATACAACAGTGGCATATGTACCTGCGCTTCTACAGAAGACAGCTCCCTTTCCCTTCGTGGAACCAACATTGTAAATGATGGTTCCAATAGGAATCATGTGAAGCGGCAGACAATTCCCACGCCAAGCAGTCTTTGCTGCTAACACACCCGGATCGACCACTCCACCCATACTTTCCAGCAGATCTCGGGGTATGCCAGCTCGATAGCTCTGAACGACATCTCCTGCTCGCATGCCCTCTGCGGCCACTATATAGCTTTTTCTCCCTGTAGCTTCTTCGTTGAGCAATGCAATGTGTGCGCTTCGTCCTGGGTCATGCTCAATTCGCTCAACGGTGTGCTTTCCAGGTGCCATACGCAGGAAATCTACAGTCCTTATTCTCCTCTTGTGTCCACCTCCTCGATGTCTTATCGTGACTCGACCGCTATTGTTTCTTCCTCCCTTTCCATGACCCTTCTTTGCGAATGTCAAGGGAAGAAATGGTCTTCCTTTCCAAAGATGGTCATTGATCGGTCGTTTGAGATGTCGTACACCGGGAGTTCGTGGCTTGTATGTTCGCATCATAAAGGTGGCATTTCCCTCATCCAATGTTGCAGGCGGTGCGAAGCCAGATGTTGCTGCTGCTCCTGTTGGAGGTGCTGCCCGGACAGGCTCGACGATTGTTGCATAGTGACGAGGAAGAGAGCTTCTCTTCGAGACAAACTTGCAAGAAGCTGTCCGGGACTGCCTCAGCAGTAACCTTGGTTGTAGCATCTCTCCCAGCCTCAATTGGCCAATCTGCCGGAGCGTGATGAGTCGGTGGCAGGAGATGGAATTTTGTGGTGCTCCTCGAATTCGATATCTGATGTCTTTGGAAATTCTGGTTCTAGGCCCAAATTAGTTTGGGTTTCTAGCCACACTCCTGTTCGGACGCACGGACCAAGCAAATTGTATTGTCCTCAGCTTTTGAAGTACATTATTGGCAAGATTTTGTATTGAAAATACCTAGAAAGCCGGTACATTTGACCTTCAGATTTCGTTCTCTCTCCTCGTCCAGTTTATCAATCAAAATAATTGTTGTTGAATAGTAATTCTTTTGCCAAGTAAAATAAGTGTTGTCGGTTGGGACATTCGCGTTCAGCCACTTCAAGTCTGTTGCTCTGCAGTTGCTAGTCAACAACAGCTCAAGCAACTGCAAGCAAGGGATCACCACTTTTCAACATTTTCCCCTCGGACGAAAGAACAAAAAACATTCAGTGATCCCAAGAATTGTTTTTGTCTAAATACTTCTTCATTACAGACCCTCTTGCTCTTACCTTCTATTCACGAAATAAATCTCCCTTGCTTGGAAGCTCACGCGAATATTTTGCGTCTGGCAGGGATCATAGCAGTCGCGCTAGACTCGCACCCACCTCGACCCACACAACATCTTGGTCTTCCTCACGCTTTTGTACCTCTTCTTCAAACCACAACACTACTTCTACAAACCCTCAACACCAAACACGATCCTACCCTCGCCATCGTCCAGCATCTCATGTCCTTCGTGACACCTTGAGTACTCGTGCACGTCTTCATCGAGTCACAGACACCACTGTCAACATTGTTGATACTGGTGCAAGACACCCTCGAGACAACATCAATTGTACCCTCGAGGCTTTCATTGTCTTCATTTACTTCATGTATGTATTCATACACTTCTACTGTGCTATATCTGGTCCAGTCGCGTCCATGATGAGCTTGCATCACATTCTATACGCGGTCTTGCACCACCTCCATACCGCGTCTTACTAACTCCAATACAGCCTCCGAACTTCTACCTCATACACCAGCATAATCCTTAATACCACACAAACGAACCATGCCTCCTGTGAGTATATTCACTACACATCTATACACGATGTCTCGTCGCGTCTGAAAGACAGTTTTTCACGTATACAAGTACTAATCACAGTGAACTATAGAACCGTGCCGGCAGCCGTAGAGCTGTCACGAATGAGAACGATGAGAATAGTGCCGTGGGAACAACACGTCTGACTAGGTCGAAGTCAGCCGCGTTCAGTGAAGATTCTGCAGTCGGTGCCAAGAAGCCACTTCAATCCAAGAAGGTCGCCGTCAACACCCAACAAGTCCGAAAGCGTTCTGCCTTAGGAGATGTGAGCAATGTCACGAAGGGTGAGATAGTCGAAGGAAAGAAGAACTTGGGCAAGGCTGGATTGGCGTCGAAGGCCGCACAACCAACCGGTGTTCAGAAGAACCAGAACCTGTCGCGTACAAACTCCTCAAGATCTGCACTCAGTACCAAGGATACGAACAAGAAGGCAGAAGTGAAGCGTACCGGCTCCGGTGTCTTGGCCGGGAAGCGAAAGACAAGCTCAACCTCAAGTACGATGATCAAAGAGGAGACTCCGGCCGAAGATGAACAACCGTCAAGAAAGAAGATCCACATTGAGCAACAGAGAGTTACCGTCGAGGAGACCCAAGAGTACATGGTAGAGCCAGAAGTCGCCGAGAAGAAGTCAATCAAGCAAGCTTTCGCTGATGGTGTTGAGGATTTGGACAGAGAGGACATGGACGATCCCTTGATGGTGGCTGAATACGTCGTGGATATCTTCAATTATTTGAAGGAGCTAGAGATTGCTACGCGACCCAACGCTGATTACATGGAACATCAAGAGGACTTGGAGTGGAAGATGCGTGGTATTCTTGTCGACTGGCTGATCGAGGTTCACACCCGTTTCCACCTTCTCCCTGAGACACTCTTCCTTGCCGTCAATATTATCGACCGCTTCCTCTCCACCAAAGTCGTTCAACTTGACCGTCTCCAACTCGTTGGTGTCACCGCCATGTTCATCGCCTCCAAGTACGAAGAGGTTCTCTCTCCTCACGTCGCCAACTTCCGTCACGTTGCTGATGATGGCTTCACCGAGGCTGAGATTCTCAGTGCCGAGCGATATGTCCTCACTGCTCTCAACTACGACCTCAGCTATCCCAACCCTATGAACTTCCTCCGCCGTATCTCGAAGGCCGATAACTATGACATTCAAACACGTACCCTTGGCAAGTACCTGATGGAGATCAGCTTGCTTGACCACCGATTTATGGACTACTTGCCGAGTCATATTGCCGCCGCTGCCATGTACCTTGCTCGTAAGATTCTTGAGCGAGGAGAGTGGGTACGTTTGAGTTCATTGTATGACTGCCACTTTTACTGACAAGACATAATAGGATGTCACCCTGAGTCACTATGCTGGCTATGATGAGGAAGAGATTGAACCTGTATTCAGACTTATGGTCGATTACCTTGCTCGTCCTGTCACTCACGAAGCCTTCTTCAAGAAGTATGCAAGCAAGAAGTTCCTCAAGGGTACGTAATCACCTCATGAAACTTTGACAATGATCTGACGTTCAAAGCATCCATTCTCACCAGACAGTGGGCCAAGAAGAACGCCGCTGACCTCGACATCGATGTGTCTGTTCCACTTGACGCTGCTCGATAGAGATCCTACTCTTACGAATTATCCATACATGAATGGCTTCACCTTGCTCTCGCTGGATACCCTGAATGCATTATTGGATGGGATGGGATACGAACCGACATTATGATAGATGGATGACTGTTTGGAGACTGCGATTCATCTATGTTTGCCTCGCCGAATCATTTCGATCTCGTGCTTGAGGGATGCTATGGAAAAATATCGCGGTCTCAGTTTCTGTTTGAGTCTGCTGCGGGTGCTGCATTATTTTTTTTATTTTCACTCTTCATCGGTCTGGCGTCTCTGTGCTTCTTCGGGTAGTCTGGCGTCTGGCTTGCATCTTTGTTTTACGCTCCCAGACCGTCAGAACTGCCTACTGAGAAACACTTGCAGCGTGCCTTCACCTGCAATTTGATGCGGTTGGCCACAAGGAGAGCATTGTTTATGGTACTAGCACCATTGTACATATATTTGCAGACCACAAAATGGGAACGACTTCATAAAAATCTTGTGATTCGAGTGATTGGTTTGGAACATAACAATAGCCAAGTATGTTGAGCCAAAAGACTAAGAGCCTAACTTCGTGATATTGTTCGTCTGAATGACTTGATGGATCATAAGATTCTTCTAGAAAGAACCATGCGTAGAACATAAATCCTCAAAAACTAGAAATCAGCTTCTTAACTTGATGCACATGATAGTGGTTCGAGGTGAAAGTCACGATCCACTCCATTGTGAGACATCCTTGCCGATATGAAGCTAGTCTTTAGCGACTTCCTCGATAAGAGCTTCATCAACACAGTATTCAGTTCCTAGTCAAACTCACAGCCAGCAAGCTTGCTCCGGAAACTTCTGCCATTGGAGGAGCTGAGCAAGTCACCTACGATGTCTCTCGATCCACCTCCATATCTTTCGTCGCTCCAGAACAACATCCGCAGCCGACCTATTCCCTGGGATGGAGCTGTGCGAGCTGGTACGATCAGCGATGATCAATTGAGCAAGATTCGCGCCGTGGATAAGGTCAGGAAGGAGCAGAGGAAACAAGTAGTGGAAGGTAATTTGGATGGGTACCGGGCATTGTTCGTGGGTGCTCAAGGAAAGCTAAGTGTCTTGGAATCGGCTGCGAGACGTGCAGACGTGGTTCAGTACATCTTGGTTCTGCTGAAGGATTTGCTGGATGGTTTGTCTGGCTGTCCTATTTTCTCAGAGGTTACTAAGCTACTATCTAGGCATTGCAACACTTGCGAAAGCTCTTTCTGAACATCCCGACCCTTATAGCTCCTTCATGCCTCTTCTCACGCAGTCCAACGACCCTGAAAGCCCAATACCTCTCCTTACGTCGACGGTTCTTGCAAGCATGATTGCTGGCGCTCCAATCTTGACGGGCAAAGAATCGAAGGCACTACCTGGTCTCTTCTCATACTTGTCGACCTTGACCAAACAAACCGATGGAGGCCTTCAGGACATCGCAGTGCTTCAATATTCTGCGTTATTGAGGGGAAAGCAGTCAAGGCAACTGTTCTGGGATCAAAGAACAGAGACTGTTGGCCCATTGATGGATATATTACGAGCTGCAGCAGGCGTACAAAGTGGTGACTCGAGCTCGACCTTGTGGAACGGTACTGCCAGCGTACGAAGTGGACCTGAAGGTAGCCTTGGAGGTGGGGTTGGTCTACAATTACTGTATCACGTTTTGTTGGTCCTTTGGCAGCTCAGCTTTGAGGGAGCTACAGTTGGAGAGGGGCTTGAAGAGTAGGTTTAATGACCTAAACGCTAACAAATGGAGGCTAATCTGTGACAGCGAGTACGATATCATACCTCTCTACGCACAGCTTCTCAAGTTGTCGCCAAAGGAGAAGACAACGAGACTCCTCATATCTACATTGTACAATCTTCTCTCAACGAACAGAGATAGTCTACTGCCCACTGCTGTTCTTGCCCGTATTCCATCACTGCTTCAGAACATAACAGGCCGCCACCTTTCAGATCCAGACCTCCTCGAGGACCTCCAAAACCTGACGGACATGCTAGATGAATATACCAAGACGCAGACTACATTCGACGAATATGCTGCTGAAGTAAACTCGGGACATCTGCGATGGTCTCCACCCCACCGCAACCCCACCTTCTGGGCCGAGAATGCTCGCAGAATTCTCGAGCATGAGAAGGGCGAATTGCCTAAAAAGCTTGCAGAGATCATGAGCAAGCCCTGGGACCAGGACAAGCAAGTTCTTGCTATTGCATGCAATGATGTAGGATGTCTCGTCAAGGAAGTACCCGAAAAGAGGTATCAATTGGAAAAGCTGGGTCTGAAGACAAGAGTTATGGAATTGATGCAGGAGCCAAATGAGGCAGTCAGATGGGAAAGCTTGAATGCTTTGTCAGGCTGGTTGAGGTATAGCTTTGAAACGAAGTGAGGGATGCCATGATGAGGGACGGATGGATGATAGAGATTCTGGAGCTGTATTATCATTTCACAGCAGGGGCTCGGTTTAGCTTGCTATGGGGCTTTCGTCTACATACCTTTTTTGACGAGCATTGGCATCCAATGCTATGATGTTAGAGTAGAAAGTGGAATCCTAATTTTCAAACTCGCCCTTCTTCATGTCTTCTCTAAAATGCAGTGAGGGCCAAAAGCGGAAACTACCTTGGTAAACCCCCACTTCCGACGATAACCGAAGAGCTTCACTATCAACTTTTTAATCCTCATACTACCTCTTTTACACTACAGAACCAATTGACTCAAAATGAAGCGACTTAGAGCTGCAGCGAGTGTAAGGGACGCACTCACAGTGCGCAGCTCCATTCCACGATCCGCACGCGCCCTCTCGACAACTGTTCAACGCCCGGCTGCTTCATCCTACTTCCCCTCCTACGCCGATATCCCAGCTTCACGACAATTGCGAGTTGCTCCACGACTCAGTGCCTCAATCCGCCATGCCTCATCATCCTCTGCTGGTTCAGACCTTCGCAAAACTCCTCTGTATGACCTTCATGTTGCTCACGGTGGGAAGATGGTCCCGTTCGGCGGTTTTCATATGCCAGTCCAATACTCTTCCCTCTCTGTCGGCGATTCGCACCACTTCACTCGCAGCCATGCTTCGCTCTTTGATGTCAGTCATATGGTTCAGCACAGATTCTCTGGCCCGGGTGTGAATGCTTTCTTAGAAAAAATTACACCTGCGGGCATTTCAGGGTTGGGGATACACCAGAGTGGGTTGAGTACATTGCTCTTGCCTGTTACCGGAGGGATTGTAGATGATACGATTCTCACAAGACTTGGGCCTGAATTGTTCTACGTGGTCACGAATGCAGGATGTAGGGAGAAGGATTTGAAATACTTCGAGGCGCAATTGGAGGAGTTTAAGAATGGGGGCGGAGCAAATGTGGAGTGGGAAGTGCTCGAGGATTGGGGGTTGGTTGCCTTGCAGGGACCGTTGAGCGAGGAGGTCCTCTCCCATATCCTGGTAGAGCCCGAAGAGGTGAAGATCAAAGAGCTATTCTTTGGACAGTCGAAATTCGTCAAGGTTAAGCTCCTAGGAGGAGAGACCTCGAGCCCCCTGCTGGTTAGTCGTGGAGGTTATACCGGAGAAGATGGCTTTGAGATGTCGATTCCACCAGCGGAGACTGTGGCTGTGACGGAAGCCTTGTTGCAAACTGCAACGCCAGCAAAGTTGCAGCTTGCAGGACTAGGAGCCAGAGACAGCTTGAGACTAGAGGCTGGCATGTGTCTTTATGGTCATGATCTGGATGAATCCATCACACCGGGTGAAGGTGCTCTTTCCTGGGTCATCGGCAAGGACAGAAGGACAGGCGGAGGATTTCATGGCTCAGACATCATCTTAAGTCAATTGACACCAAAGAGCAAAGGTGGAAGCGGACTCGATAGACGCCGAATTGGCTTAGTGGTGGAGGGAGCACCAGCACGAGAAGGTGCTGATATTATAGATGAGAAAGGAGAGAAGATCGGTAACATCACAAGTGGATGTCCAAGCCCAACTCTAGGGAAGAATATTGCTATGGGATACATCAAGGATGGATACCACAAATCTGGAACGAACGTGGAGGTTGTTGTTCGAGGCAAGAAACGCAAAGCTCAAGTTTCGAAAATGCCTTTCGTTCCAAGCAAATATTGGAAGGGAGCTGCTCCTGCTTAACCGGGCTGCACGAAAGATACCCTTTATTAAAGTAATAAGAGTTGTGCTTTTTGTTAGTTTTGTGATATCGATGTTCGGAAATGTAATTGGGGATTGAAAAAGTTCAACATTCGGGAGGCAAAGTTCTATTTGCGTGGAGGAGATTTGTTTAACACATGCTTCAATGTGGAGAAGAGGATTTAGAGGAGGTAATTGTCCGAAATATTCCACAAGTCGAGACACTCCAAAATTAGTCTGAGTTACAAGAACTCACTAGACGATTTGTCTCAACGATAAGCCGGGAAATCAAAAGTTTAGGTTAGCTGGGATAGACTTGAACATTATCCGCATTCTCTTCTTGCTTTGACCACAAACATCCTCATTGAAAGCGATCTCAACACAGACATTGACGCAAAACAAACATTTCAAAAATCAAGACGAAAAGCATTCGAATGTTAAGAGCCCCTTGAGGAAAGTTCCCAAGTTATAATGGTCAAGGCCAGCCATTCAACCCCAGAGTCAAAGCAGGTCCAGACAGCAACTCCTCCTTCTTAGCCTTCAACTCATCCACATCCCAATTGGCCCATACAAGTTTCCCATGCAAGAACTCTGCCTCGGGACTAGCAAGCCAGACCATAAAATCAGCAGACAATTGAGCTGTCAAACAATTAGCACACGTAACTTTCGAGCAGTGAAAAGAAGAATAGGTAACTAACCATCATCGAAAGGAACCACCATCCCAGCACTCGCAGCCTTGATTCCCTGCACAGTGTCCAGCATGCCCGGGTGCACATTCAAAACCCTAACCCCTTTCTCCTTCAACTCCACACTCAAATACTCCATCATCTTCGCCGCCGCCGCCTTACTCGCTATATAAGCAGAAATCGGGAACGGCATGGCAGGCAAATGCACCCCTCCCGTCGACACATGAATCAGCACCGCTTCCCTCTTCTCCGTCCTCGTTCTCAGGAACGCTTGCGTAACAATCAAGTTCCCTTTTACGTTCGTCTCGAAACCAGAGAAGTATTCCGAGACGGAAGCCGTGGCGATGGGTTGTCCGTCGGGGAAGTAGGCGGCGATTTGGAGCAGGATGTCGATCCCGCCGAATTGTTGCTGGACGGTGGTGAATGCTGCGTTGACGGCGGCCTCGTCGTTTATGTCGGCTACGAAGGTGAGGACGGTGGTGGAGGGGTGTTTCGTTTCGATTTGGGTTTTGTTCGAGAGTAGGGAGGTGGTGTTTCGTCCGAGGAGGACGATGGCTTTGCTTCCGGAGGCCGCGAAAGAGAGGGCGATTGAGGTTGCTATGCTGGAGCCGCCGCCGGTTAGGAGGACTACTTTTCTTGCGGTTGAGAGGGAAGGGAGGAGGGGAGAGATGGCGGGGTAGGTGGTGGTGTGGAAGGTTTTTGTGTAGGTTGGCATGGACATTTTGAGGTGAGTGTAAGGATGCTTCAGCTGGGTCTGAATGTTGGGAAATAGTGCAGAGACAAGATATGTTTTAGTTATGCGAAAGATGCCAATGGTTATCAGACTAGATGAGAGTTGGAATGATTGAATGATGGATAGACATGGACATAGGCTCAAGTCCCTACTTATACTCAGACTTTGAGCAGCTTCATCATTCCGCAACTTGACAAATCGAAAGCTCAAAGCACAATTTCATGCTGTACACTAATTCCGCATCTGATGTCCCACTTGGTCGCCAACGATTCGACTTTCGAGTGCGAGTAGATAGGGTGAAAGTCGTTACCTCTGATTTATAAAGTGAGTGTGCTTACGCAACGAATGAGAGTCAAGCGCGGTGCCATTCCGTGGCTGACAAAACCATCACGTGAAAAGGCCACAACGATTTGACAATGAGGAAGCAAGATGCTTCGAAGCTATCGATTTGAGATCCATCGACCTAGGTATCTTGACATTAACTGTACACGCAAGTATGCCAAGAGGAATGTGACTTTTCCAATCCAAGGACTCCACGCAATGCAAGAATGCCCCTTCCTTGCCGTCCGCCTATGCTCATCGAATAACGTCCACCCAATGCTGCCCATATACCCATTTGATAGTTTGATATACAAGATCAACCAGCGGTGGTCAAAACATAAGAGGTGATGTTCGTCATCCTCTCGCTGGTGAGTTTCAATGAAATGCGAAGTAGCTCTGATGCTACATCCGGCTCGCTCGTTCGCAGTCGTTCCCAGTTGTCTCTGTCCATGAGCCATGTCACGCAGTCGCGCTCAGCATGCACGACAGCCGTGCGCTCAGTCTCGGAAAAGAATGGGAGCTCTCCACAGGTCGTTCCTGCGACAATGCTTTCAAAATATCGGCCTTGCGGAAGTTCGTAGTCTGCACGGAGGATACCTTGTTCCACCAGATAAAAGCCATCAGCCGAGTCACCAGTTCTGAAGAGAATAGTGCCTGCAAGGTACTCTTTCCTAGTGAAGAAAGGAACTGCTCGAAACCAGAAATCTTCGTTCTTGTCTGTAAGACCCTGAAAAGTTTGCAATATCAGTCGAAGTGGCTCCTTGAAGTTGTTGTATCGCGACTCTGGGGGACCTTCATCCAGAGCAGTCGTTGCTACTCGATGAAGTTGGCTCCGTCGTGGAGAGCTGAATTGTGTGTCGATAGTGTGCGAGACCACCTTTCCTTGCCCTGGAACATCGAGGTGGGCCGATGGAGCATTGCGGCTGGTGCGTGCTTCTTTGCTAGCGTAGAAAGTCTTTAATAGCTCATTCTCGCAGCTCTCCAATGCCGAGTTGAGGTCTGCAAACAATTTGACTTCATTGCCATCTTCGCCCAGACCCACAGCTCGAAGACCCAAACCCAGCGGGCCCTCTTCGTTAACCCCGCTCATGACCAAAGTCACCCCTTTCCTGCTAAACAGTCTGTTGAGACGATTAAATGCCTCAGCAGCTGAATAGTCGATCCCAGTAACATGTGCCAAGTCGAAAACCAGGAAGCGTATTGGCCGTTCGTAAAATGCCTCATCTTCGATCAGCCCTCGTATGCGTTCTTCGACACTAACAATTGTGCCAAAGAAAAGATAGCCTGCGAGTTTGGTGACGTGAATCTGTGAGCCGACATCACGTAGGTACCGGTATTGTACGGGATTTCTGCGGACAGTCGACCCAGCAATTTCTCCAGAGTAAGATGCGCGGACTGCTGGAACTCTTGATGTTTGGAACACGAGCGAAACGAAAGCGAGGAGGATACCAACGCCAATACCGACCACAAAGTCGTAAATCCCCATGATAAGTACAATAGCAACAACCTGTGATTTATTAGCATGATGATTATAGGGGCTGAGAGACAACATACAGTCCAGTATTCCAAAGACTTGAGCTTCTTCCGAGGTAGCCAGAGTGCCTCGAGAAGAAGCTCGAAGCCCAACACGAAGATAAGAACCCCTACCATCATTCTAGGAATGAAGCCAATCGTTACTGGTCCGATGATCATGACACCAAAGGTAAATATAGCCAGGAGAATGCCTGCTAGTCGACTATTTCCACCAGTTCTTATGAATAGAACACTATTGGTGTATACCAAATAGTTCTGAATGCTACCCACGAAACCAGATAGAGCATTTGATACCCCGTGGGCGATAAGTTCTCTATCCAAGTCCAGGTTGTCTTCCCCAATATTGAAAGCAAGAGCTGGGACGTTGATAGGCACGTGTAGGATACCAAAAAATGTCAAAGCAAACATGGTAGGGATGGTCTCTGCTACCGCACCCCAATGAACGAGTTTGAAATCTATGAAGATTAGCTGAGAATCACAGATGCGGTAAGGAGTTCTTACCATATAAAGTATAGAAGTACCACCATGGTTCTCCAGCGTCTGGGCCATCGAAGATCCAACCAGTGTTTCGTAAGTTGCCGATATCCAATTGGTCCGTAGACAGAACGAAGAAGTAGAAGATTGCTGGAATAGTCAAGATGTACGTAGGTAAGTAGTACTTCGATGTGATCTTATGCTGCGACCAGTAAAGGACAACAGCAAGAATAAATGGAATGAGCCACAAGACCAAAGTGTCGGGAGTAAACAGCTTCTTCAATGTGGGTATGTTGTATTCCAAATTGCCATCCAGGACAGCAGTTACTTCAAAGCCTGTAGCGATTAGAAACCATCCCACACCTCCGATGCATCCAATGAGGATGTGTCTTGGAATGAAGCCAACGATGTATCCGAACCCGCAGACTCCCATCAAGAAGAAAACTAAACCTGTGAGGATGGAGCTGATGGCGTACGATGTGATTGTGGTCGCGATGACCGCTTGCGGATTTTCTTCTCCGACGGTAGCCATGATCATGAAGGCCATCTTGTGGAAGAAGGGGACTACTTCGATCTAGCTGTTGTTAGTGCAATGGACAATATTAACATGAAGGCACGAACCATTTCAGAGCCGATAACGCCCTTGAATCCACTTCCTCCGCAAGAGTATACCAGTTGTGAGACAATGCAAGACATGTAAAACATAGATATGCCGGCTGAACCAAGTTTCTCGAAGATACTTTGTCCGAGTGGGAAGAGAATCATTCCTAGATGAATCAATACGTTAGTATTTGGTGTGCTGCAGCGTATGCAGAGCAGGTTGTGACATGTCGGTGAAGCGATTGATACGACTGGGCAGAAAAGGGGTCTTTAGCGAGGAATGGGTGAGGACGTACCGTAAGACAGAGCATCAAGTACATTCAATAACAGGCCAAGGACCACTGCAGGCAGACAACTGACAGGCTCTAGTACGGCATGCTGGACTATGGCTTTTCTGTCCCAGGCTTTAGGATTCACAATGGTCCTTAGAACACCTACACCCTTTTCCGTCGGCCACAGTACAATATTATGTAGCTTTGGCCACGTCGGTGGGCGTCGATTGACTTGGCCTTCAACATCTTGCTCTCCTCGAATCCAGTCAGGGTGATGAGTCTCAACGGATCTTTGCTTCAACAGTGGTGTCCGCTCAGACGGATCTATCTTTACTCCATTGGCAGTCATGATCAAACGTCGTTGCATATCATCCTCCTCGGTATCCGCATCCGTGCTTCCATCAATAAAACCATTGCTGGATCTTGACCCGTCCTTGGGGAGAGTATTCGGTGGTGAACGCTTAAGCATGCTTGTGAGCGCAGATGTGCCGGGTGACTTATCAGAGGATGTACCCTCGGGTGACACGGTCTCAGAGACTTCCTGGATAGTGTGGTGGTGCAGCCCTTCTGGCTCACTATTGATAGCTGATTCGGTGTCTGGTCCTCCTGAGAAGTATGATTCTAGCTGTGTCTGCGCACGGTGTCGTGGAGGGGAAACGCTGCGGGCTGATGCTCTGTCTGAAAGAGCATAGGAAGCTAGCTCAGCGGTATCTTCTCGCACGCTGCGGGCATATTGCGCATTGTCGATTGGCGCTGTCGTCAAATCAGTGTATGAACATAGAGAACATCTGCGAGAATTGTACATGCCTATGGGAGCTCGGTATGAGAGATGTACAGAAGATCTCGTTGGTTCTCGGTGGGTGGATGCGGTAGATGGGTGAAGAGCGGATGGTACCTCTGGACGGCCACGGAAAGAACCATAGTTCGCATCTGAGGTCGTAGAGGTGCCGTCCATGGAGTCGGAAGAGCCTGGTATGTGCCTGGGACTGGAGTGGGAGCTCAGAGAGGGGGCTCTCCGTCTCGAACCAAAGGCTGAACGTGGTAGTGACATGTTTCGGTAGGTCTCCCCCTCACAGCAACAACAGAGAAGCGTTCCTCTGGACTCGCATTCGAGCCTCAAAGAGAAGAGGGGTTAGAGCCCAGAATTGAGGATGAAAGATAGAACAAAAGGATACAACAAATGGATACACAGCGGACCGGGGACTCTAGTCGAGAACGAAACTAGGTTTTCGACCAGAGAAAAGGTAGTTCGAACCAAAGATTGGAACAGCTAGAAGAGGGAAGCCGGGAAGAACCCCGATGGCGTCAGATAAGGAAATTGTTTAAAACGTATACCGTACTTTATAACGACGGGTCGTCACTCGTTAGCCCCTCAGGCAGAGGAAGAGGCAAGCTTGCAGACTCAAGTTTTGCAGTAATTGTCGAATCCTCGTCATCAGCTGGTACCGCACTCGAAGGGTCGTAGGCTGATATTTTCTGCTTGGCCGCCCCACTCCCACCTGCAGCCCCCGTTGAAAAGCCCTGACCAGACCAGGCCATGGTGCATCAAGCTAGGCAGATTGGGTCGCTGTGCCCAGTGCGGGCCGATGCCAGGAGGTAAACTTCACAACTCATAGCAGAGTTCAAACAGAATGATCATTATCTTACGTATGGTATTGTATTATCAAAATGTGGTTGGAGATGCCTTCATCTTGAGGGATTGGAGTTCGCAGAGCACACGACCAGTCGAGGAAAACGTCATTTGTTCCAGCGTCCATGTCGTGACACCACAGCCGTTGAGGTTTCTCGTTTCGACTTGCCACCCATCAAATTCTTCTCGACCTGCAGCCACAATTTTCACAGGCCAGGGGAGCTTCGCTATTAGCGAATTCATGTTCAACACGCCACCAACTCTGAGGGGTCGATCTGGTGGATAGCATGTCACCAATATGCTGCACATGGTTTGACTCGTTTCCTATACTTTGATCTTGCTTCATACAGCAGTGCAAATACCCCTCTTGCCAGGAAGAAAACTCCGTAGCAGTTGTCCAATGTCCCTCAGTCAGTGAGGAGCTGGCTAGTCAGCATCCCCGCATTATGCAGCCGCCGATGGCTTCCTGCAGCCACTGGCTCCAACATGTGGTGCAATTTCTGTCTCGCACCTGATGATTCCCGGCAATGGCATCACTACGCTTGAAGATTGGACAATCCTCTCAATTGAACGGACATCCATCGCCGCAACTTCAAAGAATGGCAGCAGGTCTTCGTGATGCGGGTCCAATTGACGACATCGCTGTCCTCGAGACCTCTTGGTGCAACGTGAGAGTAGAGCATTCCGTGAAGAGGCTGCGGAGAGCTTTTGAATTTGATATACAACGGCAGGGACCCATCTCACATGCGCTAGCTCGCAGAACTTCTCTCCACCTATCCCCGATGCATACCCTTGGATCTGCCAATAAGCATTGGCCGCTTCTTCTCCCGAGCGTCTTTCCGATCAAAAATTGCAGCAACGTGCTGAGTTTTCTTGTATCCCGTGTAGCCTTGCGCCATCATATCCACCAGTCCACATTCATTCGGCAACAACCGCAATGGGTCTCTGTTTGGACTTTGTGGGAGAGAGTTTCGGGGTCCATTGACACATCCGCGAAGTACGTCTCGATCGTCTATTACCCCCACGATCCCATGTTGTCGACTCGAGACCACAATTATCCTAACGACGGATATTTTCCACATGCGGAAACCGCCCGTCAAGGTTCTCTCAACGTCCGGTCTTTCAGCTGAGTTTCTGCAGATACCCTTGTGCAATGAGCCGCTCAACATCCCCTTGACGAACGTAGAATTGCGAATTCTTGGTAAGGTTTATTGTACTATTCCATCCAATCAGTAAACGTTTCCAGCACGTGTTGAGATATCGACCACTCACCCGTATTCTGTCTGAATCTCGCCTGCGTCCTTGAGGACACGGACATCAATGAATAGATCTCGGGGAGGCTCCAAGCTTCCCGTTAGATCAATATCTGTCCACTGCCCTTTGTATGCCGCCAAGAGATCACTGTATTGCCGGACGTACTCCTCCTCTTCAGGGCTCAAACTACTGCTATTCCCCTCTCCATTCCCTAGTTCGGCCCCACCATTCTGGCCTTCACTTGGACCCCTCTGTTGCTGTGCCGCCAGATCCGCAACATCGCTGCCATTCCATACCATCTCCTCCAGCTTGTCAGTCCGAGTACGGTGATACGCAAGTAGGCATCTCTTATTCCGGCGCATACAGAGATGATCAACTAGAAGCGTGCAAGCAGTGGCCGGGTTCTCAGACGGCTCGAATGAACCATTGAAGTCTTGTAATATGTTCGAGACATCCTTGTCTAGGTCTCGAACTTCTCTGGTGACAGCTCGTACGATCTCGGTCTGGTAGGGAGGAAGATGCTCAAGCTTTTGCGTCCGTTTGGCATGCTGGACCTGTAGAAGTTTGAGCAATCTCGGAAGCAGATCTGCCAGCGGCAGAAGGGAAAACTCACAAGCTTATTACCTAGGTCTCCATACATTTCAAATGAAGCATAGATTGGCAGATTTTAGAGAACTATTATTTCAGCCTTGCTCGGTGCAGTAGAGAGTCGCGTCCGAGAATCAAGGAGGACGCGACGGCGCTAAGCGCGCCTGGAAATAGCCGCCAAAGACTAGGTCTTAACCACCACTTTTGAACCTCGTTCACTAAGCCTCTTTCCTCAGTCCTGGGAAGATGACGATCCGAAACTTCTAGCTTCCCATTCCTTGTATCGATTGGTACTCAGGTCTGACTTTTCTTCCTTTCCGTCAATATTTGCGGACACATGCATGAACAAAGCCATTGATCCTTGCGACAATGGCTTTGTTGAGCGACACAATTTCTTTTAGTTGAAGGCGTGTCTGCTCATTCTGGGCCCTTGAGAATACTAGATACCCACGATATTTGGAATTACTTATTTCGAGGCTTTCATGTTATCTGCATTGCAACTTAATTTCATTAGGCTAGTGCCAACATACATAGCATTGGACTGCTGGTTCAATTATCTACTGGGGAACCTACTTCGGAATTTCTTGCAACATACGGACACTATATCCATCGCTCGAAGCATTAACTTTCAGATCACTTCAGTGTACATGAATCTCCCACATTTTCGGCGGGAATAGCTTTCACAAATCTGAGAGGATGAACTAATTTACTATCCACCTTTCATAATGTTCAGCATTGCGTACATACATCAGACGACTTTCCATGCCGACAGAAAAAGACCTCCAAAGCTACAGAAATAACAAACATCACACTACCCCCAACGCCATTCCTCGCTTGCAAATGCTACAAGTCACCGTCCCTGATATCTTGGCATCGAAACCGGTCCAGAAATCATCGTCGCCATCATTACTACTACTTGCTCATTGAGAGGACGATCCTGCTACTACTTAGTGCTCTTCCTCCATCCACTTGTCGAATTCACCACCAGCATCCAGTGACTCAACATGCCATCCCTCTTGGTTTCCCTTGAGGACATGCATATGCGGGTCTTGGATTTGGCCCCCATCCTGAGTCAGCTGTGGGTCAATGAAAGGCATGACAGGGTCATGACCAATATTGTACGAGGGCTGCCACGGCTGCTCTCCATTCTGGCCGTCGGGAAAATACATGTTTGGTGTCAGGGGATCTGGGTACATGGTATGCTCGTACAGCTGCTGATCTGGACCCATGAGACCGGGATCTATACGTTGTCCTTGTGCTTGCGATGCCTCGTATTGGTTGTATAGGTTCATCATGTTGAAGTCCTGTCCTCCTGGAAGTCCTAGGAATGAGCCAGGAGTTTCAGTCTTCCTGATAATGACATCTTCAGCACCTGGAATTCTAGGATTGCTCTGAATCGTCTGCTGGTAGTATTCCCCTTGACGAAGTCCTCCTTGGTTGTATGGAGGTGGTAGTGGAACTCCTGGATTGTTGTTCTGGAACAGCGATTTGTTGTATCCACCGACGTATTCCTCTGCTGAGTCTTCTCTTGAGTAGTTGTATGCAGATCTTGTACTTGGGTACATGACAGGCGCTTCTGGTCTGGGAGATGGACGATGCTTAGTCTTCTTCCTGTTCCTTGGGTCTTGCCACTCAAAGTCATCAAGATCAGATGCCTCAGATGCAGGCTCTTCCGACACTTTCCTCTTGTTGGCACCTTTGCCTTGACCGGGTTTAGTTGGGGAGAATTTGTAACCTGGATGAGCATTCTGATGATTGATGCGCTCGATTCGTGCCCACTCACTGAACTGATCCTTCACTACATCAGGCTCGAGTGGCCAGCTGTCTCCACAGACTTGCGACACGACCTGATGGTTGTTCTGCAGGCACCAGTCTTTCGTCCTGTTCTGATACGCCTTGCGGTACAACATGAACGAGTTCATTGGACGCTTCACTTTCCCAGGTATCTTTCCTTCCTCGACCTCTTTTCGTCGTACTTCTGCAGATCTGTTCACGTAGGCGTCGATGTCGACAACTTCAACATGCGTCCAGTCCTTCGTCAGCTCGCTGAGTGGCTTCTCAAGCTTGGCGACTTTGCTTTCCGCTTTGATCTTGGTCCGCTTTGGTTCTCTTTTCGGTTTTGGGGACTTTGTGATTCGAGATCTGCTGTCTGGCATAGGTCTCAGGCTTTGGTGGTTTCGCTGAAGTCCCATACCATTCCTTGCTCTCATCATTTCTTGGTGGTTCATTGAAGGAGTTGGAGGCGACGTAGCAGGCGTGCTGTACTGATCTGGATACATCGACCATGAATAGTCCTATTTCATATTAGTAGCTGCTCTGGCGTTGCGTTGTGCTTATCTCACATATTGAACTCCCAGTCCTGAATCATGATGTTGATGCTGGTACGGGTATCGCTGCTGCTGGCCGCGGTACGCGTACTGATCATACGGTGCTGGCGATCCGTAGTTCGAATGTTGTTGTTGGCGTGCTCTTTCGTCGTATTGATCCTGTGGATAAGGCGTGCTGGCGTTGTGTTGTATCAGCTGGTGAAGACCTTGGTGCATCAGCTCTCCTTCGCTCGGCGGCGGTGGAGTTTGGGTCATTGCGATGGCAAGAGCCTGAAGAAACCCTTCCCCGAGAAGAGAGACTTATTTCGGCGAAATGGAAAGAGGATATGGCCGTAGGTATATGCTGGCTAAGTGGTCGAGAGTACAATAAGAGCTCCTTCTGAGTGATGGCAGCGAGTCTGTATGTTGCGGAAGGCTGGAGAGCGTGGGAGCAAAGCTGACGACTTCTGGAAGCTTTGTCTGAAGTATACCTCGCCAAAATAACGCCTCTGGTTGCTGTTTTAAGCTGATAAATACCGAGTGGTGTAATGATACCGCGAAGAGCTCGTGGGCCTGTTGCTGGTACGTCGGCGGTGAGTTCGCAGGAGAAGGTGTGAAAGCAGGTGAGACCGGGAAAGCGGATCAGTTTCCAAGAAGAAGAATCTCAAGAGCTTCTGGAAAGAAGATCTAGCGAAGGGATTCTCTTGGTTGAGGACAGTTCATCTGAAGTCCTAGTTATTAGACTTTGGTCTGAGAATTGAATCAGGCGGGAATGGTTTGTCTTTTCTCTCGGATCGTGCAGCACTCATGGAGTTTGGTACGAACCTATCGCGGGCAGCCGTCTTGCAGCAGTGCGCCTGGCTTCCTAGGTCGCCAGATATTCTGGAACCGCAGCTGTGGGCAAGTGAGATGCGAGGTTCCAGCGTCCAGTACCCCTGACCGACAGTAATGCCAATGCTCTGAGGCTGCTCTGGTCTTAGGTACGTTCTTTGTCGATGATGTGTCGAAACGCCGTGGGATGAAGCAAAGGCAACAAGAGTAAGGATAATACGACGAAGCAGAGCAAAGTATGTGTCTTTGTTTTGGAGCTTTGACAGAAAGAAAGGATCTGCTGTGGTCTTTATGTATTCGAAGTTCGGGCTCTCTTAAAGAGAAATCGACGAATTAGGCGATTTTGACGGATTGGGGGATTCTGCTTTCGGCCAACCACTGCTTCCGTTCAAAGAAAACTCACAGCACACACAGGGAAATGGCAATTAGCAGAACCGCTGCTATGCGAACAGTCTTCAGCATCTTATCGTTGTATTGCAGCTTGGGACTCCGGACTTTGCCCCGCTCAGAGCTCATGAGATTTTATGGGACGCGGATACGCTACCACTCTCCAGCACCTCGTACCTATCTTCCTGAACCTGAGCAAAACATCACTAAGATTGGTTCCCGTCGAGGCTACAGATGAGCTACAAACAGACAGGCACTGGTACGCTCTCCATCCGTTCCTTACCACACTTAATCCATGCTTGAAGCCTGACTGGCTTCTCCACCAGTTCATGCACATACGCAGTTCCCATGCACGAGTTCGCGTCTTCCAAGGAAACCCCGCTCTGGACTGCTGTTCAGTGAACGCGTACAAGCCTGGCGAGGAATGCTTGCAGCGTGACTGCATCGTTGCGATGCGCTTGGCCTGAGGAATGCGTCCATCAACCCCTTCCCCTTCCCGGAAACTAAGCGAGGAGAGATGCGGAAGTGGAAACAAGCCACATTTTCCCTCCCTACATGTCGTCGATGAAGTCTCTGCACGCAAGCAAGAGTTGAAGTCAGGATGTCCTTGCTGCGAGTGAGGGAGGGAAGGCGAGCGTGATGCCATGTGGTAGACATACCTTTCCTGTCCGGGAATTTGCATAGGCAGGACCACACGAACGATCTGGTGGATGCGGGTACGTGCAGTAGCGGGACATGCGAGGAGGATTAGGCTGAGACTTTGTTTGATGCCGGGATTGATGTCTCTTTGATGGTAACTCCTTATGAAGGCGGTGGTCTCGCACTCTTCTGCTACTGGTGTTGGTGCGGTCGGGCTGAGCGTGATGTCTGGCGGTCAGGTTTTGGGCTTCTGAAGCTCTGGCTTATGTGGTCTGTAGCTGCAAGGTTAGGGGCTTCTCTGGGAGAATTACTTCTTCTCGGTTTCCGTTCGTTTGGATCCCACATCCATCATATGTACTGTTTGTACCACAGCAACTCTCAATGATGAAAGAGCAGAATTGCTACATATTCACAGTACTTTAGACTCTTCTCAGGCTTTTTTAATCTTTGATTTGCACAAACATTACTCTTTCAGCAGATATGCCACAAGCCCTGCATAATAAAGCTAGTATGCATAGCCACTTATCTCCTCCTAGTCCTGTTCCCACATATCCGTCACAGCGAGCCATGGATATAAAAGATTTTATGGGCTCAATGAACGGCTTGGAAAGTCGATAACACAGAAGTTCTTGGAGGAAATACATTCTTTGTCGCATGCGGCTTGGAACTAGAAAACATGTCAAGAAGGCTGGGATTGGAATGTGGTGGCATCAACACCACGATATTAATGAAAAAAACTACCACTAAATAAGTGACTTCACACATTGAGAGATAGAGCTTGTAGAATGTTCGCTTCAAGGTTGCATGCTAGTTGAAGATATAGATTACTGAAAATTTAGGGTAAGCTGGGCGTATCAATTTCACTTCACATGGCAGGAACACGAGGCTACTGAAATTTCATGCATTATGGTAGTACATTCCTCATCTGTATCGCAAGTGCTAGTCTATCCCACATTGCCCTCTATTGACGCTGCATGCATTCGTAAAGAGCTCTATTGGAGTCCTTTGCTCTCCCCAAACTCCAAATACCCCGGTCCGCTGTCATACATTCACATTATATTGAAAAAGAAAGACATTTTGTAGGTAAACCCATCTATAGACGTTCGGGTTTCAAGAAACATTCTGTTCTCACCCTAAACACGTGTGCTGCTCTGGTCTCAGCCAAGGTAGGTAGTTGTCTCTCACAACCTTTCCATATCAGATCGATTCTCTGAGACTTGGTATTGATTGTGGTAATCGCTGACTGAGACGATTGTTGTACAGTAGAACATATTAGGTATTGATGCTATGTCCATTTGATTTGTTACGATCCGAATCCGAGAGCTTGATCGGAGGGGTGGGGTCTTGCACTCGGGGACTTGGAGACAAAGAGGCAACAGGTGGTAATATCGACGGGGTCGCTGAACCGAAACTTCCATTAGAAGTGGTCGGTCTAGGAGGCGAATGTTTCGTAGGTGAAATGCCTGTCATACTAAGTGGCAAAGTGGACTTTTGATAGTCGCCATTTTGTTGAAAGTTTGCAGATTGGGCTGGTGTGGCTACACTCTGCGGCGGAGAAGTCTTCAGCGGAACTGTTCCCGAGAGAGAGTTTATGCCACTGCCAGGACTAGAGGATGTTGGTGCTGCATGTGTGTACTTCAGAGGAGCTAGGACAGGAGTAGCCGACAGGGGCGAAGGCACGTTTCTCTGTTGTCCGTCATGGGCAGGTATCGAGCCAGGAGCATGTGCCATATGCGTCTGCGAGGGGGGCCAGCGGTGAGAGGCGGTTGATGGAGTTGAATTTTGAATGCTTGAAGGTTGCTGAGCAACAGGAGTTGATGCAACCTGTTGATATGGGGTCCCGTGAGCGTTTCCATTGACAAAAGTGTACTGCTGAGGCTGTCCAGGGGGAGGAAGGCTGATGGAACTGTGGGGAGGTGGAGATGAGAATGCATGAGAGCTTGAAGGTCGTGGAGGACCATAAGGTGAGACAGTGGATGGAGGTCCATTGCTCTGATATGATACGTATGGACCCTGATACCCGGAACTTGGTGGACGCATTGGTGAAGAGGCGACCGACATTTGTGTATTAGGATATGGTTGATTGGATCCATTGCTATGAGGATACTTGGCGGCGGCTGGATGACCTTGAGAGTGAGGTGCTATCCTTTGAGGTGAAGTAGCATGTTGCCATGAAGAATTTGGAAGAGCCTTCGGAGTTGGAAATGAATGAAGAGGTGGCAGATTGCCTCCTTGAATGAGCTTTCCAGCTTGTGGGGGAGATTGGGACGTGCCGTTGACTTTGCTCATGATCGCTGGCGAGCTCTGTTTTCCTGCTGCTGACGAAGAAGATCCAGGTCTGTTGATCTTGATCTTGATTGGCGGGTGTGTCTTTGCTCGTTCAGCATCTTCCGCACGACGCTTGCAGGTCTGGCAAATGAAGTGGAAGTCTTCATTATCAGCCTCACTTTCACTGACACCGACACATTTGCTGTGCTGCCATACATTGCACTTGTCACAAGCAATGCTGTGAGTTCCATCATCGATCTGGCCGTAGGCTCCGCATATGCAGTCGAAAACCCAATCCTCCTCCTCGGTCAGCTCCTTCAAGGCTTGCTTCTTTCTTTCAATTTCTGCTTTCAGATGTCTTTCGGAGAGTCGTCCTTCGCCTGTCTCAATCTTCTTGCTGTCTTCGGAGAGATTGGCCAGTTCTTCCTCGTGAAGGATACGGCGTGCCTCACGTTCCTTCAGGCGCTGTTCTCGGGTCATCATCCTGGACTCCCTCTCCTTCTCCAGCTTCTGCCATTTCTCTTGTTCTTTCTTTGCCATAGCAAGCTCAGCCTCTTTCTTACGTTCGGCCTCCTTGATCTCCTGTTCATGTTTTTGTTGCTCTAGCTTCCCTGCTATTCTGCTGGAACGCTTCGCCGTCGCGAGCTTTTCAAGATTGAGAAGCTCGCGTTCCTTCTGTGCCTGTTTACGCTTACGCTCGTCCTCTTGCTTCTCCAAAATCGGAACAACATCTTCAACAATACGGTTTCGTAGGGTCTTCTCGTTTGGATCCTTACTCTTCTGGATAGAGTCAACGAATGTAGTGAGCTCATCAACTGTGACTGCCACGCATTCCCAAGTCATGCCACCGAAGCCGTCGTCTTCCTTCTCGGCATCGGCTTGTGCTTCGTTGTGTTCATCCTCTGCTGGCTCAACTTCGCTCTCAGCAGGTTCGGAGACCTTTCTACGTTTGCTGGCACGGGAGGCAGCTTTGGCTTTCTTGGAATTCTTCTTAGGTTTGGGTGCCGGGGGTGGAGGTGGAGGAGGGTCGGTTCGACGATACAGGCGGTTGTCATCAAGGATAAAGTAAGTTCGATCATCGGAATCCCATCCAAGAGGCTCGATTCGCTACATACATGTCAGCACAGAGCTTTGGATCATTTCCATGCCAACTTACCCAATTGGTTTGGTCAGTGTCCTTTTGCTCTGTCATCTTCTCCCGGATCTTGTCTGGGTTGACAAATGCCCACTGGGTGAGTTGTTGTAGGACTCGAATCTAAATAGAGTGATATGAGCGGCATCCAACATATGTACTCATGGCACTAACGCACCTTTGTGAAGATATCGAAGTCGTTGAATTTATTAGGTTCCTCTTCATCACCGAAGGGATTTCGTGTTGGAGCTTTGGCCATATACTGTCTTCGGGTGTACTCGTTGAATAACTCAGGTCTATTCCATGGTTAGAGAGATGATATTGGATGGAGCACACCACCTACGTGAGACCCCTGTGTGATGAGACATATTTTAGGATCGCCAAACCAATCTCTGGCAGCAGAGTAGAATTGTGCTTCAAACATTCCATCTCGAAATCCTATGACTATGTATGAGTATGCGAAGCTATGATGGTTGGTGACTAGGGATTGTACCTCAATATCGAACTTCTCATCTAGCTTTACAGCTCCACCAAATGTGTATATCCATTGATACAGGTTGCTGAATTCCCACAAATTGCGAATCTTTTCCAGCAAGGTTTTTTCCTTTGGCGGTTCTGGAGCTTCTACCTCGGACTCCTGTCGTCCCTGGAACTTTCGTTTTCGGGAGGACATCTTGATGGTTGCCTTTACGATAGCAGTAATGTGACAGTTGCAATTTTCGCGGGTAGATAATGCAGTGTTCTGTCGTACGCGGGTGAAAGAGCGAGTTCGTAATTGTAGTCGAGTGCGTTGCGAAGTTGTAGGAGTGGATGTCTGGAGGGAAATTTGTCGCGTTCCGCCTTCGAAGTTCGCGAGCGTGAATCTGTAAATCGGCTCAAATCTAGCTATGACTAATTTGTACTAGCTCGGATCTTCAATACACGTGACTGATAGCAAAGCCCCAAAAGTATCATGTTCAGATGCTGCGATCATAACACGATCTTCTACGATATATCATTTGGTCATGAATTGTAGGACAGTGAACTACTTGTCACTAATGTGCCCGATTGCTCAGTTGTCTTGTAAAGGACATAGAGTACTGTACAAGTGAAATGTATTCAAATGTCTGGGACTTTGCATCTTGCAGGGGAATTTGTCGCTAGTTACGGGGTCGGGTTGAAGGAAGTAGTCCACAGCGCTTGGTGTTTCAATAGATGTTGTAAAGCATTATCGAGAGGGAGATTGGATAACCCGAATGCTCCGCGGTGCTTAAGAAGATTTATCTCCTTATTCTTTCTTTCTGCTTCAATTCCAGAACCGCAGCACTCTAAAGGACCCCACACCATCTAAATTTGGCGCAACTCACATGCAACTTCCAACGTTCCCCTGCTTAGCCCCATTTTCACAGGAACAGCCTGCTCGTGTTGGGATGCAACAACAAAGTGTTACAGGTTGACTTCCAAACGACGACTCCTAGAACCACGAGAAAGAATTGTTGAATTACCAAGTCTGAAAAGCGCAACGACATCGATTCTGCTTGACCGAAGTCTGCGAATCCTTATTCAAACAACGATGAATACGTCTTAACGATACCCACGATTTCTGTTGCGACCGGCTCATTGCGACGTCTGACAGCTGCAGTTTTGATTCCAGGTTTGGCCACAGTCGACAAAATTACGACAAGACCAAGACCTTCGGGTCATTGGCATAGGTCACAATGCCTCATACAGACTCGCAGAACTCCACACATCCTTCGACCCCTCCAGAGACACGTATTGAGCTGCGGGACTTGGGGGCACGCCCACCAGATTCTGCAGATATAGCGGATTGGGAGCAGCAACACAGCAGAGGAAGGAGTCTGCTTGGAGGAGGTTCTCGACCTACTAGTGGTGGTAATGCTGGTCCGAGATACGAAAGACTGGGAGACGCATCTCCTAGTCCGACAGAGAGACAGAGAAATCGTGGACCGCCGTTAACAGTACCTAGTCGGCAGCTACGGTCTGTGGGTGATGAGCATGGGACGCCAGTATCACCAGTTGGGAATCCCGCGGATTTCCAAGCTGCGATGGGTTTTGCGGGGCTCTTAGTTCCAGACATCAGTGTATCGCATGCACCACTCACCCATACATCTTCATATGGCTCTGGAGACTTTGACGATGGACGTTCATCATTTGGCGAGCAGATAAGATCACCATATGGCGATTCAGCAGGCGACGACCCTTCATACTTTCCCTCAGAGTCCGATACGGTACCACTGACTGACCCGACTTCATTACAACTTCCAAGTGGCGTCCGACCAACTACTCCCGATGGCCAGCGGCATGATAGATCAAGGTCAAGTTTTCAGAGTATTAACTTTGATACTCCAGATACGGCTTATAGAGGCTCACGGCTAGGTGATGACCTTATGGATGTAGAAGCTGGTGTGTCTCCACATGGAGGTCGGTCGAGATCGCACAGTTATGGCAACGCTCTCACCCCTGATGGGAGGACTAGATCACGGTCACCTTCCAATGTCGGAGCTTTATCAAGAGCTGGCTCGATAATGAGAGCTATGTCGACCCGTGTTGTTAATCCCGAAATTGCTGAGATTACCGCTCGAATTGAAGCTTCACGGGATGAAAGCATACCCAGTACCCTTGGCAGTCTGAGTGACGAATCTGAGACGAGATATCAGCCAAAACGCAAGGAGAATCCGCTGGCGGCCGGTCCCAATTATCGACAAAACTTACCCACAGCGCCAGTAGAGAAGGCCATGCGTTTCTTCGGTGGCGCCCAACCTGAGCCCGAAGATGATGAGGAACCAGACCAGCCTCCAAACCCTTTGAGAGGCAAAACGCTCAACTTTTTTTCTCCAGAGAGTAAACTCCGAAGGAAACTATGCGATATTCTAGTTTATCCCTTGACCGAACCTGCCATCTTGATTCTTATTGTTGTACAGACAGTCCTACTAGCTGTGGACGCTTCTCAAAACGTATACGAGCATCCGCGACCGACACACTTTGGCCAATCTCCAATAGACCTAGCTCTACTCGGTCTCTTCGTCATCTTCACTATAGAGATGATAGCCCGTATCATCGTTTCTGGTTTGATTTACAATGCAGCAGAATACAGTTCAAGGCCTGGTAAGAAAGGCTTCAAATCGGCAATAATGGACAAATACGAAACTGTATTCAAGCCTCAAAGGCAGCGTTCTTTGAAAATTCCACGAAATGGTTCTGTCAACGCTCCTACGGTCGTGCGCTCCTTCACTGCCATACAAAGTGACAGCATCAGGACTGTAGAGCAAGCTCAGCGATTACAACTAGCCAGGCGCGCATTCTTGAGGCATTCATTCAACAGACTTGATTTTTTAGCCGTCATTGCATTCTGGACTGCATTTATCTTAGGTCTTACTGGAATTGAGGATAGCTTCCATCTCTACATTTTCCGCATGCTAAGCTGTCTACGCATCGTTCGATTGCTGGCTCTTACGAATGGTACAGCAGTAAGTCGACCCTTCCTCTTACTAAGTACTTAAATAACACATATGTTTAGATTATCCTACGGAGCTTGAAGAAAGCTGCACCGCTGCTAGTCAATGTGTCATTCCTTATCGGATTCTTCTGGCTTCTCTTTGCGATTATCGGAGTTCAAAGCTTCAAATCAAGTTTTGATCGTCAGTGCGTCTGGATCGATCCCAGTGATCCCTTCAACAATAGTGGCTTAGCTTATACCCAAGTCTATCAATTTTGCGGAGGCCAATTCAACAATGAGACTGGAGCGCCTGAGCCATATGTGACTGGCACTTTCGGCAATGCTATAAACCAAGTCGATTCGGTCATACTACAAAATGGCCCAACCTCGCACAAGGGATACTTGTGTCCTCGGGGTTCTTACTGCCTTCAGCTCTTACCAGACCAGCTCCCATACAATGGTACCGTCAGCTTCGATAATATCTTTCAGTCGCTGGAACTTGTCTTCGTTATCATGACCGCAAACACGTTCACGGATCTCATGTACTACACTATGAACTCCGACTACTTAGCTGCTGCGCTATTTTTTGCCGGCGGCATCATGATCATGATGTTGTGGCTTCTCAATTTGCTCATTGCAGTCATCACTTCTTCTTTTCAGGTAATTCGAGAAGAGGGAAGAGCCAGTGCATTCGCAGCCCATGTGAAAGGCATGCTGCAGACAAAGGAGTCAGACACACCAAGACGGAAAAGCAAAATGAAGGCTCTCTATGACAAGACATACTGGCTTTGGATTATCGTCATTGCTTATGGCTTGCTCTGTGAAGGATTTCGGAGCTCCATAATGTCCGTCGAGCGTGGAAAGTTCATCAATGAATCGGAGGTGGTTGTTACATTCATCCTGCTGGTCGAGATCCTGATTCGTTTCTCTGTGGACTGGAGAGGGTTCTTTCAAGACAACAAGAACTGGGTCGATCTTGCCCTCGCGGTCATCACAACAGTCATTCTCATACCGCCCATTATGAGCTCTGGGCAACCATATGCGTGGTTGTCAGTATTCCAAATCCTGCGAATTTACCGTCTGATTATTGCGGTACCGATCACTAGAGCATTGATCATGCTCGTGCTCGGAAACTCGAGTGGTATTGCGAACTTGATGCTCTTCGTGTTTTTGACCACTTTCTTGATGTCAATCTTCGCGGTACAGCTCTTTCGGGGCGAATTAACTCAGACAGATCCTTACGGAAATGTTATTCATATCACCTTCTTCACGATATACAATGCTTTCCTAGGCATGTATCAGATACTTTCTAGCGAAAACTGGACCATCAATCTCTACAACATTACCGCCTTCGACACTGCACGCAACACTGCCTGGATCGGGGCAGTTTTTTTCATTGGATGGTTCATTCTGGGAAATTTTATCTTGGTGAATATGTTCATAGCTGTCATCCAGGAAAATTTCGACGTGTCAGAGGACGAGAAGCGCATGCATCAAGTCAAATCGTTCCTCAACAGAAAGGAATTAGGCAACTCTTCCAGTAACCTCTCGCTTTCGGCGATTTTCCGCTTTGGTCGGAACAAGTCTACCAAGGACCCTCTGGATTACGGCCCCGCGACCATGGAAATGCTCTTGAAAGATGCAGTAGTAAAAGACTTCCTCGACGACGAAGCGGACAATGCAGACCAGCCAACAACTCCGCCTAGCAATACTCCCCCGGTAGAGACTGCTTCTGTAAAACCAGGGTTCATATCTTCTTTATGGGGCCGATTTATGACTCGAATTTGGAATCGAGAGCCCAATCCATTCTATTCCAATATCCAATTTTCTCTCGGTCCCGACGAGCAAACTGATGCCAGGACCATGGCCAAGGAGGCTGTTAACGCCACATCCCAACGGAAGAAAGCACAACGAGAATTCTTGGCTCGACATCCCAATTACAATACTGCTCTCTTCATTTTCAAGCCACAAAATCCCATTCGTCGCCTATGCCAGAAGATCGTTGGTCCTGGCAGAGGTAGTGAACGATTCGACGGCGTGGAACCAAACACAATCGTCTGGTACACGTTCTCTGCATTCATCTATGCCGCTATCGTCGCCATGGTTCTTCTTGCATGCATTACCACTCCGCTCTATCAAAAGGAGTATTTCAACACACACACATTCAACGTCAGGAACTGGTTCGTATGGGCTGACATGTCCTTTGCCGCGCTTTTTACCATCGAAGCACTTATCAAAATCATCGCTGATGGGTTCTTCTGGACTCCAAATGCTTATTTCAGGAGCACATGGGGCTTCATTGATGGTATCGTACTGATCACATTCTGGATCAACGTTATTACCTCCCTCTCGAACGATGGTGCCGTGTCGAGGGCCGTTGGCGCCTTTAAAGCCCTAAGAGCTTTGAGATTACTGAATGTCAGCGATAGCGCCAGAGATACGTTTCACTCTTTAATCACAGTGGGAATCTGGAAAATCGTTTCAGTAAGTGTTGGTATATTTGATTAACTTCAAGAATGCTAATCGTGCCAGGCTGCTTTTGTTTCCCTGTCTCTGTTGATTCCATTCGCTATTTACGGAGTCAATCTCTTCAATGGACAGATGCTGGCGTGCAATGACTTGACAGGAACTGTTTCCAACAACCTTTCTGACTGCTTTGGAGAATACACGAACACGCCGTACAGTAACAATTGGCCTGTTCTCTCGCCCCGGGTGGTTTCAAATCCGTACTACAGTTTCGACAATTTTGGAAGTGCTTTGTTCATTCTCTTCCAGATTGTCTCCCAAGAAGGATGGGTAGACGTAATGTGGAGTGCAGAGTCAATCACAGGCAGAGGACTTCAACCCGCTTCCTACGCCGCCCAAGGCAATGCGATGTTCTTCGTCATTTTCAACCTCCTTGCCACGGTCTTTGTGCTCACTTTGTTCATTTCCGTGTTCATGCGGAATTACACTGAGCAAACAGGTGTAGCATTTCTGACTGCAGATCAACGGTCTTGGCTTGAGCTCAGGAAATTGCTCAGACAAGTCTCGCCATCGAAGCGACCTTTGAGTACCGAGGGAAACAAATTCAAAGACTGGTGCTATAAGAGAGCTGTTAGAAAACACGGCAGATGGCACCAAGCAATGACGATTGTGCTTGTGTTACATTTGCTGCTCTTGTTGGTTGAATATTATCCAGAACCTGCATGGTGGGATTCAGCCAGGACTTACATCTTCCTCGGATTCACTGTCTTTTACACAGCCAATGTCATAGTACGCATCGTTGGGCTGAGTTGGTCACGTTATCGAAGGAGCTCGTGGGATCTATATGCACTTCTTGCTGTTGCTGGCACTCTCGCTTCGACGGTCCTCCTCCTTACACAAATCGGCAAACAAAGCTACATCCAATTGCACAAGTTGTTCTTGGTAGCAATAGTTCTCTTACTCATTCCACGCAATGACGCATTGGACCAGCTATTCAAGACAGCTGCAGCTAGTCTGACAAACATCGGTAATCTCTTGGCGACTTGGTTCGTCCTGTTCCTGGTCTTTGCCATTGCATTAACACAAACCTTTGGCCTTACTCGGTTCGGAAGCAATGAGACGGACAATCTCAATTTCAGGACTGTGCCAAAAGCATTGATTCTACTGTTCCGCATATCCTGCGGAGAAGGTTGGAATCAGATCATGGAGGACTATGCCACGATATTGCCACCACTATGTGTTGACGATCCCAGCTTCTTCAACAGCGATTGCGGCAGCACTCAATGGGCTAGGGCACTCTTCATATCTTGGAACATACTGAGCATGTACATTTTCACCAGTTTGTTCGTCTCGCTCATCTACGAAAGTTTCAGTTATGTCTACCAGCATTCCAGCGGACTAGGCAAAGTGAGCCGAGAAGAAATTCGACGGTTCAAGCAGGCGTGGGCAACACTTGATCCTGAGGGAACGGGATTCATTTCCAAAGAGCAGTTCCCACGCCTTCTTGGAGAACTATCGGGAGTCTTTGAGATGCGCATATACCCACATGAACATTCAGTGCGAAGGATATTGGAAGATATTCAATCAGAACCGACAAGCGGTAGAATAGTGTCTATGGCATCCACCAGCGCGGCTCCTACTGTCAATCTGAAATCCCTTAACAAGCGGCTTGCCGAGATCGATCCGGTCGCTATCCGACTTGCAAGGGCACGATATAACCTATTCTTCGAAGAAGTCATGGTCTCTGCTGATGTTGACCGTGGCATTTCTTTCACGACTGTTCTAATGATTCTAGCCCATTATAACGTCATCAGCGACAACAAATCTCTGAAGTGAGTTCGCTCTACCTAATGGTTTTGCTGGTTGCTAACAGGTTTAGACTTGAAGAATTTTTGCGTCGCCGTGCCCGCCTCCAAAGAGTCGAGGAGGAAGTCCGAAGACGCATTGTCCTCGGTTTCTTCGACACCATGTCAGTACTATGACAGACCTATCTGTGTCCTTCTTGCTAACGTGACTGCAGGTACTGGTCTAGAAGATTTAGAAAACATCTCGAAAGCAAGAGGTCTGGTCGCATGACGGACATCCCACAACTTGGTCCCGAGGTTTTCGTCGACGACGATGATATCGCCAAGCAGGCTAGAACGAAGGTCTCACCTCTTCTATCACCACCGTCGCCAATGGATAAGAGCGACACTCGATCATCATTTATTGCTCACGGCTTAGATGGAGCCGCAAGACACCGAAGGGGATCTTCTCTCGGCGGCCAGTTGCCCCCCGGACCGTTGTCACCGGGCAGTCCTGGCATATCTCCAGGCGTGTCTCCCCGAGGGTCTCCTCAACTTTCACCACACCGACCGACCAACTCGGCATACAGCTTCGAAGGAGGAGAGCTCACTGAAGGAGCCGGGTCGGCGCACAGCAGTCGACGTGGCAGTGCCGTCACGGCAGAAAATGTGCTGGAAGTGCTCGACAATTCAGCTTGGGGTGAGAGTATCCGACGCAGTTTCACGATGAGACGACCCAATCGGGGAGGAACTGCGTGAAGTGACGGATTATAAGCGAAGCTTCATTGGGGTTTGATAGTTGATTGTGATGAAGCACAGGCATGATCTGTGCGTATATTTTTAGGGGTTTGTAAACCTAGATCTTGGGTTCTGCGCGCCCGTGCGGCGAATGTGTCGCATGATGGGCAGATGGTCACTGAATTTTTCTCTGGGAGGTTTCAAGCGAGGCGTTTTAAGAGCAACAGCATTTCACGGACGTCAATCATGAGTTTTCTTTTCGTTTCAACGGGCGGGGGAGAGCATAATGATGTAAATAGTGGGGGAAAAGGGAGGGAAGGAAAGGGAAAGGAAGGGATGGATGATGAACAAGACTAAAGTTCATCGAGGATTGTACGAATTGATACTCTCTGGCAGTACAGATACAGGCCTGGATTTGTTTATTAGACAGTTGGGGGGATATTCTCCGGGGTTTGGAGGAGGCTTGGTGGATGGAACTAATGTGCATAGCCATGGAGTCAAATGAATATACCAGGTAGAGCCAGATTTTGCTCTTTTGCTCGATTCGTCAGGGCTTGTGGTTTCCCTGCTTTCTTCCAAGATCATGAGTTTGTTATCGGCGATGATGATGAAAATGGTGATGATATGGTGTGTTGGATTGGGTGGCGATAGAGTAGCATTGTTTCATGCGCCGGCGCGGCACTTCTCGTGCGAAACATCTCACTCAGCACCCTCCTTCCCAGACAACTTTGCCTCTCAGTCAGCTCGAGATTCTAGAAAATGCATCATCCACCCATCGTCTGGTCTTATCATGTCATGTCTGTCAATCAAATCGTGAACACAGTTATGATTTCGCTTCTTCACACGATACAGTAAGAAGTCCACGGCATCAAATGGGGTTGTGAATAAATAGACTTGGCGGTGTCAAGCTGCTGGGGAGCTGGAGTGGGATTTCTGGGATCAGTGGCGGGTGTTTCAGGTAGGGTAGGGGCAGGAAGGAGATTCCTTCTAGAAAGAGGGGAGAATAAGCGTGAGGGAGGCGGTGCAGGGTTGCAGTGTTATTAGAGGTGTTTGATGTTCATGATGGGTGATGGTGCCTTGTTTGAGCAGTTTGAGTGGGGTGATTGATGCTGATGCTTGATGCGGGTGCGGGTGGTATGAAGATGTCTCGCAGTTTGGCAATTCGTTGGAAAGGGGGAGCTCGTTTCAATTATTGGGAGAATTATTGGAGAGGGGAGATGGTGATTCATGGCCTATTGAAGGAGGATATTCTGGGAGAGGCTGTGAGGGGATTTGCATTGATTGGAATTGAATCTATTGATATTTTGTAAAGGGTCACTCAATGGGTCGAGGTTAGTGTGGTCTCGCACTGGGTCCGAGATTTGGCGGAGGAGCGAAGTTCGTCATCGCTGATCTGGCTTCCACGACCCAACACGAGGCCCCTAAGAATGAATCCCAGCACGGCCAGTCTTGGCAGTGTCAAAATCCTCAATGTTGCTCAGTTGGGTGGAGGATGGGTGAATCATACCTCGAAATGATCATTGTTGCTGCACAGAGGATGCACAAACTACTGCATATGTCACTCTTTACGGCGTTCTCTGACAGCTGTAGGAGCACCAAGCTTACTTGCTCCGTCGCACGTGCCTTGGCCCTGCGTACGAAAGTACCGTTCTGACTGCATGTCCCTCCTTTTGCTCCTCTTCCTCCTCCTCCTCGCATCTGCAATCCACCCGCACCTGCAGTCAGTTGCCTCTCTTTTGTATCGTCGTCCGTCGCCTCCGCCTCCCCCTCCCTGTCAAACTATGCCCCCTCCTCGACACTCCCAACACCTCTGTTACAGCCTACGCTTTGAGTGAAGCCACCAAGGGACACCAAGATCATCCACGCAAGGTTCCACTTTGCATTAATATGCCCACCATTTCTCATACGTTCATCCATTATTGCATTCCCCATTCCATACTTGAGTACCAGTTCGTTCTACTGCCCTTCCCGTTAATACCTTCCCCTTAATACAATCCATTTATTCTCCCTTTCTATTTGCATCCACAACCCTCGTCCATCTCCCGTCATAGCGTGCCAGAACAAGAGCCACTTAAGTACTAGGACTTGCGTACTTCCATTTGAGTGTTCTTGATCCCTCTTCCTTCGCTCTGGCTTCTTCGACTCGCGTCCCCAGGATACCGACTCGCCATTGCATGCATTATTAAGGTCTATTCACGACTCGTCACTCGTTCTGTCTTTGAGTCTTCGCCACGCAACAACAATAATTAAACATATCTTTCTCTCGAAAAGGCTGAGCCGTCGAGCAAACATATCCACTCGCATAACTTGCACTTACGAATCACTTCTTGTTCAAGAAGTCATATCAACGTCGTCGCATCGAACCTCTTTCACGATCGACAAACAATCAAAGCGAGAAAGTTTAAGGAAACTTTGCGAACTCTCGGACTTGGGAACTCTATCTTATCTTCAGACCTACATCGTACCTCTCCCCTCATCTTATACATCGTCACTCTTCACCTCACACCAACTTCCTCATCGTTCAATATGCGCACCACACAACGCTTCCAGTCTTTCTCCTCGAGCATCCGCTCCTCTCTCCGCCGCTCATCCTCCGCTTCTCATGGCTCAATGACGTCTAGTAACAGAGACTCATATGCTTCCAACACCTCGTCACCTATCACTACCATCGATGCTATTATGCGGAGACAGCCTTCGATGCTAGATATGGAGGAAGAGAGGAAGAGCTTCGGCTCTGGATTGGAGATCTTGGAGCCGAGACCATTGGTCTACTGGGGTGGACTGGAAGAGAGAATGGGATCTTTGTAGAGTGGTCACTGTCTTTCTTGGGAAATAGAAGATAGGTGTCTTCGTTGCTGCTGATGATCTGACAAGATCTTCATCGATGCTTGGAGAGGAAGGATGTGAACAGACTTCCATGTCTGATGAGGATGATGTTGGGGACTACGCAGGCTCGATATCAATTTTCAAAGTTTCGAACGGCGTTTTTTACGATTCTCACGGCTAGGAATATACGAATCGACTCGGTGGATTTTTGGTATGGATGGGATATGGTGGGCGCAACGGAATATGCGTGTTTTCTTCTTGATGGATTCTTCTGGTTGGGATGTTGATGGGACAATGAGGGGAGCTCGGATTGGTGATATACCAGAACTTGTATTAAGTACGCATTCGACTACTAGATTTCTCGGTGTTGATACGGAAGATCTCTTACAAGGAACAATCTTTTTTTGACCTCACAATTACTTTACATCGTGTTTGAAGTGAAATTGTGGTTCAAAATAGGAGACTACGAATCAGAAGACGGCCTTGATCGTGATTGGCGAATGAAAAGTCGTCCCATTCTCACCGCCCGCCTGTTAAGACATCCCACCAAGATCTTATGATTCTCATTCACCAAAAGGACTTCTTTCTCTACAGCTAGAGTCACAAGTCTACTGATGTTAAACATGCGCCTCTGACATTCCTTTTTCAATGCCCACTCATTCAACATGTCTCTCCCCAACGAAATTGCCGACATCGGTTCACCTCCCTCACCAGAAAACGAAGAAGATGAAGACTTACAACCAGCGCAAATGGCTCCTTTGAGAACGGGTGATGAAGAGCTGTACATCACCAGGTCACAAGCTTATAATCTCTATACGTCGCATTTCCTGTCGACGTGGAATATCAGGACTTATGAGTTTGCTGCCGTGAGTATCAGATGATGAGTTTTGGAACTGTTGCTAATGGAAGGGAAATAGATCATCTTCACGCAAGCTGCATATCCGAATACTTTGAGACCAGCTGCTGTTCGGTGAGCTTGATTCCTTCTTCTTCTCTATTGGTCTTGTACCAGGAGAAATGGCCATGATCACGTGAAGCTAACTTCCAGCAGTGGCATCGTGAGAACATTGGCATCGATATGCTTGACCTCCAAAGTCGGCCGATGGGTAGATCAAACTCCCGACCGCTTGAAGACCCTCATAAACACCATCTCGGTCAACCGAATAGCAGTCATCGGTGCATCAGTGTTATGGTTCTTCATCGTAGAGCCAAGTCACGGAGGAGCTCTTCATTCTACATACGGATCCGAATACGTCGGCCTTCCATTCCCAGAGCTTCTCAAAGGAGGAATCTTCGCTCTTATCCTCATGCTCGGAATCCTCGAGATCCTATCTGGACAAGGAAACATGCTATCCATGGAACGAGACTGGGTGGTAACAGTCGCTGCACCAGCAGGCCGACCATACGATCTCACACATTTGAACGCAGTCACCAAACGCATCGATCTGATCTGTAAACTCATCGCCCCGATACTCATCTCAATCATCATCTCTTCAACTAACAACAAAGTCGGAGTCCTGGTCGTTGGCGGAATGAGTGCTTGTAGTTGGTTCCTAGAAATTTTCTGTGCGAGAATGGTCTGGAACAAGAATCCTAAACTACAAGCTCCGAAACCATCGGCTCGAAAATCTCACCTTGGTCCCGAGGAACGAAGGAACATCTTCATTAGAGCGAGAGAGGGATTTGAGCATTACACTCAAGATTTCAAAAACTACTTCTCAAGTCGTGTTTGGATCCCTTCTTTCTCCCTCGCTATGCTGTATTTTTCGGCTCTGGCGTATAGCTCGAATTTCGTTACGTTTTTGATCAATGCTGGTATTTCGCTCGAAGTTATTACTATTGCTAGAGCGTGTGGGAGTGTAGTCGAGATTAGTAGTACACTTGTGACGCCTTTCGGGGTGAGGATTTTGGGGAAAGCTGTTAATCATGGGCGGTTTAGAGGGAGAGAGAGGGGTAATTCTACGGCGGCTTTGCTTCAGCATGAGGTGGAAGCAGACGAAGAAGAGGATGGGAACGAGGAGAAGTGGAGAGCTGAAACGGGGTGTGAAAGATTGGGACTTTGGGGATTATCGTGGCAATTAGCTAATCTGGTTTGTTCTTCTACCTCTCCATTACTTGATCATGCTAACAAAGCCCAAGATCCCCGTCGTCCTAGCACTCTTCTACATGTCCTCAACCACAACCTCATCACCAGCCTTCAACCTACCCCTCCTCTCCCGCCTTCCAAACACATTGTCCGGCCTCCCCACCCCCCTCCTAACCCTAACCCTCTTCACCTTCCTCTCGCTCTCGCGCCTCGGCCTCTGGATCTACGACCTCACAACCCAACAACTAACACAAACGCTCGTCCCGCCCACCCACCGCTCGTCCTTCACCGGCGTCGAGTACTCGTTCTACAACCTCTTCGAACTGCTGCAGAACGTTGCTGCGCTGGTATTTGCTACGCCGGAACAGTTTAAGTGGCTAGCGGTGTTGAGTCTCGGGAGTGTGGTGGCGAGTTGGGGGATGTATGCGGGTTGGGTTTGGTGGGTTAGGGGGCATTTGGTGCATTGGGATAGGGTGGTTTGCGGGAAGGAGTGTGGTGGGGAGAGGAAGAGAGGTGGTGGAGGGGGTGAAAGGGAGAGGTGATGAGGGTTGGGGTAAGGGCGTTTTGATAGGTGAAGAAATGTAGAATTCTGTATTGAATCATAATGTAATAGAAAGAGTACAGGAGTATGGCTGGCTATTTAAATTCGATCCAGCTGACTCTCTCAAACAATCACTATAATCTACTCTTAAACATGCATCGGCGTAAGTCTATCTTTCTTCCTCGATTCCAAGGGTGTCCAATACGCTAAGTAGGACTTGGTAGCTTCAGATCTGCTGCCATAAAGGTGTTTATCCTAAGCGGAGTTAGGCCAATTGGGTAACTGGGACTTAACCCTGGCTTTACTTTTGTTAGTATGAGATCGTGGCAAATGAAGCGAGAGAGCGCACATATGTCTTCTATTGTCCAGAATATTACAAGTAGCAATACACGGAGCTTGTTCTACAAAATATTACTGTGCTAGATGAATTCTAATCTTAATTCCTTCATGAAAACGCTTGAGACAATAGCCACTTCGTGCAAATCATAACAGGCCATTATACAAAGATCGATGAAGAGCAAGATTGCTCTCTTTCAAGCTACTCATCTAAGTCCCATCATAGTCACACACCCCTTCCAAAATGTTTCAGCTATAGACTGTTCTTCGCTAGCAACTCCTTTTAGGTTGCGATGGCTGCTTGCGCCCACCAATTGCCATCGCTCGCTTGCCCCTTTTCAAGTTTCGGTTGATTCCTAATTCCAAGCAAGCAGTCTGATTTGCCATGTGATTCACAGGTTGTACCAAATCCCATGAGCTCTATTGTCACTAGGAACCGTAATACCAGTTGACTTCTACTGGGAGACAGTCAATTGCTATCCACTCACAACTTGTAGCTTATTCCATTTGTCCTTGTTCCTGCGTGTGACCGACAATTGCGAAGATTCAGGTCATGCCCAATCGATCCTGGATCCTAAGCAAACACCATTCCATTTCCACTGGATTCACATACCCGTGTCTTGTTTCTTCAACCTTTCTCAATGTGTCAACAACGGTCATGAATGTCCTCCACTCGACCTCCCCATCACATAACCCGATATGCATGTATAACACCCAATCACAGCGCTTCAACCCTGACCCTTTCGATCTCTCATTCCTGCTCTTCTTTTTTCGCTTGACAATCATCGTCTACAACTAGCATTAATCTTCCAATTCATGAACACAAAAGACCTCAATGTCTGATGAAGGGTACAACATTACAGAAGACAGAAGCTGCACAATAACAACTCCATTTGGCAGGACGATAACTTGGACCCCAAGACCTCATACTCTCTTCCCACGGCTGCCTGCAGCACCCACACCGCCCAACAGTCCAGTTGAGGAGCGGAGTCCTGAACAGTGGTCCAACGGCTTCTATGGTTATTCCGGAGTTGTAGTTGGGAAGGCAGAGGAAAGTGGCGCCACCAGATCAGGAAGAAAAGGAAGCAAAGCAAAACGAATCTTGGAAAAAGTTAGGACATTGAAGTCGAAGTTCACGACTCGGCTACGTATGCATCCCGATCGTCCTTATTTTGGCGAGCGAGGGGATTCATTAAATTACACAACACAAAACTTCGCTTTTACAACATCATCGAGCAACATTGCTACGCTGACCAGAAGATCGAAGAGCGGAATGATGAACAGGATGCGCGAATACTGGCAGCCTGTTAATAGATCAATTCCGAAAGAAAACGCGTCCAAAACGGCCAAGAGGGAAAGGCCGTGGAGAAGATTCACGCAATGGAATAGCGCCACTTCCGACACTGAGTCAAACCTTACTGAAGACTGCACATACAAACAAATCTTGAACAATCCTCTTACTTCTAACAAACCCATCATGATACAAAGAGCCCGCTCCGACAACTCCGACACCGGTGGTAGCATGACTTGCCAGCCTCCAAGCGCGTTGGATTGCGCGTATACCACAAGATCTAGACATTACGAACAACAAGCGGAAGAAATGATCGCAGCATCGCTTTCAACCGCTGATGAATTTCCTGAAGAGAAAGACTCAAAAGCGAAATGCAACCACAAAGGATGGAGACTCTGCTGTTTACGCAAAAGAGACAAAACCCCCGCGGAAGAGCAAGAGCAAGACCCATCTGGTCAAGGCGCAGGAAACACAGCCATACCTGAAGACGCGGAATATCTGACTACGTATTCCGATTCTGGGTCAATCGTGAATATTGCGCTCGAGAGCCCTATAATCGACGACAGTCTAATGATCCGCAAGACATATGACCTTCGCACATTGGACTATTCACTTTCGGAGGGACAGTATGGACAACACAAAACCAAGCAGAACAGCAATCTTCGGGTTCCTCGTCTTGCGGCAAGACAACGACAAGTCTCATCTGACGAATCCGACGAATCCGACAAACCTGAATTGTCTCCCCACTTCGACGATCAAGATCTTGCAATGGACGATGAGATCAGCGATTTGGACCTGGACCTGTCTGATCCCTCTGTTCCTGTCCACCAGCCATTGGATCGCAAAGCACTCGCTGCTCGTCTTGGGTCCTTGCCAAAGCTGAGAATTCCCACGTCTCCGCAAAGCGCGAACACCCTCATTCAGCGACAATCGAGAGATATGGAAGAGATCTCTGAGAAAGTATCAAGCTTGGATATCGATGAGCCAGCCATTGAAAGCGTGTACCATGACGCGGAGGAGGAGAGGACAGTGGAGGACAACAAGTTGAAGGCGGACCTCAAGGAGGCTATTGGAACACCTTTGCTTGACCGAGTCGCTAGAGAAGGCTCACAACCACAGGCCCTCCGAAACCTTCTAGAGAATCCAGCCACTGAGGCTATTGACGGATCGTATGTCGAAGTATCGCCAGACACGTACCTCAGTTCCAGCCCCGTATACCTTTGCGTCGCACACCCATCTCTCGACGACTTTGTCGATGAGTTCCGCCCAACTAGCCCCAGAATTGGAAATTATCCAGCCCTCGACAGCTCGGCTACTTCCATCGACTTTGGCTTTCACCCAACAATTGAGACGATGCCTGATTCTTGGAGCGAAGAATCTGAATCTGCCATGGAATTCCCATCCGAGACCACTCATAGCCAAGAGGGTAGGACCTGGAGAGACTTTTCAGCTGCAGATCTACCCATGGGAAGAGTCGACGAGCAATCGTCGAGATTTGCTAGGGTTAGGGAGGCTCAAGAGTCTTGCAGACCTTCTTCTTTGGCAAATGGTCGACGCTCTGATGATTCGATTAGCTCGGTGGAGGCTCACTGATTGTACATACTAGATTTGCTGGCGTTGGAGACGGAGGAAAATGGGGATGGGATGGGCTGTTTGTTTCGCTGGTGTTGACAGGGTGGGAATGGGATGGTGATGAGTCCTCACAGGTCTTCTCAATGTGAGTCGATGAGCTTTGGTCAACGCCCGGACTTGTACATAGACGGCGTGCCAGATCTTGTTGGACATAAAGACTGCAGTCTAAGAGTCGAATGTTATGCTTTGAATGTACGATAGGGAAACAAAACATGGATGAACCTTCCTTCAGTACCTGTGTATGCCATTACGAACGCAACGTGTGAAGATAGTGAAAGGAGATCCTGGTATTGCAAACAGAATACAAGAGCACAAATGAATACAACATGCAGTGTGATCGCAGTACAACTAACGGTAGCAAAACTGTGTGAAAATACCCGGTGTCACGATCCTCGGACAGCAATCACTCTCTAGTGGTCCTGCCCAATTTGTTAGTCCCCTCTCCCAACACACCATTCAGTGGGCCCCAGGTGCAGGAGCACTCGTATCTTCTTGCACGATATCCCCTCAAGCATCGTATGTTGTGTCTTCGAGGAATTGATGTCATCACAGTACTTCGTAGGCAGAGCCTCAGATCTTCATGAGGTTCAAATTCAGGGATCATAAGCAGGATTTAACGAGGATTACATTATGGTACCGAACATCCCAGGCTCTTCCCGACCCGATAAGCCCCCGTTACCTGGCCTACAATCGCGCTGTCAACAGCTGCTGCAAGATACCACACCATTCTGCAAACCAAGGCAAACCGTCCCAAAACCTGCATATCCGCACATTCCTCTTCCCCTGCAACAGAAAATAAAGATATTGATTTGGTAATCGAAGTCGTATTCGACCCCCGCTAATTAAAGAAGTGTAGTGTCCGGCCTAACGAAAGACGTGGGTGGGCTGTCTGCGAAAAGCTTCACGAGGAGGTTGGGGCCAGCCACAGAATTATTGCATTTCTTCAACCACCCATTTTAAGTGCACCCAGATTCTCTTCCCCCTAATCCCCATTCTTCACTCACAGACACACACATTCTCGAGAATTCTTCAGTGACGTTTTGAATTTTGGTGTACGGAACACTCAATTGATAGGCACGATACATCACATTCGTTTGTTTGCTGGAGCTTCGAAGTTGGTTGTCCGAGGTGGGGTTCGTTGCTACACCGCCGGCAAAGGGAGCTTCTCAAGAAGCTCAACGACAAGAAACCGATCCAATTCGAAGGCCACGACGATATTCCACACGATGCGATTTTCACAGACTCCTCCGAGCTTGATCAGCTTGCTGCTCGTCGCACTCTCCCAAATCAATACAGTCAGTGCAGGACCATTTCCCAAAGATCCATTGCATGATCTGCTGGGCTTAGGATGGCTACAACCTCGAGACTGCGCATCATACTGCGGCGCCGAAAACCAATACTGTTGTACAACAGGGCAAGCATGCTTCACCAATGCTCAGAATGTTGCATATTGTAGCGCAGGAGCAGCAGTGTCGGGCTATGGAGTCTACACCACAACCTGGACAGAGACCGACCTCGTCACCTATACCAGCACCTACAGTTCCTACTACCAAGTAGCGACCACGACCCAGGTATGGGCATCAGCAACCACATACACAGCAGCTCCAGCAATCTGCACAACAAGTTTGGGTGAATCCTCTTGCGGTACTATCTGCTGTGCTCAGAATCAACAATGTGCGTTCGCTGGGTCCTGCACAGCATATACCTCCACATATATTGCTGCAACAAGCACATATTCGGCTCCTCTACGACCTACCAGTGGCGGCGTCTCAACTCAAACTTCAGTCGTATCTGCTACCACGACCGCTCCATTCATCTCACCTGCCACAGCAAGCGGAAGCACGCTCCCAGTCACCTCAGCGAGCAGCAGTAGTGGTCTTTCCGCCGGAGCAATCGCTGGAATCGTCATTGGTGTAATTGCAGGCGTTATTCTCCTCCTCCTAATATGCTTCTGTTGCATTGCCCGATCCCTGTTCGACGGTATCCTAGGACTATTCGGTCTCGGAAAGCGACGAAATCGCGATCGTCGCAGCACCGAACGAGTCGAGGTCGTAGAACGCTATTCTCGCCATGGATCCGGGACCGCTTCTCGTCGAGACACGCATAGTGGTTGGTTCGGAGGCGGAGGTGGAGGACGACCAGCACGTGTTGTTGAAGAACGCAGAACGGAGAAGAAGAGCAGCGGCTTCGGAGGCCTGGGAATGGTTGGTGCGGGATTGCTTGGTCTAGCAGCCGTTCTGGGATTGAAGAGGAGAGAAGACAGGAAGGCGAAGAGTAATGCGGCCAGGAGCGATATAAGTAGTTCTTACTACACAGACTCTTATACCGGAACCAGTGCTAGTGAGTAGCCCACGTCCCCCCTTTTCCTCGCTTCGCATGATGTGCTGACGAAATATCAGGCAGCCAAAGTTCAGACCGGCACACAAGGAGATCTGGAGGAACTCGCGGAACACGCCAAACCAGCAGGCGGTAGTTTATCCTCTTCTGGACATTAAATATTGTTTGCTTGTTGCATATTTTCGGAGCGATTCATCTAACTCATATTTCCGGCGTTTGGCATTGGGACATTTTTTTCGGCATGAATGAAAAGATTGTGGATGAGCGAAATGGATATACCAACGAAAGCTTGCTGATACTGAAATGAACGAAACTGGGGATGTGGATAGATGATTGGGAGTGCATGTTGAAACGGAGGAAATCTGTATATTGTACCTTCTGAACACACTCTTGACCCCATAATGGATGATGTTGATATGGTCTTCTCAAATTGATTCGAAGTCTAGAATTGTGACAAAATCATATATAACCTGTGACTTGTGAATTGGTGGTTATCGAAGCCTCATCTGCTCAGAGCCTGTTTAGAAAGTGGAAGAACGAGATATTGCAAGGACGAATAGAAGTAGCGCGAATGCCTGCCTGCCTATCTCTGAGTTCAGTTCCGGAGACCAAGCAAATAGACAGATAAATCATGCACTCGCAAGAAACTTTCTCATAGTCCCCAGCCACAAGCTCTTTCCAACGCCTAATCTCCACCCCAAAGTCGGTCTTCAGAATCAAGAAAGTGAGTTCTTTTGTTCGCAAGATTTTCATTCTGAGCACCTTGCTACATAACAGGCAAATGCAAAGGCAGCCGATATGCTCCGCTTCCCAGAGAGTGTTCATCGATGAAAGAAAACCAAGCCCAACCCATTGACGCTCCGCCCGTTCATGCCTCCTCGATGTTACCCTTCTCCGAAACGTACAGACCGTCCAAGAACTATATGGATTATGTATTAGCATTTCCTGTGCCAAATTCCGATCCCTGTTTCCAGATATTAGGAGGGGTTCTCACCTTCCGAATATCCTTGTTTCGCACTCTGCAGATCTGTTGGATGTCGGCGGCACTTTGTGAGACGTTCTCGAGCGAGTTTCCGGACAATTGCAGCTCATCCTTTTGGGTTGTGGAGGCTACGACATCGACGCCTGGTTGCATGACGACTCTTCGGACGATCTTCTCACCGATGAAGTTTCTATACACTCATCAGTCCTTGCATTCTCGCCCAAAATCCCAGCCTCCAGAAAGAGTCCAAACATACCGAATCTCAACCTCGAACAAGCCAGTCTCGTTGTTCTTGTCGACATTGACGTTGATGGGGAAATGTGCGTACACATATCTCATCTTGTACTTGAAGCCCTTGGTAACACCGATAATCAGGTTGTTGATGAGAGTGCGGACTGTGCGGAGGGTGGCGACGTTCTTGCGGGCACCGTGGTGCAGTTCGATGTTGATTACATCCTTCTTGGGGTGCGAGAAGTTGACTGCCAGGTGGTTCAGGTTCTTGGTGAGCTTGCCTATAAAGTTTCCCCTCCTTGTCAGAACTCCTGCCTTTCTCGAACAACATGTAGACTGTGGGATTGGTATGTACCTCGTGGTCCTTCGACGGTAACTTGGCGGGACTTGATGCTGACCTTCACTGTGAGGAGGACCGCATGTCAGTAAATATTCTTTCCTATGCGATATACCAATGTCCAATTTGCCATTTTCGCTGCCGCCCCCTCCTCCTGCTCCTTCAGATTGGGAATTGAGTGTACTCACCACCCTCGGGGACCTGTAAGCTCTCTTCTGAATGGATGTACTTCATTTTGGACCTGTGTCGTTGGTCGTTATGCTGGGCGGGAAATTCGAGGTTGACGGTTCTCAATTTTCGATCGCGATCGCGAATTTCGTGTGTGGGCTTACTTAAGCCACACGTGATCTGAGACTGAGCTGACCCACTTGCCGAATCTAGACTAAGCAAAAAGGGGTAGATAGACTTCACTTCGGCAACAAAGGTACTTCTCATGTCAATAAGCACGGGTTTTGGCCACATTGCTTCTGCTTTTCAAAAATGAGAGACGGGGTTACATTTCATCTTGATGGATCTCCTATCAACCCTGCTCGAAGAACACGGAATTTCATCGAGGTTCAGGATACTGGCTTTGATGACCTTCGCTCTGTAATCTTTCGCATACTTCAAGAATGTTAAAGAACTAAGAAATGTTACGTGGGAAGTTGAGCTCATTACTCCCGATGAATATAACAAAAGGTTATATGCCGACTCCTAAGTAGTGGTCATAAAGTTAATTGGTACCCCGTTGTAAATCCCAGGAACCGACTTACAACCAGTGTGCTGCAAAGCGCGCTTCCGAAATGACATTGAGCGTCACTCACGCGGCAGATTGATACATGAGCTTGGAGATGAGCATGCAACAATACATTGGAGGAGTAAGTGAGTACAGTGTACTCCCTTGATCATATGTTAGTTTTTGCCACTCAATTACTCTACTTTAACTTGAAGAGAGAACTTATGCCGCTTTAAAATACTAAATCACTGACGGACTTTAGATCTTGATACAAATTCTGCTTGTGCACTCTCTTCAAGTTGAAGCAGCATGCCTCCGTATTTTTGGCAAGCTAACATATGATCAGGGGGAGTACACTGTACTTCACTTCGAATGAGAGGTGCTGGAGAGGAAATTTTGATTGTTCGTATCATCAGTCATATCAGCCACCAGCCACCAGCAAATGCTTTCCGCTCAGGCCATAACGCCTGCTACAATGCTTGTGGCCTATCAGACATTTCTTTCAGCATAGCTTTTTACCATGCCTTCCAACGATGGATCGTATTCCACCAAAGACACCTTTCCACTTGATTCATCCAAAAATGTGTTTGCTTGAATGAATACCTTTCTAGGTTGTTTGTTGCGTAAGACTTCATTTCTGATCGTCTCTCCCCAGAACTTTGGTTCAACGCCTGTCATCTCAGCATAGAGCTTCGTTCCAGCCTCAAGGTCTGCCGTTGACTTGTAGATGTGGAGTTTTTGGAGGTAAGACTCGACAGCCTTTCGTCCCACGGTAGTGATCTTGCTTCGATCAAGCTTGATAGTGAGATCAGAAAAATCGTCATTCTTGTAGTCCAGCTTGCAGAAATCATCTGGTGCATCAAGAAAGCACTTCAAGATGCTGAACCGAGCTTGAGAGTGTGCCTGGCCCCATTTCCTGGATTTTGGGTCCCACATTTCGAGAGAAGCCACACCGGCACGAGCCATGGATAAATAAGCCGCGTACAAAATGTCACCACTTTCGCCGTCCATGTTGGCACTGCCATCACCAAATCCAAAGATCTTCAAGATCTCAAAGTCACAGCTCAGCGCCATCGCAACGCACTACGCACCCAATTAGCACTGCAAATGGTTGATGAACATTTGCGACTGACCTCTGCACGGCACTCCTCATAGCTTGATGCGACACTTCCGAAAACCGAACCCCAAGTTTGACCCGGCTTATAGTAGGTGGTCACTGGTTTGTTTGTAACTGGACTGATGGGTGGTGATTCCGGGTTGAAGTTGAACTTGCCAGGCTCAGTCTCCTGCAGCAACTTGCCGGTACCGTGACCAAGCAATTCATGAATGCCGACTTGAACTTCGAATGCAGCATCGCGATACTTTTGATAGATTTCCAGATCGGCTTCTGCAATGAATGGAATCTTCTCATTCGGAGCCTTGGCGCTTAAGACGTTTCCAAGCGAGACATTCTTGAAGCCCTCGGATTGGCGAATGTCATCGTAGTTGGGCTAAAAAAGATGTCAGCTCGACTTCCGCCGAAAAGATGGACCTTCAATACAATGTTTATACCAGCAGGAATTCCAGAGCCTGCAAAGGAAAGAACTTCTAGACTAGTGAAATCAGGGCTCAGAAATTTGTCCTTCTCAAACTCTTTCGACCACGGAAGCTTTGGAATCATTGACTCAGCAGCATCGACCAAGGATCCGAAAGCTCTAGTCCGCTCCAGATTCACGGTTGCAGCGAAGCCTAGATGACCTCTTTAGTAAGTTGATAGGATGCGGACATAGAAGACTAACCTTCCCACTCGCCTCGAACACCATGAGGATCTCTATACGTCTCAACGAAACCAATATTCGACTCAACCATGGGACCTTTATCTCTGATCCAAAATCGTTGAGCATTCTTGAAGGCTTCGAGAGATCCTTCTTCAAAAGACTTCGCATAAGCAAGTTGCATGTTCTTTTGATTCTCGTTGGCAGCATTTTCGGCCGCTTTCTTGTGATAGTCGGCAATGAGAGCCATTTCCTTCGCATGGTCTCCAAAGACAAGCTTCAACTTACGGCCTTTCAATGAGCCGGTGTTGATGTCGAAGATTGTCTCCTTGCCAATGTCCCCACCTGAAGCTGGGACATTCGTTACTGCTGAGGCAATCAACAAGTCGAAGTTCCCGTCGGCATCTTTCCTTAGTCTGGTGTTTTCCTGTTCGATCGATTATTGACGGTTCTGAATTGTGAATACACGTGAACAAATAATGGTGCATACCACAAGAAGGCCCTTCTTCTCCAAAAAGTCAGACACTTCACTAATATCTGCTTTGGTGATACCCTTCGAATTCGGATAGTAGGTGGTCATATGGCCCTAGATAGAAGTTAGCACCTCTCTCTAGAGGATCTGACAGAAAGTGCTTGCCTCGTCCAGATAGCCCAGATGCATGATGCCAGAATTGTCACTTGAGAAAATGGCTCCCTTCGTTGCCTTGTAGTGCGCTTCTGCTTTCGGGGACGTCGCAGCCAGAGCTTGAAAGGCCTTCTCCGTACATCGAGGAACAAACTTGGCATCTCCGAAGCCTTTGTAGTTTCCACAATTCCCTAGAAACTGGCCCGCATATTCGAGGAAGTATTGCAAGTCTTCGGTAGTAACCCCAGCCTTTTCCTGAAGACTTTTCCAATCCCCATTACAAGCTTTATAGAGCTCGATTATAAAGTCGTAAATATCCTCAGACTCTGGGGAAACTTGTCTGAGTGTAATGCGGGTTCCTGTGAAGGCAGCTCTACAAATGATGTCAGCTTTACTAGATCCAAATGCCAATCTAGCTACATATTCTCTGAAATCTTCATTACATGCTCAATGTTTTCCCATAGCTCTACTTCGTACATACCGAGAAATGTAATGGGCATAGCGGGCTTGTTGGTCTGTCAATGCATCAAAGTGCTTCTTGATCACAAGATTTACCGTACTTGGCGGCGAGTCCGCAAGGAAGTTCTTGAGCTCCTGCGCGTTCATCTTGAGATGTTGTTGAATGCTGAAGAGTCTTTTGGAAGGAGAAGATAGTGGTAGCATGTCACGTCTGGAAGCTGACGAGGGGTTCCTCCTTGCAGGACACGCTAATAACGCAAGGCTGTGGAAGGTGCGAGCGCGGGGCAGGAGCGAATGAGAGCACAACAGCCTTGTGTAAGTGTGACGAGCCTTGGGAATACATTTTGACATCCTCCTCGGCACTTGATGGTGTACATGAAATGCTATAAAATATTTTCAAGGAGTTTACTGCTGACACACGGACCATGTGATATTAATTTCGGCATCGAGAATTTCGGTCTAGGTCATATGTAGAGCAGTACACATGAAGACAGTCATCGACCGCTTTATTTAAGCCACTGTAGAACACCATGGCTCTTGGAGGGCAATCAAATCACATTCTTGCACTTTTCCAGTATCCTTCCATATCACGAGTATTATCAACAGCTACTTGTAGGCCACGAACAACTTGATCGTTCTGTAGCCGAGGTGGGAGCAAATAATTCGTAGCGGAAGAAAGTCGAACACAACTTGTAGGATGCAAGTGGAAATGCTCCTGCTGTAACTTTGATGATCGTTTTCCAGTAGCCCATGCAAGCTTCGCCAGCCGTAAAAGTCTAATGTTTCTAGCTTGTTGTATCATTGGTTAGTCACATCCTCACGACAATCTCATCTGTGAGCCCATGTTGCTTTGTGAAGGTTTCGTAATTGCAAATCTGATTACAAAGCGCCATAGCAATTCAGACCATTGCCATCCAGGTCAAATGCACGCGACTGGTTGATCATTTTCCGCATCCACTGTTCTACGCCCGACCAACCAGAAATACCCATCTACCAGACCATCTCGTGTGGCCTATCACCCTTTCGCAAGCTGAAGGTACTGGCAAGGTAGCTGATGAGCATTGGCTCCTTCTTGATGGTGGCCAAAAGAGCCTTGTCGACTGCCTTTTGGTCTGCTGCGCGGCTGCTAGATGGCTTCTTCTTCTGTCATTCCAGTCAGCACAAATCGCCAGATCTCTAACAGTTTTGCATACCTCTGCCTTCTCGCCTTGCTTGAAGAACGCCTCCTCACCCTTCTTCTTCTCACCCTTCTCCGCCGCAAAGTACTTCTCGCTACCGACCTCCTCTACCTTCTTCGAATCAACACCAGCGAGATCAACCTTGTGGGAAGTGGCGATAACATAGCGAGCATTCACTCTTCGGAGGGGAACACCGTTGATCTTGAAGGGGCCGGTGACAAGGAGAACACCTTGGTCGAGGTTCTTCAGGAGGATGACGCGCTTGCCACGGAAACGACCAGCGAGGAGAATGAGAACGGTACCAGGAACGAGACTTGGGCGAGGAGTAGAGACACGGATAGATTTGCGAACCTGAAAGTAATTAGCAATAGATCTATGTGCGTACTTTCTCGCAAGAGTGCTGGGCCAGGAAGACTGCAATTGCGATCGCAGATCTCAGAATCACTTCCGATCTCTCACAATCAATCACAACATATATCCCATCCCAGCGTCTCTGCAGGATTATCCAAACACACCTTCTTGGGTTGCGCTTCATCTTCTGCTGGGTACCATTTCTTCGCCTTCTGACTGTGATGAGGAACCTCTCTCGTCGACTTGCCGAAGGTCTTAGTCTGAGCAGCTGGTCTCGTTGCTTCTAATACGGCCGACATTGTGAGGATTGACCGCTTCTGGGAATGCTGGGCGGTTTGTTGCTGTGTCGTTAGTCGTGATATGGAAAATTAAATCCTCAATTCCAATATTGTGTGTCGTGCTCGCTTAGGCTGCTTCCTTAGCGGATTGGGGCAAAAAGTGGGTCAAATCACATGACATGGTACATGCGCGTAAAATCGCAGCCTTCTCGCGACTGAAGCTCCTAGCTTACCAGGAACGGTTCACAGCTCATTATCCTTCCTCAAAGACAACGAATTTCAAAATGTCGATCTCACCAATTATAACTTTCAAAGCTGGTCGATGTGAACTCGACGTACGTATCTAAAACCCTGGTGCCAAAATCTCATTCTCACCTTTACATAGACATCGAGCAAGCCGTACAAGGTGAAGCCTCAAGCTACGCCTGGTTACATCTATCTGTATTCCGAAGATGGTATGTTGTCCAACGCTACAATATGCAGTATGTTAACCTGTTAAGAACTCATCCACTTCTGCTGGCGCGAACGGAGCAAGCCCATGACCGATGAAGATAACCTCGACCTGGTTATGTTCCCTACCGACGGGCACTTTGAGCCTTACGAGTACAAGACCTCGAACCAACCCTCCTCCAAGACGAATGGTCGTATATTCGCTCTGAAGTTCGCCTCGTCTTCCCAAAGATATCTGTTCTGGATGCAATCCGGTTCCCAGGCACAAAACGGAGATGCCAGCTGGTTCAGTCCTAGAGATCTGAAGATTGGCCAAATTGTTGATACTCTGCTGCAAGGCGAGGAGGTCGACGTATCCGAAGAGATTGCCCAAGTACGTGGTAGCGGAAATGGAGGAAATGATGATGATGAGACAATGGAGGATGTTGAAGGCCATGGCGATCCAACGGAACAACACCAGGGAGGGAGTGGCGGTGCTGGACCAGGTGCAACTGGAGGAGATATTCGAGAGGAAGGATCCGGTGCGAGAGAAGGTGGAGCTGATGGTGGACGAGCGTAGGTCAAATTTCATCGCATACATGGCATTCACTGGGCATTTACGACCAAGGCGTTGCAAAATGGGGTATGAGCGACCTGTGTACTGTTAGGCAGATACGAACGGAATGAACATCCAAATTTCAAGGTTATGACTTGCTCTGTGCTTAGGCTGACACCTTGACTAGTGCAGGTTCAGGGCCTACAGATGCCGCTACGGTGGTTCAGAACTTCCTCAACTCCTTGAAAGGTGGGCAGGGTATGCAACAACAAGCCCAGGGCCAGATTTATACTACCTTACCAGACCTCCTCCCTACCTCCATCACAGTACCGAGCATAGACTCTGCAAAACCAGCCGACATCGACAATCTTTTGAGTTATCTCCCTCCAACCATCCTCCTCCTCGCACAAGAGTCAGCATCAGCAATTGATGGCCTGGTTGAACCAAATGCCGAGACAGCTAATGCAGCACTTGAGGCCTTGAGCTTAGAGCAAAAGAAAGCGCTCCTGAAGCGGGTCCTGAGAAGCCCTCAATTCCATCAGAGCCTGGGTAGCTTGACGATGGCAATACGTGACGGTGGGTTGCCCAGCATCGCTGATGCTTTAGGAGTCAAATTGCAGCATGGAGGACTGGTTCGGGGTGGCAGCGTCCCATTGGGTGGTGGAGATGCTGTTGAAGCTTTCGTTGAAGGTGTGAAGAAGACGGTGGAGGAGAAGAAATAAAGTGGAAATGATTTGACACCAGACTTGCATGGCATTCGCCATTGTATTACACTCCTGTATCACATAGAAGACCTAGACCGGGTTCGCAGAGACCTTAAGAAGCTTAATTGAGAGTCAAAGTGGCAATCAAAAATAGTGAAGACATTGTAAAGTCAAGAAATTCATGAACAAAATGTCAAAAGTGGCACAATTGGCATGGCATGAGCAGTCAGGGGTGATGCTTTGTCAGCACCCGCTTAATTTTCTCCTCCAACGACGACAATATCAACAAAATTCTATTCAAGGAATCACATTCTGCACAAACAACTCAACGCAAGGCCATGGTCGGCTCTTCGCCGGTTCTTCGCAAGAGATGGCCGGTTAGCTGACCCATGGCTCAATCGGGGTTAGCGCAGTTATCCTTACCATTGTTCTCATGGCCTCGCTAAAACCGCAAGACAATGGGAAGCCTCAGAACAATAGGAAGCCTCAAATTCCCGGATGAGCTCAATACCAAAACCATGTTGAGGTATCCCTTGAGAGTTCTCGCCAAATTCTCAATTCTGAGTATTTAAAGGCGCACAAGTTTCTGCTCTTTTCAAAAACCCTCCAACCTCTCAAACCCAAAATCAAAAGTTACTGCATCTGTGTTTACTCTGCGTTCATCTGCACATCTGCGCAACCTTGGGAATGTGAAGCTTGATTCTCATATCAATTGATCGCAACGATACTCCTCAGTTACAGCACAGTCTTTCTGCTTGTTCCTGTCAAAAGATCTCGATTTCGTCAAGCACATCTGTCAGTATCATCCGTCGACATGTCTTTCTGGGGACCACCTCTTCAACCCGCGCAAGGCAATGCACCTCCACCAAATCCTGCCGCTCAAGGTCCTCCACAAGGTGCACCACTTCCATTCAATGCCCTCGGTCTTGGCTTCCAACAACAAACTGGTGGTTTCGCACCGCCACTGAACGCTGCCAACGCTGGCGTCAGTATTGTTCAACCAGCTGCCAATCCATTCGGTTTCGCAAACGTCAACAACGCTCCAGCTTCTACCGTCACGCACGCTACCGCCTTGCAACCTACCCAAGCTACCGACGACTCTGACGATGAGGATGATGAAGAAGATTCCGATGATGAGGATCCCAACAACCTAGACCCCGATGTGGCTTACGACGAAAGTACTCCCATCGAGTTCAGACTCCGCGTCCCCATCAACGTCACCGGCAACAACAACGTGATTGCTATCGACGCTGCTAAGATGGCTCGAACCGTCTCAGCCGCCTTAACCGAGACGCTCCGCGACATGTCTGTTGGCTCCGGTGGTGTTCCCATGATCGATCACAATGGTGTAGCACGCGCCGTCAACATCAGAGTCGATTGCAAGGTCAATGTCAAGGGAGACAAGAATACGGTCGGAGAGAAGGCGGTCTTATCGTTGGTCCCTCAAGTCCTCCGTCAAGCAATGGTCGATGGTGCTCTTCCAATCTCTCCGCTCTCACCAATTGAGGACAGGCACCTTGAGGATGTTATCAACCAGAGAAGATTGGCACTGGCACGTGAGCTTCACAAGAAGCGCGACAGATCACCCACGGCTGATGAGAATGTGGTCGGAAGCTCCAGGGACGAGTCTGAGTCTTCGAAGCGCCATCGTGCACAATAAGAGTGGGAATCGGATTTCTTGCTTATGCTGAGCTGCGGATGGACATATTTGGTGAGGAGAAGAAGGTTCCTACTGCGATTTGCGAGCACATGGCGAAGGATTTACCTTTCATGAATTAGGTGTTGCATTAGCGTTTACTCTGACTGTTGTCAGGCTACCTAGAGCTCGTTGATAAATCAATATAACGAGTTCCACACTTACTTTGCTTTTGACACATGTGAAATCTAGGTTCGAGAAATTGAGTGATCTTCGACAGCAAAATCGAAGTCGGTATTATATGATCTTCGCTATCGTACAGAATTTGGCTTTTGACTCTAACACCACCTGCCTGATATGACTCAAGAAGTCCATTTCATTGACACGTCATTGCGTGATATGTCTTCCATCTGTGACTCCAAGTACACCAGTTCCCTAGATAGCCAACCGCACGAAAAGAAGCAAAAGCTGGCGAACAAATTCCTCGATACCGCTCTCATCTGTAATCGATGGCACGCAAATCGGCTTTGTGTAGTTCTTTGGCCCATTTTGGTAGTTTACGATCACGCTCGTAGAGGAAACCGCAGTTATTGCACAATGTCTAAGATGTGTCAGCGTCAGAGTAACAATTCCGGTGTTATTTCGACGTACTCTTGGTCCTTGGGGTCCGTCCCGCACAGCCCAAACTGAAGTGCCCCAGACCTTACAATGGGAACATCTCCAGGTATTCCGCTCATAATCGTTCAGAGATCCACCCCCGCCATAGCCAGCAATACCACCAACATCGGGAGTGCCTCGTCCAGGTGTACCAGCTCGGGCCAAAGGACTTAAACTTCTGAATCGTCTCTTCTTCTTGCTACGTTCGCCTCTACCCATTCTTTCTTCCGGTGGCTCATCATAACCGCCTCCTCTGTTTTCAGTAGCCTGTGGCATACCTCCAAGCATACCTGTACTTGACGAGAACCTGGCAGTCTCACGTCTCAGTCTTCTGATCTGTCTTTCCCTATCTCCTTCCCTCTTCTCAATCTCGTCTTTGGACAGTTGCTCAACCTTCGGTTCCCATTCATCTGCAAGATGCTCGTTGTCATATCGCCAGCCAGCATCAGCACCGTGAGCGGCATCATTAGGTATTTCTCCTCCATAACCACCAACAAGACCACCGCTCTCGCATGCTTCTTTCTTCAGACGTAGAACAGCTTCATATATGGCATGTGTCATTGCCGGTACCCATTCTCCAGGGAGACCAAGGTCAGCACATGTCTGCTTAGCAAATATCTCTGCTGTCCCGGGAGGATGAAGCAGGGACCATTCGAATTTGTCTGTATAGAGATGATTTGAGAGATTCACGTTCAAGGTAATAATGCACCGATACATATCGTCAGGGTTGTACTCGTCCGATTCGGGAGGGATTACAGAGGCTGAAGCTGTGATATCTTCTGTACTGTTATTTTCTGGTCGCTTTATCGGTGTGCTGAATCCATTTAGATTGCTCGTGCCAATGCGTGAAGGTGTAGCATTTCCACTCCCAGCTGGCGTAGCTGAGGCATCTCTGGATAACGGGCCTTGTTTGATGGTCGTCACTACACCGTTTGTCGTGGTCGTCTGCTGAGAATGGAAGAGAGGATGAAGAGCAACTCCAGCATATTCTTCAAGCTGTGTGCGAATTTGCTTGCTGATCTCATTCGCCAACTGTCCCCGATTTGGCAGATCAAGATCTTGAACCATAGCTTGCGCAAATTGGTCCGTAGTTGTTAGAGTTTCGTGCAAATTCCACATAAATATATCCTTCAGCCGGTACGGTACAGTGGTCTCCTGGGATCTGTATATTGGCAGAGTTGTGTCTATCTTGTGAGCGACTCCCTGTGGAATTGGTAAGGGGGCAGCTGGGGTAAAGGCGGGAATATCGAGGTCAATTCGTATTGGGATTAGAGTCAAGGGCAAGGCGGTTTGGCCGATGTTTTGCAAGTCAGGCTTTGCATTTCTCGACTTTCCCATCCAGTCTCTCCATATTCCTTGTACTTCTACAGGTGCAGTAGCCTCCTTCCCTACCTTGTCGGAAGGATCCTGTTTGGCCTGCCCGGATTCATCTCGTCTTATGCTCCTCAAGCCTGTTGGTCTCCTTCGATTGTCGTCGTCATCGTCATCATAATCGTCGTAGCCATCCTCCGCATAATTGATAGCAGTCGTGCCTCTTTTCGTCGTTCTAGAGAGTGGTGCAGCGAGTGTTGCGGCAGGTTGGATTACTGGAGTGAGGAGCGAATTGGCATAGGTGCGCAATCGCGGAGCATAGCTGGAGATGAATGCTTGAGGGGGGTTCTCAGACGCCATGTTGGGCATATAGCTCACAGCATGTCCGCCCTGAAGCTCAGACTGGTTGATTTCCAAGAGTCCAAGAGGTCGACGAGACTAGGAATGCGCATACAATATTGTTCGCAGTGGTCGAAGAGTGGTCAGGACAGAGTGTCAGATCGCGCTGGCATCGCCGTACCGTACTATTCTGTTCAAAGGCCGTGTGATGCGTCGATGAGGTGTGAAACTAATTTGTGATGAGCTGCTGGTAGTGAATTTGGTCGCGTCCTCTTCGCGACATTTTTGACAGCTTTTAAGCTAAGACCTATTTGAGCTAGGCGCATAAGCTAGCGCATTACCACAACCACAACATCATACCTTCAACCACCATCTCACTTCTCCCTTCTGACAGTTGCACTTGATAGGCAGCTCCGAGTCTCAAACTTGTTTCCACACCTCATAGAGGCCTTAACGGCTGGCTGCACTTGCAATTTCTTCCCTCTAGTAGTGAGAGGGGTGGTACAGCGAATGTCAGCTAACCAAGCGCTGTCAAAATAGTCTCCCACATTCTGAGAAGTATGGATGGTAGGATATGCAGGCCGAAATCCTGTAGCTCTGTGTTATCTCACATTCAGAATGGCTAGTGTCTTCAGTCTACGTCGCACATTAAAGTCAAGATAACTGCACCTTTTCCGTTGTGCTGTACAATTATCTATGACACACCTTTCAGATGCAGCAATCATCTCAATTCCTGGAAAAAATGACAGCACGAGCAGGTCCTCTCCAAATAGGGTGCAGAACATCATGAGTCCTTCACAACAAGAAGAGCGCACTCAGCCCACAGAACAAACCCCCAATACTTCCTCAGCGCACACCAAGATCCAGTCTACAGAGGACAAAAGTTTCAGCCTGCCCGTCGCATCTCTGCGTACCAGAGAACCCAGCAATGGACTCAGCTACATACCTTCATCTGGTGGGAGTCTCCGTGATCGATTTAGATTAGGAAGCGATGCACCATTACCTTCAGTACTTCAAGAGATATTCCAAGAACTTCGATCTGTTTCCCCGTTTGGAGTCGCAGACGATGACTTCCGAAACTCGACATCTGTGCCACGAGAGAATATTGGGCAAGATGACCTAGGGCGGCACAAATGCGCCCAATGTCCCACAACGAAAGCAGCTGATCTTACACTATTTCATCGTTTGCCGGCGGATTTGAAGCTCAAAGTTATATCGGAACTTTTTGCTCCTGAATCGCCTTGTATTGAGGATATTTTTGCAGAGTGCCACGATCCTTGGAGCTGCAGAAATGGTATCCACTCCGGCATAACCGATGTCAGTGTGTACAATCAACGGCTTTACGTACCTTGCCCTCTCCTCACCAGACTTGGTCCAATATTTCATGAAGAAGGTCACAGATTATTCTTCAGAAGGAACGTCTTCGTCTTTGATCACGATCTTACATACACCAACTCTTTCAAAGATCTTGGAAAATTAATAAGATGGTGGAGGAGTGGGGAGCCCTTGCGCGATCCTATCTCAACACGTCTACTGGATTGGATTGATCGACCAGAATGGCAAGGAGTGGGTTCAGAGCAGCATCGGGAGCTAATCCGCGGTGCCCAAAATTATAGTCCCATCCTACTCACATTAGGCGAAGTCGATCAGTATCGTTACAGCATCCAGCATATTGTAATCAAGAACAGTACGCTGGTCAGCAATGGGCGTTTTGAGGACTGGGACAATACTTTGAAAGTCGATTGGAGTTCCTTACGGAACCTTAAAACTTTGTGTCTTGATCTGCGTGCATATACATCCGTACAGACACTTTTCATGTTCAATCCCTCCAAGCAAAAGAGACACGAGCGAAAGCTTGTCGGTGGGGTGGAGGCGATGAAATGTCTGAAATTGAAGTCTTTGATCGTATATGGAGCAGGCGCTGGACCAACTTGGCCAGATTGCCCCCATAAAGAAATGATGCAGCTCATTTTTGGAAAAGCTGTGGCTGTAGATGGGGTGCTAGAGTTTCGTGACACTAGAGATTTGGATTGGTAACTCTCATTTATTATTATTCCAGCTATATGTTACACTGTTTGATGTTGTTTACGCATTCTTGCGGTCTTCGAATGCTAGACGACAGTACCTGCGAATTTCTGATACCCATAGAATAGAGCGTGTTGTGCTATCAATTTTCGTGCATTGATAAGGAATACCAATACCATTTTTCAAAACTGAAGACTGCATCACATGGATTTCTCAAGCCTTCCGGAGCAGGTCCGGATAAGTGAGTGGAATGATCATAGGTCACAAGACGATCGTCCAAGGGGAATCTCTTCACTCCCGCTAGAGGATTTTCTAGGCTTAACATTACATATACTCAAATTACGACAATCCACAAGGTATACCCTAGGCAGTTAATCACTCACAACACCCTCTTTTGAATCATCCAGCCCTCCTTATTTCTCCTTCCTTTCCAACCATCAATAACCATCACTTTACAAGGCCAAAGCCAAACCAAGAAGCCCGACGGCGCCCATAACACCAGCAGCCACAGCTCCAGTCGGGCTGGCTGCACCACCACTGGAGCTGGAGCTCGTCGCCTTGCTGGAACTCGAAGCAACCACGGCTGGGCTGGCAGTCAAGCTTGTAGCCTTGGTAGTAGCACTGGTACTACTCTTCGTGCTTGTAATGGTAGAGTTCGAGTAGCTTGTCGACTTAGGCAGAGAAGATGAGCCAGTAGCTCCAGTTCCACCAGGAGCAGTGATACCGCCGACGATAGCTTCGAGCGAAGCGATTTGAGGCTCGAGGGAAGCATATACCTCTTCGGCTCCGATGATCCAGTGTTGTGCGTCGGATGGGAGGGCTGTGAACCATGCCGGTGGCGTGGCTTCGAGGGAGGAGACAAGGCTGGGAAGGGCAGTTGGGTTATCAAAAGCGGAGATCACATTCGAAGGGACACCGCTGAGGAGTCTGTGAGGGTGAGCTGTTAGTCTTTGTTACAGTGGTAAATGCTTTTAGTTGGGACCAAAATTCGAGAGAACTGGAAAGGTAGAAATGGAGAACCCTACTCAGGAAGAATGCTAGAAGGGGGAGAAAGTGCATCTTTAAGATCTGCTGACAGGACAGAGAGTTGGGAAACGGCAAAGGGGCTACAATTCATGGTCAGCATACATTCGTGTTCCCTAGAATCGACTTACTTCTGAGCAGCAACAACGGCAACGAGGCCAACAGCGACAATAGAGCCCTTCATCTTGATGATATTGATAAAATATTTGGCAGATCTGCGGAGAAGTATTCCTGTGCAGGACTGAGAAAATTTCAAAGATAGAAAGGGACTCCAAAATCTGGGGAAGGGCTCAATATATAAAGCAAACCCAATCTCCACCTCCCTGTCTCTCAATACGGAAAACAGCGCCATGAGGCTCATTCATTATGCAGCCACGTAACTCCTAGCGCCTGTACGATTGGATCTTCTCCAGGAAATTATTCTTAGACAAACACTGATTGGACAATGGGGAACTTCCGTGATGCATGTCTTCCAAAGCGCCAAGCCACGAAACTCTCTGAGTAAATCGAGACACTTGCATCTTCCAGGGAGACAGAAGAAGGAAATAGACGAGGCTCGAGAAAAATCAAGGGGTAACTATCAGATACTCAACTTGAGTAATTATTCACGAGGAACAATGGTACAGGCTGATTTTCTTTCTGCATTTGAACCACCGCAATGCCAAGAAAGTGCTGTATCTTCAAGTAATACATGTTTTGTTCCTTGTGCTGGCAAGACGCGTCCTCTCTCGATTGAAGCAGTGAGACCTGCCATCCCAATGTGGCGATGGAGGCGTCGGGCTGAGTATTTGCAAAAGAAACACCACAAGCACGTGCTGTTGATCCAATCCCAATCCCAATCCCTTCCTTCACGGACTTTCTGGAGACTTTAGCCACCACTAGCTGTCTCTCACAGCTCGACACATTTGATCTCTCTGTATTTACCATCCTCTTGATACAAATTTTGGGATGGGAGTTGAGACTGTTTGCTCCGATTATACTATACAGAAGCTTGAAAGAGAGGAGTCCAAACACAAGGAAGGAGTCACGTTTGCAGTACTTGCTATTCAATCTAGAAGTCAAGATAATATACCATCGATGCGAATGGCAACAGCGAGCTTGCCTTCTTCGATCAACTTTTTGGTTTATATTACTTTCAGTAGTATTACTAAATACACCTATAATATATACAACAATTTATCGATGTTTCTTGTCAATACAAATTGTCCTCTGGCATGCAGCCTTGTATGCTGAGACCAAGACATGACAGAAACCAGTCTGTAGACAACCAGAACCCTTCTGTTCCAATTCTCCACGAACGTTAGAAGTACAGGAAGGAGAAAAGATGCTTGAACACTCACAAAATTGATCTGGATATGATGTTGTCAGCACATAGGGTATCACGAAAGTTTTGGTGTGCAGCTGAAAGGTTTTGTATCTTTCGATATATTATGATGTAAGTGATGAGAATAGAAGCCACTGCCTGCTCGACCCGGGGTAGCTGATATATCTCAGATACATTAGGTGGACATGAATGCGGCACTCGGGGTGCCTCATCTATCTGAGGCGACTAGGGTATCTGTGCCATCCGAATCGTTGTTCGTCCCGAGCCAGTTCCCTCCACTGCAGGAATTTACATGACAGGAATGCAAGGCCTCCAAAGTGAGCTGAACTGGTAATTCCACTCTTATTGACATTTAGCGCTCAATACTTCAGCTCCGTTCCTAGCCTGGAGAATATTAGGGTTGTGATTCGGTGCTCCGGAATTTGTGTTCCAATATTTGATTGCAGTCTTGATGTCACTTTTGTCAACATCAGGGTTAGCTTTTACTGTAGCTTGGAAATCGAGATCCAATGACACGGCATCGTCTGGTGCACCCTCATACGTGGCTATCTCCTTGGTTACGATGGTCAGCTGCGTCTGGTGCTCGACGCCCTGGGCATCCTTCCACTTATAGCCACCTTCTCCGTTGCCTCCAAATTTCTCTATCAGATCATTGACCTTGTTCTCCATGCGAGTTCGTGCTATACCCACTATTTGCCTGAAGATATTTGTTTTGATTGTGTCCGTGGCGGTACCGGCGGGTCTAAAACATCAAGTCAGGACCCTCTCGTAGTGAAAATCAATGGAGCGAGTGTACACCATTCGCTGTCTAGAAGAAGGAACAGACTCAAATGAAGTAGTCGATGTGGAAACACATGAGCGGTAATAGCTGTGATCAACAAGAAATACATGACTCTTACAGTAAATCGATGTTTTTCCTTGTAAATGACATGGTCTCTCTTAGGAGAGTGGCTACATCGTTGATATTGACGCCGATACGTGCAGTTTGGTATGTAGTGCTTAGACCATGGTCGCTACAAGTCTCAAGTCAGCCAACTGTTTCATTTCGAGAATGGTAGTCGCGACAGTCGACAGCATATGGAGTAGGAGCTTTCCATGCTTTAGCCCTTTCATCCCAATTTTATAATAGAAATATTTCGCTGGTGCAGATAGGATCAGAGAACATACCCGGTAATAGTGGCCCCATCTGTTGCTCCCGTATTAGTATTGTAGATGTAATGGGGAGGTGGGAGCTGTGAGTATATCTAGGGGTATTTGCAGGAGCGAAATGCCCCAGGAACACAAGGCTTGCAGGACATCCACGAGAGGGACTTTGGAAACAAGAATCTGAAATACCTGGATATTGAGCAGCTGTAGCATCCCAACCATCTGGGGGATTGGTACCTTTATTTGCTACTATAAATTGACCACAAGTTAGCAATCCATTCCTCTCAGACGGAGTCATAGAACTTGTTCCGAGCCTTGAAGTACGAGGAAGACTTCCTCAAACAGTCCCACATATGAGATCCTCGAGGCACTTACTATATCTGTTGAACTGGTTGAAAGTACACGTTGTCCTCGTACCAACACCCATTGTCTTGCCACAATTAGCAGCGATTGTTTGTGGCCCATTTGGTGCATTAAGAGTAGCATCGATCAGGTACGCATAGTAGTAAAACACTCGCTCATAGCGTGCAGCATCTCCGAATGCTGAGGTAAAGCGGAAGAAAACGATAAGAGCAATGAGGAATTTCATCGTGACACAGTAATACACAAGAAGCTTGAAAAGAGAGACAAGTTCAAAACCTAATGGGTAATGGGCCAGCGACGCCATTTGAGTGCAGCAGGTGATATACGGCTGGGTGCTTGTTCTGTGGCCAAGGCCATACGACGGTCCCTTGGGAATCATGTTCATTCGAATTAAGATTAATTAATAAAGTCCGGGCCATATGAGCTTGAAGCTTGTCAGTCTATTGATTGTACCTTGCGTAGAGCTCGTTTGATCTGGTCGAGAAGCCAATATTTTTGGATCCTGGCCTCGTGCGGCTCGTGCGGTTGAGTTGACTTATTACCCGTTACGCGCCGTCCCTGACCCTCGAGACGAGACTATTCCCAGTAATAGGCGAGCCCCTTTCTTGAATAGGTATTCATTCCGTGACAGCCCTTCGCCGCTCGAGTACATGAAGGCAAAGCTCACCTCAATTTTACAATACCTTTCGCCATCACACTTCAAAACTTCCAACACACCTTATTTCTTAGCAATTTAGAGACCCCAATGGCGGACAATAACGTGCCCGTCATTTCCGCACGACTCTCGATGCAAAAATACACAGTCGATGCCTGTCGAGCGGCTATCAGAGGGGAGATGGTCCCCGTCGCCTTGGGCCTGGAACTCTCTCGTTTGTGTGTCATCCGTGGGATGCGATATCACACCGGCTTCGCAAAAGAGCTGCACGGAACTCTTCCAGAATTCACCCGCGCTCTAAATGCAAGAGCTATCATGAGCAATACCATCCCTGACATGGATGGTTCACTGGAGGAAACGCCATATTGCATCTGGCATCCAGAAGTTGCATCCGAGTCGACGTACCGTTGTCTGGTTCAGCGATATCCCCACATGGCATACCAGGTTGCAAGAGCATGCGCTGTAGCTGGTTACATAGACCTCTACCTGGAGTTGGAGATCGTACCCGATGTTCATGTTGCCGAAGAAGCACGAGAGTGCGGGAATACTGTAATTTTCAATCACATCATGGCCGCATCTGTCACGTACTCTATCATGGACGACTACACTCGGTCTATTGATGCGACAAACTCGAAACCATCCCATTTGAATGGAGATACAGCAGTCCGTTGGATGCTCGACCTCAAACAGGAGTTCACTCGTGCTGATGTTGAAGATGAAGATGATTTCAGCTTGTTTACGAGACGGGGATTCGAAGAGCGTTACCTCAATGTCACCGAAGATATGGGCATTGACGAATATACAACTCCAAAAAGACCTGTATATGACATTACGCCTCTCCTCTCTGCACCACTACCAGTGAACCTGCCGACCGTGGAGAAGGACTTGCTCATCCTCATGGCAGCCTACCACGGTGATATCGACCGCTATGCTCGTCTGCGCAGGCCAGTCATGATCGAGAAGGAAGTGAACTGTTGTGTGCGAGGAATATATCACAACACCATGTTTGCCATCTGGTGGGCTAGACAGTCACATCCACAGTCCAAGCCTGCAGCGATTGGCCAGGCTATCAAGGCACGTTACATCATGAACAATGTTCTGGAACCGATCTCTTCCAACGATTCTTCCTCGCTACCCTATCTCATATCGTATCCGGGGTTGGGACATCCATCGACATATCGCGAGCTTGCCGCACGTAAGCCCCTCATGATGCCCCAGATCCTTCGAGCATGCATCGCGGGCAACTACGCTGAATTGTTCCAGGAGCTCATGACCAAGGCTACGAAGCCGGATATAGAGCTTCTCGTCAAACACCAAAGGATTATTGATCCATATTTCCGAGATGCTTTAAGAAGGCGTATGGAGGAATTGGGGTTTTCTCTTGCAGTGTCATCCAACACTACCCCTGAAGTGCAACTCGGGGGGTGCTCGAGTGTGACTATCCCCCGTGACGCGAGCACAGACTTGGTTGGAACTAGCTTCTCTTCTTCTTCCAAGATGGAATTCATGAATGGACTGCAATGCGATGTCAGCATGGTCGAATTGCTCGCGTGCTTGCCGGAAGAATGGAAATTGGCTGAGGGAGAGAATCGTCACGTGGAGCTTGACTACGTGGAATGGCCGCTAAACGAGGAAAAGCGAGGGGTTTCATCTTGAAAATAGAGTTAATCAATGGTCTATCATGTTTGGGTCGATACGACAATCTCACAATTCAATACTATTGGAGCGGTTCGCGCTTGTGAGCTTGATTTTTACGGCGCAGTCGCCATGTACAATACTGTAGCATCGATCATTTCCGTTGCGGCGTTTACTCGTAAGATCGGTATCATCCTTCTTTGGGAGCTCAGAGCCGACTATCTCAGCGGCACAGGAAAAAGCTCATCTAGACCATCGAAGTTTCTTTTCCATGCTGCTATTGTGCGAAATTCTCATTAAACAATCTTTGTCCCTAATTCCACGCCGCTGGACCAATACTGGCTCCTGTTCGTGTGGGAAACGCTTGCTGTGCCGCTGGTTGACAGGGTAAGTATGGGAATGTTAGGTGAAACTACTCGGTGTTGGATGTGAATTTGGCGACAAAGCACTTGCATTATGAGAAAAGAGCCATGCATCTGATGTGTTTGCCCGAGAGCGATTTCAATATTGTCTGTGATCGTGGGGCCTTGATGACCGCCAAGAATATTGACCGCGGCACCTGCAGTAGTTTACTCTTGCTTGCTTGTACATGTGTACCTGGATGCATGTTGGATCTGTAAGTTCGGCAGCCCCTATTCTCACGAGGGTAATGACTTCAAGACCATAGCCGTGACTTTATAAGTCCAGCCGTATCATCGAGGAGACTGGAAAGTCTTGGTAGGAGTTATCCGTGACTTTTCTTGTTGCTACAATCATGTCGAGGGCTCACGGCACGTTGTCTAGGCACCTTCCTAGTGGCTTTCTTTTTCTCTTTGCAGTCTTAAGCTTCTTTCTTTCTGAAGCTAATGGAGCCTCCTTACGGCCTCGAGACACGCTCAAGGTTATGATCGTTGGTGACTCCATCTCTCACGGCCATCAAGGTGATTATAGTACGCATCTGTGGAATCAACCCTTCCCTCCATCATGTGTTTCTGAGCCATATCTCTTGAGGATGCCCTCTATGTCGATTAGTATGAAGTAGCTACTTACTGCCATACTACAACCAGCATGGCGCTACCGACTCTGGCAGTGGTCCCAGACCAACGACCTCACGATCGAGTTTGTCGGGCCATATAGTGGCACTATTCCACCAGCTGCCCCTCTCCCTCCACAACCACCGGCATTATTGGGCTCAACAGTAACTGATACGGAGCCGGCGACTGACGGAGGCTACGCTACGGATAGTACGTATCTTTTCCCTTTCCTTCATCTCAAGCGCTTCTTTACATAAATACATAATCACTTCGTCAACTATATTTTCGTCTCTTCATTCCGTTTAGACACTGCAATTCATATAAAAAAGAAGCATATCTGATCTTCCTCAGTCGACTCTGCTTTTCTGTCCAACTGCAACCACTTCGCACTCTGGGGCCAGCAGTTGGCTCAAGATAAAGGCTTGATCGCGAACCAAATTACCACATACCAACCGGATCTGCTGCTGGTTGAATTGGGCTTCAATGACATGGGATGGTTCATCAGCGGTGTGAACGGGACTTTGGTGAGCATGCAGACTTTCATAGCTAATGCTCGCTCGGCAAAGCCCGATATCAATATGGCAATCGCAAATGTCCCTCGTAAGTTACCTCTGTATTCTTTCATCCTATTCATGCTTCTTACGAAGTCATGTATATCTTTTTCAGAATCCTCAAACTTTCCTCTCATAGACAACAGGGTTTCGAGCCCCCGAAACGCTGCAGGTAGTGCAACAAATGCTAACGAACACTTTAGAGCGCAGTTTTATTTCTAATCGCGAAGATCTTGTGGAAAACACACTCTCTTACAACGGTCTTCTGGCTCAATATCTGCCACAGTGGACTTCCGCACAATCTCAACTCGAGCTTGTTGATTTTGCAGGAAATTATGACTGTGAGTTTGGCCCCACCATAGATTTTGACGATGCATTTACGAACATTGAACGTTTTAGGTGCTCCTGACTCCTGCCCTGCAGGTCACGATGGGTTACATCCCAATGCATTTGGCGAATTTCAGATTGCACAGGCCTTTAGTAAAACTATGTACTCTAATTTCGGTCTTGGAAGTGGCCCGCTCACTATTCCTGCGGACATTCCCACACGGCCGTGTCCAGTACCAACCAATGTTAAAGCGGTACAATCTCCCTGGGGAGTGACCGTGACGTGTAAGTGCTCTCCATCTTTGTTCGCGTGATTTCGAGAGCCGAGAACAGAGAGCCGAAACAATGTCTTGAAACTTGTTGACAGAAAAGAAACTGGTCAAGCTCTCGAAACGATTCCCGACTCTCAGTTGACTCTAGTTTCACCTCAAGAGTCAAAACCAAAGTACTAAATTCTGATAGGGGACGAGGTGTACACTGCTTTTGGCTACTTCGTCAAGAATCAGGCAGATGGACTCGGCTTCTCGATCTGGAATGCCAGCACGAATCGCTATGACGCTTCATGGACTGTCAAAGGCGAGACATTTGACTTCTACATCGCCAGCGACTGCGGAGATACAATCCCACCATCAGATTATAGCAGCATGGTCAGCGCCGTTGCAGATCCGACAACTGCACCAGGCCCTCAAAATATATCGATTACCCCCACAGCTGAAGGATTCGATATTTCTTGGGTTCCACCAAACGGATCGTGGGATATCACACAGTATGCCCTTATCCTGCTGGATAAAGATACTATTGGTGCATATGCCGGCGAATACGGCGTCCAGGGGACTTCAGCCTCCCTTACAACACTCGAGCCAGGTCATCATTAGTATGTTCAAATTCCTAACTTCTGTTTCACATTAAGATGCTGACTATGACTCCCAGCACCGTAGCAGTGCAGACGTGGACATCTGCCGAAGGAGGCGGTTTCCCCGCAATCGCCAGATCTGTAACTGTAGGCTACGGGATGCCATATACCCCTTATGCGGTGGAAGTTACCACTATGGACCCTACAACTGTCCAAATCACCTGGGCTGGGGACCAAGGATCAGCCGGTTACACATTTACTGTTCGCAATGCCACAAGTCATGAGGTCCTCACAGATGATAAGGGGTCAACAGACGTCCCTTGTTATGAAGTCGCCTGGCTATTTCCAGGAACGTGGAATTACGAGTTTTGCGTCGCAGCATACAACGGAAACCTCGAGAGTGATATGTCTGTGTGTGCCACTGCTCCGAGAAACTCGACAGGAGAACTAAGCTGCCCGACATACGCCGCGTCAGTGACCGCAGTGTGGCCGTGGCTCACTGATCCCAACGGCGCCTCGGGTGTGACACCAGACAACACCACAAGCGGTGATCCTCTTCCAGAGGGCATCGATCTCCCTAACTGTCCCGACATTGACAGTTATTCAAGCATAGACGCTGTAATAAATGACACCAGCATCGATCCCTACTGTGTCAATACATACCTCATCCAGGGTATGATGGCCACCTTGTCCGACTCCCTCAACACCTACAATGACCTCATGGCAGATGGCTACGAAGATCTCTACGGCTACTACGTTAAGGCGGTGCAGACTGCTGCTCCAGCGCAATGGTCCAAATTCACAGATAGTGACGATTTCACCAATCTGTTTACATGCCTGTATACTGTAGCAGACGGTTCGGGTTACAAGAATGTGACTGGGGGATGTGGGACAGGTGATGATCCCAGCTTCGAGAAGACTATCGCTCTTTACGCCATTCCCAACAACGAGACAGCATGGCTAGACGTAATGGAGAACAAATACGGAATCGATAGCTCTTGGATCTATCCCTACGACTATCACTCTACAGCTTGTGGCAAAACAGCTTGCGTGGAGGGTGCCCTCGTATACTTTTATAGTGTACCAAATAATATGTCTCTGCCGGACCCAGCGGACACTATCACGGCCAATCTAGCCTCCTACAGCGCGCTCGCCGAATGGTTAGAAGATGCTGCATTCAGCGCCTCAAACCTCTTCTTTGATGGCTCGGACTCGGATGTGATCGATGGCTCAGTCATGAGCGTGTATAGCGTTGCGGGTGCAGTCGACGCCATGCAACAGGTTGAGGCGATTGGGAAGAAAGCAGAAGATGCCGAGGCGCTTGAAATCATTCTTTTCTTCTTGAGTGCCGTTTTGATGTTGTTGCCCGGCATAGGCGAAGAGTTGGATGCTATCGCTGATGCGACCATCTTCACTCGGTTGGGCACTTTACTCAGTGATGCTGGCAATGCCGGGCTGACGATATACGACATTGTTCAAGATCCAAGTAGCGCTCCAATGGCGATTGGTAGTCTCTTGATTGGTGGCATGTAAGTGTTTGCATTTTGGGTCTTTATACCTCGTCACACTTCTTAAAGACAAAAAAACTGACTTGATTCCTGTCCAGGGCTTCTCGAGACGATGATGCGTTCACTGTTGCGGCTAACGCGCGCAGGGAGCTGCCAGATTCAGTAATTGCGGATTTGGGTACCGATGTGGAGAGTGGTATGGCTAAAGTGGCTGGCAAGTAAGTCAGAGTTTTCTTTCTCCCTTTTCTTAAACTCTGTCACAAGTAGGATTAATGATACTTTGGGTCTATTTCCATAAAGTATTCTAGGTAGAACTAAGTCCGCGTAAAGTATGAAACTGACTTTAAGCTCTTACAGGTATAAATTATGCTCGATATAATAGCTTGGTATACATAACGTTATAATATTATAATTCAATCGAATAGGACATACTTATATAGCAGCTGATATTTCGGCCCTCCAAACCTTGGATCTGCGTCCCCACATGACCTCAGCATATCACAAAAACGAGGCGAGGAGTATTTGATACCCATCCTGCAATCCCAATGTGACGATGAAGGCGTTGGGCTGAACATTGCAAAAGAAACACCACAAGCACGTGCTGTCGACCCAATCCCAATCCCGTCTCCACGGAGTTTCTCATTGTCCAACACACATGGTCTCCGAAAGTTGGACAGTCTTCTGGAGATTCTAAGCCGGTAAACCCTACGCTACTGGCTGTCTGTCACAGCTCGAAACATTCGGTTTTCTTGCACTAACAATCTTGATACAATCTTTGAGATGGGACTTGAGGCTGTTTTCTCCGATTATACTATATAGGAGCTCGACAGAGGAGATTCATGTTTACGGTACTTGCTGTTCAATCTAGAAGTCAAGACAAATATACTACCGATGTGAATGGAAAAGAGCGAGCTTGCCTGCTCGGACAATAGAACATTGTGAAGCAAGTTGTGAAGTAAATTAGGCTAGATACTGTTGATAATCAAATGCATGACTGTAAAGAATTTTGTTGTAGTATTTCGCTACCTAGATGTCATTATATACAAAATTTACATGTTCACGTGCTCAGTTTCCTAAAATCTCACCTCACTTCAATCCTTCTTTCCATCAAGATCGGTGTAAAATTGATACCCAAAAGAACCGCTAGGGTCGTTGAATCTCAGCTTCTTGTCGATACCCGCAATCTTCTTCATGTCCTCAACATCAAGTTTGAAATCTCCTTCCAAATTGGACTTGATTCGAGAAGGCGTTTTAGATTTTGGCAGGACAGAGTGGCCTAGAGTCACACCCCACGCAAGTGCAACCTGAGCTCCTGTCTTGTTGTGCTTCTTTCCGACTTCAACGAGGACAGGATCGTCCTGTTAGCGTATTAGCAAGCTGCTTCATATGTGGGCTCGAATGACTTACCATCAGCTTGCCCATATTCTTTCCACTATCGTAAATTTCGTTCTGGTTCCCGAATGGAGAGTATTGTTGAACATGAATTCCCTTGGTTTTGTGCCATTCGCAGAAGTCTTTCTGTTGAAGCCAGGGGTGGCATTCAAATTGATGTGCTGCGGGCTGGATCGATGCTTCCTTGACCAGATGCTCCATTTCAGCTTTGGAGAAGTTCGAAACTCCGATGGCCTTTGTCTTACCTGATTTGACGAGCTTCTCCATCGCCTTCCAGGTGTCGATATATGAGATATTCGCGGCTTCAGTCTTGCCATCCTTGTCCTTCGGGAACTTATCGTCCCCTGGTTTGAAAGCCCCAGGCCAGTGCATAAGGAAGAGATCGACGTAGTCTAAGCCCAAAGCCTTAAGTGAGGCATCGAGGGCAGATTCAACTCGTTCGGGGGAGTGATCGTTGTTCCAAAGCTTGGTGGTGATGAAAAGTGAGGAGCGTGGGATACCACTTTTGTTAATTGCAGCTCCGACCATGGGTTCAGTACCATATATGGCTGCTGTATCAATCTATGAAGGTAAGCTGATTACTCTCTATGGAATGGTTGTTTGTACATGTTTAAATCCAGCTTTCAATGCTTCGGTTACTGCAAGCTCTTGATCATCTTTATCTTGCCAGGTACCGAATCCAAGGGATGGAATGCTAGCTCCTGTGTTGAGCTTGGCGGTTGTCATTGAGGCCATTCTTCTTTGTACTTTCTGAATAGAGGAGTTTTGAGTATGTGAGGATACTTGTGAGAGTCGAGATGTAGCAGTCGTTGAAAGTCGGGCTGTTCGGGAAAACATAATGAGAGAGGACAAAAGCTTCGATGAACACTAAGCAACGAATAAATACACCTCTTCACCTTGTGGTCTCTGCTACGTCAACTTAAAGTTGTTTAACTGTATGACGTTGAGGATTTGTGAGGAGACCTAAGCGGTAGTACGGCTTTTCCTAGCTCCCGCCGCCACTGCACCCCACCTCTGACCCGCGGCAATCGACTTTGGCACGCTCCTATCTAAGGACATGGGCATAGCATTTCGAGATATCGCCCAAGAACGCTCCTTCAGAACATCCTCCCATACACTTGTCTCGTATGATAATTTTCTGAGTAATGTTCAAGTACCAAACGTGTTTGGGTCGAAGGCCTCCCATCTCATGTTGCGATCAGCTACGGCCAAGGATCCAATAAATTGCCCTGAACTTGACAAATCAAGCATGTCACTGCCGCCGCATCGATATCCTTGTGAAAATCGCACATCACACTCGCCAGATGAACGTCGGATGTTAAGCAAAGTTTTCAATGTGAGAATGTGAGAAGAACCAGGGTCGAACGGACATTTCATGAATACATAGAGAAAGCTTTTCCAGGTACAACAGGTACGCACATGTGGCCCACATCACTGCCGTGTACAAAAACGGTAATGGCTACTGTAAGGGGCCAGTCTAGAGCATCCGGTTGCTCCTGGGTCCCATTAGGAACAGCAACCTTCTAGAGAGACTTGGAAGCAGTGATGCCAACCACGACCGCAACTTTCTCTCAGTGGAGAATTGATTGTATCGGAATTTTCCCATACCAGGTCGCGATGATAAAGATTGTACGAGATTTATGTTTTCTTGGCGCGGAATTTGGTCTCGTGCCAACCGGTCTTTCCTTCCTTGGCAAGCTCATTGGTCCAATCAAAGGACTTGGGAATGACTTCAACTACGTGTGCATGTCTCCAAGCCACCGATCAACAAAGACCAAGATTTGCATAGCCTCTTGGAGATCATGTCTTTCGTTTTCGCCTAGTTGCCTGACCTAGAAGGATATCAAGGCGAACCTTCCCCATATCTCCTTCGTCGCAACTTCTACCCAAAGATTATAAACCCTGTGCATCAATTATGAATCTCTTGCGATCGAAAACTCGGCTTGGCGGTCGAGTAACTATAGCTCTTGTAGCTTCGTACGTTCTTGACTGGATCGTAGTCATCCTCGCAGCTGTCATTGGAGCGGTTCTATCGACCATCACCCCAAATCAGCGTCCATTCTCTCTTACAAACGCCGAGATTTCCTTTCCATACGTCGAGACAGACAAGATCTCCACCACATTGTTGGTAATCCTTGGTCTGGTCGTCCCAGCTGTCATTATTGCATTGGTCTGTCTAGCCCTGGTACCAGGCCCAACGGTCTCGAAATCAACCCCGAAGGGATTGATCTGGCGAAGAAGGTTATGGGAATGGCATACAGGATGGTTGGGTCTTGCGCTCTCTTGTGCTGCCGCTTTCTTCATTACCAATGGAATGAAGAACCTCTTCGGCAAACCTCGACCAGATCTCTTGTCAAGATGCGAACCTGATGTTATCAACATCGCCAACTACACCGTTGGCGGATTTCCCAATGCTCTGGAGGGCTTCAACGTTGTTTCGGCAGCTATCTGTAAGCAAACAGACAAATCAATGCTCAACGACGGATTCAGAAGCTTTTCTAGCGGTCACTCGTCGTTTTCTGCCGCTGGACTTGTCTATCTCAGTCTCTTCCTTGCCTCCAAGCTCGCCATTACCATTCCGTTCCTCGCCCCCAATTTATTCTCTCGCGACGAATCTCGATTCGCAGCATTCCCTTCTCGAGCAGAGCACCACGAACTACAAAATCTCTCCCCATCCTCTCCAAAAAAGCTCCCGGCTTCGAGCAACGAACGGCTACAAGAACCATCAGGACACAACGACGCTTTCATCGCAGCACGTAATCAAGCCGCAGCACCGCCAGTCTACCTGCTTGTTATAGCCGTTATCCCTTTCTTCCTCTCGATCTATATCTCCTCGACTCGGTATTCTGACTTCAAGCACCACGGTTTCGATATTCTGTTCGGCTTTTTCATTGGGACTGTTACCGCGGTTTTGGCATTCCGCCTGTACCACTTACCAATAAGCCAAGGAGCAGGCTGGTCATGGGGACCTCGAAGCAAGGACAGGAGTTTCTGGGCTGGCATTGGAGTTGGAAATTATGTTGGGACGAATGCGAACAGAGTGACGAAACCCAGAGATGTTGAAGCTGGAACATCTGGCAGGCGAACGACTGGTGATATGGGTATAAGCGACAGAATAGATACGGCTGTGTAACTGGTAATTTGGAAAGAAAAGCTTCTGGATCGAAGGACCTCCTAGTTGAGCTTCTACTCTATAATCAGTGGAGGTCTGTTGAGGACGTATAATGGCGAGGAGCTAAATTTCCAGCATTGGCGGCGGCGTTTGATGGGAAGATACCAACTTTCTTTTTGGTCTGCAACGATTGTAGTTTTTGTATTGCATGATTCCTTGGTTGTACCCGTTAGTTATAAATAAAGTAATCTCCTTGTCCCCGAAACTTTTTATCGTTCAGTCTTCTCTCTAAGCACTGATTGACCGAAACTCCCCTCACAATAGAGAGGATTTCACTTTCCAGAGAATAGCAAAAGCATTTTCCACCTCAAACTGTCTCCTTGAATGACCAAAATAAGGTAATATCCTATTATTGGACTCAGGTCGTAAGAGTCAAGAATGTAGCGCAAGCGCACTTGAGGTTTTTACGAGTAGACTGCACTTACAGACGTTCTCCTCAGCTCTAATATCATCATCAGAAAGGATAATCGAAACACGAAAGAACAAAAATTACATTTTCAACATTATCATTACTGACACTCTGCCCCAAGCGGCTTCCCAACTCACTGATAGCTCGCAGCCAGCACCCCCGTGAAACCCCTAGCTCTCAAATCCAACAAACACTGCCCAAACAACCCATTCGCCCAACTGAACCACTCCCTCGTCCAGATAGTCTCGTCAAACGAATTAATACTCTCATGAATTAAACCCAGTCCATCGGTCGAAGAAACAAGCTGTTTGAGCTGGCCTTCAATTTCTGATGTGTCGCTGCTGGTGAAGATGCGGATTATGGATGCCATGGGCCAGGCTAGACCGAAGCCATCGTGTGGTCCACCGACGCTGGGAGGGGTGTTAGTATTTTGGTTTGAGATTTTGAGTGAGGGGAGGGGAAGACGTACGCGCTGAGGACGGGACCTCGCATGTAATACCCGTTATCTGCGCTGAGGACGAAATTCCTTGTGTTTTGATAGATGGGATCAGTGGCGTTTAAGTAGCCGAAGAATGGAGCGCTGAGGAGACTGGGGATATTGGCGTCGTCCATTCGGTTTACTGTTTGTTGTTAGTTTGTGGACTTGCAAAGTGATGTATGGACGTACCTGAGCCGAAACCGTCGACTTCATAGGCGTACACTTGTCCGTATTTTGGGTCTGTGACGATGCCGTATTGAGTGATGGCGTCTTTGATCCTGCCGGAGAAGTTGTGCATATGATTTGCGAGGTTTCTTTCATTGCCGATGTTGGCCATGATGGTGGACGCCGAGTCGAGATATCGAGAGAACATCATGTTTGCTGGGATGAATAGTTGATAGATAGTCCTGTTCTCGATAATCAGCGCGCTTTTAGCTCAGAGTGAAGAGAGAGAACTTACGCATCATCACTGGGTCTGAACGCCGACCTTACCAACCCTGTGCCACTTTGTACCGGATTTCCTCTCCCTGAGTTCGAAAGTGTTTCTGTCCCCGATGTTGTTTGTCGCTGCCAGGTATAAGGAAGGGTATTCACACTCCCATTCGAAGCATAAGTACCAATGAGCAAGCTCTCCGTTGTCGAAATGATAGTATTGATAGCATCAACCCATTGGAATTTTCTAAAGAAATCAATATCACCCGTGGCTTCGTAGTAATTGGTCGAGATCTCTAAGAATGCTGCGAGTGAGTCCAATTCGTATTTGCATTCGAAAACTGTGAGGTTTGATTTTGGAGGCGTGAAATTGTCGGGAGTAGCTTGGTTTTGCTCGGCGGGAAGACCTGACTCTACAGGCGGTTGGAAGGAATTGCAGAATGGTGCTTCATTGATGTATCGTGCTTGGAGATTAATGACTCCTCGATATAAACTGGCGATGGAATCGTAGCTTGAGCTTGCATTTAGCAGCGTAAGGTAACTCTGCATTTGGTTTGCCGAATCTCTCAACCACATAGCGTTGATGTCTCCCGTAATCAAGAATGTCAATTCTTCTGCTGAATTGTTGGCAGCGAAGCCCTTCCATTTGACTGCCGTATCGAGCGTATTTGGGAACGAATTGTAGAACAATCGATACAAGTCTGGGTCCTTGATTACGGATTGCATGTCGATCAATGTTTGTTCCACGATGCTTGAATTGAAGGTCCGACATGCTGGCTCAGGTCTCATATATGAGAGCTGATATCGACCCGTAGAATACGGTTCATGTTTTTGCTGGGAGAATGTAGAATAATCGGGACATTGAGCATTTCCACTGGTAGCTGCCAGCGTACTCACAGCTGCGAAGCCAAGCAAAACTCTTTGAAGCCCCATTTTCTTGACAGCAAAGTTCTTCTTCGAGTCCGAAAAAGCCTCCCACAGGAATTGTCGAATAGAGCTCCTCGTCCAGCGCCATCATGGCCTCCAGGGAAGAGGTCTATTTAAGCAGGATGATCAGGAACAAAATTAAGAGCTACCCCACCTTGTCGGTACCTTGAATCCCTGCCCACTAGGACAAGATGTCAGACTTCCCCGCCTCTGCCCATGGCACAGCAGGGACACATGAGATCATTACTTGATGTTTTCTCACCAAACGACAGAAAAAGGTCCGGACAACACGGGACCCACCATTCTCCTCGTGGTCTAACGGCGATGATCTGCACCCCGCAATGGTGGAACGTTACAGTGCCATTCGCCAGCGAACATGTTTGATTTTGCAGCGAAGGAAGACGAAGAATGAAAGGACCGATTCTGCTTGGATAAGATCACGAGGCTGAAAAGCTAAATGCTGTGCTCAGGGTGGTAGATGAAGGCATAGTTCTTACTTGAGACGAAATATGATTTGGGGTAAATGGCACTCATTCGCTGTGAAATGTCCCGAGACAACCACTATTTCAGGGGAGCCAAGATGCCATGATCGTGGGTTTGTAGAACAAAAGGTTGGATCTTTGTACCTTTTGAAGTTAGATTAGCAGAGAAATAGATGGAAGAAATAGATGGAAGACAACGATGAGAAGAACATGACATGGAGTTCTTGAGTTTGATCTCCAGGTTTTGCTCTATCCAAAGATTGATGCACTTTCGTCCCAACATGCCCGGTCTGAGTGCCGTTATCAGAAGTTTGTTGCAAATCGCAAAAGGTAAAATACCCAAAAAGAGCTATTTCTTGAACTAACGAGATATCTCTTCTCAAGGTAATCAAGAACGAGTTCGCTAAGTATTGGCATACTTTGGGTATTGTTGCCCGAAAGTGGGAGGAGGTGTCAGAGAATAGATATATGTCTTTAGTATATCAGGAGCTAGTCTGATATTATCCGTAGAGCAAGCAAAGTATCAGATTTATCAGCAACGTAGGTGTGTTATTAACAGCGCGGCCGCATGACGTTTGAAGCTCCGAGCTCCACCAACTCTTGTCTTCTCTTTCATCGCTCGTCGCTCTTCTCCATCCGCTTTAGTATCGGGAATCAGCTCGCAAAGATAATGACTTTTCGGAATCAAGTACCCGCGATAGCGGTCACATATATGACCTCCGCCATGGACTGTTGTGGGTTGCGAGGTCGCCGGTTGAAGCATCTGGAATTGATATCAAAATGAAAAGCTCTCACATAGCAGCTTTGGCACTCAATGTCCTAGTTGTCATTGGAACATCCTTCACTTCCGAACCTTTCGACAGCCGCGAAGCCACGATAGAAGGTGTCCACAATGCACTCTACTCCGGTATAACATCCTGCCGCGAGGTCGTCTCCTCCTTCATCAGTCGAATCGAGGCGTTCAACCCCACGGCCAACGCAATCATTAGCCTCAATCCCAATGCATTGACCATTGCGGATGAGATGGATACTCAACTTTCGACTGGCAATGCCACAGGTTCGCTGTTTTGCATACCTGTCCTGCTGAAGGATAATTATGATACGGTCGATATGAACACGACTGGAGGCTGTCTGGATTTGGCTGGTAATAAGCCTACAGAAGACGCTCCTGTGGTTACCGCTTTTAAAAATGCTGGAGCCATCATATTGGGCAAGGCCAACCTGCATGAGCTGGCATTGGAAGGCCTATCAGTCTCTTCCTTAGGTGGGCAGACCATCAATCCTTACGATCATACAAGGACTCCAGGGGGAAGCAGTGGAGGGACAGGAGCAGCAATTGCTACGAGCTTTGCGGTATTCGGCACAGGTAATCGCCATGGCAGAGTTTTGCACATACATTGAGACTGACCATATCTAGGAACGGACACCGTGAACTCCTTGCGAAGCCCAGCAAGTGCCAACAGTCTTTACAGCGTTCGACCAACAAGAGGCTTGATATCGAGAGCTGGTATTATTCCTATATCCTATACGCAAGATGCAATTGGTCCAATTGCAAGGAATGTGAAAGACCTAGCCGTTGGGCTCACGGTCATGACAAGTGTCGGTTATGATGCAAATGATAACACTACAGCCCTGATTCCTGCATCATCTGTTGGGGTGGACTATTCTAAGACCATGTATGGCGGAAGCCTCAAAGGTATGAGGTTTGGACTGTTACAAGGCTTCTTTAACAGGACTGCAAGCAACGAGACCACACCAGTAAATCAGGTTATGGACAACATGATATCTGTTCTCGAAGCAGCTGGAGCTACTGTAGTTTCGGTCAACGAGACAGTCTACAACGCGACTGCTATCGCCACACTTGATGTACAAACATCAGAGTATCGGCAAGAATTGGACTCCTATCTAGAGATGTACGGTTCTCAGGGCTTGACTTTCAACGAGCTTTACAGTAGCTCCAAATTCTTGGTCATACCGAGCCAGTACAGCTATGTCAATACCGCTCTAAAGTCGTCCACCAGTAATTCATCCTATCCGCCAACTAAGCTCGGGATACAGAATCTTACAACCATTCTGAGCTCGACATTCTCATCCTACTCGCTGGATGCTATCATCTATCCTGAACAGAAGAATCTTGTTGTCAAGATTGGATCTCCCTCTCAATCAGGTCGCAACGGAATCCTCGCCGCTCTGACAGGGTCTCCTGTGGTGACTGTGCCGGCAGGCTTCTCTCCGTCGACAGAGGATGCACCCATTGGGGTTCCGATTGGGATGGAGATCCTCGGAAAGCCCTGGACTGAGAGCAAGTTGCTCAATATAGCTGCACACATATCAGATCTTACCCACATCAGACGTATGCCGCAATTTGCAAATGGATCTGTGGAAGTGTCTTCATACGAAGCAATTCCAACAATTACCCCAAATAAATCCAACATTCCAGCTGCATATCCTGTTGGTACATTGTAAGTCAGCAGATGTTGCAGCGCAATCTCACTTGAGCTGGCGGGAAATTTGGTTCCCAAAATGGAAACTCCCGAGGGATGGAGAAGCTGGGGTAATTTTCTGACATCCGCTGCATCCTGGCGATGGCTTCGAAATATTTTCACCAACTCTAGAGGTCGTCGAAGATGTATATATATCATTTATCGAAGCTGCGCTGCTTGGATATGATGCGAGCAGCTACATTAGACGCATAAGTAAGCGCAATGCACACCTCGAAAAGGGGGATGTTGGATATGTATATTTCCACTATTATGCCGAGGCAAGCGCCCACCCATGCACGGTACCTTTGTGGCTGCATTTCGATGAGGCTCCTGTCTCTCAGGAACCAGGAGCAGTAAATCCAAACTTCGTGGCGATTTTCGAGTCCATGATTCCCCCATCAAATTTCCTTATCATGCTCTATTTTTAAAGATAGAGTGTTTTCAATCTAGTTTTCGTCATGTCATGACGGGGTTTCTATCGCTCTGCAACATGTTTCATGTTGGACAGGGAATGCATGGCCTCATCAAAGCAGTCAGCCTTGTACGTCCAAGCCCCTTCTTTCGCGCAGCCTTCCCTGCAGCAAATCCTCCCGCAGTGGAAATTGCGCGGCCTCTGCTCTCGCTGCGCGCCACTATCGTGAGAACGTTTGTTTTTCCTGTCTTCGAGCCCTGGCGCGTACAGAGAAACATCATAAACACGACATCGCTCGACACGAACTGCCATTGAATCGATCGTCAAAGCACAATGCGATCCTGACACCCTGAAAATTACGATGCTTCCTCCCACTCTTCAGATTCTGGCTGTGGGCCTCTTGGCCCAGTTCGCTGCTGCTACAGCGACTCCGACCTGCGTCTCATCGTCTGAAGGCTATCAAGTGGGACAAGTTGACTATCTATTCAATGCTTTTTGCAATCAACTGTCAGGCGACGGTTTTACGACACAGCAGCAAATATATGGCATGCCCGTGATCTCTTTTGACTTCACATCTGCGAGCAGCTCAGATACTTGCAACCTTGACAATTGTCTTGCCAGTTACCAGTCCTTGGTGCAGTCGTGTAAGTAACCTACACAGCGAAAACGTTGATATAGACGAAGCTGAGACATGGCACAGGTCAATTGCCCAATTCAACGATATGGGGTACTGGAAGTCTAGATTCGGGATGCGGAACCTACAACTTCACGATTTGGAACACTGCTGAGAACCCCGTTACACTGGGTACACCTACGACAACGATTCAAGGATCTACTTTGACTACAGCGCCATTGATTACATTGACGTCTTCGTCAACGACTTCGACCACGTCTGTCTCTTTGACGTCTTCGCTCTCATCACCGACATCGAGTTCGGCTAGTGTGATTGCTAGCTCTACGTCTTTAGCAGCAATCTTCTACTCAAATGGCACATCGACGGCTTCTGGGGCAGCGAGTGGAAGTGGAGCAATCGTGAGCACGGGATCGGTAACAGCAGTAGCGACTGCGGCATCTACGACGAAACCGGCTGTAGGCAACACGGCTTTGGGGACAAGCGGTGCGGATATCTTGAGAGCTAGCGGATATTCGTTAATGGTGGTGGCGTGTGTGTTTGGTTTGTGGTTGTAAGAATTTTGGTATGAAATCATTGGGGTGGAAGACGATGTTTGAAAGATACCCTATATTAATATATAATTTCAAGCCAAAGGTGTTGAGACTTATAGGTGTTTGTAGCATTGAATTCAAAGTACCTTGATATTTTGCGGCTTTCACTACTCAAAATTCTGTGGCCACCACCTAAGCTTAAAAGACCCCAAAGCACTAAGAATAATTAATTATCGCGATGCAATTGACCTGCGATTGCACTTAATTCAATTCTGCATATTTTATATGTTTTTTATTAATAAAATAATAAGGTTAAGAGTCCTTATTATGCGCTGGAGCAGCACCCTGCACAGCTGTTAGGCTGCCAGGCATTACACCCTAAGCGACTCCCTAAGGTGCACGTATCATGATTAGCGCACACCCCTAGTGCGACTACAGTATCTGCTAATTGCACCCCTTGCTACTGCTGCCTTAGGCTTGAACAATTATCTAAACTTCACTTGCGCATAATAACGATTTCATTTATTTATATTATTAGAAAAAGGATATATAAGCTAATATGCATTATATAATTGATCGCAGCTTAAGTGCAGCGCCAAAAATAGTAATTTTTGGGGTATTCTAAGCTTGGGTGGTGGCCACAGAATTTTGAGAAAGTCGTTATGAGCACAGTGTACGTACGGGCCTCGGTACATGAGGTGGTTTAGTTGTTTTCAGTTCATCTACAAACTTAATTGCTAGAAATTATTGCTCCTTTGCGAAACGTCTAGACTAGATTAGGTCCATGTTTGCTTTCCTCGTTTGGCTAAGGTCACAGAAGGCAATTTTCACGTTTCCTAACATAGGTGCCATATTACTTGGCAAGAGCCGAGTGTTTCTACTACATGAGAAGGTATTCAATGGTATCTTAAGATTGCTAGTTCTTCTACATATCTGCAGCATCAAGGACATAATTTCTTAAAGCTTCATCGTCAAATCTGAAAAAATGTGCATGGAAACAAGACACTGGCTATTCATGGTCGTCCCACTTGTAGTATGCCCTTTCCTTACTCCTCTCACTCACGGCCCCTAAGGTGCCTTGTAACTGTTCTAATGAACTCAAAAACGATAGGTGAAGGCATGTTACCACGGCCGTTTACAGACTCTGCCCATGCTTCCTGCTCCACTAGTAGAACCGCTTCCTCCATTCACAGGATCAGCCGGGGTTGGATGGACCGTACTTCCCTTGAAGGGACCAAATGCTGCAAACAAATTACTGTGTACCCCCGAGCTGTAGGATGAACCAGGACAAACTGTGATGCCGGTATTGTAGGACGAGGTCGGTGGTGCAGCAAAGCTGGTCCCTCGCTCATGTGCAAAGAGACCAGGTTTCTGCTGCACTATTTGCTGATTGGGAGCCGTTGTTGTGTCTCCAAATCCACCAGCCGCTTGTCCAGGTCCGAAGAGGCCATTACCGCCACCGAGATGTCCTGGTTGCTGAATGGTGGCGGGAATTGTTCCGAATGGGTTCGAGACATTGCTTGTTATCGACTCGCAAGGCGACTCTTTTCTTCGAGAGAATGGTGCGAAGAGGCCAGTGTATGCTGGTGGTTCGATCTTAGGCTCTTTGGCCGTCCTGTCAACACCGCCTCGTCCTCGGCTCCTGTTTCCTCTCCCTCTTCCTCGAGCTGCTGCCTTTGAAATCACATTGACTCCCCCAACATCATAGTCATCTTCACTATCAACACCCTCCACAGACATCGAATCCTTCCTCGTCACCCGCTCCAACTTTCTCTGTACAACCACAGGATCTTCCCCCGTCTTCTGAGACTCAAGAAATGCCGCTCCTACAATCCCATTACATTTCTCCACGCTGCTCAAGAATGGCTCATATCCAGGTACAGGTATGAAAAACCCTCGAGCATTCTGGATGAATGTACCAGTCACCAATCCAGATTTGTAGTCTCCAAGCTCTTTTGCCTTAGCAAGTTCCTCGGTTTCTCGCTTTTTGGAACTATCCACACCACTTAGACGATCTCGCAAGATTGCTATATCGTCTCTTGAAGGACCCTTCCAAGGTCCGGTTGGATTTGGATTAAAGCCAGCTTTTCTTGCCCGGGCGTACATATTTGGTCCGGTGTCCCAGAAAGTTGTACCAGGTTGGACTGGCTCTTCGGGTTGAGTGGTGGGATCCTCTTTGAAGGTTGAGACTGTGTTGGAGTTGTCATCAGTCACTTCGTGTTTAATTTTTGCTGGACGGCCTCGTTTCCTGGCAGGTGTCGAGTCTGTTTGTTTGACGGGAGAGACAGGCTTGGTTGGTGACTCTGATGCTGTTGGGTTTGTGGTCTGCTTTCGTGGTCTGCCTCTCGGACGGCCCGTTATCTTCTTTCCTGCTTCCAAGTTCTTGTCTGGACCAAAAACGAACTTAGCAGGAGTTGTCTTTGCTTTCTTAGCTGGAACCTCTTCTGCTTCCTCTTCCACTTCGTCGGCGTACTCGGAATCCTTGTCGAAATTGACCTTCCTTTTCTCAGCTGAACTTGGCTCGACAGTATCGATGTCCATTCGATCAGAGTTGGGCGGATTTTTCCGAGTTTTAGTTGGACGCACCACGCTGCCTGTCTTCGCAAATGCTTCTGTAACAGTGCAAGGGTCGAGGATTCCGACTTTCGTGACATCACGTTGCTGGGTGATTCGAAAGTCTCCGTGTTTGGCGTTGTAAACACTTGAACCATCGCGTCCGGCATACACCAAAAGAACTTTATTAAATCAGATTAAGTATGTGATTCTAAGGAGAGCCAAGACTTACTGCCTTCACCACCAGGATGTGACTCCAGAAACTCAGTGAAATCATAGACACTCCATTCTTGCTGATTCTTCTGCTTGATAGCTAGCCATGCCGACTCCGGTGTGTTATGTTGAGCGAGCTCTTCGAGTGAGATGAGGCGATATTTGTCCTCTTTACTCCCGAAAGCCATGATCAGAAGAAAGCAACCAGAAGTTGATAATACAAAGCTTGCATGAGGAGGGAACAAAACATTAGTCTTAAGGCCAACTTGCCCATCTTGAGGCTCGATCAAACAAAGAAGATAGGGTTTGCATTCCTGTGAGAAGAGAGGATCAAAACACTCAAACATTCCAGAACCTTAAAGATTGGTTTCATCTAATGTACATTCCATAAGATTCCGGTAGCCGCTTTGCGACTTACCGATTTTGAAGATTAACACAATAATATACAAACGGGCCGTTCGTCTAATGCCCTGTAACAGGCAGGCCTCTGTTCGTGAGTTCCTGCTCAATCAGTTTCCACCTCCCAACTTGCTTCTCCTTATCGATAGGTGTAACTCTGGTTGCCGATATGTTGACGTTTTGAAGGGATGTCAGAGGTCGCTGGTCTTGCAAAGCTTGTGCTAACTTGCGTGGTTTTGGTGGCGCAATAAGATGTGAGAGGAACGCCCCAGCTGTCTTTGATGGTTGAATGGCCGAGTCTGGTATACGAATGCCGGTCAATCTTAGTACTCGTTTATGCACCTATACTTATGATTAGCATTCGGACTACGTAGTTTGAATGGTTTAAACTTACAGCAAATTTGATCTCAGGGTCTGCTAAGGAAATCTGACGCCAGGAAGGATCAACAGATTTGACAAACTTCTCATATCCGTAGTTTCGCTTCAAAGTCTTGGCAACGTTAATTGTTGATCTGTCTGCCGCTACATCTTCCTCGCTTTCGGTAGGATTCTCGTGTACAGATGTTTCTTCAACGGGCTCCGCAGTAGACTCAGGGTTCAATGGATCTACTGTTGACCTGTCTGCAGCAACGTCCTCCTCGGACTCGGTAGGTGCCTCATGTTCCGCGGTCTCGTCTACAGCTGGCTTGAAAGACTGCATAATAAGCTCTAAAGAAGGACCCTCAGATGCCAGTTCAGCACCACTTTCCGTCAAACTAATCCGAACTCGATGGTTACGATTCCATGCCGCAATCGTTGAGGGAGTCGTTAGAGGGAGCCCAGCCTGCTTGCAAGCAAAGGTCTCCACCAAAGCTCGGTAGAAAGCCGCTGTGATCTGATCTAGATCCTTCATGACCATTTTTGACTTTGGTGCAAATCCTAAGTAGCGATGTTCTGGATCCCAATTGTCCTTCCACCAGTTTCCGAATCCTCCCACCCAAGGTATACGTCCTCCTGCATCGTCGCCCCATGTAGTTGCTTGCTCGTATGTAGTCATGTCTGCTGCTGGTGCCACATTTCGTTTCCTCTCCACGGCTTCCATTTCTTTTAGCTCCTCCTGCTGTTTCTTTTTCGTCTGATCGAATACACTTTCTTCGCCATATGGATTTGCCTGCCCTGGGGGTTTATCTGTACCCCATATCTTATTTCGAATCTTCTCTGTGTATGGTACCTGGGCTGCTCGAATCGCTGAGGTAGAGAAGGGAGCAGCTCGATTCCTGCAGGCCAAACAAAGGTAAATGGACGAAGAATGTGCTGATGACTGAGTTTTCACGAGGTCAATTGACCGCTCTAATCTTGCTACTCGTCGCATCGTGTGTTGGGCCGTGAGCGGTGATTTCAGATGGGTGATGGCTTTCGTTATAACTTTTTTGAGATGGGTTCCAATGGGGAAGCCGGCTAGCGTGGTCCGAGCATCAACTTCACGAACAGCTGAGGAACAGCAGTTGCCTACATACATCAGTGACAGGAACTGCAGTCGCAGACCACGATTTTCAGCTCAGATGGTGTGGTCAGGCCATCGGAATCTTATCTGAGTGAAGAATTCATCATCTGCAGAAGATCTGCTTATTGGTCCTTCACACAGCTCCGAACTGGCGTCGAAGCTATGAACCGACTGTATATCTTCTTTGCGCTTTGCGCATTTCTTGTAACTACTTTAGCAGCTTGTAAGTATTCTGTTCATTTATTGTTCTAGATTGCTAATTAGTCATTATAGCGCCTCCCTCATTCTGCAAATGTACATGCTTCACCAACAGCACGATCATTCCGCTGTCATCACATTCTAGCGGCCTCGATGAAGCTCCCTCTCGATCAGCATCAGCGACTTGTGCGACCTGCAATAAAGCCTTTTGTCTCGCGCAACGACTACCTATCTGTAAGGATGCTGAAGAGAAAGATGTCTATACTACCTGCTTTCAGAGAGATAGCAGGAAGGACCAAATCGTTGTGCTTACGTTTATTGGAGGTACGATCGGGTTGCTGGTCTGGGCAGCTGTGAGGAAATTTCTTGAGAAGAGGAAGGGTGGAGAAGTGAGAATGGAAGATACGCAGAGAGGATATGCTCCGGTTGGGAGGTAGTCGTTATCCATGCGCAGTTCTAGCTGCTCGATGCATGACTGCACTTTCATCACGATGAGTTCTGGGGTATAGAGACGGACAAGGCGTCGGTGTTTTGAGAGATGACAAGTAACTGGGAACCAGCTTTGGCCTACACTTGATCATGAACTGGGCTAGAATCACCAAGAGTATTGGAGCCGAGATGGTTCTTAAGGATCACATGAAATGACCTGGATTCCTATGAAGGCTTCTATGTAGATCCAGAAGGAAGACACAGTCGATGGCGGTAGATGGCAACCCATACAGACTCGGGAGCGGTGCGTGGAGGAGACCTATTTTCGAGGAACAGAATAGGATCTTGATCGCAGAATCACAGGTCGAACCTAGTGTTGGTTGGTGACATAGCATCACTCTGTAAGAGCTGACGCTATATGGCAATCTTATGTCCATAGGGCCCACATTACTATATTCTACACACATATCGTGAACATCAAAGCATCAGAAATTGTCCAAAACACCCAGTTTCTCATCCTTACGCCTTGCCCATGCATCTTCAGTTGAAAGCAATGTCCGGGAGTCTATCTAATATTCATGAATCCCATATAGGCCCATAAGCCGGCACGCCTCGACTTTCCATCTCATATACCAAATGCTTTGTCAACGCCTTGTTGCTTACACAGAATATAGCCTCTGCTCCGTCAGATATGTACAGCTTATAAGCCAGACTCACCAAGTCTTTTCTCCCAACAGCATGTGTATCAATCACCACCGCTTCTGGATCGACCTCTAAGACTTTATCACAAATGTCGTCGCCAAAAGTGTGTCTTGGCTCAGGGGCAGACCACAAAACTCTGCATCTCGTAGCCGGTATATTCATCATCGTCCCCAAACATGGTCCAATACCAGAACCCGTCGTTACAATAATCACTTTCCGAAAAAGCTGAGCCATGCACAACACACCAACAGTTGGTATACCTCGAGTGTAGTAAAATTTCTTAGGGTTGTTGATAGCTCTTCTTGTCCAGTCCCCGGCATTAGAAACAATAAGAGAACCTCCTTGCCCATTCCTTTCTGGTATACAAGCGAATGAATGCCACTCTGTCAATGGTGAGTCGGCTATACGATAGACGACACAGTTCGAGACTTTCTCTGAGAGATGCAGGCGAATAGCGTGAACACCAACACCTAGGCGTTCCGGCTGGATCTTGAGTCGTCGGAGACGCATCCAGGGAAGTGCGACATGAAAACAGGTTGCAATGAGAAGCCAGAAGGCAGGCAATTTGGTGAGTACTGCTCCTGGGGAAGCTGGACCTGCTTGATGTCCAAGAGCGCGAGTGAAGAGCCAAAGCTCAGGCCAGAAAAGACCCAGGACTGCCCATCCACCAAATCGATGAATGTTCTCGAATGTGTTGTGTTCCCAAGACCTAAAAGCTGGGTAGGCTGTAATGAGCATTGCCCAAAGGATGGCAATGACGGAGAAGGTACACATCATGATCAGGGGATCAGCGATTCGGATTGTGATGAATTCCCAAGTCAGGATAGCGGACAAGAGTGAGAACCATAGAACTGAACAAACAGCTGTCCCACTATGAAGGCCTCCATATTCGTACATTTTGGCTAGAGACCGTCGAAGACGAAGAGGTGCCCAAAATGGTACTAACCAGCAAATTCGAAATAGGGTATTGATGATGTAGTCTTGGCGTATCAAAACTGCTACCAGCATATTTGCGGCTGCAGCAGTCGATATATCAACCAGCAGGGGCGAATACTTTGACCTCCTCTTCATCGTGATGATTTTGTGTCCGTGCCATATATTCAGGAGTAGTACAACAAGGAAGATCCGTCTATAGACTCCAAAGACCGTCCATCTTGCATATCTAAGAAGTGAACCTCTCGGAGGTAATTCGATGTTTGGAAGTAAGTCCGTCGAGGATTCTGATGCTTTCCTTTCCGTATATGGACTCTCCAATAGAAATGGTTCCGATTCGTGATCTTCCATGCTGGCGTACGATCTCATTTCCATGTCCATGTTCTTCGTTACAAAACTGGCACCTTAATCTAGTACCACTTTCAAGGCAAAGATGATATGTCTTCAAGTGATCGCATATTCAACGGATTTGTGGTACAATCGATCCAACGCAGAAATGACCTCAAAATGATCGAGCTGAAAGAGCATCAAGACAGGGCGCGAAACGAGTATTGAACTCCAGGATTGTTGCTGTGAGATCCTCAATCCTCTCTTTGCACTAAGAGTTCATACATGTCGAGTACGAGCGACTATGCAGGACAAATAACAGAAAATGCAACTTATATATACAGAAAACAAATGAAAAGAAATCAGCTGAGTTTCTATGCTCGAGAACTTTTGACTTGGCGCGGGACGCTGAACCCCTGAAGCAGAGTCATCCCAGATCTAGACGCCAAGAAAAGCCACACATCCAAGTTGAGCGAGATCTCGTGTTCTGCAAGGCGGTAAAATAAAGCAAACTCTCAGCCGCACACGAGATTTGCTCATGCGAATGTTGAAAAATTAGCAAGATCAGGAAAGTACTGTAGTCTTATGTATTTAAGCTTCAGAGTCAATGATATATTCACATTTTCAAGAATTCTGTATGAAACAATATTCATTAATGTTTGACAAAGCTTGAGAGATTGGAGCTGGCGGGAATATCAGTTCTGAGCTGATCGCTAGCGCGCTTGTGTCGATCCAAGTAGCTGCATAAATACTGCATAAAACTATTGCATCCACAATCTAGACTTTTATCGGCTGCCTCAAGTCGCTACAGCGTTCTCTACTGCTTTCCCTTCTCTAAATCTAGTAGAAACTATGTAGTGGAATTTTTGTCGTTGGGGACTTTCATTCGTCTCGTCATCGGAAGTAGAATCATATGTTTGCTTCTGTTGGAGATTTACATTTCAGTGAAGTTGTCTTGCTTCTCGTCTACTCATATGTGTAGCTTTCGGCCTTGCTTCTTACTTAACACAACAAGTCTCTATTGTACTCTTGTAGTGTGGGATCTATATAATCTCGAGTGGCTCTTCTCATTTTTCAAATTAAATTGAACCAGCTACTTTTCTCCAAGTGCTAGCTTCGATTACAAGCTACCTAGGCAGTCTTTATATCGCAGAATTTATTACTATAGTTAAGACTTCTCTATGGCGATTGACAATCTATGATGTTATGGTTTACTATTGATGTCAAAACTTTGAACTTGTGATATTTCATCCAAATTTTCATTCTCACCACACTCATGTGACAGGCTTCCATTACCTAGGTAAAAGCTTTTCCCCGCATCTCACTCATCTTATTTCTTTGTAACATATCTCCATACTCAAGTGCTTTAAAGTTAAACTCAATGCTCAAGTCGATATCCGAAATTGGGTCGAGCTCACAACATCTGATAGGTTCCCGTTATAACCATTATCTCATCTCCAACTGCTGAGTTAGCAAAACTAGAATATACTTTACTTCAACACAAATGGCATCTCTACGCTACCCTTTCAAAGCCCTCCACCTCTACACCGCACCCTTCTCCGGCTGCAGCGCCCGAATCCGGATCATCTCACACCTAAAATCCATCCCTCTAACGCACCACACCATAGACTTCACCACCTCACAACAAACATCTCCAGACTACCTCTCCGTCAACCCCAACGGCAGCGTCCCCTCTCTAGTCGTCGAAACTGCTTCTGAAAGCTTTACAATCACACAGTCACCCGCTATTATTGACTTCCTAGAATCCCACTTCCCTGATCTACCGCTGGTCCCGGTTGGGAAGGAGAAATGGAAAGAAAGAGCTAGGGTTATGGAGTTAGTGAGTTTGGTGGCATGTGATATTCAACCGCCACAGAGTTCAAGGGTAAGGAAGAGGATTGGGGAGGAGTTTGGAGGTGACGGCAAAAGATGGGCACAGTGGGTTTATGAGCGTGGCCTTGGGGTTTACGAGGAGTTTTTGGAGAGGGGGAGGAAGGTGGATGGGAAAGCTGCCAGGATGTGGAGGTATAGTGTTGGTGACGAGGTGACACTTGCGGATGTGTTTCTTGTACCTGCTGTGCAAGGCGCTTTAAGAGTTGGGCTTGAGATCGAGAAATGGCCGCTCGTGAAAGGGATTGTGGATGAGTGTTGGAAATTAGAGGCTTTTCGAAAGGGTGGTCTGGGTGGACATGGAAGACTGATTCCTTGATGAGACCTGGAGAATGCCCAATCGAAAGGGGGGCAATGAGAAATTCTACCTATCCAGATTGCTTACCTGCTGCTCTTAAGGATTGAAAGAATCAGAATCTTCATGTTGAGCTGCCATCTCAAAAGGATAGTTCAGAGAAGTCGAGTATTGAATTTGGTAGAAGACCTCCATTATACAGGAGCCGAGATCAGAACAACGCCCATCCAATGCAAAAACCTCTTCCCATAAAATACAGTCTTACATCTGGAATGTACACGGGTCTAATTATCATCGTCCCATTATCCATGAACTCCAACTTTTAGATTTTGGTTGATCTTGTGTTGCCGACGCCACCACCACAGAAGTTTCGGTAGCAGTTCCTATTCGGTCCAATGGCCCTCCAGTCCTTTCTAAGTGTCGTTCTTGTGCAAATGCGTGCTTGGCCTTCTCTGTGATGGCAATTTTCTTGTCTTCCAGTGCCCTAACAATGTCGCTCTCCCTCTCACCCATACTGTCGTCCTCTTCACTCAGAGCCTCATAACCTAATCTTCTTTCACTGGTGCCCACATCTTTGCCCTGCTCCTCTTTCTTCAAGCCTTCGAATAGCCAATCCCTCGCTTTTCTTACAGGACCTGGCTCTGCTTTCTTCTTTTTTGCGGCATCTACCTTGGACTGGTAGTCGTCTTCCATCTTTATGAAGTTGATCTGCGCTTCTGTCGCTGTTCCAGCTGCTATTGCCTCTCTAGCATCATGAACGGCAGATTGTTGCTTCGCTTTCTGTTCTTGGTAGAATTGGGCCCGTTTCTTTCGATTATAGACAATCATATCCCAGAATGTGTATACAGTAACACCTCCAGCAACAACTATTCCCACAAACTTGTCATCATTTGCAGTCTTTATTCTTGAGCTCAATTGAGTAGTCTCGGGGGTGAAGAAGGTAGAAACAACATACAAGTAGCTCCGATCAAGCTCAGAGCCGTAAATCGATGCGCTCGATCGGCCCATACTCTTCCCCTAATAACAATCTTATCAAAGGTCGTCACCTGCGCATCTCTCGCCCTATCAGCCGCAGCTCTGAGTCTTCTAATCTTTTCTTGTGGTGTTTCCCCAACCGGTCCCTTGCTCTTTTGCTGTGGTGGAGCTGTTTTCGATTGCAGATTTACTGCTGAAGGTGGCGGTTTCGCGGAGGCATAGGGAGTCGTGGATGTAAAGCGCGTAGCATCCGTTGCAGATCGTGGCATGGTGACGAGGAATCACTTAGGATGCTAGATAAAAGAAGGGATTCGTAGAGGGAATTATGTCCTGGCATTTACATCTGGAGATGATATCAGGAGATTTTTTGATGTTCCAATCAAGCTCGAGATTCTTTAGCGTGCATCAGCGGAAAGAGCCGAGCATGGAGGGAACCAAGCCCGACCACGACCTTTCTTTCCTTCTTTTGGTATCATAAAAGTCGCATCTAGTTTATTTCAGGAGTCTTTAGCTCTTTGAGCAGTCATTGAAGAGGGTCCTTCGAGCCTTGTCTCGTTTGACCATTGACAGGTCATATTACATCAGGGAAAATCTTGCGACTTGGTGACAAAGTACACTTGGAGATTGACGATCTCGGCATGACTTCGAATGATGAGGCGCAAACGCCAGATCTGGCCACAATCTTGAGAACTTTAGCTGCTCTTTCACCCCCGAATCAAACACAGCAACCTCAACAAGCGCAACCGCAATTCCAAGCAAAACCACAGGCTGAAGTTCCTCCATATCAACCAACAATTCAAAACCACCAACCGCCCGCTCAACCATGGCCCAGACAGCAACATCCACAAATATCACGGTCAACCACACCACCAGGTTCTCCAAAGAACCATGTTGATCCTACGACTATTATTGATTGGAAGGAAGGATTACATTGTGTGACGGATGTTCTAAGCAAAAATAAAATAATCATTGTTCAAGAAGTTCAACGAGTAAGTAATTCGATGTCCAGGGTTGTGAGTCGAAGTTTGCTAATTATTCTGTTCAGATGATCAAGGTCCAGAATGAGCATGAGTTGCAATGGTTCAAGGGCCGAGAAGCTCTGATCGAGAAGCAAAAAGCCAGGAAGGAAGGCCAGAAGCAAATAGATGAGGCATTGTAAGTATTGGCCTTATGAACGTGATGTACATGTACCTGATTCTGTCCAGGAAGGCTGTTGGGGGTACTGTGATGGCCGGTGAATCCAATACCACCCCGGAAGAACTTGCTAGAGAACTCGTTACTTTCGACATGAAGGTATACAAAGCCCAGACGGAGATGACTCGAGAAATGAGCAGCAGGCTTCGTAGCTTGGGCATTCCTTTCTTTGGGACTAGGTCAGACTTAGTCAGACCAACAACAAAGGCAGAGGCGGCAACCAGTACGACGAGTACCAAAGAGGGGAAGTTAACGATCGATGAACTCGAGCTGGTGAGACTCCAAAGGAAGATGTTGAATCATCTCGAGGAATATTGCTAGCGATTGATGGTGCCAAGTGAACATGGCAAACATTCTGTTGCACGTCGAACGGAGGAAAGAATTCCCCCATCCCGGCCGAAACGAAAGTCTATGATGACATTAAGTTTATGAACTTAAATCAAAGACACAGCAAGTCGATGGAAGAACGAAAATTATCAAATATGAACCTCTCTGTTGCACATCGCACGGAGAGACGCCTTCCACGTCTTTGATATGAGAGGGAAGTGTTGAGATGAAGCCATCCCCACTTGAGCATGGTAGAAACTGCCAAGGCGGACTATTTCTGAGATATAGATCTCAGCGAGACGAGAATAAAATCAATGTGCTTTCTGTTGCAAATCGCAACGGACCATGACTTTCCATACTTTCCTGATTGATGCTGTCTACAGGGTTCGAAGCATAGGATCTTGAAGGCGGCTATGCTGAGCAAAGCCAAGGCAGAAGTTTGTGGCGCGTAGCATTGATTGATCTGACCCAAGGAACGTGTTTATCAGTAATGAAGAGGCACGAAATCCATTTCGTGCATGTTGAAATATGCAGCTGTTATCGCTGCGGGTACGGCTGAAAGATGCACCCAGTTCTCGGAACTGCAGACGGCTCGAAGGGGAAAAAATGTCTGTTCCCGCCGTCACACAAAGTTTAAGCACTGTAAGAACGAGCATGAGCATTAACCTATTCGCCTCGAAACGATGTTCTCCTGTAGATCAGAGTCCAAGATGTATCTACCGTATCTTGCTGCGGTGAGAGTGTTCTGGGCTCAGCAATCGTTCTGCTCCGTGCCCGAATCATTTGATGATATGCTGCATCGGGCAGCAGCAATCCAACGACTAGAGATCTACGGCGCCGTAGAGCAAGCCTCCGCATCGTTCAGGCACAGCACACTGGGAAAAGATTCGTGGAAAATGAAACGAGTGCATAAGTCTTTGGATGTATGACGACGGAAGGAGTTTAGATGAAATGCGGAACGTCTTTTCCGCTGTAGGAAACCCGTTTTGGGACTTTTGCGGAAGCAGGAAGTGTGGATAAGGATTCCGGTCGACGTGCAACAGATATCTGGGTGTTTGGAATGGGATGAACGTCCTCGTGATGATTCCGAGAGAGAGAAAGGATGGAAAGGAAGACTTGTTCCTCAAACGTTGTACAACGACAAGGTAAAAGTTGAATGTTTCCCCAAGGTCGGGTCGTGATCTCTGCAGTCAACGATTCTATTGGCTCCCCGCTACTGGAACGTTGCTTTCGGACGTCTTTCCCAAAGCTCCCTAATGTTTATATTAAATGGTTGAAATATATATATTCACGACTTCACTCCATCGAACTTCCTCAGGAGTACCGTTTGACGTTATCTCAACACTGGTAACCTAAAACATCTAACCACGCCCTCGGTTTTGACGGGCCTCTGCATCACGGGCAACTCTCTCGCTAGGTGAAGCTCTCAGATAGCCCTCTCAGTCTCCCGATACCATCTTCCTGGCCGAAAGTCTCTCGTTTCCCGGTCGGGGAAGCTTGCGACGTGCGACAAAACTCTGCGAGCATGAAGCCAATGTCCAACTGAGGCAAGGAGGCAGTTCTCTCGATCCCATGCCGAGGTCGCTTGACTGAATGAAGGTTTCCACGTCGTTCACATGCAGCATCAACTTCCCTACCCCTTGCTCCGAACTTAACTTCTCATAGATTCAGATAATTTAGCTCAGCAGAAATTCGAATCAAACTTCTTGAGTCGACCATCATCTTGGGAGATAGACGAATCTCAGCGAACAGCTTCAAGGCCTGAGTAAGAACAGGTTTATTCTCTGCCGGTTCCGCACCTTGGGTCGCAGGCCAAAGGGACATAGAAAAAGGGCGGAAGAGAGACGTGCAACAAAAATCTGAAAGATGAGGTGACAGCGGGTAAGTGTTCAGGCGCAGAACTTTAATTGGCGAGGAGAAGCCCATCGAGTTTCTTCTATGCAGGTTCCCGTCATTGAGATCTGGCATTTCCAGGAACGCAAACAATGTGTGGAGCACTGAATACTAGCAAGGCTATGAAGCACTTCCTTTAAGCTTATTTCTCCGCTTCACTTTGTGTTTACCACCTCCTCAACCGAGATGCAAGTGAAAAGTCTCTTTGGTAAGAATTTTCATTAGCAAATAAAGACCATTTGACACGGTTTTGAAAGCTCTACATAAAGAGCCAGTAGTAATAAACCTTGCCCGAACGCCATGCTCGCTGAAATGCTATCATTCTGCTCCCACTGTCAGGACACCAATATCGTAGGTAATAATACCACTAGTACGTAATAATATGTGAGAAGTGTCCAGGAACCTTCATACGACATTTCTCACAATCAGCTCTATATCCCATGCTAAAGCTTCTCTTGATGGTACCGCCACCATTGCCATGCATATCATGACCAAATCCAGTCCATTGCCTAAGGCTATGCTTCGACCTTTGGTGGCCCTTCTTGGTAGGCGTTTCCTTGTCCGGCTCCTGGTGAGGATTGTCAACATCCACTTGCATATCATGAACTCCATCAATGATGATGCTAGGACTCATTTCTCCTTCGCTTATAGGACTTGGAAGTCGTCGACCACGCCTGAATCGATCGACCATAGCTTCGTCGTCTGCGAAGTCACTGTCGTGGTGCATCGTGGATTTCTCGGACCGGATGAAGGGAGCAAAAGAGCTATGAATCGGCGTAGGAATTCTACCCGATATGCTCGAAGATGGATCATTGTGGAAAGGGCCAGGTGAGAGATGGAAGGAGTCCGTCATCTCGAAATCGTCAGAATAACTAGGGGCATCGGACATCTGAGTTGATAGCATGCTCCCTTGAGTTGACTGCGAGCTCTGTGGACCATCAACATCCAAGAAAGGCGATGGGGACCCACTTTGCGTAAGGGTTGCAGTGGTGGGAGAAGAGGAGTAAGGTGAAAAAAAGGATCTTGGTTCCGCTGCAGCCGCAACATCCTCCGAGTCCGAGTCAGCGGGAGTAATGGTGGGAGGCAGAGGTTGGGAAGTGTAATTCGAGCTGTAGTTGAAGATAGGAGAAACTTGGCGGGCTAGCTTTGGAGACTGTCGGTGAGGAAGAGCAGCAATGTGTCGTTTCTGAGTCTTGTTAATACTAGGAGAGCAAGTTCTCTGTTCGGAGAGCCTCACTGTTCTATGTTCACCGAAACCTGAAGCAATAGTCTCCTCATCATCTTCCCTATCGCGCTTCCTACTCTGAAGTTGCAGGCTGAACATATTGTTCCTTTCTTCGAATGACTGACGTGGTGAGAGATCTATGTCGTATCGCGTTCGTCTGAAGTTAAGTCGTAGTTGCGCGGCAAGGCTCGATGTCCTTCGTTTGAGGGCGGAAGGGTGTTATGTATTAATGCGAAATGCGTTCAGCGAGAGTGACCTGGAAGAACCCTGGATTATATCTTCGAGTTAAGAGAGCGGTTCGGCCATCACATGGCTACTGGTGAGATAGCGGTGGGTTTCAGGATTGTTACAGACGCTCGGTCGAGGTGTTTTGAATGTCCCCGACTTGACGAGAACTCTCGAAATCCTCCTGAGGCAACAACGGCCGTATTGCACGTGATACCCCTGTGCATTTTAGCCTTGTCGTGGCGGGAGCTATTCCTTCTTGGGACTAATTAGCTTTGGGCTTGTGGGATGAAGGGCGTCTCGAATTGGTTGACGGGTCACAAATTCTGCCCCTCCAACTGGCCGTGCGACATCCAAAAATTGTTTCTTCATCCGTTCTCTGAGCCAACCCGTACAACATCCACACCATATAAGAAGACAAAAATCCTTCTTGGCTGACGCCTTTTCTCTCGCACCCACATAAACTCACTGTACATTTACTTTTGCTTTCACTTCTCTCAAAATGCCAGGTCTTGACTTGCAACCAGTCATCACTGATGACACCAGAAGTGAGTCTTATTCTACCCCGCCATTTTTTCCTGTGGAAGAAACTTCCGAACATTTACTGATTCTTCTGCGTTTGTAGTCTTGGGTCAAGACCCTTTGATTCCTCCTCAATTGCTTCTTCACGAAATCCCTCTCACTCATGCCTCACTCAAGACTGTCGTCCAAGGTCGGAGAGAGGCGATCGAGATTATCATGGGCAAATCTGACCGCCTCCTGGTCATCTGCGGTCCATGCTCTCTACACGACCCGGCAGTGGCTCTCGAGTACGCCGAGCGATTGAAAGCCCTCTCAGACAAACTTTCCGACGATCTCCTCATTATCATGAGAGCCTACCTCGAAAAGCCTCGTACGACCGTCGGTTGGAAGGGATTGATCAACGACCCAGACATCGATGAGTCTTTCAAGATCAACAAGGGTCTGCGCATTAGTCGACAACTTTTCTGCGACCTCACAAGCAGTGGAATGCCAATTGCAACCGAAATGTTGGACACAATCTCGCCTCAATTCCTGGCAGATCTCATTTCTCTCGGAGCTATTGGTGCCAGAACTACCGAATCACAGTTGCACCGAGAGTTGGCTTCCGGTTTGTCCTTCCCAGTCGGATTCAAGAACGGAACAGATGGGAGCTTGACTGTTGCTATTGATGCAATTGGTGCTGCTGCTGCCAAACATCATTTCATGGGTGTCACAAAACAGGGACTTGCTGCAATCACCCGCACCAGTGGTAACGAGCACGGGTTCGTCATCCTTCGAGGAGGTACCAAGGGCACAAACTACGATGCCGAGAGCGTCAAGACGGTGAAGGAGACTTTGACGAAGAAGGGACAGAAGCAAGCCATCATGATCGATTGTTCGCATGGTGAGTCACCTCGTACGATGTTTGGGAGCACAGCTAATTTGAGTCAGGTAACTCGAACAAAGATCATCGAAATCAACCCAAGGTCGCCAAGGTCATTGCAGACCAATTGAAAGCTGGAGAGACTTCGATCATTGGTGTCATGATTGAATCGCACATCAATGAGGGCAACCAAAAAGTTCCGGCCGAAGGACCTTCGGGACTTCAGAAGGGCGTCAGTATCACGGATGCTTGCATCAACTGGGAATCCACAGTCAATGTCCTGGAAGACCTGGCTGCAGCTGTCAGAGAGCGACGCAAGCATTTCACCAACGGCCACGTCAATGTCACGAATTGAATTTGATGGATCTTGCATGGCGTCTCGGGCATTTCTCTTTTTTTCACTTCTTTCAACCAAAAGCTTCATGGACATCTTACAACAAGATGAATCATTTCGAGTATGAAACAAAAAGCTTCGGGATTACTTTAGATGAAGTTCAGGAATCATTGCATCGAGCGGCATGATCAGGATATGAAAGAGCATGGGATCACCAGAGCATTGAGATATAAAGCAACAAAACCACTTGCTCTCTTCATCGGTACTTTTTCTATGCAACTCATCATGTGATGGTCGTCTGTTTGAACTTTCTTTTGATTCTGCATCAAGCAGCCAGAGTGAAACACCGCATTGTAAACGCCTTTCTATGCCTTCTCCCCACGCTGTACTCACAACCTACTGCTCTTCGAGATGTCATCCTTGACAGCAGGCAAAGGAGCAATTTCGTCCACAACTCCTTTAACAGCCCTCACATTCACATATCCCTCATCTGGACTCGGCCAAGCAAAGTCCTTCCACTCTCCCAAGATGTTCCAAACGCCCTTCGCTAACACCTCAACGTCGTCTTTCCTCTTCAAACTCCACTCTTTCTTCCCATCTTCTACTTTCCGACCCGCAATGGGCAACCCATCCAACACACTATTCCATACCCTCATCGTCTCCGCCAACTCTTCCAAATTGCTCACCCCCATAACATTAACCCCAATACCGCCAACACCACCCAGCACAGCACCTTCTCGCGACCAAGTATCCAGCCCCCACCTAATACTAACCACCTCCAACCTCTCCCCTTTCGTTTCAACCCACTTCGCCGCCTCCAAACACCTCCTCCTCAACCCCTCTGGCGCCGGATGAAAGTCCCCCTTCCCACCAACCGGCACGCCCTGCCCCCGCAAAAGCCCCATCCCCAAAATCGACGCATTAGGAACACAACTCACGCCCGCCCGCCTCAGCCTCTCCAGCCCCTCACTCTTCAGCGTCGTGTTCTGCAGCGAGAAATTCGCATACGACATCACCGCATCCAACGGCTCGCCCGTTTCCCGCACCACCAGCTCCGCGAGTTCGCAGAGCAGAGGGACAGGGTATCCTGATATACCGATATACTTAACCGTCCCCTCCTCGTCGCGGATGCGGCGCAGTTCCCGCACAGCGGCGAGCACTTCGGGGGCAGTGACGAACTCGACGTCGTGGCAGTAGACGACGTCGAGCCATTGCGTGCGCAGGCGCTGCAGGCTGCGCGAGACGGAGTAGCGGACCCATTCGGGGCTGTAGTCGAACTCGGCGGCGGCGATCCGGCCGACCTTTGTGATGAGGTGGTAGGAGGAGCGAGGGTGGGAGGAGAGGACGGAGGGTTGGGAGAGGGCTTGGCCGAGGAGGGATTCCGAGGGGCCGTAGTAGGGGGAGGTGTCGAAGGCGCGGATGCCGGCGTCGAGGGCGGAGGAGATGATGGTGTTGGTTGGGAGGGAGGCGATGGAGGGGTTGTAGAGGTTGTTGAAGGTGGCTGTTCCGCAGATGAGAGGAGGGAGGGTGGTTGAGAGGGGTGGTTGCGTTGGTGGCATTTTGAATGAGGTTGTATGTCGAGGTGAAGTGTGTATACTCGAGGTTGAGGTGTACTCGAGGTGAGGTGTGTGGACTCGGGGATAGAGAGTGGTAACTCGAGCTCCAGAAGTCGTATACGGAGTCGAGTGAAGCTAGAGGAGGACAATATATAAAGGCGGTGAAACTACAGCATCTTGCGAAGTGTGGATTTCGCGTCAAGAATCCGATGCTCGACAAGTTGAAGATAAAAAGTAGATCAGACTGAATGCCCCACACAATGTTTCAAGGGAGGTGCCGCCCCTCAGCCTTGGCAGTGGAATCTATTCATATCGAGTATTTTCTTACGACCGAGGTGACCAGTTATCGGGTTGTTGTCGTGCAATTGCGTGCTGTGAGTCGTTGACAAATAAGGAAAATGGTTCAAGTCCGGTTGAGTTTGGGTGGTTTAAACGAGCATCTAACTAACCAAACTTTGGACAACTCAAAGACGTCACCATATGCTCACCACCCTTTCTTCATCTCAAATCCAAAATTAGCTGCACAAAACATAGAATATCCTTATCGTAGCAGAAACAGATCCTCGTTATACGATGGAGCATTCTTGTTTCATTGTTCTTTCTGCTTGCGTAACGATCCAAAAGGGGGTTGTTACATTTTTTTTGTGGATGTGTTCTCGAATCTCTAGCGTCGGGACCCTGCTGATCCAGGTCCAGCGTTCTTATCTATCTAAGCGCCGACGGCCGATGGCGCAATCCCCGTCGAATCAAGAGAAACACTGTCAGAACGTGTCTCGGTTAAGAGCGGATATGCCAGGGGTAAAGGGGCTTGCACGTGATCTATATCTGCTCCATTCCAGTGGAAGGGAGTTCGTGGTAAATCCTTTGAGAGTGTCGAGGACGTGATCTTGTAATGGAAGGAACCAATCTGATCTCTGACAAGTTCTCTCAAGCTTCATGTCGGTAAGGATCTTCGGTAGCATTTCCGGCGGCTAATTGAATGGAATAGTTTGAACCCCGCAGAATTAACTTCCCGTTTTCAAAAGAGTAGATGACAGACCTCGGGATGGACAGCTGCATTGGCAGGCTCCTTCCTTTGCAAGGTACCAAGAACAGAAAATAGCTCTACTTGCATATCAATTGAGCCTCTTCCGACACTTCTCATGACTGAAACAGCTCACTGTATATTAGCCATACCCTTTCAATTTTGCATAAACCGCGAGGAATCACAGTCATCATGCTGACCGGAAGGACTGAAATATACATATGTGCCTACTTTGCTCTTTTCTGAGTAGTGGAAGCGGGCGGGTTTTATCCATTATCACGTGAAATGTTCATCAAAAGCTTAGTTCTTCTCTTGCTGAGTGCAGCCTCAGCACTTGCTCTAGTAGCAGAGAGGGAGAGTACACAAATTTTGAATCGAACAACAACATGTGGTAGTGCATTCTTTGGTGGTTGTTGTCAGGGACTACTAGACAGCATGAGTTACAACGCTGATTGTAGGAGCTCTCACCTACTGAACTATTCCGAACTGATATATTCAGGTTACAACGCAACTCTTGTAGCAACAAATGTTGGTGGGAGTACTTTCGGACCGCAAACAAGATATTCATGTGTCACCGCACTGAACGCTACTCAGACATTCGAAGATGCGTACTATGCCATATGCTGTAAATATATGGAGATATATGTAGGCTTAGAAAACCTTCACACCTCCAGCGTGCTCATGATGCCCAGGTGAATCCGATTGTGCGTCAGAAACTTATGACTTGCTCTCCCCAAGGTGGAGACATCCAATAGAGTTGAGCCGAAGAGCAAAGCATTGCCTCTGTGATGGATCATTCAAAATAGAGAAGCAAGCTTGGTGAGAAAAGAAGAGAAAACCAAGGAGAAGAGAGGAGATTGGTGTTGTCTTTCTGAAATAAAGCCCATGAATGCCAACTATTCCCTTTGTGGCTTTGACTATCTGATGAATGACCTGCTCTTCATGAACCACTGTCTTGGATATCCCCGCTTGAATGGTCAGAGGCTGATGACACAAATCAAGATATGGAAAAGGTGTGGTCAGGACGAAGATATGACCTGAGAATTCCGGTTGATAGGCTCCAAAGAAGACAGAAAAATATATTCAACAAGTGTCTTTTGATATGAATCATGTCCAGCTGATGTCTTTGTGGATTGCTAAACCATTCGAAATGCTTATCACCAGCTTGTGAAGGTAGGCTATTTTGAGTTGGGGGTCGTTCTTATCTTTGAAATGGTCTCGTGATGGTACGACAGGCCAGTGCCAGCCTCATGAATCTGCGCGACTAGAACCCATAGTTCTGCAATGATGTAGACCGAGTATGGGAATCGAAGAATGCAGCTAGCTTTCTGGGCATATTTAAACCAAACTGATGGTATGTTTCAATAGTTCCAACTGCGGCGTGAATGCCAGGTCGAAAGATGAAGAAAGTTTGTTGTGCATAATGCTCAGGTACAAATGCAGCACCTAAAAGCGCTAGAGTGAGAACCCTGCAGGGAAGCTCTTGTCGTGAAGCTCCAGTTTTGTCATGCTGCTGTCTGCATTTGGCCAACCAGTACGGGAAACAGCTGAGATGAGTATTCCGTATGCATGACATGACTTCGACACATTCAGGCTATTGGGAGAATGGCCGCTGGAATTTGCACCATTTCGAAACCGGCCGAGCTGGGACTTCGTGAAGCTTGCAAGGATAAGCTTCGCATCAAATGTGGCTTGAGGAACGCGTAGTTGGTGTGTGTCTGCTTAAAACATGTGAATATAAAACCGGTATGGAATTCTTGGAAGTGCCTAGTGACGATGGGATTTTGCGCTGTCCAGAAGTGTGAATATAACAATCACTGGTTGGCTACATTCGACGTCTCGAGTCCAGAAATTCCCAGAAGGGTCAGGCCACAATCATGAAAATGCCAATCGCAACTTGATTTGGGAAAGTGCGACTGATCCCACCGATATCCGGCCAACTCCACTCCTGCTACAGTAGCCAGGCCAGGCCAGGACCAATTCAGAGCAGAGAGTAAAGCAGAGCGAGGAGCTTTCTGACCGTGCATTGCCGTCGTCTCCGTCATCCTGCAAACCCACTTCAACAATCATCAACAACAACTCTTCATCTTGCTTCCTCCTCCGCTCATCGCCTCAACGGTGTGCCCATCTTGTCCTGCATCGTCGCAAGAGGAGTGTAGCACGTCGTTTCCAGATGACTCCTCATCAAGCTGATTGCTCCTGATTCATGCTACTGTACCCTTTTGCTGCCAGAAAAGAAAGATTGCATCGCATCCGCATCCCCTGCTCCTTCATCACACGAGCCCGTTGTGGCTCAGGCGAGCACTGAACGACACTCTCTTCCCCACGCTTGCTTGGCGAGACGAGACCTGCATAATTCTTCGACTCCACGTCAATCTCACGACAGACAGCCACGACCTCTGTCTCTACGTCTCACCACTTTCCACTGCGGCGCATCCTACTGCTATTGTTCCTCAATGTCCTGTTGATCCGGCACTTGCGGATCGCTACTCTGTACAATGGGAAACAATCCGACCAAAGAATCGCGGGGTCCAGAGCCGTTGTCAACATCCCAGCGTCACCCCGATGCAACCGGCGGTACCAGTGGTCCAGCATCTCCTACCGAACGACCTACTTTGTATACTACGAGAAATGGCAGAGGAAGCAGACCTGATCTCTCCTTCCTGGGGATTGGATCGAGCTCGCATACCAGCGAGGTCCCCGAGCGACGAGAGACGAAGCAAGAAAGGGAGGCAAGGAAGCTGGAAAAGGAGAGGGTAGCCAGAATCAAGGAAAGAGAACGCAGTCTAAAGGAAGAACATGTTGATGGTGGGTACTTGGTCACAATGGGTGTTTATACTGGCACCGAAGACTTTAGCAAACCTATTGTTAGACAATTGATGGTATGTATGGACTGAGAGTAGGCTGGGTCTTCCGTGCTAATAGATACTAGATTGAACGTCGAATAGCACCATTTTGGAGAGGTCTGGATGATTTCAAGGAAGAATGGACCGAGCATCAACTGGTCGCCGCTGGTAGAGGTATTCCCATTCCAGCACCGGATGAAGTGCCAGATGAGCTTCTACTCAGTCCTATTACCGATTCCCCACACGCTTCGAACCAGAATCTGCAAAATTTGACGGTTCCCATCTCAGGCAGATCTTACTCTGTCGGTTCCGAAGCTTCCGCTACACTTTCTCCTTCCCATCCAGCATTTGCCAGTCCACCCACCTCTCCAGCTCCAACAACATCTGCGCAATCGTCCTCACCCTTCCGGCCGCGATCGAAAACCCTAGCCTCTTTAACAAATGCAGCGAAGAATCCATCCTCTTCGGAGATTGTCCCTCGCGAGATCCACCTTCCTAGAGACCCATTCGTGAATGGCCAAGCTATTGAAGTCTTCTTGTACAAGGATGCTGCAGAATGTCCTATTTGCTTCCTGTTCTACCCTCCATATCTTAACAGAACTAGATGTTGCGACCAATCGATTTGTTCCGAATGCTTCGTGCAGATCAAACGACCAGACCCCCATCCACCTGAGCACCACGACCCATCGAACCCTGCTCCAGTGGAAACCACCGCAGAAGCAGAAGCTCTAGTTTCAGAGCCTGCTTGCTGTCCATACTGCCAGCAGCCAGAATTCGGTGTGACCTATGAGCCTCCTCCATTTAGAAGAGGCCTTGCATATGCGAATTCGACCAACCTGGGCAGTTTTGCATCTGCAATGTCATCCTCCTCATCACTCAATTCCTCTGCTGGTCCAAATCTAGTTCCGAATACACACAAGAGACGTACAACCTCGATATCTGCCAATGCTTCAACAGTCATTACTACTGATCGTGTTCGGCCGGACTGGAACACGAAGTTGCAGAATGCTAGGAATCATCTTGCGAGAAGGTCAGCCGCGGCTACTGCGTTACACACTGCTGCGTACTTGATGGGAAATGGTACTGCAGACACTCGAAGCTTTGGTTTTGGCTCTAGAAGTCGTTTTGGGAGAAATCGTCATGATAGTAGCCCTGGAGCTAGTGGTGCTGCCACTCCTTCGCCCACCACAGGTGAACCAGGAGCCCCTCGAAGCGTATCCGAGCAAATCACTTTTATGCGGAGAGAGGCACAAGAGAACGGTGGCGCCAGAAGACGAAGCCGGATGGACGATCTCGAAGATATGATGATGATGGAAGCTATCCGGTTGAGTCTGGCAGCCGAGGAAGAGCGAAAGAAGAAGGCTGAAAAGGAGGCTGCTAAAGAGGCTAAAAAGAAAGCCAAGGAGGAGAAAAAGCGAGAGAAGAAAGAAAAGAAGGGGGTGTATGGAAGCGGAGCTAGCTCAGCGAGTGGGAGTGCTCTAAGTCTTCTTCCAGGTATCGGTAGAAGGAGGGGAAACAGCGGTGCCAGTAATCTACAACGAGAGGTTATGCCTGAGGATACTGAGACGCCAGGTGACAAAGGAAAGGGCGTTGACCGTGGTCATTCAGCTCCTATCGACTTCTCTCGTTCTGCTAGTAGTTCGAGCGGTATTCCAGGTGCACGTCACATCGACACAAGCACACTTGCAGCTATCAGTGATTCACACCAAACTTCATCGTCACCAACGGCTCCAGACCGACCGTCTCATCTTCGTCATATGAGCAATGCTTCCTCTCCAGCCTCTTCGTTCGTAGAGTCAACACCTGGCAGTCTGCGCAATGAGTTTCATACTCATGGCTCATCGTCAACACTGGACTCACCGAACGCATCTGGAACCAATTTGGCAAGCCCGAATGAAAATGCAGATGATGCAAATGGCGGAGCTGGTCCAGAATCAATGTTCAATTTCCAAAGCCTTGCTGCTATGATTGGTGAAGATGGTAAAGAAGACCAAGAGGACGCTGCCAAGCACATTGAACATCTCGGTGATGGTGGTCAGGGATCTCGGCATGCGAGTCAGGATGAGGGCACCAGTACTGGGATGGAAGAAAGCATTGCCACGCTGAAAGTCGACAATGTGAACCATTATATGGCGAATGGAGACAGTGAGATAGCCAGGCAAACGACATTACTAGAACCGCAAAGAACAACACCAGAGGTCATGATCACGCCGGTGACTCCAGCTGCGACAAATCATGGCGACGATGATGCTAAGCAATTGGGATCAGGATGGACTGGTGAAGTCTCTGCGGAGATTACACAATAAGAAATGCATTTTGAGGGAGGAGAGAACAATTTGGGATACTTATGAACACGACACGATTGCATGAAATGGATTTGAGATGGAGCGTGTTTCGGTTTCTGCATGCCGCCTTGGCTTTGGCGTTCTCTGAGGATGGAGGGACGTGTGTTTATATGGGGTGGGGATGGCGGGCGCATTGTGGCTGGCTTTCCTTGAGCATCTATGGCAGAGGTAAATTAGCTCGATGACCTACCAGCCTGGATAGTTTGTATGTGTATATGGGGTTCATTGTAGACATCTGGAGCATTGATCATTCTTCTCAGATATGTGGGTCTTAAGTACAGAGCATGTTGTGAGCAGTGAGACAAAAAAAATCCGACCTTCCTCACTGTCTTCCAGAGATTCCCTTTCTGTCGTGTGAGGTCTAACATACAGACATAACTCCTTTCCCAAAGTCGGTGATCCATACCTAACTATCCTCTAGGACGTATCTCCGACTTTCGGGCAGTAGTTAAATAGTCATTAGAAGGTCAGAGAATAGCAACCCACTTCCCTACCCCCTACTTCTTAAAAATTCCTAAAAGCTTCCTTAATTTCTCCAGACACATCCCCAAACCCCTCGTTTCCCGTTCCCAATGCCTTCTCTACCGGACGATGAATGTCCGTTGCTATCAAACTTTGACTTTTTTCCAGACAAAGCAGCCCATCACCCGTTCAAAGTACAACGTAGTTGACAAATGCTCTAAATGTTAGAAGGAGTTTAAAAACGAGAAGATCCAAGAACGGATACTATAGTTGTTGAAATAATGAAAGGAACCTTGGAAGTCTGTGCTAAGGAGGACTTGATGGGGAAAGCCTTGACAATAATAATTCAGTATTTCACGGCTTTGGTATATATCTGCTTCTCAGTCATGGTGGCTAGTTAACTCTTGATGTGATGCTCTACCCTTCTTGACATCTGGAGAACTCATACGTAGGTAAACTCTTTGAGGGAGAAGGTCTTGTTGCGGTATCGGCGGCCGCATCACGTGTAGATAGTGTTATCGATATCTACCCGGTCGGTGGGAATAGCTTCGCTTCGATAATAAAGGTCCCAGAAAAGAATCCACTGGGATTGTAAACATCTTCTTGACAATATCGTGAATATTAAGCAAGTTGCTTTCTCTCTGCTTCTTTGAGGATTGTAGTTCTTTCCTGCTGTTTCTTGAAGCTATCTCCGAAAGGATGGTGCTCCACTTGGAGCTTGGAGCTGTGTGTCTGCTGTAACACAAGATGCGGGGTACCGCGTCGGTTTCAATTTTTTGCTGTCTTGTTCACTTTTCATTTTCCTCGTTCAAAGAATTGATTCTGGAAGTAGCTTTCATTGTCTCATAAAAGCAAGCTCAATCGATATTTTCGAGAGCAGATCCACAACTCCAGCCCTGCTATATGCATTTTCCCCAACGCCAAAGCAAGTCATCTCGTCGTTTCTTCATCATATGTTACAAGGTCATAGTTGCTGGCTTGTCTCCTTCGGAGCTGAAGAGCTTTACCAATCCCATTGCGGAACCTGCAGCTATGCCGCCGACGAAGACCATTTGTATGCCACCAGAGCAGCCAGCGCGGATATGTTTTCCTTCTCTCCAGCCGACCACGATGCAGGTCTTGCCATAGCCAAAAGCGAACAGCGCTACTACCATGACTGCAAGCGAGATATAGAGTCCTTCGAAAACCTGGTCGCTGCCAACGCAGAAGTACGGTAGGAGAGGGAGCAGTCCACCGAAGAAGTATCCCATGGCGATGGTCAGTGCTGATACCAAAGCTCGAGATGCAGCGGGTGGTTCTTCACAATGCTGGAATTGCATAATGAAGTCAACCAGGTTTGGGGAGCCCGCGAGATGCGATGTGATGTCTTCGAGGGTTTTCTTTGGTAAACCGTAGGGCTTGAAAACGGCAGCGACGCTCTGCACGGCGGCTTGAGGGTTGGTCTCAACTAGCAGTTGGGTCTCTCCTCGCTGAGCATGGTATGATGCACTTCCAATTGTTAGCAGGGATCGGATATTGGGTGGAGTCAGCACTCACGCCTCGCTCTTAGCACCAAGATACCCTCCAAGTCCCATTGATATCGCGCCAGCAATAAGCTCAGCCATACCTCCATAGATGACAACTTTGGTGTTTCCCAAGGCTGAGAGACCAGCAGTCAAGGCGAATGGAACAGTAAGACCATCGGAGAGACCAATAGTCGCATCAGAGATCATGCGGGCATCAATTCTAAAACCTGTCTTGCTCTTAGACTTCTTCGTCTTTGAAGCCAGGCTCTCTTGTGATTCGACGTCGGTGTCTTCGTCAGACTTAGTAGGTTGCGCGGTCTCTGAAGTTGTTCGGTCATTTGAGTGAAGTAGTGGTTCTTGAGAAAGGTCGCTCCAGTCCAGAGGTCCATTGTATTTAGATCCCGGACTTCTGGGGGCCTGTGTAACAGTCTCCGTGAAGAAGAAGTTCTTGAGTCCTACCAACGACATCGCTCTAATGGGATGAGGTGTTGTAGTTTTTGGGAGTGGTCTTGGTATAGTTGGACGAGGGGTAGGCGTGTCAGCTTCTTCTAGGATCTTTGTCAATACCGAGATGGGATATCGATATCGACTGCTCTCGTAGTTTACGCCACTATGAGGGTCTGGAGATGCCATGGCTGTATTATATGACCGCCGAGCTTCCTGGAAACTTTGTTCTTCGGCCATGCTCGTTTGAGGATCTGGGATGGGAAATCAGAATTGTGTCGCTTGTGATTGGCGCGAGGCTGGAGCTTGGACTGCAATCTACAGGCCTAATTGGTACGTAGCGGACTTGGGGCTTTTAGACTCCGAATTAGCTCCCTGCAAAGGCTTCTAGATTTCTTTGTTTGAAAAGCCATTTTCCGACACCGAGACAAGTTACGAATTGTGGTAGGTTGCTTTCTTTTGCTGCATTCTTTGGTTCCTTATGCTGCAGACTTCACATGAATAAATCAAGGGTTTTCATTGGCAGTGATGCTGTTCGAGTCAGGGCCCGCGTTCCAAAATGGAAGCTTCAAAGGTGCATCCTTGCCAGGGTCTCAGCTCGTGACTATCATATCTAATCGTTGCATCTGACAAGATATTCAAATAGGATCCTAATGATTGGCTACACGAGACGTCAATTTTCCGAATTTTCCTTCTTCGCCGCCATCCCCGAGCTTTCACGGATTTACAGAATACTTTCGGCCTTTTTGTCAATTTGCCATAACCTAAGGTGTAGCACATAAAAAATCCCCAATTACATACGCACTGAGATATTTCGACGGTGTTGGGATTGTTGGGGGCTGAAGTCCCACGACCAGCAGCGGTGGCAGTCTGCGTGGCTAGACATCACTCACTCTTCTCCCTCCTGCGATACAAACAAACGTTACGACTAGGTCCCACCATCCACCAAGAACCCCGAAGGAATGGAATACCCGCCATGCAAAATCTGGCCCGCGAGTCCTCCCAGGCTTCAGAAGCTCAGAGGCACCGGCAATTCAGACATAACTCCGTCCAGTGGCGTTACGACACCAACAGTGCCGACCTTTCCCCGGATTATCTTTACAGCGGCTATTGCATTATGAGTTATATCACCCGTTTCGAGCATCTACACTTCAGATCTCAAGAGCTATATAGGTGGACTATTGCGACATGACCTTCGGTGCTGATGAGCACGGCAGCTGCGGCACAGAAACAAGTTGGATGCCGATGACGGAGCGAAAGGGCAACAATGAATACCTACGGCTGCACACCAACTCCATGGAGGCGTCCTCTCTTTGTTTAAGTCTTCTTGCCCTCGGTCCCGGGCTGAAGAAGCACCCCTCCTTTATCACATCTTGTGCTTGCCCTAAACAATCACATACCTAATCGCTGTGGATAGCGTGGAAGGCATCCAGTGACTGCTTGCTTCGCATTGGAAAGAACTCGAGGCTGCCTCTATCCTGTTCTTGAGCTTTTTTGGACAATTTCCTGCGCCCGTTTGAAGACTCCAATCTAACAAGGCGTTGCTTGCGATAGACTTGTCTGTGCTATATTTATTTTATTGCGGCTCAGCAAGAGTTGTTGGCTTATTGTTGGACAATTTTCGTATTTGGTACTCTCTTTTCTTAGGCACTTCCTCCAACATTGGCAGTCATCCCACGATCAGCTGGTCGGTATGACTTCCATGTTGAGAGAGTCTATTCGTTGCAGCGAGCCTTCGGATCTCAATTATTGGTTGTCGGACAGTGTGCCGGGTCCTTGCAGGGCCACGCGCAACTTCTCACTGGCATCCATGCTGTGTAACACAAAATGTGCTGAGCTCTCGCCGCAAAGAGCGAAGGCTTGATTCTATCATCGACACCTTTGAGGTTTATCTCTCAATCAAACACGAGAGTCAGGCACTCAAGTCAGCGAAATGAAACTCCTTGTAATACAAAGTTCCGGCCTTGTATCCGTTCCGCCGCATTTGGCAATGTTCACAGCCACCAATAATCCTCAAGGCTGCTTAAAGCCCAGGTAATAGCTATCAAAGGATGCCCGGAGAGCCCCAGCTCAAGGTCCTTTGACTTCCCATAGGCCAAAAGCCTATTTTTGTGATGAGTCTCGATGCTGAGACGGGTGGGATTGCGAACTCGATTCCATTGCCTGCAGTCATCTGGAAAAAGAGGCAACCATCACTGCTCTGAGCTGTGACATTCGTGTCCAAAGAGGGTGTATTGAAGAATTTTAATGTCCACCAATGGAAGCTTTCCTCTCTGTCGAGGGCGTGAGATCAAGATGTCTTATCCTTCGCTGATAGTTGCAGCTAATCCTATGTTTCCACATTTTTAGAAAAAACAAAACCACAAAGCACTAAAAATTAAGATCCGCATCAAGATGTATCTTGTCTCAGAGTACATTACAATCTCGCCTATATGGCTATTGCTTATAGTTCTGTTCTTGTTTCCTCTATACTTCTTTCTTTTGGATTTCTATATTTGGTTTCACCTCCCACCTGGCCCACTTCCAGTCCCGTTCGCAGGGAACAAGTTTCAAATTCCAACCTCGAAATACTGGCTCACATTCACCCAATGGTCTCGAGTCTATGGTCCTATCTACACAATATGGATGGCCCGAACACCCATCCTCATTATATCCGATCCAGAAATCGCTGCAGATCTTCTCATAAATCGTAGCGCCAAATACTCCTCCCGACCTCGTGCGATCGTCTTTTCGGAGATCTACTCTCAACAATCAAGCATTGTCATGCTACCATACGGCCCAGCATGGTCGATCCGCCGCAAGCTTCTGCACCATGCACTGAAAGGAAGGTCACTAGCAGCCTTTCAACCCGTCCAAGAAGCAGAAGCCTCGAAACTCGTATCTCAGATGCTACATCAGCCCGAAACATGGAGTTCAAGCATTGAGCGTTACACCGCAACACTAGTCTTTAGCATGGCATACGGTCGTCGAATCGATACATTAAAGTCCAAGATCCTCCAGACACGAAAGCAGCTCATGGAGGTAGCTCATGCAATTCTTGCACCAGGTGCCTACCTCGCAGATAGCTTTCCTATCCTTGCAAGTCTACCCGACTTCCTGGCTCCATGGAAGAAAGAAGTCCGAGACTCAGGCAACGAGCACACAGAGTTCAACATAAGACTTGTGGATGTCGTGCGCAGTGACTTGCGCAAGAGTCGCGGCGAAGGAGTTGGCAGCATGACGGAAACAATGCTGCGTCTCAAAGAGCAAAGAATGCTCGGCCACCAATTGTCACAAGACAGATACTTATCAAGTGTGCCCGCTACGCTGTTCGGTGCTGGCGCAGACACAGTATCTTCGACTTTGCACAGTACTGTCCTAGCCTTACTTACACACCCACACATCTTGTCGATTGCAAGACAGGAGATCGACTCAGTGGTTGGAACCGATCGTAGTCCAACATTCGAAGACCACTTACCTTATTGTGACGCACTCGTGAAAGAAGTCCTACGCTGGCGCCCAGTCGCTCCACTCGTCCTCCCTCACGCAACAACCGAAGCAGATACATACCAATCCTGGAAAATTCCACAGGGTACGATAATCATCGTCAACACCTACGCAGTCAATAAACACCCAGACTACTTCCCTCGCCCCGAAGAATTCGCCCCAGAACGTTTCCTGGATGAAAGAGACCCGCGATACAGACCTGAATTGAAGGGAAGAGAATTCCCGGGAAGGTTTGGACATGGGTCTTTTGGGTGGGGTAGGAGGGCTTGTGCTGGGGCTGATTTAGCATTGGCTAGTACTAGGAGTGCGGTGGTGAAGATTGTTTGGGCGTGCGAGATTGTGGGGTTGGAAGGGGAGGTGTATGATGTTGATGCGTTTGAAGGAGGTATTGTGCTAAAGCCGAGGGATTTTAAATGTGGGTTTAAGTTTAGAAGTGAAGAGCATAAAGTGGTAATGGAGAGGGGGTTAGAGGATGCTGGGAGGGTTTTGGAGAAGTTTTTGCCGTTTGAGTAGGGAGGATTTCCTTTGAGGAGAACACCTATTTTCGTTATTCGAATAGCACTAGATTGTCACTGGCTACAAATTGATACGAGGAGAGACAATATATTATTCAGTCAAACTAAGTAGACGGAGAGGTATCAAGCTCAACACAATGATCCTCTCTGGTGTCATCCCAACGCCTCCAGCTCCTGCACTTCCAAATGCATTACTCAAGCACCACCTTCCCTCTTAGCATACTCCTCCTCTATTCTCTCCTCATACAACCTATCAGCTGCTTCTTCAGCTTCACTCTTAGGCTTCGCCGTATCCGTCGTGATCGTCTGAGATGCTGATGAAGTAGACGGCTCTGTGGCGGGATTGGGCTCGATGTTTGAGTTTGAGGGCTTCTCGCTGGAGAGTGTTGTTGGGAAGGACATTTTGTCTGGGGGATATACAATAATGATAATGTATATAAGATGTATGCTTTTTAGATATATCAAGTAGCAGGAGGGGAAAGGACATGTGAAATGATTTTGTGTCCCTCCATGTGGCGAAAGCTGTGGCGCGAGGAGTGAGGCGCAGCTATCACGTGGTGCTGGTGGTCTGTGCTTTCGAATCTTCCTGCTCCTCAACGATGAAATCTCCACTTTTTCCACCCAGAATATCTTGGCTCTCTGATTGGCCAGAATCTTACTCCTTATCAATTATACATGTACCCCTATTTTCATTTCATGTACACCTGCTTTTGTTAAAGAATTTTTGCGACATGCAACAAAAGATTTAAGGTTTGAAATAAGGTTTCATGCCTGAATTTGTGCCTGATCTCAAGTCCGCACCATTCTCAACGAGCAACACATACAAAAGAATCCTCGCCCTCTGATTGGCTCACAGGCTCTTAGCGTCAAATTTTCCAAGCAGGTGTAACTTTTGGGAGTTTGCTTGTTGACGTTGAAGATTCTCTCTTTTTTTTTTTGCGATGTGCAACAGAAATTTTTAAGGTTTTAAGCTTGGACTTAAGGTTATTTTAGTGCCTTTAGCTTGATTTTCTGCCTCAAATTCGTTCTCTCAAGAGCACTTTTGAATGAAGAACACATACAAAGTGATTAATGCTTCCTGATTGGTCGATAGGCTGTTAGCGTAGAAATTTCCTGCTTACTTAATTGCCAAAGTTCTTGAGAGAAAAGAATCGTGTCCAAGTTGGGATCTTGACGAATTTTCGCGACGTGCAACAAAACTCTGAGCTGCGGGCTGATTGGCTCAAAATCGAGCAGTTACCATCATGTGATTAATTTGATATTGTGCACAATCTCGTAGGAATGGAGTTCGGTTGTAACCTCTTGATGGGTAACGTTCCAATTGTTTAACTATTGCTATCGACTTATCGGCAAGGCTATTGTCAACTATATAAGCATTCGAGGTTTCCAAGGCCATGTTCCACGTGATATGCTCCCACTTTACAAAAGCTCCTAGCGGGTCTTCTTTCTCTTTCTCTTCCTCTGCAAGCTATTCTCCTTTATCACATTCAGCAAATCATGTCGACCAGAATTCCTGAACCAGCTTACCCAGCTAGGAATGCTGAGGCATTATATGGTGATAAAAGCCTCTACGCCAAGCTTGGCGAGATCGCGGAGAAACAGGGTGGGAAGACAATTATCGAGGAATTTGAGATCCCGATTAGGAGCGGGAAGGCTTGGGTTGTGAAGAAAGGTCAGTTTACTGTGCCGTTTTGTAGTCATTTTTGTCTTGTATCTTCTTCGATTTTGGTACATTAGAGGTGTTCAATATGCTCTTCCACTAGAGTGGAGTGGAAGTTCCCTGCTCCGTATGAATGCGAGATTATTATTAGTCTATGCAATGCCCTTTTAGCCTGTTATCGCTTTTCTCTTTTAGTCTTCTGGACTGAGTCTTTGTATCTAGGTCAACTTTGCAAGCTTTCCACTCCTCGTGGCCCCCAGGTGGGAGATCTGAACATATGGTCACTTCACAATCCCCGAGAGAGATTCTGGGCTTCGAGAACGAAACAGCTACATGCGTCCCATGTCTCTGTGGGCGATCGATTATGGTCTGTGCTCCCGTACATGAGACCATTGGTGACCATCGTGGCGGATAGTTTGAAAGAGTATGGAGTGGACGAGGTCGGCGGTCGATGTCATGACTTGCTCGGGACAAGGTAATTGCTCTCTTGCCGAACTGTGAGATATCTACTATTACTAAGAAGGAAAAGATGTGATCCATACGGTACTTTTCGAACTCACTGGAACACGCGAGGGAAACTACTGATCAGCAACAGTAAATAAGCTCTTGAGTGGAGATGACTTCGATTTTCAATGTCATTCGAACCTTGTCCGAGCTGTGCTGCCATATGGGCTGACAGAAGCGGACGTTCACGATGTAATCAACGTGTTCCAAGTGACCGGCTTGAATAAAGATGGAAAATATTTCATGTAAGACTTGCCCCATCTGACTTTTGATTCGGGACTAAATCCTTTCAGGGAGGCTTCGCCAGCTAAGCCAGGTGACTACTTCACATTCTTTGCTGAGACTGATCTTTTGTGTGCGATGTCCGCCTGTCCCGGTGGAGATCTTTCTGTCTACGGCTGGGGTGGAGATTCTGCTCAGAGGATGCTGGAAACTTGTAGGCCATTAGGTGTAGCAGTGTATGAGATCGAAGGGAAGGAAGAAGTATTGAAGGATTGGAAAGAGAGCCAACCACCTGGGTATAAGGGTATGCATGGATTGAAGATCCCAGTATTCGGGCAACAGTAGAAAGGATAGATATGTGAAAGTATTGACTTCAATTCTTGTCGAAAATCATGCCCCATCCCTTGGTTCCTTTCGCGTCAACACCACATTCTCTCAACATATCCCATACAACCGTAGTTACCGTATCAAAGACCGGCACTTTATACTTCTCCTCCCAGAATCTCACCCTCTGTGCCGCAATAAGATTCGTGCAAAATGTCGTAACAGCATCTACTCCACTCCCAACCACATCGCCCACCATCCCATCCAAAGTCTTTTCTCCAATATCCGCAATATCAGTGTTCTTCACAACTCTCAGATGTCTCTCCATCTTCTCTCCAATCTCAACCCCAATACCCTTATAATTCTCTACAATCTTCGCTTGCACATCATCCAAATACGGCGTCACCAATCCCAACTTCTTCACATCCCATAACTCCAATGCTTTGTTCAAAGCTAGTATACTAGTCGTAGCTTTGATCCCTGTAGCTTTCTCGATTTCGGCACATAATGTAAGGTCTTGAGAGAAGTCTAGCCAGCCCGCAGATGTACCAGACCAGCCTATGATGTCTACTTGTGCGTCGGCGAGCAGTTGGGCAGCTGCGAGGATAGGACCTAGGTCGAATTGTGCAAGGCCATCCGGCGTCAATGAGATCTTGGTGACGGAGAATCGGGAGAAGTGTGCTGTTATCTGGGTTGAAGGAAGGTGGGCGTTGAGAACTGTGATGAGCTCGTAGGTAAGTGGTTCGAGGGCGGTGTTTGATGATGGAGTGAGAATGCCGAGGCGGATCCGTTTGGGAGAGCTAGATGAAGACATTGTATCTTGTAGAAATAAAGAATGAAATCTGAAAGCTCAAGAAGAATTGGAGAGCACTGTTGAAGAGTGGGAGGGCAATGTCTGAAGATCTAGTATCGGGCTTCCGATGTCCTAGATTGTGCTCCAACGACAAGACCTACATTGTAATAAAATCATGACTACATATAGTCTCCGTAGGCAAAACTCTTGATTCGTGGCAGAGAAGCCGAAAGGCTTTGCTAACATGTTGTCGACATTGGGAAGAATAAGAAATGTCGCTGATGAGGATATCGCACCGGACTCTAATATACGCAATATTATACTTTGCTGCGTAGTTCTGAATATGCGTATTTTCGGCCCACAAATCGCTCACTAACGGGGAAACTAGAGCCAGCCTTATCTCTTTACTTCTTAGAGTCTTCCAAGTTCTCTTCCAAGTGAATATTTGTTCATTCGAATCAAACTCGAAGTCAAGGAACAAATTCAACTCACGTTACAACGGTACAGTATCAAGAATGGCAGCAGCGAATTACTGCCAAGCTTTTTTTAGCCTTCCGCGACGCCTTACTTGGCGGCTATGTGAGATCCAACACGGTTGCAAATTACAACCTCTTGACCATCTCTTTCTCAACCTCTTTCTCGATATCATGAGCTGAAGTTGATATCAGCGATCATGAGTCGAATACAGCAGAGGCGTCGCCTTGCTGGTTTAGCTATTGTTCTCGTTGTTATTGCTGCATTCTTCCTTTGGCAAGATGAGCCCGTCACGTGGTCCTCCTTTCCTGCTGTAACTGAGTCTCCTGCAATCCAGAAAGATGCTGTGGAGCCACAGAAACCTCTCAAAGTGTCAACTACGATCTCAGATCCTGTTCCGAAGGTGACGAAAGGCCCGACAAAAGCTCCTACAGACCTGGGTGAGCTTCCTAACCCTGAAACTACAAGATGGCAAGACGCGGAATTTCCAGCTGCGTCTCCAACAAGTGCGCCCACCAAAACATGTATAAAATATGAACAGCTTCAAAGGCTGAAGCAAGAGCCGTTGTCAGAGGGGTGGAGGCAATTCCCATATTCTCGACCATCGCCCGAATGTCGGACGTTCAATCTTCCTGCTATGGAGAAGCTCATTGAGAAAATGAGAGGCATTATCAAAGATCCTGATCTTTTCAGACTTTTTGAGAACAGTTATCCGAATACGTTGGATACGATGATCAAGTGGAGAGGCTATGCTGAAGTCGTTGATGAGAGCACTGGGAATGAGACCACGACGGACGAGGAGTTGACTTATGTGATCACAGGTGATGTATGAAAACATGTTTCTACCCCTTCAACATCTTTCTCTGTACTACTCGTCCTTGCATATTTCTCAGCATTCAGGATAGTTCGGCTCTAACATGACACAGATTGATGCTATGTGGCTACGAGATTCGGCCTCCCAAATTTACTCTTACCTGCCACTCCTAGAAGCATCAACCGAACCGGACTCTCTAGCCAGTGTATGGCGTGGACTGATCAACCTCCATGCACGCTACATTATCATCTCACCTTATTGCCACTCCTTCCAACCACCACCAGAATCGGGAGTTCCACCGACTCACAACGGAGCTTACAGTCAAAATCATCCAAATCCTCCCTATAACCCTAAGCTAGTATTTGACTGCAAATGGGAGCTCGACTCTTTAGCATCTTTTCTACAAGTATCCTCGGCCTACTACCAGAAGACAAAAGGTACTTTCCCCCTCTCTGTTAGAATCGTAGATATAGACTTGCTAATATTGTCAGACCTATCATTCTTCCAGAAATACTCTTGGGTAACTGCGGTACACGCTGCCTTAAACGCTTCTGCCGCCATGCGTATCGGCACCTACTCCAAAGACGGCAAGGTCCTCCCTTCAGCCTGGACATTCACCGGGTGGACCAACCGCGGGAGCGAAACCCTAACCAACGACGGACTCGGGAACCCCACCAAATCGAACGGCATGGTCCGAACCGCGTTCCGTCCTTCCGATGATGCTTGTATTTACCAACTATTAGTTCCCGCCAACATGATGTTTGCAAAGTATCTCGAAGAAGCAAGCTTAATAATGGAAGGACTAGGAGGAGACGAACCCAAGAACCTAACAAGCCAGATGCGGGACTTCGCACAAGGCATCAGAAAAGGAATCGACGAAGACGTAATCATCCACCACAAAGACTTCGGCGACATCTTCGCATACGAAATCGACGGCTACGGCGGCACAAACCTGATGGACGACGCCAATATCCCTTCTCTCCTCGCCATGCCGTTATGGAATTACTCACACTCGGATATGAACTCCGTCGCCACCCACGACTACGACGAGATATACGCTAATACGCGCCGCTTCATCCTCTCGGACGCAAACCCGTACTACATGAAAGGACCCATCATCTCCGCCATCGGCGGCCCTCACCTCGGACCCGGCCGCGCCTGGCCCATGGCCGCTATTGTGCGGGCCTTGACTGCCTTCACTATGCTTGCTTCTACCTCAGGAGGCACAGGCTCGGTAGCTCAATCGGAGAAGAAGGCAAGAGACGATGAGATCAAGGGACAGATAATGATGGTGCTGAACTCGACGGCGGGGACGGGCGTCATTCACGAGAGTGTGGATAGTTGGAACGAGCAGATCTGGAGCCGGGCGTGGTTCGGGTGGGCGAATGGGCTTTTTGGGGAGTTGATTATTAGGGTTGCGGAGGAGGATGAGGCGCGGGAGAAGGGAGAGGAGGGGTGGTTGAGTGAAAGTTGGCAGTAAGTACCTAGCTAGGTTTGTAGGAATATTGATTTTGAAACCATTCTTCAAAACCACTGTGTTTTTTCTCCCTTTTACGAACATGGGGACAAAAGTCCGTGCGTTCAGGGCATCAGAATCATGAATTTTATTAATTAATTAGCTGTAGACCAGCCACATCGCTTAATTAAGTCGTGTACCCAGAAGTCCTGCTGCTCAATAAGCCCATTGATCCATTCCTGAGGAATTTTGTCCCATTCTTCTAATACTGCTACAACCATTTGAACCTCAGTTGTTGGCTGCCTTAGGCGCCTATGGAGAGCTTGTTTTATTCTCCTCCAGCACTTCTCAATAGGATTCATATCAGGGCTAACTGCAGGATGGGGGAATAGAGTAATACCCATAGAAG